AACCGAGTATAGTAGCCACGTGCCTTACGAGTCTCGCTTATACGCTGAGGCATCGATCTAATTATACTATCAATTTTATTTTGATCTAGCGCATCCCAGGCCTCCGATATACACTCCCTAAAGAGCTTCCAATCTGCCTCAGATGTACCACAATGTAGTAGATTAGGATAGAGCTCATAATTTACGTTTGAGCATACGCCACACGGGTTCAATAGGGTTGAGATCTGGCGAGCGTGGCGGCCATTCCATAACGTGTATACCATGACGTTCAAACCATCGCTGAGCAACATAGGAGCGGTGGATTTTAGCGTTATCTTGCTGAAATATAGTTCCAGGCTCATAGTGTTCAATAAACCCTTCTTCAAGCGCTTTTAGGTAGGATTTCGTTGTATAACCACCTCCGCGACCTCGCTGTCCTTCTGAAAAGTCACGCTCCATAATAACAAGTTTTGTACGCCCTCCGAGCCATATTCCAGCCCAAACCATTTGACAAATATCCTTCACATGAGCCTTAACTTGCACCATTCCCTGCCGCTAAGCTTCTCCTCTAAGCCGGGTAACGTATTGGCCGTTTAAATTAGGGATACGTTGAACGCTGCATTCGTCGGAAAATATAAAGCTTTGTAGTTGGGAATTGTAGCGTTCAGCCCTCCAATTTCGGCAAAATCGGACTCGTTTGCGGGCGTTCTCCCTCGAAATTGGGATACAACCTCTTGCTCGATAGCGCTGGAGGAATTTTGAACGTAGGAATCGCTTGATTGCTGATCGAGATGGATGGCTGGGTATACGGGCGCTTAGCTCACTAAGGCTTAGCCAAGGCTCACGACGTGCAAGTAAACAGGTATATTTAATAGTAGAGTACCTATAGACTTTAGGGGCACCTGAACGAGGCAGTGATTTAAGCGTTTGATGCTCTCAGAATCGTTTGATTGTAGAGTATATTGTTGAGCGTGCGACGTTGAACTCAGTAGCCATTTTAGTAGGCGATACACCACATTCATGAGCGTATATAATAGCTGCGCGGGCCTTAGATGAAAGCTCACCCCCTGGCCTTCGATTGCCACTTATTTCAGTGCCAAACCGACGCATATTGGTGGTGTAGGGGGTAGTTGAAGAAGATGAGTGGGGGGTGACGCGAAAATCGCGCTAAAAAAATAGCGCGATGTCTTCAAACTTCTGGACCGCCTTTGTATCAAGCCGGGGTTGGAGTTTAGTCTGGCGATGTAATAAGGAACGCCGTTTCCGAGATCACGGATCGAAAAGTCGGGGACTCGGACTTTTCGAAGGAAATATTTTCGGCGACAGGTCTCGGTTTTCGGCGATGGCCAGACGACTTTCATGATCGTGTCGAGTTAAACCTCATTTATGTAGTTAGGTTATGCATAGATTAGTAATTTGGATCTGATTTATCCAATCTACGAAGATGATCCTGGGGAAGTAAGCCTGACATATGATTGGCTGTAGCAAACTGTTCATAATGTGCATCTGCTGCATCTCTTTCGGGAAGTTCCTCAAGTTCTTCTTTCTTGTTGAAGAAAGAGGGGCAGCCGGTGAGTGGATTCATGCAGTGAGATCACTCTCTGCATACGATACGAGAACGAGAGTACTGACCCATCGCGGCACTAGTCCCCGCGTCGGCAATCACACGTCCGTCTCGCATTGGCCGAGCGCCAACAGCGAGCCCAGACTTCCCTGATCATCAACAAAAGTATGACTCAGCTTACCATAGCTGAATCATGGGAATAATTATGTTCGGCTGACGATTTACATTAGTTGGGCGCCCGGGCACGTCGCGGCTGCACGGGATTGCATCAGATACAAAAAACAACATTATTCAAGTAAGCGTTGAAGTCACTTTATAGGTAGAATTAATGTAGCATTCAAAAAAGGGACCAAGCACAAAGTGAAACTTAGCTTCAGCGGAATTTCGGAGAAGCAAAAAAGGAAAACACTTAGTTCTTCGCATTCTACTACTCTGGTCATAGTGCGCACTTTATAATTCTGCCCTTATCTCAACCCAGTTAGTACCTTAGGGGTCTTTCGGGCACGACTTGCCTAATTGACAGTGTCACGGCACAAACACTATTTCAGAAGGTGCTCGGTACTGCTATCATGGTAGTGAATAGGGCGTCTTACTGCTTCTTGGCTGGGGAAAGCTAGACCAAGCGGAAGTCCGGGGGAGATTGTGTGGGGTTACTATCGCTGTGAAGATACCTTAATTTGAAATGAGACTGGGCAAAAACACATAAATAGATACGCGGCCCAGGTTATGGTATTATAAAAAAACACCGAGCCAAAAAAAAACAGCTTTTGAGGCTTCAATTACAACTGCGATGAAATCCCTTGCTGGTGTGGTACTTCTTGCCAGCAGCGCCCTGGCTTGGCTTCCTCAGGATCAAGACCTCGCTGCTTTTAATGTGTCTCGCTATGAGACACTTGAAAAGCGCTTCAAACCGACCTTGCCCAATGGCGTGAACAAGATTCGTGGTGTCAATTTTGGAGGCAAGTTATGAATACCCTGAAAACATAAAGAGGCGCCAAGTAACCACAAGACTTTAGGATGGCTCATCTGCGAGCCTTGGATGATGAGCAATGAGTGGAACAATGTCATGGGCTGCAACGGCGCTGCGAGTGAGTTTGATTGCATGAGAAACCAGTACTCTGGAAGCAATCGTGAGATTGGCAACACCAAATTTGCAAACCATTGGAGAGATTGGATCAATCCGGCCACAGTCCAGTCCGTTCACGACGTCGGTCTCAATACCATCCGTATCCCCATCGGCTACTGGTCCTATGTCGACATCGTGGATAAAGCTAGCGAGCCTTTTGCCGACGGCAGTCGCATGTTACCATACCTTGACGCAGTCGTCGGAAAGGCCGCCGACCTGGGCCTTTATGTCATTATCGACTTTCATGGAGCCCCTGGCGGCCAGCAGCAGGATGCCTTTACCGGCCAACTGAGCGTCCCCGCCGGTTTCTATAATTCCTACAATTTCGGTCGCGCTGAGAAGTGGCTCTCCTGGATGACGAATCGCATTCACACCAACAACGCCTATCGGTCCGTCGGCATGATCGAGGTCCTCAACGAGCCTGTCTCCCGCCACGACGCTGGCGGTCGGTACCCAGCTCCAGGCGAGGACCCTGGCCTGGTGCAAGACTACTATCCCAACGCCCTCAAGGCTGTGCGAGATGCCGAGGCGTCCATGGGCGTGACTAGTGACAAGAAGTTGCACGTCCAGTTCATGTCAAGCAAGTGGGATTCTGGCGATGCGCGTAGCAACGCACAAGTGAAAAATGACCCTATGACTGCATACGATGACCACAACTATATTGGTTTTGCTTTGAGCGGGACGAGTGACCAGGGGGCGCTTATGAATAGTGCGTGCTCCGATAGCCGTGTTGTAAGCGGTCAAGACTTTACAATTACCGGCGAATGGAGTATGACTTCTGGCGCCGACTGGCATGATGCTAGCTTCTTCAAGAAGTGGTTTACTGCTCAACAACAGCTGTATGAAAAGCCGGGAATGGCCGGGTGGGTGTACTGGACTTGGAAGACGGAGTTGAATGATCCTCGCTGGACGTATTCTTATGCTACTTCTCTCGGATATGTCCCGACTACTGCAGCTGGACTGGAAAGTAATGTATACCAACAGGTCTGTTAGTATTGACTCTGCCTGTCTGCCTTGCTTGCCAGGCCTCCTGTAAAGTTGGCCTAAGCAACTATCCCAGAAAATGTTATCTATGTAGTTAGGTTATAGGGATACTAAGGTTCAAAGAAAATAGAGTGATCATATGAAATTTGTTTGTTCAAGAGTAAAAGAGGATCATAAAAGGTGTTTGAAAAATTGATTGATTTTGTGCAATTCTCTACAAGCGGATATTCAAAGGTCACAAATTCAACAACCTTTTATCCCTGCATAATGGTAAGTATCAATAACCCCTCCCCTCTTTGAGAGGGTTGCTCCTGTACGTGGTATTGTGGTGCTGGCAGTTGAAAAGCGTGGATTGGATTTAAATCGTTTTGACATAGAGCTAAGTCAAGATTTAGATGTATCACCGAGCAGCAAATATGGATTCCACTTCACCTCCTACGCAGGAAGCTTACCCTATTTTGTGGATATGAATGCGCAGGGTGGAAATATACCGTTCGATCAGGCGGTTCTATCTCTTAAAGGGGTTCAGAATCGATTTTCGCTAGATGATATTTAACCCCGATTCTCTACCAGTATTTAGATTAAGAAATTATAGATAAGATAGGAACGCCAGCAGAAACAAGAGATATATACTGAAAGATGGGAACGCTCGCTAGCAGTCTGCGTTGGCAGACGGGTCGATCGCAAGAGGACAAAACCACCACACTCGAAGAGTGCAGGAGAGTAGTAGACAAAGCGGTGCCCTACTGAGAAAACAGCATTCAGAATATTCGAGCCCTTAGCATAACCGCAGCGTGTATCTGAATAACGAAAATAACATTGGTCTGAAAGGTGTTGCGTAAGTTAACTATCATCGAGGGCTTATATACTGTATGAAGGTAAGGCCTAAGGCCTAGGTGGGAAAGGGGGGAGCATGGTATGGTATATGAGCAGCTTTTCAAACTCTTTAATCGAGAAATATCTTTTACTTCGTATATACTTCTAGAAATATAGCTGCCGCTGGTTTGATCACCTTAGGAGAGGACCCAAGGAGCTGAGGTTTTTTTGCACCATATCGCCGTGTATAGATTCCATGGTTGCTTTCAGTAACTTAGTATCAAAGGCATTTGTGTAATGTATGTAATGTGTGTAGCTTCGTCGACCTCGCGTTCTGTTGATCATCATCACGCAGCCGTTGTGGCGATACGGCGACGTAATTCTTTTTATCTTCAACCGATGAATGGCTTTGTGATTAATGAAATCCAAAATATACCCGACGGGTGTCTAATTTGCATGATTACACTTTGGAAAGTAAATGCGAAGCTTTCGAACAACGCCTTTGATAACCGCATTCCAACGATGCTCATGCTATTTAGAATCGTTCCTTGCTGCATCAACGCAAAGACCCTGCATGAAACCACAGAAACTCTCCACGATTCCATCTGCATACTTCTGATCCATATTCTCATCCGAGACCGTCATGATGGCTTCCAGCCCTGTTTTAGTCACCAATACAAGCACATTCGCCGTACTTGATGGCCGGTTTGGTAGTGCGTACATCGATGTCTCACAAGAAACCCCATCCATAACGCAAGGGTCCTCTTCATCCATGTTCTGGAATCGGACAAAGCTGCCAAATTCTGTGGAAGATGGCCATGAGGTGCTGTGCTTGATGATCTCTTGGAGACCAAGGTTCTCGAATGGCATGGTCTCGATATGTTGCCGTTGGACTTGGAGGAGTAGAGCTAGGTTGTCATTGCTCTCGTTTCTGTCTGTGGGTGAAATGTGCATTCGCACAGGGATTATGTTGAGACAAGGTCCGACCATTCGGTCTTCGCCCTCAATATCCAAGTTTCGCCCGTGAACAACTTGACCGAAGACAATTTCCTGGGAAAACTCCTCTTTCTTGCCGAAGTTCTGGTCGGCTTCGCTGAGCCCTGCCAAGGTAAGTCCCCATGCCGTCTTTGCCACTGTAGCCATAGTGATCCCGGACTGGGGTTTGAGAAGTGGAATCTGTTTAGCAGCCAGGAGCATCACTGGATCTTTCCTATCTCTGTTTGAATCTTCTGTTGATCTCCCTGGCAGACTTGCTGGATCATCCCGTAACCCAAGATTGACCAGGGACGTCATTTTCGCGCCCTGCAAGACTCTCCGCCATAGCGCATATGCTTCCACTGTCCTTTTGGCTTCGACACGGCTAATGTGATCAGCGAACGAGGCCGCCGGGGGGAGTGGCTTTCCATTATACGCGGTAGCTAGATCGCCACAAACAACAGCGATAGACAAACCATCAAACTGGGCATGCGGGACACGAAGCACAAGCTTGCGTTGAGAATCCCCTTGTAGCGTTATCAAATGGGCCTGAAACGGCGGTTGGCCATCTGTTGGAACTGCCATTTTGAATGAGTCCTGGGCGCAAAACTCGGTGAGATCAGGGACACTGTCATGCCGGATCAACTGGATATCAAGTTTCCCCATAATAAATTGAACAACCTCCTTAAAGTCACCATCAGAGTTGATGGCAAAGGCACTGCGCAGAATAGGATGATGCTGCAAAATCTGCTGGCAGGCATGTAGTAGTTGAGCTTCGTCAAGATTTTCTGGCAAAGAGATCCAGATGTAGCGGGGATAGAATTGGGCCAGGGTCATCCGTTGAAACTCGGTGGTTGGGAGAATCTCAGTGATCTCCTTCGAGATTTTAGCCGGCAGTTTGGCAAGAAGGTCGGCATAATTTTCTGCTCTCTTGCAATTTACTTTTGTCATTGTTACACGATCGCCATTTCTGTTATCATTTCTAGGGTCCATTATCCGGATTGACTGATCAAGAAGATCGGACAAGACAGGATATGAGAAAATCTCCTTGACATTCAGAGCTAGCCCTTCACGTCTCGCTATTGTCGCTAGACGCATAGCAGTGATAGAGTCCCCGCCAAGATCGAAGAAGTTGCTGTTCATCCAGACGGTTTTTGGATCCAGGCTCAAGGTCGTCGCCACCAGCTGTTGTATCTGGCACTCTTGTTCGGTGAATGGGGCTTTATTTGAACAATCGGAAAGTCCAAGGCTAGACGTGTGCATGGAAGCCTCCTCGGAGTTATCAGAAAATTTCGAGAAAATACCATTAGCTGACTCCGAACTCGGGAGCAGCTGCTCCTTAATGCCACTTTTTGGGTTTTCGACATGGATTTGGTCCAGGGTGATTGATTCGTCCGACTGTATCTGACGAACCACTTGTTGAACTTGAAAAAAGAAGGTTATTAACTCATCATGCGAGATGACTCCAGTGTCGTAGTTTGCCTGCACTGTGAACCCCTTATTCTGTTGTTCCAAGAAGCAGGTCATAGCAAGCGCAAACCCACCAAACTCCACACGACTGGCAGAATCTTCTTGGCTGACAAATGGCTCTGGAGCCTGAAGCTGTTCGACGGGCAAGATATTCAAGTATGTCTGTAGCTGGCAAGCACGGGCAGTGTCCTCGCTGATGTTGCGGATATGTTGGAGACCATAATGTTCGAATTCCAGAGCACGGATACTTGTCGTTTGGATCTCTCTTAGCGCTGCTTCGACTTTCTGAGACGGGTGCACTTGAATGCGCATGGGATACGACGCTAGAGTTGGACCGGTGATGGTCGCAATCCCAGCGAGCGAGGCAAGGCGTCCCGATGATGTGACGCCAACCACAACATCACGGGATCCAGTGAATCGGGAAATAACACTGGCAACAGCTAGACGAATGACTGTGGTCAGGGTATGGCCGTTATTTTTGCCGGTGAGATTCATGACGGGATATGTCAACGATCCTCCCGCCTGGGGAGAGTAACGGGCCGAAGGAACTGGCGGGAAAGCACCGGCACGCGGATCAAGATTGGCGAGCTCAGCGCGCCAGAAATCCTTGGATTTATCGCCATCATTTTCCACCACGTATTCAATGAATGATGAAAAGTGCCGAGGACGCAGGGTCTGTCCTCTATAAGCCGCCGCGGTCTGCTCCAGGAATTTCCGAACCGTCCATGCATCACAGAGAGAATGATGCAATGACAAAACCCAAACTCGACACCCATTCGATGTAGCCGGAGAGATTGCCATGCGAACGAGCTGCTCACCAAGACCGACCTGTCGCTGGGCATCTGTGGTGATATAATCTTCCAAGTCATTGGGTTTATCCCACACCACATGGTCGCCACGAATGACCGCTTGGTACAACCGAGAGCCGGCTTGAAATAATCGGGAACGCAGAATGGTATTTGATTCCGTAACACGTTTCCATGCCTCCTCCAGTTCTTTCTCTGTCATCTCAGGTGGAATTGCGTAGAGATAACGGCACTGATAGGTACCAGCGTTTGCGATGGAAAGAAACATCATGCCTTCCTGCAAAGCCGTACATGGATAGATATCTTCAAGGGCTTCGCTCATGACATTGCATTGATGCATTGCTTCGTGTCTGATGGAATTGTTTTCCTCAAATTTGGAATTTTCGATGAGGGAGAATGGCCGGTATTTCTTGAGAGCGGATCGCTGGGAGGGCTTTTGCATTACCAACGCCATATCACAAAGTTTTGGGTGTGCAAAAATTTGAGCAACAGTCAACTCCCTCCCTTTATCCATGGCCAATCCAGCTAGCCGCATAGCCGTGATTGAGTCCCCTCCCAAGCTAAACAGGGTATCGTCCATACCGACGGCCTCGGGCTTCAAGCCGAGGAGACTGACCACCAATTCATGCATGTCACTTTCTTGTTGGGTCGAAGGAAATCTTTTTTCTTGCTTTGCTGCTGCATATCGCTGTAGATCTTCCAGAGAAAGAGAAGCCGCATGATCCCTGAGCAGCTTGCGGTCTATTTTTCCCGATGCTGTTGTGGGCATTCTGGTTAGCTGAAAGAAAAGGCATGGAACCATATACCCGGGAAGTTGGCATCTTAGTTGCACCTCTGCCTGAATAATGGAGGACTGAAAATCATCGTCGGGGTCAGAAAGGATGTCTTTCGATTCAAAGTTATCCACTTGGTCTCGAAGAATAAAGGCCACCAGCATGCCAGTGCTGCTTCTAGGCTTGATCACATCCACCACCAAACCGGCAACATCAAGTGACTGGTTTAAACAGTACTCAATCTCCCCGAGCTCGATTCGCTGACCGCGTAGCTTCACTTGCATATCCTTTCGGCCCAAAAATCGGATAGAGCCATCAGATGCGTATTGTACCAAGTCGCCTGTCTTGTAAACTCGTTTATGTGACAATAATGTCAACATATTGCGTAGAAAGCCTGGGGTGTCAACAAAGGCAGCTGTCGTCTTTTCGGTGTCATTTAGATATCCACGTCCAACAATCGGGCCTCCGATTAGCAGCTCACCGATGGCACCAATGGGAACAAGCCGATTGTGATCATTGCTATCGGCAATCCAGCAGACAGCTCCGGTTCCAAATCCAATGTTCAAAGGATCAGAATCCAAAGTAACTTGCAATTGAATAGTGGTGAGAACGCAGCACTCGGCTGGGCCATATACATTAATCAGACGGACATGATTCCCCCAGATGTCGATTACTGCTCGAGATAGCGCCTCTCCACCGACTGCAATGGTCCTCAGACATGGCATGTCTTCAGGACGTAATGCACGAAGGAAGGATGGCGTAAAGTCGGCATAGTTGATGTTGAATCTATTAACAACACTAATAATATCGTTCATCCTATCATCGGGCGAAGGAATACAGACAGTGCCACCGGCGAGCAAGGTTGCCAGATGATCAGTCACGCTCACATCAAATGAGTACGAAGCGAACTGTAAGGCCCTTGTTTCCCTGTCCATCCCAACAGCCTCTATATAGGCCAATGCACTTGAACAGAATGCTCCGTGTTCGATGACCACTCCTTTCGGCTTGCCTGTAGACCCTGAGGTATAGACGACGTAGAGAATATTGGAGGGACTAACATTGGACGGGATATACTGATGAGCGCGATCTGCAAGTCCATTGGTGTGGCTATCATCAGTGTCAATTACCATGGTGCTGCCTGTAAGGCTTTTTGCATTGTATGCCAATTCTGGAGGGCAAACCACGAATGGTGCTTGAGCATCCTCACAGATGGTCTTTAATCGCATTGATGGAGTGGCGGGATCCAATAAGACAAATGCAGCACCTGCTTTGATGACACCCAAGATGGCCACGGCAACCCATTTAGATTTTTCAAAATAGAGAGGTATGATCATATCTGGTCTAGCATGTCCTGACTCTGACAATTGCAAGGCGAATCCACTAGACAGGGCTTCGAGTCTGCCGTAAGAGAACTCTCCATCCCATGCACAGATAGCGGTGACGTCCGGTTGAGATCGGGACACTTCTGAAATCAACTCTTGAGCACAAAGCTGAACATTTCCAGGAGCCCTGATACCATTCCACTTCCGCAAGTCCATCCGATCTTCGGGACATAAGCCCTCGATCTCGGCCACGCGTGAATGTTTTGCACGGCTGATGCACTTCATAATATGCGAGTGCTGTTGCAGAATCCTCTTCATCTGGACTTCCGGAATGATGTAATGATCGTAGACGGCCTGCACGCTGACTTTGTTTCCGGACGGTTCGACAACCAGGGTGATCGGGTATGTTCCGAACGTGGCATGGTTTTCAAGATCCTGAGTTTGAGTAACTTCACTGAACACAGAATAACCGTCATACCTCTTCGGTTGCAAGACAATGAGACTCTGGAAATTGCACGAATCCGTGTGTTCTGAGGACAATTTGCGGATTCGATTGAGGCCGAACTGCTCATATGGGACCATCTCTTCCCGCCGATGATGCAACTTCTTCCAAGCATCGCCAATTGACTCGTCGCCTTGCACCAAGACCTGCATGGGGAATGTGCTGATGGTTGGCCCACTCATTGATTCGACACCTGGCATTATAGCGCGCCGTCCAGTGTCAGTGAGGCCGAACACGACTTCTTCAGATGCTGTATAGCGCGAAACAAGGATTGCCCACGACAGAGCGACCGTGGTGGATAGATTATCAAAATCCTTCCATTGATTCAGATTTGTTATATGGATAAATGACTTGGTAGCTTTGGGGACGTAAGCTTCAGCTGGTAGAGCTGGAAATGAAGTTGGAGCCATGCGAGTGAGTTCACTGCGCCAGAAATTCTCGGATTTCTCGTTGAATGCATGCAGACAGTATGCAGCAAATCGTGAGAAAGACTGATCCGAGACCATATTCCCAGAAATAACGGCCTCTAGATGTTTCATGATTAAGGCTAGTGACCAGTCATCATATAAGGCATGATGCAGTGTGATGACAAAATGAGCCGGGCTTGTTGAATCCGCGTTCTGAATGAAACCTGCGCGCGCCAACGGGGCACCCAATCCCATCTCTTTTTTGCAGTCCTCAATAAGATACTGTTGGAGACTACCGCTTTTTTGGCATCCAATACCACTTCGCAGGACAGCCTGTAACACGCCCTGTGAGCCAAGCTGCACGATCCTCGTGCGGAGGATTGTATGGGCATTGACGGTGGCATTCCACGCAGCACGGAACTGGTCGAAAGTGATGCCGACCTCCAGACGATACACATAACGTGCGACATACATGTGTGGAGACTTGGCAGAAAGGACTACAAGTCCTTCCTGTGCTGCGGTGCAAGGGTAGGCGTCCTCGATATCGTCCTCGATCGTGTCGCATAAATTCGCGATAGTGGACAGGATATTGTTAAAATCGGTGCTTCCCACCATCAGCGAAAAGGCAGGAATTGATGGTTCATCATGGCCCTCAACGCCATTTTGAATGCTCCGATTGAGAGGATCAGGAGTTGGATGAAGAGTTTTCTCACTCAGAATTTTCACCGTCATTATGGCCTTGCGATGTTTGAAAATCGAGTCTGAGGGAGTAAAAAATGAAGTTTCCAAGTTTTGCCAAGTTTTGGTTCCTTGGTGGTAGATACGGTTAAAGGAAATTCTTTCTTCATACATATAGACCCTGTCTGATGCTACTATTTCTCTCTAGTGCATAACCATTGCAAAGGACACAGATGTACCATCTGAGACCCACTCAAGTAGGTCAACTAGTGTTTTCGCACCGGAGAAAGGAAGTGTACCATACGTAGGAACTGAAGGATCAGCGACGGAAATTAGGCAAGGGCAAGGTTGTTTGGCTGTCGATCATACCCGCTTGGCACGAACCTTTGCCTAATGTAAGATCAGCTGAGGGTTGTAGATCGGAAGAGCTGCAACCCAAAGAAATCCATTATCACTGCTTCAATTACCCATGTTCATCTTTATTGATTTCCTTATATTAATAATAAATCTATGGTTTTTGATGTGTCATTTGAAGTCGATCGCTCTCAATAATAATTTTGAATGAGGTACAATGTCTGGACAGTATGTAGTAACACATTGGGCGTACATTAGCGTGTGATGTTGTAATTTACAGTATCAAACAGCTGAGTGCTTATGCAACTGGGATTTACATATAGAGATGAGAAATATTGGCTGGGTATTCTGGATACGGGCCCACAATTGTGCCGATGTTCCGGCGTAACATGTACTGTCCAGACAGTGTACGTAAAGAGGTGGCCAAGGAAAAGTGGATAGTCTCCTGCATATGCTGTGTTACCACCGGATTATTAGAGGCCGGAAGAAAACATACACATTGTACAAATTTGAGCCATGGCTGAGCTGAAGTACAGAGAATTTCTCCACATTACTAGTGCCTGACTAAAATCCAGCCGCTGCATTAGTGTTTAATAGAATCGCGCTACAATTTTTACTGTATTTACCACCCAGTCTGATATGCGATTCAGTAATTATATGATCCAAAAGCCTGTAAGAAATTTATACGATACGAACGCTCCATGTTTCAATATGACTTCACGCCAGCATTAGCTCATGCAGCTGTGACCAGGTCATGTAAGGCATTTTCGTACGTAATAATATTGCAGTCGCTTTCTATAGACTCGCAGTGATTTGATCACTAGCGGCATTTAATACTAATATGTTGATATCACGAAGGGACCAAGCTAAGTGCAGCTCATATCACAGCTATTTCTTAAAAGTCTGTCCACTCGCAGATTGACCTATTCTTATCTCGATCAACTCCAAAGTCCCAGGACCAAGATGACAAAGATCCTTCGCCTTCATACGGCTCAAAGCAAACCAGATCTCTGGGAAACCCTAAAAAGTCCCACACACCCCTTGAGTGCCGCTTGGCCAACCTTCCTGGACCAAGACAAATATTTCCAACATTACTGCGAAAAACTCGACAAAATTGAAGCCTTTGCTGCTATGCAGTACGCCATTGTCGAAGTCGATGCCTATGGAAAAGAGAACATTATCGCCTGTGGACGCTCCGTTCCTTTTTACTGGCCTGAACTGGACCAAATTGGGGGCAAGAAGGGGCTGCGCCAACATCCTGAAGTATTGCATACCCTGCCAGATGAAGGCTACGATGCAATTCTGTCCCGGGCTTTCGAGCAGCAACTCGCAAGAGAAGGGACTGTCCAAGATATGGGTGTGGTAATGCCCTTACCTGATCCTGCCAGGACGCGTACAGAACCACCCAATGCACTCTCTGCCATTTCAATCACTGTTTCCCCAAAGTATCGTTCTCAGGGACTAGCAGATATTCTCATCATGGCTATGAAGCAAACAGCAATAGAGCTAGACTATGACGCAATGGTTGTGCCTCTTCGACCAACACGAAAATCCGATTTCCCGACAATAAGAATGCGGGATTATTTATCATGGCCGGCGAAAGTGGCCCCAGGCTGTGCCATTTATCAGAAAGAAAACAGGCCGAATCCAAACCTACCTTTTGATCCGTGGCTGCGGAAACACATTCGACTGGGAGCCAGGGTGATTAAAGTGGCTCCAAAGAGTATGCTTGTGGAGGGCAGTGTTGAAGAGTGGCAACAGTGGACTGGTGTCAAATTTAGCCAGCTGATTGGAAACACTGATACCCCTTTGAAAAAAGAATCCGGGTCTGGCAAGATGTATTTAGAAGCTGTTTTTCCGAACGGACTTGTTCCCTTGAGGTATTATGTTGATGAGCAATGCTGTGTCTACCAAGAGCCGAATATCTGGCTTTATCATGAGCTTCCCCTGGGCAGCCTTTGTGCGGAAGCGATATTATGACAGACTCAGTCTCAAGCCATGCCAGGCAGCAGCCACTCAATTTTCAAGTTGTTTTCACTATTTATTTTGGTTTCAGGAGCTCTACATGGTCCTGATCAATAACCATCTTCAAGTTTACAGTAACGCGCTGGCATTGGAACTTATTTCTCTACAATCTATATTCCGTGTGGTTTGGGTTTTCAAAAAGCAGCAACGAACGGGCTACTACTTTCCCCAGGTAACTACCTCCATCGCAACTCCCTAGGTAGGATACAGAAAATAGTAAAATGATCAATTTAGATCCTTTGAATACGTACTAAAAACACGCAAGGGTATAATTATCCGTGCGTACAAGTATGTGACAGTGTATCGTTTTGTTACCAGAAAAGAAAACACAGTCTCAGAACGATTTCAGCTAATACCGACAGTCGGTAATCCCAAGCCGCTGACATGGTAGACTCCAACTTGAAAATTGCCATTAATGTACTAGTTAGTACGTAAATCTAAATTAGATTACCAGACTAGAACGTTTTGGCTACATAGACAAACATGAAAATTAAATGGAAGAAAAATACCCGATTAAATGAATACTTTCAATGGTCACAATACTGATGCTTTGAGGAAGCCTTCAAGAATCAGGCTTTCACATCAAGCTCTTCAGCCTAAAATCACATGGTGTTCGTGCTCGACTCGGAGTAAAGGATTCAGCTGTTATTCTGACGCCACAGCATCATTGATGTGATACATCAAGCGTTCTTTTCAATGATTCAGTTGGGTAAGACATTAATGTCGAATTCGGCGGCGATTATTTGAAACAATTGAGGATAGAAGGGAAGTTTTCCTCTTTGAAAATAAGTATTCAGAATCACAATAACTTTGCTGCAGCCTACACCGTGAACTATACCATCCCGCTAATCTCCTCAAAGATTAATCCTTCTTTAATTTAATTTTTAATTTAAGTGTGTCCTTCAAAAATGTACAATGTAGCTCCCGGGAGGGCCACCTGGATGGTTGAGAGAATGGTGGACGCCAAGCTGTACAAATTATCACAAATTTCTAGGCATATTTCACAAGGTTCTTTGCACACAAAAACCTTTGATCAAACTCGGAGCCGGTTGATCGTCCACAGCAGTCTCATGTACGAGTGTTCGCTAACTTTCTTGAATGCGTGACCCACAACCGGCGCTAATGCAGATTCGAATGCAGATTCGAAATAGTCTTCAGCGAGGCCAGCCGCCGATCGCCGATCGGAGTACGATCGGACCCAGCTCAGTTCTATTGTGCTCGAGTGCTTTTGTCTCGAGCTGAAGTCTCACATGTCTCATAGAGTTCAGGCATTTACTTAGTGTATCAGCCGGGGATCTGAAGCTCCGGAGCTGATTAATCGGGTCTCATGGACTAAATTTCGAACCTCATTGGCACAAGTGTCCTCATGCAGATCTTCAGCTGTAAAACCTTATCTGATCAATGCTCCCTTCTTTTCCTTTTTTCTTTTTCTCCCTTGATGTTTGGTGGAGAAACATTGACATGCGTAAATTGTATCATACCTGTCCACTTTCAAATACACAGAAAACATGATGTGTACTTGCGATACATGCTCGAATTTCCCATGACTACAGATTCATGAAAAGCCCCACCTCCTATCGGTAACGGGTCCCTCGGATGATATGGCTCTTAAGGGAGAAATTCCCCATCGATTGCAGATTCCAGGTGGAATCGTAGTCTCTGTTCTCATGTTTTGAGACATTCTGATTCACTATGGGTGATTTCTACCCAGAGCCTACACCAATAGGCTACAAATGGCGCTCTTCCAGATGGTTTATCCTCACAACTATCACGGTCGCATTGTTTAGTGGTTAGTACAGCCTCAGACTGTATTGGATTCACCATTTACTATGCTAACACTTTCTAGAAACTTTCCTTTATGGATTTATCGTCCCAATTCTGCCATATATGCTTCAATTCCGTCTACACATCAACCCATCTCAAACGCAGAAGTTTACCTCAGCCATTCTCGCCCTTCATGGTTTTGTCTCCGTTGTCTCAGGTCCTATTATCGGACACTTTGCCGATAAAACTCCGAGCCGCAGGATCCCACTGCTACTATCTCTCTTCGCATGCATAATTAGTACTGGGATTGTTTCTATCACATCTTCGATGATTCTACTTTTCATAGGCCGTGTGATACAGGGAGTTGCAGCCTCTGCGGTGTGGATTGTTGGTTTTGCAACTATTGCAGACGCCGTGGGTCAGGAAAATAGTGGTACGGTAATGGGTCTAACGATGTCCTTTGTTAATGTAGGGATGATCAGTGGGCCAGCTGCCGCGGGGTTGCTCTTAGAGGTTGGTGGATATTGGATAGCGTGGCTTACACCACTTCTCATTTTGATTATTGACCTTGCTGCACGTTTGGTGATGATTGAGTACCCACTGAAGGATCCTTCTCCTCTACCCAAGGAAGAGTCGGGAGAGACGCCAAGAACAGCAGAGATATCACAGACAACAGAGACAGCATGCCTACTTTCCCCGCAGCAAGAAACCGTGCACACATATACTGCCACTGACTTTTGGCGTATTATGATGTGTGACCCTCGTGCACTAACAGTTCTATCTGTTGTGACCTCTGGCACAGCTGTGGCAGGGAGCTTTGAAGCAACACTTCCTCTACACGTACAAGAGACGTTCGGATATGGCCCAGGGACAACTGGGTTCTTATTCTCGGCCCTAGTCATCCCCGGCCTCCTCATTAGCCCCTTGGCAGGTTGGATCCGTGATCGTATCGGAATACGGCTTCCAGCTGTGATCTCTTTAACCCTTCAAGCGGCACTTTTAGGGCTACTAGGCATTGCTGGAAGCGATCGTGTCTCCTGGGCCAGTGCTCAAAGCTGGGGAGGAACAATTTATACAGCCTCTATTTTCGCTATAGGTGCATGCCGACCTATCACATCAGGTATGGGGCCTGTTGAACTACCTGGTAAGTGCATTCCTCTCTTGTACAATTCGCAACATGCCAGCGAATCATACCTAGTAACATGCTAATATATTTACCCATATTGTAGCTGTGGTGAAAGCCCACGAAGAAATATCTCCAGGTGTCTTTGGACCTACAGGGGGGGTTATCCCGCGTATTTTCCATGGTAGAAGTTGCTGCTGCCCTTGGTATGATGATTGGCCCCATCATTAGTGGCATCCTGAAGGAAACGTTTGGCTACGACTATATGAGTTGGGCTTGGGGTGAGTCAATCATAATCCCTCTTCATTCATGTTGCTTACTTGAACAGGTCTGCTTAATCTTATCCTCGCTGTTTTTGTAGCGTGCTTCCTAGGTCCTAGGAATCCAGACAAAATTATTTCCCCTGAAGAAATTAGTTAGGACCACCTGGACAGGAGTTTCACTTCTCATAAGTTGATAGAAGAAAAAAGATGACAAGGATTGTGAACCAGATCAGATATACGGAAAGCAAGTACAATTTGTAAAAAATCTCGTTTAAATAGTAGAGGCATACCCTGTAAAAGTTCAGACTTACAGACTTCTGTAACGGTAATTTTTTCCTTATAGCACTCTAATCTTCTGTAAAGGATTTCAACAGCTGTGGGGTAGGATCAGGGTTCCTCTTTAAAGAAGTTAGCAAAAGTCTCTATCTGTTATATATTAATAAGCCTTAATGATCTAAGACAATAACTTAATTATCTGCAACATCTAGTTTAATACTGTATTCTTATAGTTACAGAGTATAGCTAGAGTAAGCTGCTTATAGCAGATAGTATTAACTACTTATTCCCGTATGTTCTGATACTTATATATAAAACTATATAATACAGTACGTACCTTCCTCTCGTCTAGCTTCTTTTGGATTTCTTCTGGGAGCATCTTTAGTCAAGTACTAGCTAGGTAAAAAAAAATTCAGGAATGGCAGACTAGACTTACGCCCTCGGGCTTTTATTATTTACCATTGCAGATTGGGAGAACGCAAACGTATCGCAGTGGGTATTCTTACCCCTCTCACCCCGTTCTCACCTCTCGCCCGGTTCTCCATACCCTATGGTCGTATGTACAATGAATTCCCGGAGAGGGGGGTATATCCTCATATGTGATGCATTTGAGTATAGTGAATTTACAGCGTCGCTTGAGCTTCGTGCGACCGCGGGTGGGAAGGGCGAGTGTGCAATAAACAAGAAGAGGCTGGGTAATGCGTGAGAGCTGTGGCCAAGAATAAGCGCTACTGTAGCAATATTATTTCTCTCAATTTCCTACCAGACTATTTGGTTACTATGAAAATCCTGCATATCAGTCTTCGAGCCACAGGTCGTAGGGAGATCTGTCGCAACCCTCCCAAAGGATAACCAGTCATATGGTAAGCTGGGAACCTCCCACCTGGTTCCTCGTTCTAGAGCAAGCGCTGAGTCCGCAGGTAAAGCGCCGGTCGGAGGGAGTTCGATGCAAATTTAATACCTCAAGTCGCGGCAAATGGTTCGAAAGCCTCTCGCGTGGACCAGCATGGCTAGTATTGGCTTCAATCTCCTTCATATGTCGTTCGTTTCAGCGCATCCTACGAAAGGTGATCAGGACCTTTTAAGATTTGCCAGCATAGCTTTGCGATAGGTAGCGGGAAATAGTCTAGTATTTCAAAGTTCAATTGAATTATGAGATAAATTGAAGGTCTATATCTGTTGAAAGATCTCTAGGAGACTAGTATAGCGTGTATTACACATTACTTCGCCGACTCCACCGTTTATTTGCAAACACATAGTATAAAAGAACGGATAGACGGACGTCGTTTAGTCCCGTCTCTGCAGTTAAATAGTAACTTAGTGGGTCCCAAGTTCTTCACCTCGTGTAACCCAAATTGACGTCTTTGGTAACTTCAAAGAACTTGCGTCATTACCTTCAATTATTTCGGTCCGATAAATAATAGTAAATCAACCCGACTCTTTCTCAAAACATTGTTATGCAACTAAGCGTATGCGAATGACTTACCGAAAAGTAATATAGCCGCAAACCGCTGTACAGATTTTCATTTTAGACATTGTTCTATGCCCAAAGATGTACATAATTCTTGACACTTCTTTTCCTGTTGCTCTCCACAACCGCAGACCCTTTTTGCGCAACGTACCCTGACCAGAGCAGGGCTGATCTATTTATTTATAGTTTCATTTGTGCTTTTATGTTAGATGCCGCACTCTGTACACCTACTAGGTAGACACTACTATACCCCGTACTGTGTTTAATCCCGATGAGCCTCAACCCATGTCCACCAGCTCCAATCACTGATGTGCAATTCACTGTCTCCCCAGGCGCGTCAATAGATGACCTCATGTACAACTTGGACCCCAACAGCTTGGGGTCGATGGGGTCGATGGGGTCGATAAGCAGTCTCCACACCTCAAAAAGATAGGATGCATGCCTGTGGGAACTACAAGTTGGCCCCTCGGCCCCTCCGCTCCGCTCCCCGAAAGAGGCCAGCTTGCCTCTCCACATTTTAGCATCAGCAACAACTCAACTCAACTCCTGCAGGCCGCCAACTTCGACACTCTTTATTCCCCTACGCCTCCATGCATTGTCCATTCGTTCAAATTCTCGCTGATCTACCTTGACGCGGTTCCAACCGACGCGAACCACTCCCTTTTTTATCTGCACAGCCTTCGGCAACCAAATCAAAGAACTGCTTACAAAACAACCACAACCACAACCACAACCCACCTCAACTCTCCTTCGCCCTCTTCATACTCAACCTCAAATTCAACTTCATCACTACGCCCACGCATAATCAATGACACGCAAGAACAATACTCTCTCCAGACGCCGCTCCAAACCGAGTTTGAAAGTAGCAACCGGCCAGAACGGCCATGCGAACGGCGCCATGAACAGCAACATCGAAATGCGCAAGCGCGACACTCCCTCCACCGAATCCTCCACCGAACGAACCTCTCGCGTGATGGCCAGTCCCCAATTCTCCCTCGATAATGAACCCCCCCGTCGTCCCGCAAACCCCCGTCATGACCACCACCAGCTTCCAAAACCTCCCTCCGAGCGATCAGCGCAACTTCCTCCTCCTCTGCGTCCTCTACTTCCTCCAGGGCGTGCCCATGGGCCTGGCTACCGGCTCCGTGCCCTTCCTCCTGAAACCATACCTCTCCTACGGCCAAATCGGTGTCTTCTCCCTCGCCTCTTATCCATATTCGCTCAAACTCTTCTGGAGTCCCATTGTTGATGCCGTGTGGAGCCCAACATTTGGCCGGCGCAAGAGCTGGATTACACCCGTCCAGGTGATTGCCGGCCTGGCGATGATCTATTTGGGCCGCCACATCGGGGCAATGATGGAAGAGGCCGGAGCCAATGGCGGGGCCGGAGTCTGGAATTTCACATATTGGTGGTTTATGCTGGTCTTGTTCTGCGCTACCCAGGATATTGCTGTCGATGGATGGGCCATTACCCTCATGTCTCCACCCAACATCTCCTACGCCTCGACCGCGCAAACCGTCGGCTTGACCGCTGGCCATTTCCTCTCGTACACCGTCTTCCTCGCTTTCAACTCCAAGGACTTCGCCAACCGCTGGTTCCGAGATGTCCCCGGCGATGAAGGACTTCTTTCGTTGGGTGGATACCTGACCTTCTGGGGTTGGGCCTATCTGATTGTGACCCTCGGTCTAGCGTTCCTCAAAAAGGAGGATCATACCCGGGAGCGCGACACCATTATGGATGTGTACAAGAGCATGTGGAGCGTGCTGAAGCTGCGGAATATCCAGACTATCATTGCTATCCATCTCATTGCCAAGATCGGCTTCCAGGCCAATGACGGCGTGACCAGCCTGAAATTGCTGGACAAGGGTTTCGGCCAAGACAACATGGCATTGGTTGTCTTGATTGACTTTCCATTTGAGATCATGCTTGGCTACTACGCCGGTAAATGGTCCACTCAGTATGGCGCCATGCGGCTCTGGGGCTGGGCCTTCGTCGGCCGATTGTCCGCCGCCGTGATCGCCCAATTCACCGTGATGATCTATCCCAGCGGTCCAACGGTCCCATTCTGGTACCTCATGACTGTCATCTTTGAACATGTGATTTCAACCTTTATGAACACGGTCATGTTCGTCGCCATCTCAGCCTTCCACGCCCGTGTTGCAGACCCCGCGATTGGTGGAACTTACATGACCCTCCTCGCAACGTGAGTTTTTCTTCATCTTTCTCTGTGTCTGACCTCGCATTAACCATTCTCCAGGGTATGCAATTTGGGCGGTACTTTCCCCCGCTTCTTCGTCCTCAAGCTGGTGGACTTCTTCACCGAAGCGACCTGTCTTCCCCCCAGCACACCCCCAGCTGCCGATACGCTGAAGGGTGCGCTTGTCACCTCGCCATTCTCTTGTGCCTTGGAGCCAGAGAAGAACCGCTGTGTCAACGGCGGCGGAATCTGCGAGGTCGGTCGGGACGGCTACTACATGACCAACATGTTATGTGTGCTGATTGGCACGATCACTTTTGTCATGTTCATCAAGCCGGCCGCCACTAAGCTCCAGAACCTGCCTCTCCGAGCGTGGCGGCTGATGCCCAGCACGCAGCGAGAGTAGCGGGGATATACATAATACACGTTGCTCGAGCCCAAAGAAAAGGGCAATATACGAATACGACCAATAGATTGATCAAAATAAAACAATTTATGTCCTACTACCTAATTCTACAGCGTAGTGTTGTAGTTCTGTGCCTGTGTTCCGGATATAATGTATCTCAAACACTGTCGTCTGAATAGTTTTTGCCCCTGGAACTACTAATCGAGACCGATCTGACCTGGATACTACTAGTACAAATACCAAGCAACCCCTGAAAGACCCTGCAGGCTCAGCTCGTGTCTGCACTGTCTCCCCACAACCCTAGAAATCGCCTATTCGCCATGTTCCTGAATCCGAAAACCACCAAGCATCCTCATCACCCATATCCCACTGGCACTGCCAAGGTTCTCCTCTTCGTACTCCAAACTATTCTGACACCGCGATCGAATTGGAAAGCCCCGGCCCGTCCTCTCTAGATCTCATCGCATGAAAAAAATGAAACATACCCTATGAGACCAATCGCCCGGCCTCGCCACCGGGCCACCAACACACAGTGAATTACTGCGCCATGCAGACCCCTCCAACTAGCTGCAGATTTTCCCGGACGCGCCCAGGTCTAGCGCCCACTTAGAACAGCTGGATCCTGCAGGTCGAGAGTGTCTAGAATCAGACGTACTAGTACCTCTGACATTGTGCGGCGCTAATGAACTCCCCGGGCCTTTGTCAGATTGATCTACTATAAAGGATTCCCATCTGCCCTCTGCCCCGCAAGCCATAACATCTACTTCGGCCATACACGTCAATTTTTTGTCGAAATTTCCTTCTAATTAATTAATTCATTAATTCATTCACTCCTCCTTTCGCTATGCGTCTCTCTCTACCTATTCTCGTCGCCGCCCTGGGCGCGAGCGCTTCAGCTCGCCCAGGATCATCCTTGAAAGAGCGCGGAACAGCCTCTATCCAAGCATACACGAGCGTAAGTTTCAAGTCTATCAATTGAATTCACCCATTCGCCAAATTCTGCTACAACTTTGAATTGAATCTCCGAGCCCCCGACTTACCCTATCCTCTCTTCTCGTTTGAACCCAGTGGCAACTCCGCCTCTTCAACGCAGCAGAACCAACCTGCGACCCAAACACCTCAAACGTGAATCTGAGCATCTACACCCGATCAGGCCGGTATGGCCGCGCCTGCGAAACTTTTTCGCCCGCGGATACGGATGATGGATCTGTGCCGAAGAGTCTTTCTTTCAAGACGGTTGAGGAAGATGCGAAGGACTTTTGTATGTTTAGCTCGTCGAATTGTACGGCTGGGACTCTGATTGCGAGTATCACCTCTGGGTGGGAGATGTGTTATGTTTATAATGGGTTTGTTGCGTATAGTGTTGTTGAGCATGGGGCGCCTTGTGTTTGATTATGAGTTACTAGTGGTACTTTATTTTGTGGTTGAAGGGAAATGCACGCTGGGGGTGATACCTACAGGCTGGATGCGTGTTGGCTTCAAGTTAGTAGTATACTTAATGGTCATGTAGGGTGGCTGCAACTATATGAGGACTGTCTTCAGCTGATTTCTGGCTTGGATTTATTTTCTGAAGCTAAGTTGTTCCTGTGCTATGTTTGGATAGAGGACGAATCAATGAGTTATCCAGAATACCTAGATCGACGGTAAGCACCAGTGTATATGACTGCGATCCCGTAGAAATTAACTATCAAATCAAACACAAGCAGGTACTAGGGTACTATTGGATTAAACTATCAAAGAGATACACAAGCAGTAGAAAATTCTAGATACAAAGCATAATCATCCACAAAACCTCAAAGCAAAGATAAGTCCATCTTCGACTCTCAAATCAAAACATGCACCAACACAACAGCTATCAAAGTAAGCCCCGTCATTTCCATCAACTAGTTGACAGGTGCTTGTAAATTGTAAATCTCAAGGACGGGAATTGGCATCGATTCATGGTGGCTCAAGTGTTTCGCGAGGCTGCGATTCAGGGCACGGCATATCAAATTCTATATGGACTATGCCAAATAACGCTAACTAACCCCGGCCATGCAGTGAAATTTACCGATTCCTACTAAACAAGTTTTAAATTTAGGTACTGGCAAGTTTGGCGGATCTTACTTTCGAGTTTGATTCCTGGTTCGCATTGCACCTCGGCCGATCAAGTACCATCAAAGAAGTACCTTTCAAAGCCTTGAAGTGACGGCTCTAGTCGAGATTTCAATTTAACTCCGTAATCCGGCCCGGCATTTCGATCAATTAAGTCAGTTTCACGAAATTATACGCAGTGAAAGACCCAGGATTCGCCAACTTACTGCCTTGGCCACGTCAGCAACCTACTCACCAACTGTATCAAGTCAAACTATGAAACTTCGCATATGTTACCTGTTCTCATGGGAAGCTATGTTTGCGATGGAGTCTTTGATAACTTATGCTTTGCGGCAATCGGATCACGACCCGGCGTGGGTAGAATCAGCTCGTAACTGTTATACTGAGCGTCGACGTCCCGTTTCAATGCGAAGATCTTCGGCCCATATGGATCTGGATTTTTGCTGATACTAGAGGCTGTTTGGGCAGCTACTTCAGATACACATACCGATACGGCTCTGCGAGATTTCCTCAGGGACTCTGAGAAGGACGCTGAATGCGCTGACTATCTTGGGGAGGCTTTATGAGCGAAGCGGTATCTAAGGAAGAGGTCCAGGCGTGGGCTGGAAGAAACAGAACTGCAAAGTGACATGGACGATAGTAGGGGGAGGCAAATGTCACGTCTGCTAGGCCTCCTCAATCAGATTCAATCTGGTTTTCTTGTCCTGTTTTAGTCTGTGGTCGGCGCCTCGAGTATGAGACGGTATAGATGATTTGTATTGAGGAGAGAATATGCAGTGCTGAGCTATGGATATGAAGTTAATAGAATAAGCCAAAGGCAAGCACAAAGACGCCGGGTGCAAAAATGAAGCAAAAATCAATCCTAAATGGAAGAACAGCTATACCCTCTGCAACCCACTTTCCACCTCCCTCGCCGCAACATCCAATATGACACGGGCATACCCCCTATGCAACCGATTCGTCCACTCGGGCAAAACCTTCTGCCTCTTCCCCTCTTCGGGAACAATCTCATAATCATGCGCAGCAGAGAATCTCACCTCAACAAGCCTCCCTTGACCCTTAACCTCAAACGGTTCCGAAACACTCATCTCATGCCGTCCGCCAGACATAAGCCGCCACGGATACCCCCACCGGGCAATCTTTTCAAAGAAAAGTCGCGGGCCATCGGCCATGCCCCAAGAAATTAGTAATCCATTACTCGTACTTCCATCACGCTGCGCAGGTTCTCTCTCAACTGTAAACAACCCATGCAAAAGAGCGCGTGGGGCCCCCGTTTCCGAATCTGCGCCAAACCCACTCTCTCCCACGTCACCGGGCCCATAAGTTCTCGACTTGAGTAGTCCGATGATAGAAGATTCAGTGCGGAGGGGCTTTGAGGAGAGTACGGCTCGGGCCCAGGCTTCTTCGAGTAAGATCTTTTGGGTTGTGTCTGTCGCGTGCGCAGATTCGGGGATGAGTGCCTCGAGTGCTTCGAGGCGGATACGTGTCGCGTAAATGTCTGTATATGCGCAGCGTTGGCTTGTATTTTTGGGGGTTCTCAGGGCGACACTACCAGCGGCAGCTGGTGGGAGAGGGGGGTATTTGTCTTCCAGGTGGTTTAGACCGAGGTGGATGCCATAGCTTGTTGCTAGGGTTGGGACGGTAATGTAGGTGATAATGCGGAGGGCACGTCTTGACATGGTGATGGGAAGCTGCAAAGAGTGATAATTAAGAAATTGAATACTTGGATAAGTGAATAAGTAAACACTTGGGCCCGTCGACACTTTGTGAGTTAACGTCAGGCCGGAGGAATATCGCACCGCTGGGCTGACATTTCACCGAATTGGGGGCCATTCAGATGCAAGTCACTATACATTATAGCCATACACTATGCTAGCTATAACTAGTTACTAAATATACAAATATACCAACTACTATACTAACTGTACACTATACTACACTAATTGTACACTATAAAATACTCACAGTGGGTCCCGCATCTTTTTTCTTGAGCCCCTCCAATTCAACTTCTTCTTCTCCCACTTCACTTCCCCTCTACAAGCTACCTCTCTTCCACATCCACATTCCTCCCAGGTAGCCAACTACCTCCAGCGATCCCTTTTCCCCCAGGGCTGCCCTGAAATGCCAAGATCCCTCGACTCCAGCTCCCCCTCAGCCCCCGCCTCACCCGCCACGACAATGACCTCCAACCAAACCGACCACCCGGCGCCTGAAGTCGACAACTCTCTAGACGACATCTTCGGCTCCTCCCCACCAGCAGGAACAAACGTCCATCCCGCGACATCCCACGCGCAGCTCCAGCAACCCACCACCGGCCCATCCGAGTCCCCCGCACTCCGCCGCCAACACGTCACAGCAGGCTATCGCGACGGCGTCTCAGCTTCCAAAGGCGAACATGTCCAAGAAGGCTTCGATGCAGGATACCCCGTTGGCGCACAGCTAGGCATGAGAGCCGGGACCATCCTCGGTATCCTGGAAGGTCTCACCCGCGGTCTCGAGGAGCGGAGTGGTGGCGGCGTAGTCAAGAAACCCGCGCGGGGCACTGCGGCAGACTCGTCTCCGACTGAGACGAGTCTCGCTGGAGTGGAGGATTCGCGCCGACAGCTGAAAGAGCGCATTACGAAGATTTACGAGGAAGCTACTAAAGCACTTGACGTCCAGTCTGTATTCACGGGCTTTGAAGCCGGGCCTGGACCGGACCCCGAGAATGCGGGCAAGGCCGCTGGTGAAGAAATGGCTGAGGCACAATTAGGTCGGAAGGGAGACGCTGTTGTGTCTGTCTGGGAAGACCGTGTTGCTGTGCCGAGGTGGGAGGAGAATATGGAGGCCTTGGAGGAGAAAGAGAAAGAGGAGGCTGTTTCCGTTTCGCAGGGAGAGAAGGGCGCGGCGAGCGCAGCAAGTGAGCGGATCTGAAGCTTTGCACTTGTGCGGGATTTCTTTGCTCAAGGGCCTTCCTTTCTGTGGGCCTCCTCCTTTCCCTCCCCTTCCGCTACAGGTTCAAGTGGCTGTTTACAAAATGTGCTACGGAGCCAATTTTCCCCTGACGATGATCGGCACTCGTTGGCCCGGGGAAGACGATGCGAGCGAGATGCGATGCACGCTGCATCGAAGCGGGCCATGCTGTCTCTGCGCGCTGGGCCGGCCCCGCTGCCCGTCCCGTCCTGCACGATTGTTTCTGAGTCAGTGTTCTTCCGCGACTGAGACCCGTATACCTGGATCGAGGATGCAGGGTGCAGGCAGAGCGCAGGGTGCAGGCAGGATCGCTGCAAGGACCATGCGGACGCGGCGGAAGCCGGTCCGGTGCGAGAGGACAACTTGGGAAAACGGTTGAACAGCTCCGAGACACTGTGGGACAATATACAGCAAAAGCTGTAGGGGATTTGTTTACCAAGGAGATCGCAGTGGTGTCAACAAATCGACGGGGGAAAGGAAAAAAGAGGAAGACGGCAGAGGCGACTTTCAGCGGACAGCGTCATTATATGTGGCATCTATCGAGAAGGATCTCGGGCTTAGGCTTAGGCCTAGGCCTGGACCCAGTCCATCAACTTTCCAGCGCCACGCTAGGTCGATAGCATGTTTGTCTAGCAAGCGCCTGGGTCGGCAATCGACAGGGTTGTCTGCCCTCCCGATCCGGAATCACGGATGTGGACCCGCGAAGATGAACAAACTCCGATAGCTCTGAAACCCACCAGCACGTCGGGTTTTGGGGGTCTCGGGGGATGTCCAGCTTCCACCCGGTGGGATGGGATGCACCTTGCCTTTGGTGGCTCGGTGGTTCCGAGGACTTTTGCTTGGATCAGTCATAGCCTCCTCCTACGTGGGTGGATTCGATTATTAGACTTTTGCTCCATGGTTGCCTGCTACCCGTAGGTCGCTGTCAATTGGATCGCATTGGTTTTGGGATTTGTGAGATAGGCAGAGAGAAAGTGTTGCTGTTGGCCAAGTATGAGGTAGAATCAGCTTGAGAGTTGATAGACTAGAAAACGCGAAATTAGAAAGTGACAATGAGAAATGAAATAGCAAATAACAGCGAGGAGACTGAGCTGAGGCAAACGTTCGAAAAAGTACGTTCAAGCCGAGACGTTGAGGGGCACGCAAAGGGGAGAAATCAACGACGTGTCGACCTTTTCTTTTTCTACTTCGACAGGGTTGCCGCTTTAGCAGGAGGGAAAGTACGAGTATTAGAGCGGCGTAGAGAGGAGCCCTAAAATGGTAAAAGATAATCATCGAACTCTTTTCTTTATACTTTGAGGAGAGGACATCCCCATCCATCCCATGCCGTCCCTATTCTATCCAGACCAAGGTATGAATACTGTAAAGCGAAGGACAGAACCAATCCGTTCCTTCATCCTGATCCGCATGCTCCCTCGGTCGCCTCTTTACACTGAAATCACAAAGCCAAGAAAGAAACCAAAGAGCAACGAACCTGTCACCTGCCGATCCCAGCCTCAAATCCACCCGCAGGCCCCGTACGTACGAAGTACAAAGTACCCACGCGTCATGAAGTCGTAGAGACTAAAGTTCACCATATCAAAGCATCGCCCGGTCCTACTGGGAAAGAGCATCATAGTAGATCACCTTGAGAACAAAGTCCGTCTAGGCCCAGTCTCGACTTTGCGATCATCCGTGCAGAAACGGGGGGTCCCATTACCAAGGTTCACATCCCTGCTTCCGCATGAGACATGTACATAGTGCATGGGTCCGGAGCTAGGGTAGCTACGTGAGCTAGGGTACCTTTGATCTCCTCCTCCTTATTGGAGGAGATGGTCGCGGCTAAGATTTCCTTTCCTTTCTTTGCCTTTCGCATCGATTTGGGTAGGTGGGGATGTACTCCGTAGCGGAGAGGGAGTGGTACTTTGTCTCTTGCGCCGGGCAAGGATGCTTAGACATGCACCTAATAGGTAACTCGTAATAGTTTTGTCGAGTTTCTGTGCGCCAGGATCCAATTGTTGCTCCACCGGGGATCATTTTTCTTGAGACAGTAATCCCGTGCATATTTTCTATGATGGGATGGGAATAGTATACAGTGCGTCCCGAAACTGGTGCAACCGCCTTCACTCTTCGAGTGAATCTCAAGTCCCACCACCAAGAGAGACAAGTCCATATTAGAGATAATCCCGGAATATTAATATTCCTGTAACAGTCTCAAGACCATAATTTACTTTTATTAAAATACGGTATCTTGTCTTGTATCTGTATTGGCGATCCATGGAAATACAAACAAGTCAAACACCAGGACTGGAGATTGCCTCGAGAAACTGGCGATCTCAAGCAGATTTATGAGGATCAGGACTTGGATTGATTTGTCAAGCCCGGTATGAAAGTAGGTACCGCCCGACGGTTCGTGACATCGTCCTTACACACAGTCTTAGCTGAGGCTACACTTATGGCCGTAAGTTAGGACTTACCTAATGATCTGCAAAAATATCTTGTATAGTATACGGCCGTAGGACCCAGACACCCCGTAGGACATCAACTAAGAAATCATCGCCTGGCCGAGATATAAATTCATTATTTCCAAAGGACAGACGACTTATATTCCAATCATCTTATCCTCTCTTTCAACTCTGCCTTAGAACCAGAAACATCAAACACCAGTACCGCATTCATCAGTTTCAATATGCACTTCACATTTCCAACCACCGCAGGAATCCTTGCACTTAGCGCCACTATCGCACAAGCGACCACTTTCGTATGCCCCTACTTTATTTTATTCCTAACCCTACGTCCTTGGCTAACAATCCAAACTCTATCACAGCACAACAAAGACACAGCCTACACTATCAACGTTGCTCAGAAAGACGGCAGCACTAGCTATGTCGGCCCTAGCAGCAGCATCGAGATCCCTGACGGCTGGGCATATATCCGCGTCTGCCAACCGCAGAAGGCCGGAGACTGGTTCGTCTGTAAGCCGGGCGAGGTGACGTGGGCGGATTGGTATGGCGAGGTGTTTTGGTATCTAGGCGGATTGACCGATGCAAGTGGTATGTTTTTTTTTCTTCTCTTCCCTTCACTTGTCATAAAGTAGTGAATATTCAGAAGGAAGTGGCTAATGGTTTGGGGTTGGAATTAAGGCACTGAGATTGCCGATAGTGGCGATTGTTCTTGGGGCACTATGTACTTTGATCCGAATGATTGCCCGGCTGGGTATCAGAGTTTGCCTGCAGCTTAGGCGGGGGTTTCGATCCTTCAGTCACTGGGCAAGAGAATATAGAGTGTTAGGCGTGGGCGGGAATGATCGAGACGTGGAGTGAGAAGTAGGCGGTGCTTCGGGGATGTTGAGTATACTAGAGAAGAGGGAGTGATTGAAGATGAAGACATAGCACTGTAATGTTAGGTAGCCAATGTATGAAGCGTTACAATACTCACGGGCATGGGTGCTACGGAAAAACTCCCAATACGTACTAATGTAAATTAGTAATTAGGATGAGCACACCCGAAGAGTGCTTCGGGTGTGTAGGTGGCTGCACCAGTTCCGGAGCGTACTGTAACTCGTGGTCGGGGTCTGCCCAGACAATGTGCAGTATGCCAGTTGGTACAGTACTACGTACTCAGAACGAGTTGTTGGAGTGGTTCCATTTTCGAATGCCAGTTGGTGTTGCCGGACATGTACATACCACGACGAGTCTCGAGCCCCAGCATTCCGTTTGGATCGCCCAGACAACCAGGTAGCTGATCTACAAATGGCCAAGGATAACTGAGATTAGAGTAGCAGTGATAATCGTGTTTCATTTGCATTTTTGGTTGCTATGTAAGGTTCAAACTTCAAATCGTGAGGTTTCATTGTTCATTGTTCATTTCATGCTTTTTGTTTGTTGCGCCGAAGGTAAATGCAAATGCAATCAATCAATCAATCTTGGTTCCGAGAACCCGGCAGAAGGCCAAAGTAATAAAGAGAAGAAAAAAGAGGTTCTCAATCAAAATCGTACAAGTTCTTGTTCCTTGATCATATAATTATGGTAGGTAACACATTGGTTGTTGGAAACAGATGGGTGAAAAAGAAAAGGTTTCGAGCGACATGTGGCAGACAGATAAGGAAATTGGCTCAGAAATGATGGCCGTGAGGATCAAAAAAATGGAAATGAAATCGGTCAAATCATGAGTTGTTCAAAGACGTGGTATTACAACGCGTTGCGGAGTAAGGCATAAGTAGCATAGAGATCGTGGGAGGTGTATACCTCGAGAACATGAAGAAGGAAATAAAGTCGATTCGTGTTTTGAGCAAAGCTCGAATCATCCGTGGTATCGTTGACATTTGTAATTCCGGACATCTGTCGGGATCGAGTGATTCCGACGATCATTGGGATCATTGAGAGAGCAAATTCTCTCGTAAAGACTGTAGTGTGCCATAAAGACACTGAACCAAAAAGTAGAAGACATGACAGTGAGATAATCGTTGTCATAAATAAAAAGAGACCGTTGAGTGTATCGTCAAAAGCAAAACGCCGTTCCCCGCCCCAAACTCCGGAAGCAGTGGGTATCAATCAGATGGTGGTGACATTGGATTTCGTGGAGGTCTTGTGGCAGCTCAGTGAGCGGAGAGAGTCGAGCACTTTCTTGAAGAAAGGTCGGTTGTCGGCAGCTGGGTCCGGGAATGGGACGGGGGAGTGTTGCTCGTAGCACATGGATGTGAGTTTCTCCTTGTCCGAGTTGTACTCTGGTGTGTCGGAGCGTTGGCGGCGCCTTTGGGCCTGGTTGGCCGCTGCTGCTGCACGGTCGACATCTGACTCAAGGATGCTACTGTTTTTCCTTGAACGGCTGGAGAGTGGCTTCATGAGAGAGGTCGCAGATGGCGCAACGAGGCGGAGGGTCTGAAGAGGGTGGTTTACACGCAGGCCATCCCTGCTAGTGCTGGGACGGTCTAGGCTCATGCCACGAAGGGATTCCATCATAGTGCTGCTAATGGAATCATCAGGCAAACTTGGGAAGCGCTCGGGCATTTGATCATCAAGCATAGCTTGGTGAAGCTTGGGCTGTGACTTGGCTCCACGGAGCTTGGCCCGGCTACGGACCTTGCGCAGTGTGTCGATAGGCCGGCGAGACAATGACTTGTGGCTGAGGGACTCATTGTCCGAGTCGGATTCCCAGACAGACTGCTCACCGAGGTATGCATCCATGGTGGAGGTCGACGGCCGCTCCATAGAAGTAGCTGTCCATTGTCGGGAGATTGGAGGAGAGCTAGCAACGGGGCTGGGAATGGGACTGGCGTTATCATTTGCAGGGATGAATAGAGCTTGGTCGAAATGGGTAGCATGCGGCTCCATAGTAACTGGGTTGATCAAGCTGGGAGGGGAGATCATAGAAGGGTCCAACGGAGGGCGGGTTCCAGGGCTTGATTGTTTTCTCCGCGTGCTGTGGGAGCTTGTGCCTCGGGAAAGATTCGGGAGGGTAGGAGGTTGCTTTCTCCTGCTCTTGCGCGAGGACGAAGACATACTTGATGTTTCGTACTTCATTGTGGAGTGATCGGCACCAGGTGTGGTGGGTCGAGTCAATGCCTTGGGGAGCGAAGGCACAGGTGGAGGAGGTGGAAGAGAGTATTTTGGAGGAGTAGAACTAGGGAGGTAGAAAGCTCGTGGAGGTTTGATGTGAGCTTGTTGCGCGTGCTGGTAGAGCTTCTCAGTCGCCTTCAACACGGCGTCAGGACAAGCGGGAGAGGAATAGGTTGATGAGAAAGACGAGCTTGGTGTGAGGTCTGGGACCGTGCAGTCTGTTTGCACAGAGCTGAACGAGTCTTGACTACCGTGGGCAGTTCTTCTTTCGTCTGTGGAAGAGGAATAGCTGTGGAATCTGGCGCTGTTTTCCAATTCGAGCTGTGCGAGTGTAGAGCGATCGGGGCCGGTGTATTGCAAGGAAGCCTGCTTGGAATACTTGTTGTCTTTTTCGTGTGTCAAAGACAATGTATAGTACTGGCTGTGATCTTCACTGTATCTATCATCGCGAATGGACGGGGTGTACGAGTCGGTCCAAGTTGGGGTCGCGGCCAGTGATTGCTCGAGGTAGAAGGGGTCCTGGTTGGATTCCTCCAATACTTTGGCACCCGTCTTGGGATAGTAGGAGGAAACTCGCTTCACAGGGGAGGGTGAAGGCAAGCAGATAGTGGTTTCTGATCTGTTCCGGTCTGGGTGCAACACGTCCAACTCGCCGGGACAGTAGGAATCTCCGAGAGCCATGTGTGGATTCAAAGCAAGATAGACACAATGGAGCCGGACGCGGGGGCCCAATAGATCATGAAATAAATCACGGAGAGGAAACAGATAGCGAGCAGATGTTTGGAGAGTAAGAGTCAGGGGTGTGGAATGGGGGGGCGAAGGGGATATGTTTATACACGTCCCCAAAAATAGGCCCTCGGACCAAGGTGGCCGGGGAGAGCAGCAGATGCATACCAATGCAGGTAAACAAAAGAACCCAGCACGGACGATCTGACCTTACATGACGTCCCCTTCCGCTGTAGGGATGGAGGTGCAGCAAGGACAGCGAGCAAGGGCGCGCGGATCAAACATCCGTAGGGCTCTGCGGTCCTGCAGTACTTTGGATTCCCCGTACTTTGTGTCGAAAGGCTTTCACTCACACGCTCGCTTTCTGCTTTCTAGCTTTCTATCGTCCACGGTCCTTGGGGAACAGACGAACTCTCTATGATGGCCATGGCGTTGTTCCTGGTACCTGAAACCCCTTTGTTCGCGTTGCACGAAGCTGCTTCGTACGACCCGTGTCAGATTTCGCATGGCACAATGGGTGATTGTGATTACTACCTATTATTGTGATTATTGCTCAGTGTGGACTCCTGAGTGGTAGACTACCACCGCGTCAAGAGCTGCAAGCTGCGTCCACACCACGCCCATGCAGAGGCTGGGTCTGTGAGAATGTGAGATATCAACCGGACGGATCTTCCGAAGTGGAGTCTGCCCTAAGTCACGGATTGATCAGTCTTACAGTAGTAGCATTGGCAGAGCCCAGCTGGCTGGGAGAGGGGCAGGGTCCCAGTACTTTGTTTGCAAAGTACTCTCGCCACACAAAGCCACAGTCCATTCTTTATTCCCATTCCTGGGAACCGCGCAACGACGTCTACTCGAGCCTCAATCCTCTCGATTGCGACCGCCGACGCAACGTTCCATCGCCCAGATTCTCTTCCTAGCCATGGCGGGCAATCAAACATGGACTAATGGCAACTTTCCTTCGACGTCATACATTGTTTTTGCACAGTGGCTGGCTCAATGTGTAGTTTTTCTTCTTTTGTTGTGGTCTAGTCGTGCCACCCTCATCCCGCTCTCTGCACTCCATGGACAGCCAATCTGTCCATCATAGCATACGTAGTGTAGCAATTGTTCCACATTGCGTAGGCAGTTTCAGGTCTTCTCCGCGTCTGCTGTGCATCAATACCGCGTCCAATCGAGGGAGTTCCCAGGGATCCTCCGGGGGAGAGATCCTAGGTTTGGTGGGAAGGGTTTGCGCGGATCACATCGAGGTCTCGATTGACAGTTGACGGATCACATTTTCATCACCTCCTGCACCGAGGGGCGAACAGCCTTCCCACACGATCATTGGCCCATTGTTCAGCCTATATGCGCTCGGTCCAATCCAGTCTTGCGATACGCCAATTGTAGCGACGCGGATATTCCCATTCGCTGAGTTGACAATCTGAATGCTAGAATATGATATGGATATAGTATCTAGGCCGCGGATGTGTATATTGGCAGCCGGAGGCGATTAAAGTGACCTCGCGACTAGCAAATATCTCGTCGTAATTGGCTATGTGATCTCGCAAGATCTGAGCTCGAAATATTTTTGTAAATCGCCACTAGACAGCCCAGCCCTACCTACTACTTCAGCCGCCCAGCTCAGAGGTCTCATCTCTTCAGGACTGCTTCTTCGCTCTCGCCAAAACCTCTCCGCTGCCAAGATGTGCGCTCTACTTCCCCGGTGGTTCACAGTTGCTCCCCACATTCCAATAAAAAGTCTGTCTTGCATATGCGTCCGGCAGCACAGCGGACACCCCGGCGACGCCGTTGCCAGTGACATCTATATATCTTCGGTACAGCCCCTGATCGACAACTTTTATGTTCCGCAGCACCGAGGCACTGTATGTATACTCCATCGGCCGATGCACAGGGCCCTCACTTCCCCGATTAGATCACATTCCTAGTCATTCACGGCCTCGGCATTGAGCATTGAGAATCGCACCGGCAGCTACTACGCTAGATGATCGAACCCAATGAAGTGAGATTGGAATTAAGTGCAGTGCAAGTGCAACTCCGACAAATTGTAGTGCAACCAAGGGTTGACCCTCGCAGACAATAGACAAGCCCTTTCTAGGGAATATCCCAGGCAACGCAGGAGCAGCAACATCATCATTGCAGTTCTGTAGAACAGAAGCCAGCCCCGATCGACACCTAGGTGGCTAGGTCTCGAACCCCCAAGATCCATGGATATTTTGTTTTTTTACCTCTGTGAAGATCCGCAGCGCAACATCGATAATAGTGAGCAGATCACCCAGCCCATCGGGCCGGAAATCACAGCCTAAAACCCGACGCCTCCTTAGCGTATGTCGATTGGCTCGGGGCAAATAAATTCAACACCGCGGGAAAGGGAAAGGGAAAGGGGAAGCGTGGATGTGCTGCGAGTAAGTGAAACAATCGTGGGATACATACGAAACATCGTCACAGACAGGGGACCCTCCAAGGATGAACCTATCGGAATTGACCAAATCGCGGGAAAAGCCACTAGCAGAGTTCCCTTCCCCCCGGAACGGTAGCGTTGAATATCCGCCCATCCGCGATCTCAGACAGATCTTGTTCCCTTCCCCTGGAAGGGGGAAGCTAGCTACTGCTAGTGATACTGCTGGTGCTACTGCTCCTACTACTGCTGGGGTGCTGCAGACTGCAAGGCATGCTTGAAACCTACCTGAATATTAGGTCTTCGGTCCCTCTTCTCGATCGCCGGGTTTCGTGGAGATGCATCCGCGATGCAACCGGAAGAGCTCGTCCACCCGAGCTTAATGGGATATTTTCCGAAGTTGCGAATCCCATTCGTCTGGGTCCTTGCAGGGGTTGCCGTGGGAGGAGGGTCTAGAACGGTTGTTTTGTCTGAGATGATGGACTCGAGGAGGGGAGGGTTGAAGGGCTAGACTTGAAGCAGGGAGGAATTATTGTAGATGATTGTGTCGCCCTTGAGGGATTTTCTTTTGATTTGCATTGATATGCATTATTTATTTTGATCGAAGTTCAAATTGGAAAGTTGTTGATGGTGGGTGGAGTACTAAACACTACGAGTACGAAGTAAAGTGGCTAGAGTTAGAGCTCAGTAAACGATAGATACCATGGAGCTTAAACTTTGGGTTTGGAGCTGTAGAATAGCATGGACGGAAGATGGTTCCGCTTCTGGTTTGATTTATTGACTTATTAATTTATTGATCATCTCCTCAGTCCTCAAGTGTTTGGTTCTTGTGGGGAAGTTCGTGCGATGAGCCCGCCCGAACCGTTGGAACTGCTGGGACTGAACCAGGTGTGCTGTAGCTCAGGGGAGTTCGGGGGGAGGTACAGGATACAGTACACAGGATGTAGTACTGTATACTGTAGCACTAGTAGACACCAGTAAGCCCGATATATTAACGACCGATGATGTCGATGCCCGACATCCCGTGCCAGCGCATCATGTACAATACGTGCATTAACACGGGCATAGTTTACCGAGTAGCCATTGTCCATTCCCGTACACATAGGAGTAGTGAATATTTACTCCTAGGTATACTAAGTATACTACGTATACCAAGTATACTCGTACTGGTGGTACCTTAGTTGTATTGTTAGCCTCGCCCAACCGTGGCTCTAGACTGGGGACAATCTGAATGCCAATGGGCTCGGCCGAACAGAACAGAGCACAGCAGAGCACAGACTGGATCTCGATGATCTGGTTTCGATCTTGCCTTGATCTTGCCTCAACACTGCCCTCTGCCTTGCCCTGCCTTGCCTAGTCGTGAATCGATCCCCTCGAGAGTTCTTCCGATCGTCCGCTGTGCGACCGAACCAGTTGGGTTGCAGGCAATTATTGAAACTGTGCTTCGTGGGAACCGGATCAACCCTGACCAGAGAGTAGCAAAGCTGAAGCAGTGCTCAAGTGCTCAAGTGTTGAGAGGCAGGCTCTTCCAGGCTCTTCCAGGGCGAGTAGCGAGTAGTCCACATTCCCCCGGCATTCTCCCGCTTCCATTCCAGCCCGACCACTTTGAATGTTGCCAATCTGCCAGCCTGTTCTGCTTTGCTTCACTCTTAGCTGTGATTCACTCGTGGCCAGTCGTGGTGATTGTGTTCAAGTTGGCGCTTGATGGTGCGCTGCAGGCGCGGCGAACAGCGAAGGTTGAAGGTTGAACTTCCCCCAGCCATCTCAATTAAACCAGCCACCCACTTCACCTTCCTTTCACTCCGGGGGGGACCTCCCCAGTTCACTCCTCTCTCTCCTCTTCATCCTCGAAATTTCATCTCCATTATTTCTGGGTCTTCTCGACCCTACTTGATCCACTGCGACCATTCGCGATCGCAATCGCAATCGCAATCACAATAACCCCGGAGTTCGGCTGTAGCTTCAACTTCACAGCTTCCACTCTAGCTTGAACCCTCTCGCATTGTCACTCAATTCCCCCTATTATACCAGACCCTCGCCAGAAGTGTATCGCCACTCTCGCAGACCGTCTTACGAAGTCTACGACCTTAACGAATCCTCCACATTTACGACCCCAGCTCCCCAGCATCATCATCATCAACAACAACCACAACCCCAGCCCCAGCCAGCTCCTCGTCCTGCTTCCACCCATTCGGCTGAATCCCGCCCAACTTCGGCCTCCGGTGGCCCTCGCTATTTACGCCGAGCTCGTCGTACCCCCGAGCCTCGTCAATTGCCTCATCGCCGAGCCGTCTCGCTTGACACTTCAACAAGACAGTCCAGAGAGCAACAGCACCAGCACCAGCATCAACCGGCCCAACCCCAGCCGGCGCAATCAATCCGAGTCTCCGTCCAACCAACACCAGAGAGTGGAATCGCTGCATTACGTCCTGCCCTCTCGGAAGCTCACACGGACGAGAACGGATCCACCGTCGACGATCCCTATCAACTTCTCGATAGCTCATATTGGCCCTGGAGAACTACTGCGGTCTCCTCGCGCACCGCCTCGGCAATCCTTTACGCCCTTGAGGACGCCATCCGTCGACCCTTCACCTTCACAACCGATTGGGACGAAGTGAATGCTTCTATGTCAGATATGGTAGGCGTTGCTGGTCCCGCTGGTCCGGCCGGGCCTGTAGGCAACGGCCGCGCTCAAAATGGTGCTTCCCGTGCTCCCCAGCCCCCTGCACCGATATCAACACACCCTCCGAGTGGCGTTCGTACTCCCACCGATATCATGAGACAACGTCGAGATCGCGAGGCACGCCGCAAGGCCGAGCAGGAGGCGCGCGAGAAAGAGCAAGTTGATTTGGAAAGACAACAATTAGAGCAAGAACAGTCTCAGGCGCAATCTCAAGCTCAAGCTCAACAATATGCTGCTGGGGCTGCCGCGGATCCTGCATCACAACGCCGAACGCAACCTCCTCGGGCCCCTAGGGGAGCTCAGCCTCCACCCGAAGCAGCTTCTGGACCAAGCTTCCGTCCAGGTGCTGCTACTGCATCGGGCACTGGTGGTCTGGGATATCAAGTACCTCCTGCTACAGCTGATGTTCCTCCTCAAGCCCGACCGGGCCCTTCTTCGAGCCAACAGCAATTCGCTCCAGCTCCGCAACATACCCGCTCACAAAGCGCAGCAGCGGGGACTGGCGGACAAACAGGGTCTGGTGGGCTCTCTAGGCCCGGCCAAACTCCAGCTAGTCAATCCGGGGCCCCACAAAGCCTCCAGCAACCCAAGCGCACCGGTTTCCCTCATGCCTTTGAACGATGGGAAACGCTGTCTTCGCACTGGGAAGGTCTCACCAGCTACTGGATTCGCAAACTTGAGCAGCACAATGATGACCTAGAAAAGGATCCTCTCAGCCAGCAACTCGCCCGACAGATCACCGACCTGTCCGCCGCAGGCGCCAACCTCTTCCATGCTGTAGTCGAACTCCAGCGCCTACGTGCATCCTCGGAGCGCAAATTCCAACGATGGTTCTTTGACACCCGCTCTGAACAAGAACGTGCCAAGGAGCAAGTGGCCGACCTGGAACGCCAGCTCAAAACCGAGCGACAAGGCCAGGCCGATGCATTCGCAGCTGCGCAAACCGCAGAGCAAGATAAATCTCGATCCGAAGAGCTCCTCCGAGAAATGCGCCGCGAGCTCCAAATCTCCCGAGAAGAAGCCCGTCGCGCCTGGGAGGAACTCGGCCGACGCGAACAAGAAGAACGAGACCGAACCAACTCCCTCCGCAATGGTGAACCAACTCTAGTCGGCGGCGTCCAGGTCGTCCCCATGGTGCAAGGTCTTCCAAGCCGCCACACGACGAGACCTACCACTCGCGATGACCCATACGCCACCGGTCCATCACCCAGCGAATACCAAAGCAAACCCACCGACCCCAGCGCAAGTCATCAGTACTACGACGAGGTCCCAGAACCAATGTCACCAACAGGTTCAGATCCCTTCATCGAACCAGTCAAGACAGACCCACCCTCCAACAAGCCCCTCTACGCAGAGCAAGCCTACAAGCACGATCCCTCCAGCGCAGCATACCACGGTGCCGGCGCTGCTCCAAGCTCTGAACCAGACGACGGCTCCTACGTCGGAAGCAGCGAAGCCGGAGACGAAGACTACGCGCATTATCCGCAGCCACACGGGGCGATGGCATTCCCACCTCCAGCCCCGCGGTCCGAGGGCAGCGACGACTACGATGATGGCGGCCACTATACCACCGACGCCCCGTACTCGAGCGCGCCTGCCGAGGCACCCACGCAAGCGCCCTACCCGCCTACCACGGCCGATTATAGCGGTGCGGGCTGGGGCGTCGGTACCGGTTGGGAGTCTGTTACGCCCCGACACCGTCACCCGACTCGTTTGAGTGACGTGCTTGAAGAGGATGAACCTAGTCGGACTAGTCCTAGCCGTGCTAGTCAGGCCAGTCGTGCGAGTCGTGCGAGTCGTAGCCAGGCGGGTCGGAGTCAGGCCGGGCGCAGTGTGCAATGATTTTCATGTCGTTATGGTTTGATCATGACTTGAGGTAGTAACTGTGCTGTGTCGGGTGGATATAAGACACGGAATCTGAATGCAATTTGCAATTTGCATGCTGGGTTGTTGGTTGTTGTGTTCACGGTTTTATTTATTACTTCGCGTTCATTATATTGGAGGCTTATACCGGTTCCTTTCTTCTCGTTCTTGGAAGCATTGGATTTGAAATCCGCATCGAGGGGCTGGGCTGGGCTACTGCGCTGCGTACATAGAAAAATGGGGGATGCTGTGTTGTTGCTTTTCGCATATGGCATGAGCGTCTCATCTCGTCTCATCTCGTCTCATCTCTGATCGTTATTTTTTTGGACCCTGTTTATCCCCATTCTGTTTATTTTCTTACTTTTCTCTTCTTCTATTTGGCGCTTGCTCTATTTCCCCCTTTTATCTTTTCCTTGTGTCTTGCTTGTTATTTAGTTTGCAGTGATCATAATACATAATTGCTGGCTTCTTCAAAACACCTACTTAAATCAGCCCAAGTATTCAATTTGCCCATAGTTATACAGCTATGTAGCAGAAGTCACTTTGCGCTTTATTTGGTAGATTTATTAGACAGGTTTGGTTCAAAAAAAAAACCCCAAAAAAAGAGAGAGAGAGAGGACAGGATAGAGAGGTGGGTGGGGCAAGCCAAGATATCCGAAGACCAAAAAGAAAAGCAAAAAAGAAATCTCCCAATAGGGGAATCGAACCCCTGGCTGCCGTGAGACTTTCGAATGAAAGACGGCGATGCTGAAAGAATTGTTAGAACAGATTCAAATTGGTCACTTGATTCAAGGCAACTTACTTAACCACTACACCAATTGGGATGTTGATGGAGTAATACGGCCAAAATACATAATATATCCTCAACAATTTTTGACCAGATACCTACCCCGCATGATGTAGACCATGTCAGCTCACTCATTGTCAGATTAATTAATATTGAATAAATTGAGTGAACCTCTGATTAATGTTAAAATACACAATTCTTACCTATAGGCATAGTTTAGTGTAATCATGTCCTCCTTCCTACGAGTATCTGCCATCACCCTGACTCTACCGATTGCAATGTATCTGTTATATATATCAAGCACCCAACAACCAGACTTACCTCAAACCAAAAAACACATTCAAAAAACCGTCGCAAAAGTCGAAACTCAAGACTGGGCCAGCCTAAAATCCGACTTCATCCTGCCCATCCGATTATTTCTCACAGAGTCCCTCCTGGAAAAAGGCTGGAACATCGTCTACAAATCCTTCGGAACCATCGAGCGCGTCGGAGACCCCATCATCACACCGGGATGGCTCCTAACAACCGTCAAAATCCCACTGAAACTCCAACATGCCGAATTCGCTTTACAATTACAAATGACGTCTGGCGGTAGTCTTGTCGGGTTTCACTTTACGGGTCTGGGAAACGGGTGGAAGGTACCAAGCTACGCCCCAGACAATCCGGGGGCTCTGGAACATGAATCAGACATAATACTCGGACAAGGGCGATTCAAAGTCGGAGCAACACTCTGCCTACCGCATCTTGAAAAACCAAGCCCAACACCCGGGCCCAAGCCCGAGCGACCATCCAAATTCCCATGCGCGGTATTCCTCGCCGGTTCAGGCCCGTGTGATCGCGACTCAACAATCGGCGAAACAAAACCTCTCAAAGACCTCGCACTCGGTCTAGCAAGACACGGTATTGCATCAATAAGATTCGACAAAGTAACCCACACACACGGGAAAGCATTTCGCAACAAAAAAGACATCACCTTGACAGATGAGTATATCGAGCATGCTCTCGACGCGATAAAACAAGCCCATAACCACGCCAATATCGAATCGAGCCAGATCTTCATTCTCGGACATAGCCTAGGCGCGGTAGTTGCTCCCACACTAGCGTCCATGGATCTAGATCCCCCGGTCGCAGGCTGTATAATCATGGCAGGACCGGCGGAACCGATTTACAAGAGTTATATTCGTCAACTTCGGTATATAGAGTCATTGGATGGACCTGAATCACTGTATGCGGGTAAACAGATCGAGAATGCGTGTGCTAAAGCGGCAATGGCTGATAGTGAGACTCTTACATTGTCAACGGCTGCGAATAATTTACCCTTTGGAATTGGGCCGGCTTATTGGCTTGGTTACCGCCGGTTTGATCCTATGGGCACTTTGGCTGGGTTGAAGTGTCCAGCTTTGATTATGCAGGGTGGTAGGGATTATCAGGTTGCTCGAGATGATTATCGGCAGTGGTGTGCTGCTTTGGATGGGAGGGGGAATGTTGGGTTCCGTTTTTATGAAGGACTTAATCATCTTTTTGTTTTTGGGACGGGGGTTTCGACGCCGTTGGAGTATAGCGTGCAGGGGAATGTTGATAAGCGGGTTGTGGTTGATATTGCGGGGTGGATATTGGATACGTGTTGGTACTAGGCGGTCATATCTAGTTACGGTGATTGTATTGGTAGCTGCTTATCCTGGACGTATTTATGTGTTGGTGTTTATTTGCAACTAAATATTGATTAGCGAGTTCGTTTTATTCCCGCTCGATGATGGCAATCGGGATCTACAGGCCAATATCTATTCGTCGGTCTTTTGCTAATTTCGAAGGAAGAAATGCAAATAAAGTAAATTCTGAATCTGCCTTTTATAGATTTATTGCGATCGGTAAAAAGCAACGACTAGACAAAAAACAAAAAAACTCGGATACCGGGAGTCGAACCCGGGCCAGCTCGGTGAAAGCGAGCGATCCTAAACCGCTAGACCATATCCGATTGGTTGAAATATTTTGAGATTTAGTGTTATAAGATCAGCAAACTTAATAGGACCATACTTGAGCCAGGTCAGCTTCTATACTTTAGCCAGAGTGTGCATAAGCTTCATCTCGCTTTCATTCCATCCGAGTCTCCAATATAAAAGGTGGAAGTTATGACCGCACAGGTGTACAAGGTACTCAATGGAGGCCTACGGCACTGATGAATTCTCAGATGTGTTAATAAAGAGATAAATCCATTCTCGTTGTTTCTTTAGAAACCCCGCACTATTTTGAGAGGAAAGAACCCCATTTTTCTTCTTGAGTTGTCTAGTCATGTGATATTGATCTGTTCCCTCCCAATAACGCCTGCATCATTGAACCACTATAATGCCATCATTGTAGGACAGGGAGCACCATGAGAGCCAATGGAAAAGGGTTATCTGTTTAATCCGACATAGTCGATCGCATTAATTTAAAAACCCGCTAGCTCATAGCTTTCTGATTGCGATTTCTATCCGAGTCTAACCGAGAGTTACTGTTCCACCCAGGACATGCTTGATTATGAACTTCAATTAATTACTCCATTTTCTTCAACTTCCGTCTTCATTGGTAGGTGTTGACCAGCATGCGTATATTGATTGGCCATCGACAAGCCGTCAAAAAAACAGCATGGGGAGGATTTCATCTACGGAGTATCTGTGGGATGCGGTCTCCTTTCCTACGAGTAGGGCGTAGATACTCATGTACAAGCCTGCCCAAATAAGGTCTAGCAAATACTACCCGTCGACCTTGATCGTGAGCATAGGCCGAGGAAATTTCTCCACAGTAGCACTCACAGGAGGGCGCAGAAGGTAGTAGAAGAAATTAAGATAGCCGGTCGGGGAAAAAAGACTATTACGAATCCGTGAATGCATTTTCTGTCTTCCGTATAGCGCACTTACCCCAATCCACGTTTATTTATTTTTTTTCCTACCGGTCGCGTGCCAAGTGCAAAGACGGAGCTAAGGCCAAAGCCAAAGTCAAAACTCCAGCCGATTGGACAGATCAGCAGAGCCGCACTAGTATCGCCACGCGATCGGTTCGAACAACTGCCTAGCGGCAGCTATCTTAAGATCTTGAATAATAACCGTTGGTCAATTTTCAATCAAAGATAACCTTAGTGCAGGTACGGACCAGTTTAGGGTGGAAGTTGAGAGACGGAGTTCGGCACGCAGCAGTCAGACTATCGGGCCGAAATGGTGCGATGGGGTGGTTCAGCCAATCCAGGCCGAGTAGGTGGGGCCGAATGGATTATGGTTAAGTAAAAGAAAGTGAAGTGCCTGACTGTTTTAGGAAGGCGCCGAGAATTTTCGAACGGTTCCGTTTCGAGCTCGACTTGCCCTGATTGATCGAAAACTCAATTTCGCTTTCCCTTCTCGTTCTCGCCTGATGGGAGTTTTTCCTTTTGCCTCCACGCGTCACTTCTTATTAAGGCGTCTCTATCTGCCTCGCGCCTTCTCCAACTTTCCCCCCCCCATCCTCTCCGCCACTCCTCCCCCCCCTCCTAGAGGTCATACCATACTCGTCCCCTTCGGGTTAACTCACACGCCTACCTCGATCCGATGACACTGAAGGTCAAGGAAGGTGATGAGATCTTCTCATCACAGGATGGATACGCCAACGATGGGTTCGGCGATATGAGTGATCGCGAGAAGCAGATCTACCAGGGTGGTGTGCAGAAGTTCAACCAGCTGGGCTGGAAGCAGCTGACAATCGTCCTGATCGTCGAGGCTGTCGCCTTGGGAACTCTCTCGATCCCCTCCACATTCGCGACTTTGGGCATGGTGGCCGGTGTGATCTGCTGTGTTGGTATCGGTCTTATTGCCGTCTACACTAGTTACATCATCGGTCAGGTCAAGGTCAAATTCCCGCATATCTCGAACTACCCCGATGCTGGACGACAGATGTTTGGCCGGATTGGCTATGAAGTTATCTACCTGATGCTGTGTCTGGAGCTTCTTTTGTCCGCGGGCTCGCACTGTCTGACTGGAACTATCGCCTTCGTCAATATCACCAACAGTGGAATCTGTACTCTGGTCTTTGGCGTTGTTTCGATGATTATCTTGCTTATTTTCGCCATCCCGCCCAGTTTCTCGGAGATGGCTATGCTTGGATATATCGATTTTATCTCGATTATTATCGCCGTCGGAATCACCATTATTGGAACCGGTATCTCATCCAACAACTCTGTCGGTCTTACTCATGTCGACTGGTCCGCCTGGCCTAAAGAAGGCCTGACCTTCTCCGAAGCATTCATCGCTCTCTCCAACATCATTTTCGCCTACAGCTTTGCCCTCTGCCAGTTCTCCTTCATGGACGAGATGCACACCCCCACCGATTTCCCCAAGTCGATCTGGTCCCTCGGTCTCATGGAGATCTTCATCTACACCGTCACTGGAGCTCTAGTCTACGCCTTCGTTGGCCAAGACGTTCAGAGCCCTGCCCTCCTCTCCGCTGGCCCTCTACTCAGCCGCATCGCCTTCGGTATCGCCCTGCCAGTTATTTTCATCAGTGGATCGATCAACACCGTCGTTCTTGGTCGTCTAATCCACGGCCGTATCTTCAAGAACTCCAACATCCGCTTCATCAACACCAAGATGGGATGGATCACATGGCTAGTCGTGGTGGCCGTTCTGACCGTTCTGGAATTCGTCGTCGCGGAGGTCATCCCCTTCTTCGACGATCTTCTGTCGGTGATTTCGTCACTCTTCGTCTCCGGCTTCACTTTCTACTTCCCCGCCATCATGTGGTTTATGTTCATTCGACAGGGCAGCTGGACTGACCCGAAAAACATCGCGTTCGCTGTGATCAATGCTCTTATCTTTGCTATTGGCTTGATCGTCTTAGTTGGCGGTACTTACTCCAGTATTGTTGATATCGTGAGTTTCCCTGAAATCAGTTTTTTACCTGCTTCCGTGCTGCAAATACTTACTATGTTTCGAACAGATCAACTCTTACGCTGATGGTTCCGTTGGAGGTGTTTTCTCTTGCAAGTCTACCTAGAATACCATGCAGCGCATGGAAAATGTACAGTTACCATAGATCTCTTTTTGAATATATTACATGAGATGCACATAATCCGAATGACTAGTATCGCAACGGGGAATCAGCCCTGGAGAGTAGTAGTAATACATTCGGAGAGAATAAATAACACTGCGTTCGATGGTAACATATGACGCCAGGCTCCGAGTCCTATTAATCAACTTGAAAGCCCACTCACTACCTACCGCCAGCAGCAGAACTGATCTCCTTCTCCACTTCAACCTCACTTCCACCCGGTGAATGAAACGACCGACTAGCAGTTTTCAATTCTCGCTCCAAAGCATCCGTCAACGCATTCAGTAACCACTGAACCTCACTCTTCTCCCCAACCAAAGGATTCCTCTTATCAATCCAGCTCCAACCCCGATCCTTCTGCACCTGGTCTTCATCCCTTTGCTTCTCGCTCAACGTATCCGGGACAGGAGCAGCAGGTTTATGCTTCTCTCCCCAGAGATGAGAGAAAGATAATACTCCCATTCCAAATAATTGAATTCCTTATTCACATTAATGCGCGAATAGTCCAGCATTGTGCGAATTTCTCGGAAAAGCAGGTAGTGATAGTGATGCACGTTCTCTGCGGCCACATCGCCGCGCGCACGGGCGGATTTTTCCCTTTTACGCTCTTCTGCTTCGAGGGCTCCGCGTTCGGTGCACGGTGGTGGCGTTGGCATGCTGGTGTTGGTGGTTTCCCGTTCTCCGGTCGGTGTTGCTGATCTGCTGAACATCTCTTGTGAGTTGTCGTGCTCGCCGGTGATTTCCTGTAACCGTCTCTCTCGCCGCTCTCGCCATGAGATGTGTAGTACGTCCCGGATGCGGTCATGGAAGGGCGCGTCGCCGGGTAAGATTGTTATTTCGCCGAGGAAGATGGTCAAATCGCGGATGGAGCTGATGAGTGTGTCGCTGATGTTGGAAATGAGGATGGTTATTGTTGGGACGGCGAGGAGAGACCAAAAGACGAAAAATGCTTTGCCTAGACTGCTTATTGGGTAGAAATCGCCATACCCGATGGTTAAAAGGGTTGTGTAGGCGAAGTAGAGCGCTTCGAAATACGTCCAGTTCCGTTCGTCTTCGGAGCGCCAGAAAACAATGGCGCCGATTGTCCACATCGCCATCCACACCACCACCGAAATCAGCAGGGAAACCCACTTATACTGGACGGTGGATACCTGGCGTATACGACGCATGGTGATGAACTCTAGTTTCTGTCGCTCGCGCTCGCTGATGTCAGCGTTTTCGTCATTCACGACTGATAGATTTGGAAGGAAACCTCGAAAACGATGGCGATCGGAAGCAGCTTGCTTGACGAGTAGTCGGCGTGTATGCTCCGTGAGAAGGTCAGAGATCTTTTGTCGACCACGCTCGAGCATAAGAGTCCGGATAGACGAGACGATCAGACCAAGGATAAGAATGCCGCCAATTGCATATGGGAAGAGGAGACCACGGCCAACATGCGTTGCGGGGAATAATTCCCGACACCAATGGTGAGCAGGGTATAGTCGGCAAAATAGACGGCATCTAAAAATCGCCATCCTTCTACGGTAGCGAAGACTTCAGCACCTAGAAGCAGATACATGCAGAATATAATCGTTTGTAGCATGAGTGTCCGCTGACTGGTTGTCAGTTTGAATTCTCGATCATAGTGGCCCGTATAAGCCCCATATGCCGTCACAGAGAGCAGGGACGAGATGATGAAATATAAACCGGCGGCGAAGGCTCCGTAGAAATAGCTCTGTGCGTAGATGCGTCCGTCGTTCTCGGGTTTGTACATCAATACCCCGACGGGAATGAGGATCCCGATGAGAAGTGCTGATGAAATGAACCAACCGATGATCATGATCGGCTGAGCAACCTCAAAGCGAATCCGGCGGGCCATATTTAGGGACAGAAAAAGGTTGGCTATGAGGGCAAAGAACAAGGAAATTGCATTGATCGCGGTGACCCTGAGATGGGTTAGCCTTCGACACAGAACGAATAGGGCACTGTGAGCCATACCATTTCGGATCGGGAATCACTTTACCCCCAAGTTCCATTCGCCATGGCTGTGACAGAGAGCATACATTGAAGGCGCTAGCCATGGGGCCAAATGTACCCTGTAGAGTGTTAATATAGCCAAGAAGCAAATCTAGATAGACTGTCATTTACTTACTGCTGCCAACGGATACGCAGTACTAGCCAACCACCACCGCGCTGCATGAGGGCCATCTGCATCTGCACCACCCTGTTTCTCGTCAGAAGTAATGCTCTTAGCTCCTTGCCCAGTTGACGACTGGTCTAGAACCTTGGCCTCATTGGAGATAGCATCGTCGAGGCCTGGGTCGTTCATTGTTCCTGGCGAAAAGGTGGGACCAGGGAGCTTGGCAGGGGCATGGAAGGAGCCTCTCAAGAAGGAGACATTGTATTTAGAGAAAAGAAATCCCCAAAGTGAGTGGGGAAATGCAAGGCTGCCCAGCTGCCAAGTGGAATTAGTGCGGCTTGTCAAAAATCAAGCTTTGAACAAGAAAAGGCAGGCCCGTCCGTCATTTCTGGGGATGCGCGACGTCATGTCACGTGCACGGGGTTAATTATAGACTTTGGAAGAACCCGTGGAAACCTTGGAAAAAGAGGATAGAAATCAAGAAATAAAAGTAGATCCTAATCAAATACGCTTGGATTAGAGTGGGAATCAAGTGATTGGATATGTATATGTATTCAAGCTCAAGTGCCTAGTGAATATGTCACCTAAGGCGAAGATCGGTCAAAATGAGAACAAAGAAGAGTGAACGAACAGCTAGGCTCGTATGCTTTTGTTCCAGAAGAGAAAAAGGAAAGGGGGCACGGAATAAGATCCCTGTACATCGCATCATCCAACTGCTATACACTTCAGATGGGGCAGCAGAAAGAACCAGCCCCTGCTTTCTTGACACCCGAGTTCATACGGGGGATGCGCAAGACCAAGCAAAAAGCGCAATGCCTGACAAGAAAAAAAGGGAAGAAAAGAAGAAAATCCCCCAATGAGAAAAAGACACCAAAACTCCACTCCACATAATGACCCGCATTGCCATGGTGTTGGGAGAGAAAAATTCACATGTCGTCCAAAGGAGATTGAGGTAAGAAATTAGGGTATCGCAAGGAAAGGGTCGGTGAAATCATGCCACAACATGTATGGATTCACACAAGAAGTCATCAAACTAGAGACGAGTCAGCACGGATCATGCTTTGGATTTAGGTTGCAGGAGACTTACAGTGGGCAGCACCTCCACCTCCGGGGGTTAAGGCTGACGGGAGGTTCGGCTGAGGAGTAGGTCGAGGTGAAGGGCGACGCGCAAACTGGGGGGTCAACGTCTTCATAGTAGGCAGTACCCTGGTTAGCATTCGCATGGACAGGTGATGGGGTAGGGCGCGGTGAAAGTCCTCGCATATCAGGAGCGCTCCAGCCCGCACGAGCGGGAATGTAGGATTCAGGTCGACTGTATTGACTCGTAGGGCTTTCGAGCGGCGCTTGATGGCCGTCAACAGACAGGGCATGTGGGTTTTCGTTGCTGATATAAGAATCCTGTGCATCATACCGCCGGGCTTGAGGTTGCATCTCAATCGCTTGACCAACGGTATCGGGGGACACCGCCATTCCAATGGGTCCTGGAGATGGCTGGCGCATCTGTCCAACGGGCGCCTGCCCCTGGGAGTCGTACATGTCGTCGGGCATTGGTCGACCATAAGAATCAAAGCTGCGGTTGGGGCCTGTCATATAGCCAACTCCACCACCACGGGGGCCCCCACGAGCGGGCATCATACCACCACGGCCACGTGGAGGCATAGGGCCCATATAGCCGCCTCGAGCGGCGCCCGGGGGACCACGAGGAGGTCCAGTATAGGGTCCCCCCCGGCCATAACCACCTCGAGGGGGATATCCTCTTCCGCGAGGCCCGCTTCCAGGCGGACCACCGCCACGACGAGAGCCCATGCTACCATCGGAGTACTGATTATGCAATCGAGGGTCGGATGGGTTACGCATGGGACCAGCACCATAGGGACCTTGGGGAGACATGCCCGCCTCATCCTGGGCATGATACGGGGTTCCATGGCGGCTCGGGTATTGGTTGTCTGGCAGATTGGGCACATCGGCCATTCCGTTGACTGGAGTTCGGGAATTCAATGGCGTCCGATCATCGTCGCTGTCGCGAGTGTTCGTACGGAAGGTCCCGAAAGTAGGACCAGACTCAGAAGTGGGCGAACCGGAGATTATGGCTTCCTTATTCTCAGTCGTTTCCGGGAGGGGCAGAGGAGTAGCCGCCAGTGCGGCGGCCGCAGCATTCTGTCGGTTGTAATAATTCTCACCACTCATTTCAGCGTTCTCGGCAATCCGGTTCTTCCGCGCCTTGCGACTCACTAAAGTCCGGCGCATGGCGCATGTCACCACTCCGCAAGCAACAAGGATGATGGTCGCTGCCAGCACGATCCAGCCACCCCATTGTAAATGCGGCACGAAGAGCAAAATGTCGACAAGGAATGCAAGAAGAGTTACGAGCAAGGTCGGCAAGAGAAGGATGAGCAAGGCGAGCAGGAAGCGTGGCGAATGGGACGGGCCGTGGAAGTGAGCTGCGGCGGCCAGACCGAGACAAATGAGAGTTAGGAAAGCAGCGACGGGGTGAACGATGAGGATCGCGGAGAGGGATTTGCGGGTGCTCGAGGGTAGATTGAAATCATCGCCGGTGTTATTTATATCATCTGGAGGGACGTTTAGCATGAGCGAAAGTACGAGGCAGAGACAGAGGCAGAGGCAGAGGCGGAGGCAGCAAGCAAAACGGGCGCGACTCACTGCTAGTGTATCCGACATGGATATTGGTGCATTTATCGCTCTGACAGTAGCCGAAGACACCGTAATCAACATCGGTGAAAGTCGCTAAAGGAATTCCCTTAATGATGGGGGTGGATAGACAGGACAGCAGGAGTAGCGCAAATGCGATCAGAAGTAGGATCGTGAGGGGCGTCGCGGGTTTGAGCAACATGATCGAGGCGGGGGGGAGGGGAGGCGACCGATCCGTCTAGGACCTGGTCTTCACTCCAAGGGATCTAGTCGGGTCCAGCGCAAACGCAACGAGGTCCGAAGAAAGGGAGGCGAGGGGAGGAGTGTTGTGAATTAAGCCAGCATTGACATGTACATTGCAGGTCTCCGGGCGCGAAGGGGGGGGGAGGGGAATCCAGAGAGGGAGAGGAGAAGAATGAGAACGAGAGATAAGCAGTAAATCCCGTTGAGAATAATAGCAAAGTTGCCAGTCAAAGAGTGTGGGGGAGGGAAGAAAGAAAAAGAGTGAAAGAAGAGACAAGCTACTTCCAAAAGGTTAAGACTTGTTAAGTTGGTTCAGGTTTGGAGAGTCGAGACTGACAAAGTTGGAAGGACGGGGACGGGGAAGGGTCAGATGACCACTCCTCTTGACCTTCACCTTCACCTTCTACTTCTACTTCTTCTTTACCTACTCTACTCGTCATCCCCATTTCATTCATTCATTCTCTTCTATCCTGATGGCTTTGCATTCCGGTTTCCTACTTCCCTGCTCCCAAGGCTGAAGGGCTCAGATCCCCTCTCGTAGGGTGCAGGTATAGCGCTGCCAGGACCGCGCCTCTCATTCGCTGCATCTCCGACGTCGCCTCGGAACGATTCCATGGACCAGCCGCGCCAAGCCTCGTTATGGGGTTAGAAATCGTGAAAAGTGGCAGTCAGATGGCGTGGTCTCCTCGAAAGATCAAGATCAAGTATCTTACAATCAAGTCGCGACCACTTCCCCACATTTGAAACTTATCGACATAGTAGTCGAATTGTATAACACAGTGGCCATCCCCATCTTAAAATAAGAAAGCAAGTTCAACTTGATGAGCTTCGGTCGAGAACCGAGATTTCATCGGTTCCAGCCCCCAATGTTCCGCGGATACCCCTCGCCACGAACCAAATCATAATCAAAGCTTAATGCTTTCATTTGGTCTTGGTCTTGGCCTTGGACTTGGGATATGGAGCTCTTTTCTCTGACGTTCTAGGCCAGGTACCTGATTCGAGATAGCCCCGAGGCCTCATTCTTGATCGTGAAACACTGATCAGCATTCGTGGAATATAATACGGAGTACGATCTACGGAATCTCGCTTGGAAGGATTGCGATGATGTATTCAACTGCAGGATTTCGAATCGCCCTTTCCGACAGAGCTCATCTATCGTACTCCGTAGCCCGCTCAAACGCACGGTGCATCGAATTTACTGGGGCAAAACCGGCGCCCTAGCGCCGTCTGGACCGGGCCTCCATACCGTTGCGGCCCACAGCCCGCCTTTTAAATGAAACAAGCGGACCTCCGGCGGGATAAATTAGCCCCATTTCGAATAGTAACGCCCTGGCTTCTGGGAAAGATAAGATGAACCACATTTGGGCAAATGGGAGCGTATTGCGCGAGGAGTACTAGTATGTACTGGGCCGCCAGTCGGCTATTTCTCCTCGTCTCGATCTCCTTATGCGGGGATTCAAATGCCATAGCTTAAATTCCCAAGCCTAAATAAGCTTACGCATGTCGCTATGCAATGCGATGCACCTACCCCATACTTGCACTGGGTGATCAGATCCCACCTTGGATTCTGATCATTTGATCGGTCGCATAGTACGGAGTAGTGCTTCGCCTGTTCTACAGATGGTATGGGTTACACGGACAACGGCATCGGTGCAAGGAAGTATTTCATCAAAGTCATTCAGCGGGGCTTGAAAGGCTGGGATTGAAGAATCCCATTCTTAGGATAAATGAGATCGAATAGGCTTGTCTAGAGACTGTAAGGGTAGTTGCTTCAAGCCAAACCCATTGATCAATGCGGCGCGACAAAAGCATCCAGTTCGTGCATGCTAATCAGATCGGAACCCTGTGGCATGGATCCATCAACCTTGGAATCGACCTACACCTTGTGCTACACATATAACCTGCGTAACTGAATTTGTTTGATGTCGAAGGAGTCTTCATAAGTGTAGGTTTCTGCCCAGGCGCCCGGCTGTCAATTCCAAAGACCATGCATACATAAATCAAAATTCACTCGAAATGGATGCCCTTGAACAATAATCCATCTCCCTCCATTCATCTTTTTAATCGATTGCGGCAATATTTATTTCACCTCCTTTAGAAAGCATGTCCTGTCTCCGGAGCTTATGGCCATGGCCATGGACTAGGCGCAAGTCACACACTGACGAAGATTGTTCCCTTCTACCCGATACTACTAGAGCCACGGTAACCCAGTCGTGGGAGATGACGCTACAAAACGAAAACCAGGGTCAAAACCTCGAAGCAAAAGTTCAAGAACGTTATGTTCGATTTGGTATCGGAGGAGCCGGAAATATACGCAAATCCTGCTGCCCTTTCCCTGGGGTTGTTGATATTTATGTTGATGCTAATGCTGATGCTGACTGACTGACTTCATTCCATCAGGGTCTTACCCCGCGATGAACAGACAATTTAATTAATGCGTTGATTGTCGTCATGGGCCGTTGCTATTTTGGGCACGGATGACTAGCCGTGCAGACAGTACAAGGGTCTTGCCAAGGGAAATTGGACTTGACTTTACAACAAGATGATTGAAGTCTATAATGCCAGCAAGGGTTTCCCTAATTTAATGTTAGTAGTGGTGGGGGATCATGAATGCTTTCATATATCCCGAACCTTATTGCATACTAGTAATTTAGTTGTGACAGATGAGGTGTGCACTGATAGTAGCCCGGGTTGTCTCTCCTACTTTATCCTAGTACCGCTTCATTGACTGCCCGATAATCGAAAAAAGAAGTAACAAACGTATTTATGATGCTTTAATTATTTTATTTTCTCTTCTCTAATTGCATAGGCCCACTTTGACCGGATTCTACCCTAGTCCATCTAACATGCAATCTATACTTATATACACCTGGGCAATTGACCCATTACCTACCTCTGGAAGTAAATGACCATGCACCGATTTATCTGATCCTGTATCCACCGATATTGCTCTGGAGGCAATCCCAGATCCGAATCACAAAGATTCCTCAAAAACGGAAAGAGATGCCACGGGCCCATAAGAGGCGCAGACATCGAGTGCGTTTGGGTAACGGGCCTCGTTTCTGACCACGGATATGTGACCAAACCAGGCTTCATCCGCACCGATTCAAGCTGAGATCCGAGTAAATATGGGACAGAAGCGCAGACATCGTCTGCGAGCTTATGAATAGTTTGCGTGATAGCGATTGCCCTCCTTCCATCGGGATCAAGTGAGCGGGCCATGGAAAGACATCTGAGCATTATTCTCTGCACCAGAATGCGACAGTCGCGGAATGTGTTCCATGTCACTGCTATCCACATGTGCGCATAGCAGTCGCAGCGATTACGATACATGCCGGCCTCGCGTACTGCTTCCGGGATCATGGTCGCTGCGGTAGGTACCCAGTGCTCTGGAAGCCAATGTGTCCATGTCACGAGGTTGATGTCGATTTCAATGGCTTTGCGGAGTATTGATTTTATTTTCGCTTCGTCTTGGGGTTGGTTTAGCATGCGCTCCCAGGTTTGTCGTAGTCGTACTATCTCTGCGGCGATTGATGACAGTATTACTTTGGGTGATGGGCCCCGTGCATGTGGCAAAGGCCAGACAATGGGTGTTGGGATCATAGGGTTGGAGAAAGACCGAGAGTTCTTGATCTGGGGATTAATGAGTCAGTGATAAATTGGCAGTGTCTTTGGCTAGAAGAGTACATACTATTTGAGTCTCGATCGCATGGAAAACCTGTTGAGAAGGCGTCTGATCTATGGGGTTTGAATCTTTCTCATTGATCAGTGCGATTGCTCCTCGTAAGTGGGCTCTCATAGGACATTCAGAGTCCTTCGTGGCAACCATTTCCTATGCTACTGTTAGCTTTGATTCTTTCATAGTTAGAAGCCGTAGAACTCTATAGAATACCTCATATATGGAAAGCAGAATGATTGAAACCAGTGTTGTATTGACATCACAGCCGCCTCCTGATTGCAATGCCTCTCGGATCTTCGGCAAGGCTCTGACGAAATATCGCTCTGATGCTCGTATTAATGACCCTTGACCAGTCCAAGCAGCAAGGGTAAAGAATCCAACTGCAAGAGTACTGAGATGGAGATGGGATCCGCGTTCAGCACTGGAATACATTCCTGGGAGAACTTCCATAAAGCCACTTCGAACTGATGGGTCCTGGGGTAGATATAGAAACGCGTTAAACCAGAGTGGAACGACTGTATCTTCCATCGGTTGATAGAGATCAGCAGGTCCTAGAGTTGGTGACCAAGAAGATGATGGACTTGTTGTGGCAGGAGAGAGCGCTTTCGGCCTTGGGCGACTTGATGCGTATCCATCACTGGTGGTCAACGCCTTTGACGATGCGAGACTCGGCGTGTCTCCATCACTGGTACTACATTTGGACCTCTCGCTTGCCGGTGATAATTCTGCCGTCTTTTTGAAAGAAGATGATTGATCTCTATGCACCAAATCAAACGGATCTGGATACCCCGGACATGTGCGGTTTGTTCTTATACATGCTCTGCAGTGGGGTCGTGTTTCATCGCACTTGGAGTGTCAGCCCGATACACATATTTCAATAAGGGCGATTTATTCATAGAGCACATACCTTGATACGACGCTGTCGACAATTCCGACATCCAGTACTTGGCTTCCCCTGGTAAACCATAGCGTAGCTGATGGTATGAGGCGGATGTGCGCTTTTTTGAAGCCTGCAAGACGATCATGGGGATTTACCGAGACACAACATCTAGTCCGGTTCAATGATACCAGACGGTTCTCATGATACAAGAAAGCGAATCAGTTGGATATCGAGAATAGATCGATATAGAAAAAGCGGTTAGGCTGCTTCCATTTGGTTCTGGCCAAACTGGTGTCACGTGGAGATCGGCCAAGCTGCTCCGCCGCCTCCGCAACGCGCTGTCACTCCCGTCTCTTCTCAGCACTTCAGCATTTCAGCACTTCAGCGCCTGTTCGGCAATCCAGATTTCGTGCGGAGACAAACCATATTTCAAAGCCAAGGTAGAATCGTTGCCTCAATTGTCAATTCCTCCGCCTTCGCCACAACCCGAATACTCAACGACCAGGCCAGGAATCTGTCCTTGCAAAATCTCAACATATCTATATCCCCACACCAAGCAATGCTTTCCTTCCTAGGATGGGGCTCCGGCTCAAAGCCAGACACAAATACACCAGGTCTCAACGACAATGCGTCCTTAAAACAAGACCAACCTCTCCCTCCACCTCCCTCCTCCGAACCATCAACACAACTAGTCCAACCACCCAAACCACAAAATAACACCAACCTCAAACTTTTCGCCGGAGGAGTGGCATTCTTCGCCTTCTCAGTATTCATCACCCGAAGAGCCCACATCAAAAAGCGCATCGCCGCCATCCCGCCATACTACACATCCTCAACCTACTACCAGCCCAATTTCAACGGCGCGATGGATTCATTCGAAGCGCTCAGCCTTGCCACGATCAATGTTATGTCCTTTGGAATGATGACTACCGGCGGTATCATGTGCATGCTCAATGTTAATGGGATCGATGATATGCGGCGGGTCATGCGGGGTGGATTAGAAGGTGCTGCTCAGGGCAAGTCGGATGAGGAGCTTGAGAAGGAGGTTACTGATTGGGTCGCGAGCGTGTTTGGAGATCGCTTTGACAAACAACTTGAGATTGAGAAGGCGAAGAAGCGTGAGCTGGAGGCAAAGAAGGAGTAAGAAGGTCGTGCCAGTGGTCCCGCTGTGCTTTGCTTTGCTGCGCCTGCGTATCGGGATACATACTAACATAACAAACAACACACTCTGCTCTTGATTTAACGATACCTTGTACATTATGCATCTGATTTGATATACTGAGCATAGCCTGCTGGTGTTCACTGCTAAAATATCATGAAGACAATTCTCTGCTTCTCTTTGTAATTGCGGGTATGTTTAATATCATTCATTTATGGTACAGTTGGTTCTAGCTATCACTGGTTCATTTTATCGTACCGCTGTCGAGCTGTTGCTTTGGTTTTTTCTAGGAATTCGTCGTAGCGGCCCCGGGTATTGCGAGCTGCTTCTTCGCTTGCATCGCCCAGTTTGCTGCCCTGAGCTCCTAATCCGACCCCTTGCGCGTAAACCTCTGTAGCAATGGGGGCTGTGACGCCTGTACCCTGTGCACCTAAGCCAGAACCGGCTGACCAGCCCATCTTACTAAGTAGCGATGCACCCTTGGACGTTGTCTGCACTGGTGGTTCCTCTTCCTCCGGAGCCGAGGGTTTCGATCGAGCAGCTCCAGTTCCAGTTCCAGCGCTAGGCTTGCCCCGGCCAAATGCCTTTCGACGTTCTCGGGCACGGTCACGATATTCAGCCGTCGGTGGCACAATGCCATGTTTGAAGAGTTTCCCCATACCACGACTCTTCGCTTGTTCATTTTGTAGGTTCTCTCGATGCAGTGCACTCAGGCGTTCATGGCGATTGACATTGGCGGTACTCTTAAATTGGCGCATGCACAAATAGCAGCAGTTGCGATTAAGGTCCGCATAAGACTGAGTCGGCGGGGCGTTCTGATCGAGAGGTTCCGATGGGGTCTCAATGACATTTCCATCGCTGTCTTTTGGGATACCGTGGAGCTCGGCGTGTCGATTGCTCCAAAATTGCAATTGAGAGGGCATGGCAAGTTTCTTTGCATTTGCATTGGCTGGCGCATCTGCCTTTCTCTTTTTGGCCTTCTCCGTATCCTTTTGTCCCTTAGACTGGCCTTCATCTTGGCCTGCGACAGCCTTGTCGCTCTTGGATTGGTCAAAGCCGACGTCGTCTTCGGGAGATGACAACATGAGTTCCGTCACGTATCCCTCATCGTCCCAATACATGAGCTTTAGCGAGGGGTTGGCAAGCGGACTGAATGTGAAGTGTTCTGTACTGGGATGGGGATCCATAACTGGTACGAAAACTCCCGCATGGATGTAGCTAACTAGGACTGGTCGGGATGAGATGGTGAATTTGTCGAAAGAATTCAATCGTTGAATAGCAGCTTGCGCATCCTATGCAAAGTACTGTCAGTGTGGCTGGATAAGTGGGAAGCGCTAGTCTACATACCATGACATTGGCAAACTCAGCAAACCCGTAATGCCAACTTTCATTCGTCTTACGATCTCGGACCAATAATACACGCCGAATAGAACCTTCGCGGGCCCCAGGATTAGCATCTCCAGTTGTTGAAGCAACCTTGCCAGCTTTCTTTTGCGTATTAGTGGTGTTATCGTTATTTCCCACATTTGGTCGGTATAGTTTGGCGACGCCCTTTGCAAGGAGATCTTCGTTGACAGACCCTTCTAACCCTCTAATGAGGATGAATTGGGATGGTTGGTTTTCAGGTGCGGCGTCATTATCCCCATTGTTCACTACTTTCGGGGCAGGGACCCCGGGAGGACCAACTGGACCTAGTTCTGATGTCTATTAGCATCCAAGATTGCTGGAACGGACACAGTAAACCAACCAGGACGAGGTGCATTACACCGAAAGCACTTTGCCCGGGTTGCGAAATTGACAACTCCACACTAAAAGCTCGAAATTAGCATAGAACACAACCCCAATGTCTTTCTGCAGAACTCATACCATTCGGCACGTCCAATCCCCATCGGCTTTCGCCCGGGCTCGATCTTCCCGTTCACGACTGTATGCTATTCGAACCTTCGTACTGCGATCGTTCTCTCCAGCAGTTGGGCCATATAGATAGATGCAGGGGTGGTTCCGTTCTAAAAAGTCCCTGGCATAGTCGATAGTTCGGAAACGAAGGAATCCAAGACCTCGCGATACCTCTGCCAACATAATATCCATGAGAACACTGATCGTCTTGTCATAGCAGAAGTTCAGTTCACTAACTTGTTTGTCTGTCACGAATAACGCGGATTTCTTCCAGGCCGACGATGTGGTAAGCTTGCTCGAGTTCTGCTGAAACCTGTACCGAGAAAGAAAAGGTGAGCAAAACGCCTGACATCGAAGAAAAGTATTCAGGCAGAAGGTAACTCACATCATCCTCTGACATATCCTGCGGCAGTCCGTCCATCATAATATCTTTGCTCTCGCGACCAAAGCCCGGCCCACCTCGCCGAGCACTGCGGCTGCGACTATAGCTTCGACTGCGACTATGACCAGGCGATCGATAACCCTCCCGATCACGATCTCGATATGTCTGCCGTCCTCGATGCTGAGGCGATCGTGAAGGGCGAAGACGGTGATCATCCTGGTCTCTGTTTTGAGGGGGAGCCCTCGCATCCCAATTCTCCGAGTATTCGCGCCTGCGATTGTCGTGCCGTTGGTGGGAGCCAGAGTAGCCTTTTCCCGCGAAACGAAAGGGATGATATCAGCCAAAGTTCAGAGAAAAGGTGTAGAAGAAGTCCTTGAGGTCAAGAGCCCGTGAAGTTCTTGCCATGTCCATGCGGGGAGGAAGGTATACCGCCAGGTGAGCGAGATCTCGAGCGGTCATCGTACATGCGACCATCGCGATCATCACGGGGAGGATAGGCCCGCCGTTGCGGACCTGAGTTTTGTCTGCTGTCTTCGTATGGATGCACCATCGCGCATCGACTCGATCTAAAGGCGTCAAGGCTGAACGAGGGAGACAGAGGCACTTGCGGAGTGGATCCCAAGGATGTTGGAGAGCTTGCGATAACGTGGGCAGAATGGCTGACCGCTTTGGGAGCTGCTTTACTAAATGGAGTATATGGAGTATAGGAGTAATATAGTGTAGGTCAATAATATAGGGCAAGAGTAACTGGTTATCCCCTAAGTCATAAACAACCCAAATAATTGCATGTTTGGGGGATGCCTCTATCAGGTTGAACGGTAATATACTATTTTTCTAGAGATTCATGAGAAGAGTCCACAACCAATGATCTTTCTTGTTTTGAATAGCTGCCCCGACACTCATGCTGGTATTTGGCGCAGTGACTGCGCAAGTTTTTTTGACAGGGTCCCCCTCTCCGATTGCAATGACCCTTGCTCTCGGCTGACGAGCATCAATCCAACTGGGTAACGCCAATACATGCCATTTATGGCGCCGCAGACGGGTACAGTCGACTATGTGCCAGTCAGCGCGATTGGCCCATGCGATAAAGAAAGGAGCGTGCTCGCCCACACTGACGTCTCATTGCCTCAACTAATTCCTTGTTCGTGGAGGAGACGCCAAGGCCCACTGTCAGGGTGAAATCTGAGCCGCACAGCTCCTGACCACGTGAAACTTTTTATTCATCAAGGTCATGTGGCAAGGACGAAATACCAGGATGCGCCAAAACACGTTAAAGCCCGCGAAACTGAAGCGAATGAATCTTTAAGCCTTTTGAATTGCAAGAACTAATCAGCCATGGGAGCAGAGTTTACTGGTAAAGAAAATTATACTTCCAGTTTCATCCATGATCAATTGTGCCATGTGCTGCAAGAAATACTCGCGATTTCCACGGAGAAAGCGGCCCAAATGGGCTATCTGTCAACCTGCCAATTAAGTATGGATGTTTACCTCAACTTGGGTAATATCTTACTAGAAGTTTATCGAATTTACTACCAATGCCTCTTCCGCCATACAAAGAACAGCTGCGGGCGACCATCATGATCAAGGAAAAACAATCCATAAATATACTTGGCGGATAAAGGTAACAAGTCAGTTTAGCACAATTTGTAGATTGCCATATGAGCATCTATCCTCCCATTCCGGTGGGTCCTATCGAGCTTGCGATGCCTACTCTCAGGGCACAGAAGCATCAGCCCAGCCATCTCCTTCATGCCGGTAATATTCGATATCATGTTCAGGATTTCGAGTATCCTCATCTAAATGCTGGCCATCCGTGAAATTGACCAAAAGTTGCGTTGTCCATGAAGCCCTTTCGCGAATTTTGAATGGAAGAAGCTCTCCCTTGTGATTCACCGCTAAGAGCAACATCCATCCCTCCTCGCACGCTTTACGATCAGCGACAACAACCATAAGGGATTGATACATATCTGGCTCGGGTGGTCTCATATAAGACTCTGTTGGCCAATTGCGGTCTGAGAGGCCGTCCAACGTATCTGGCTTGTTCATTAAGGCTGTGATCATATATGACGGCACAGAGCCTGGCGTGCCGCAAGCGAATCCATCGATGAATTCGGGACTTTCGTCTCCATCGGGTACAGGATTATTAGAACTGGATTTTTCGTTGTCATGAAAGCACTCTTGGTCCAAAATATTGTCCAGGTCATCTTCAGCAGTAATTGAGCGGATACGCCTATATCCCGCGTCGGCAGCACTCCAACTAGCCGGATCGTCTTTTCTCCCAAACCATGTCCGAATCCAGAGTATTGGTGATGTTTGACCATCTCTTGTGCGTTCCTCATCTGACATCAAATCTTGAGGAACATGAGAAGGAATCTCGTCGGGAAGCAACTCGTGGCCATCTGGATATTCCTATTTGCTATCGTCAATATTCATGCCTAGATAAAGACGGGGCTAAAGTTGGAAGGTTACATTGCGGCCCTCTTTGCCAAGACGAACCCAAGAATCAACAAGGGCGCGGAATTGTTGGGTTTTCGGAAGCACGGAGTTAGGGTCCCATTTATCCTGTTTCTATACAGTTAGTGCTCACGAAATATTGGATTTTGTGCTTCTCAGGATTTGTGACACTGCAGAACTCCCATTTTTTTCAATAATCCCAATCTTACCATAACATAGTGATCGAAAGGCAGTAGCCCAAATTCTATCATATCGGTTTCATCGAGCATTTTGTAGCACAGTGGAAGTTTGAAAAAGTATCCCTTTTGATTTATTGAACAAAAACTAACGAGACGTATGATGCGAAGCGAAAGGGATATTTCCCCGATGGAAGAGAAGTTGAACCTTGGAAGAAGGTGAGACCTGGGCACGAAACGGAAAAAAGAAATCTCGCAAAAAGCGCGGGGGTGATTGGAGCTAAATATTCTCCTGGATACGGGGACTGTAAACGCCACCTTAAATCTATACGCCAAGGAAGTGCATTGGTATCTAACACTATGTATTATCACATTAGTAAGTTCTAGAATAAGATGCTCTTATTCGTTCCAACATTCCTTTTCTTTCTCATTTCAATTCCAGTTGAGTGACATTTCTCAGAAGCCCGAGTAAAAAGAGCCCTTCCAAGACCCCCATTCCTCCCGCATGGGGCTGGAGATGGTTATTGTAAAGCAAAGTTTTTTTTTTCAACACTGCCAGCTCGTATACACCAAGCATGATTACTATCACACCATGGAAACGGAAATTTGGATGCGTTATTCCATACCGCGGAACTATATTCGGACAGAGCTCAGGCAGTACCAGGACTCGCTGATTGGTCTAACTGCTATTCCTAGGAAGCAATTACGCCGTTGAGCTCAACTCCTTCCGGAAATTCCCGTCACAGATGGCTAAGCATTCAAATTATATTCCGCGATACATATGAAGAATTAACTTCGAATTTGATCCCCCAGGTAACCTCCACAAGGTCTTCAGAAATAACTCGATGAGCCTATCACAATGGCAAATCAATTTCGAAAACCTCCGCATCCTCCAGAATTTCAGTTTGAGTCTTTGAACCGTCAACTAGGGATATCAAGTGGAGCATATCACTAGTGGTATTGAAAAGCTCGTCTTGTGTTGGCTCCTCGCCTCTTTTGATCTTTGCTTGGGCAGCTGAATTGTCAAACTTGACTTTACAACTATCGAATTGATTAGTCGCCGACCATTGAGCCGGAATTGATGGAACTTTTGAACATACTTTGATACTCTGACGTAAGGACCCCACAATGTGTGACTTCTCGAGGAGGTCTCAACCACAAAATATGCGTTATAGCTGATAACATCATACTTGGAGCTGCCCATGAGATTGATAGCACCCACAACATTCCAATTTCGCTCTGCCTACCAGTTTCACCAGCGGCAATGTTGTGATTGAAAATATCATAGGCTGATCCAGTTGGTCCGGTGGCGGAATCTGAATTAAAAAGATGGAAGGTAAAGCTCTTCTTGTTATTGCCAGCATGATTTCATACCTTGTCTTTGTTAACCGGCGTTCGTCCGGTAGTACTTCCGACGATAGTAGGGCCGCCCCAGTGATCTTTCCATTTTTCCAATGCCTCCTTAGTGCTTCCATCGTTCCCTTCCCATGTCACCTTTTGTTTGATTTGTCGGGGCAACTGGTTGATGGTCCCCTTGGTTTCCTGCTGGTATCCTGGGACACAAGATCGGCTATTCGAAGGTCTTCCACCTTCATCCAGCGAGTTGAATGGGAACTCGTCGCAGCTGAGCCAATTACTATTCCATGGGTCGTTGTGTCCTAAGCGAGCCAGCTTTCCAAGGATTTTAGGCTCCTCGTCGCACTTCGCGGCCCAGAGTCATCGTAGTCCACATTCTGGCCATTCTCGTCCGTGATGGTAAATTCCCTAAACGTGCCCGTGAATGGACCAGAGCCAAGACCTTCCTGTTTGAAGTATTTCATAATATTATAGAAAATACCAGGAATATGCCTCCCTTTCAAGTCCTCATCTGGGAAAAACTTGCGATTGTACATAAAGGCTGGGATGGCGCTGATGCAGCTTTGGCTCGAATCGACATCCATGGGATCACCGTCATTACCATCATCACCATCAGCTCGCTTGGTATTTGATTTGGATTTTGCAGGATTCCAGTCACAAGAGTCGCCCGTACAAGCGCCACTAGCGCATTGTCCACCATCGTTGCATGTGAAGAAACTTTTGTTTGCACCGAAAGCAGCCACATTTTCAACTGTAGCTCGTTTTGTAGCTGATGAGGCAAGATTCCGGTGGGGTCAAGCCGTCATCTGCAAGGAGAATCGTATTGTATATAGGAATGAACTTGTCTGCGCCATCTCCTTCTGGTAACAAAGGATTCCGCTTCGAAAGAGAGGCGGAGCCATGATGCTCCTATAGAACTTTCTGTCGCCCGAGGTCATCGAACAAGATCTTTGCTGTGGCGGGTTAGATTATAAAACTAATCAATTAGGGATCTGAATTCCTCACGCTTATGGTTGGGAAGTACATATGTATTGGCCCTCCAGGCCAAGATGGAAAATTTACTCCAGTATCTCCGTCGACCACTACTCCCCCATCGATAACAACACCAACGGATACATACTCGTGGGCCCAGCGCCGACGCCGTCACGAGCACAGTCAATATAACAACCACCTGGCTTTTCCCTACAGATCCAAGCCTCATTCCCACACATACTTCCACTCTCCCTTCAAACGTGATAAGGCAGCAATGGAAGAGCGCTCTAAATGGTGCCCTTTCGACGATGAGTATAATTCCACTACATGTGACGCTGGTCTCGGTGATGAGGAGTATCACTAGCATTCATGGGATCTTGATCCCGAGTGTATCCTAGAGTCTTGGGACTCATACTGCTTTCCAAACCCTACAGACCCTTTTCTTCCAAGTCCAACTGATATGCCCTCTTCATGTCTGCCGGCAACCACGAAGATCATTCCTGAAGGCTGGGTTGATTCCCCCGGCCCCACAGAGTCAGGTGTCTCTGATTCCTGCAACAAATGGCATCTTCTCAAGAATATGGATCCATGCAAAAGTCTTTCAGTGCAGTATAGAATTACCGAGGCTCAACTGAGCGAATACAACCCCTCCATCAATGCTCAATGTAGTAACATACGAGCGGGTTTTGCTATATGTATCCGGGTATGGGTCGATGAGACAACGACGTTAACCGCCAGTCCGACTATCACTGCTGCCCCCCCCCCCCCCGGTGTCCTACAGGGACTGGCACAAGTCCGACCTGCAAAAAGTGGCATTTGATGAAGGATGGTACGTCAAAGTTTAAGTCATTTGTTTTCTATAATTTTTCAATTGCTGATTATATCATCATGTCTTGCAGGTGACTCCTGCGACTCTATCGCGACCAAGTATGGTAGTCTTGTTAGTCGCTTCCGACAACTGAATAGGAATGTCGATGCGTCCTGCAGTAATCTTGTCAAGGGCAATGCGTACTGTGTCGGATAGGACTATGTATGCTCATTCATTAAGGTCTCTGGGTTGTTATCATTAGATGAAAAGGCTCAAGAATCAAGTTTTCATAAGACTTTGGAACTATTTAGCACCTGCTATTTGTGGATATCATTTAATTGAAGACCTCTTTCGCTTTTGAGTAACATTTATTTTACTTGCTTACTAGTATCACTTGGTAACTTGTCTTTGTCAAAAAAGGAAAGTGGATTCAATGGCCATGAATGATCTAGTATTTTGAACGAGGAAAAATAAAACACGGGAATCAAGGGCATCGAGGTATATCCTTTAAGCTTTCCATGGTTGGAAAGTGGGTTTGTAATTGCATTACGATCTAGTATGATACCAAGTACCCCGCAATATGCACCTAACGTTTTTCGAACTAGAACACGATCAGACATCTCTGATCGGTCTCATCTTGCTGAAGTAACTCCCAGCACTAGAACAGTGGTAGTTGGAGGGTCGAAGTTCAAGAATATTCACACTAGCTCCGCCAAGCTTGGCCCCCCGCCAAGAGCGGGAGATGGCCCCTCAACAAGAGACACAACGAGGGGATTCAAGGTCCTCGTGAGATAGTCCAATATTGGTAACCTAAGGGTTCAGGCTTGGTATACGAGGCTCGTGCTCAGGTACTGCTATGCAGCTTGCCTAAGACAAACACATGCTTTGCCGGTTTTTGGGGACAATCGGCATTGTCGGATCACACTTCGCTTGGCATAACCAAACAGAAGCGAAGCAAAGAGTAGTCTATTGCCAATGTCGCTTGGACGGACCTCGAAAATAAACGGAGATTCGAGGTACAGCCTAGACTCGAGGGATGCATGTCTACTAGTGCGTGAACCTTGGAATTTTCTAATGGAATGTTACGGACCAGGTTTCTTAGAATGTGGCGCAAATGAGTTGCCCTGTTTGAGAGACATAAATATTTGCTTGATCACAGTGCCAATATACAGGAACTAAGATCTTCATACCTCGGCTATCGGAAGTCACACTCTCAATATGCTTGGCAAGAACTCGAAGTATGCGCCATTCATCCAAGGTCAAAATCTGAATTTATAATCCCCGAATTTTAGCATCTTTTCACGACCACGATAGGCCGCTAGTTGTCATTTTGTAATGGTATTGCAGCTTGCATGAAAGTCTGATCTATTCAATAATAGGGGCAAAAAGCTATTTAACAAGGTTACTGCTTTGGTAAGCAGGCTAATGACTAGTTAATTGCCAAGTAATAACTAACTAGGCAATGTATCCGACTAGTATCGGTGACTTTGTCGCGACACATCTTTTATTTATCCTTTACATTATGTCCCCTCCAGAAGTTGTCTTTTCCCTCTTTTCCAGGTTTCCTCCCGAAATTCGTCTGGCGATCTGGCACCATTGTATCCCGCACCGCATCGTGGAGCTCGACCACCAACAAGACGATATTATCTGGGACCAGCCCCCATGCAAAATAAACTGGAAGATATCTTGTACTAATCGAGCACCTCCTCTCATTGCGCGGGTTTGTCGCGAATCAAGGGATGTAGCGTTTGGAGACGGTCGTGGCCCTCTCTCGCTCCCAGACCTCCAAAAGAACGCCGATACACAAAGCTTCAGCCATGACATGATTGAACACCCATGGCTCGACCTAGCGCGTGACTCCGTTCACCTTAACTGGGATGCAAATGCAGATATCGAGTGGGAAACCTACAACTGGGGTGACCCAGTGCGTTGTCTCCTGTGGCATGCAGCGCGCACCAAGTCCCGCCAAGCCTCCATCATGTTGGGTCACTTGCAGGCCTTTCAACACCGGAGGAATCCCGACGAACCACATTCACAATACAGATGGACTCGGTCCCAGCTGGCAGATATAATGCGTACAAAACAAAGGTGGACGGTTGTGATCCTACCGCCTATAATTGTACACACAAATGCAGAGACCGCCGCAGGCCTGTTTGGCCTACTTGCTGATGCGCGAGTCCAGATTGTCGATGCGGACGACGAGACAAGCATTAACGAATTCATGAAACTTGGTGAGGCTTCTAACGTTACGATTGGGCCAGGTTTTGCCCAGGAGGACCTAATTCGCGCCAAGAAGGAGCTGCGGGGTGCAGTCGAGTCTGTTTTTGGGACGGAGGACTCGGCTCCAACGATGCGCCCGGCTGTCATGTTTCGCCTTTGTACAGGGAAGTGCAAGTAGGGGTTGGGCTGTTTTCCCGACTCTACGATTCGATTTGCAAGCACGCGAGATATTGAATCAAGAAGAATAGAAAGTTATCACTCAAACTCTTATCAAAACTCAAATTCCGAACATTTACGTTGCGTGGGCAAGGAAGCGATCCTCCTACGCCGTCACGGCATCGCTTCCTACGCCTCTCGCAACCTTTGCTCTCTATCCTCCTACGCCGTTATAGCATCGCTTCCTACGCCTCTCGCAACCTTTGCTCTCTATCCTCCTATACCGTCACGGCATCGCTTCCTATACCTCTTACAACCTTTGCTCTCTATCCTTCTACGCTGTTACAGCATCGCTTTCTATGCCTCTCACAACCTTTGCTCTCTATCCTCCTACGCTGTTACAGTATTGCTTCCTATGTCTCTCGCAACCTTTGCTCTCTATCCTCCTACACCGCTACAGTATTGCTTCCTATGCCTCTCACAACCTTCGCTTCAGAAGACAACACCGCCGCCCCTATCTCAATCCTCTTTATCCCCGACTGTAACCCCTATCTGTAACCCCCCCCTTTTTTCTGTGACCTTTATCTATGACCCCTATCTATAACTCCTATCTATAACTTCTATCTATAACCGCTATCTATGACCCTAATATACTAAACTGATTAATATAACCTAAGCTATACAGTAGGGTATAATACAGGAGCTATACAAGGGTAGGCCTATAGCTAATATACTAATAAGGTTAAGGATAACTAAGATTATATATTTAATATAATAAGCTATAGCAGGCAACGTAGCTCTGTTCTGAGCGATGGACTAAGGTACGGTACAGTAAAACTAACTAAGTACCCCCGGTATACTCTAGGGGAGGCTATATTATATAAATAACAACGTTATTAAACTCTTGATCCCCCTCTCCTCTTGATCCTTATTTCTGATACCTAGGGAGCTGTAGCACCGGTATACTGCTACGGTAACCAGATATATCGTTGACCTAAAATATTAATGAGAGCTACTACAGCGAGCGACTGAGGTACCGAGGGCTTTAACGATAATTAATCAATCCCTCGGTATACCACACCTACCTCCCCCCCCTTTGCTACAAGACCCCTGTATACAGTAACCGATACATAGCTATCGGAGCCCGACAACGTTATGATACTAGGCCTCCACCGCCATACGATAGAAATAGAAGCAGGAGTACTTATAGGTAGGGGGCAGGGAGGCATGACAGCGGCGGTGTATACACGTATAAGAGTTACACACGTATAGGAAGGCTTATACGTATATAAGATGGCATACACAAGACCGACAGCTAACAACTGGCGAGTCTACGAGGATAATTTGGTGCAAATGGATGGCATGTATGGCAATTTCTGTATATAAATCACCTCAGTGGCAAGATGTAGCTGCCGTCAGCGACACCGGAAGAGCCCTTCGGGAGCTGATAAACGGTGTATAATGCAACTCTCTCTCTCTCTCTCTCTCTCAACTCGAAGTATGCCGCTCTCGTAGGCATCTTCGGCATTTCAGGTACATTTGCTTCTCCAGCACACAAACTGAAAAGAGATGAAACTCCTCAGTTCCCACATGACTCGGCAACTACCAAGTATTGTACATGGTGGTGGGACCATGATGGCTCTGTCGCCTGTAAAGACATGCCATCTGCTTGGGGCATCAGCATGGACGATTTTCTTCGCTGGGTGAGAGCGACTTGATATTCATTGGATGGACTGGAACTAACTTTCTCCATTTCAGAATCCTTCACTCACCATAGACTGTGGGAAATTCCAGAAAGATCACTCATACTGTGTTGAAGCATTTGGAGAGCCGGAGGAGCCAGAGCCAACCAGCATGACAACAACGTCTGCTGGACAACCGGGCCCGACTCAGCCAGGCCAGATAGCGACATGCAATAGATGGGACATGGTCAAAGATGGCGATACGTGCAATACATTCACACAGAAGTATGCAGGCCTCACTCGACAGAATTTGGTCGACTGGAACACCGAGATTGGAGATAGGTGTCAGTACTTATGGGCCGATTATTATGTCAGTCCTCCTCTCATCTGAAAATTATTAACCTTCGACTTATTTTCTTCATAGATCTGCACGGGAGTTGATGGATGGAAGCCCACAGACACCATCACAAGTGGCACACCAACTTCGACCAATGGTATCGCAACTCCAAGCCCTACCCAGCCTGGAATGGTAAATAACTGCGATGCATTCTACATCGTCAAGGATGGAGATGACTGCGTGTCAATTGCGACCAAAAATGGAATTACTAAGGCACGGTTTTTGGAATGGAATACCGGCGTTGGTGCAGGTTGTTCATCTCTCTGGCTGGACTATTATGTTTGCGTTTCTACCATCGGTCACATTCCTTCAAATACCATCTCAACGCCCACCACAGCAACCCCGACAAATGGTGTCGTGACTCCAACGCCCACCCGTCCAGGAATAGTCGGCAACTGTGATTCTTTCCACTTGGTTGTCGACCGCGATACTTGTAGCGGCATCGCACGTTCTGCGGGTATCTCGCTTGCACAGCTTGTTGAATACAACCCCGAAATCAAATCAGATTGCTCTGGTCTCTGGGCTGATTATTATATTTGTGTTTCCATCATTGGTGTTGGCCCGACCGCTACTACGACCAAGCCCACGTCCCCAACTAATGGAGTCACCACTCCAACTCCAATCCGTCCAGGTATGGTAGACAACTGCGACGCGTTCCACATGGTCGTTGATGGAGATGAATGTGAAACTATCGCACACAGTTACGGTATCTCAATGTCCCAGCTTACTCAATGGAACCCCGAGATCAAAGCCGATTGCTCTGGCCTATGGACAGGCTACTTCGCCTGCGTTTCGACGGCCGGCGTCGATTCCAAACTAGTAGCAACCACAACCACAACAACCGCCGGAAATGGCATCGCAACCCCTACCCCCACGCGAGCGGAAATGACAGGAAACTGCGATAGTTTCTATATGGTCAAATCGGGTGATGAGTGTGGAAAGATTGCTTCGGACCATGGTATTACGACAGACCAGTTGTATAAGTGGAACACAGAAATCGGATCCACGTGCGGCGGTCTCTGGCCCGACTATTACATTTGCGTTAGCATTGTTGGGATTGATCCAAAGCCTTCCATCACTACACTACGAAGGGTAATGGAGTTGCCACTCCTACTCCCATTCAAAATGGCATGGTTGAAAATTGCAAAAAGTTCCATAAGGTCGTGAGTAAGGAAACCTGTGATAGTATTGCTAAGGCGGCGGGCATCAATGTGGACAAGTTCTATGTCTGGAATAAAGGTGTCGAACGAACTGCAAGAATCTTTGGCTGGATAACTATGTTTGCATTGGGTTGATTTGATCACACCGGGAATACGTCAGGAGAAAAATGTTCAACTTTCAAGTTAGCAATTGCCCTGAATCAGACGTTGTAATAGTTTGTATGGAGCTCCTCTTTATATACATTGGCGGATAATGTTGAAATAAATATGACATCTGAATTATTGCAAAGCGCACCTAAATCTTTGCCCATGTGGATTTTCTGGGGTCCTCTTTACTAAAATCATATTCATAGTATACTATGGTAAATGCAGAATTGTTTTATGTTTTTTCAGATTAGTGATGGACATATGCGAAAACTCAAGTGCGTGTGAGCAAGAGAATGTGCACGTAATAAGCGCTAACGATTGTGTATCTTTTGTTGCCAGCTGCGATCAATGCATTTTAGCCGGACTGGGTCAAGAAGTCCAAGCTCGTTACTTTCCATGTATGGGTTTACTCTGCGTCCTTCGATGAATTACGAGCATCAGCATTGAAGAGATTATGGGATGCCCAAAGCACCGCTATATTGTCAACAGATACCATGGGGTGTGAATGGCAATTCCCATTCCATTACACATTTCTCTCACGGTGGACAGCATGTTACGGACATGTCTACCTGGTAGGTGCTTTCAAGGTGCAGCATCTTCCGAACCGGAATAATCCTCAGTAGCTTCACAAATCCACATGAATATTGCCTTGCAGCAATTGTGCCATCGCAATTTCCAATTCTATGCCGCCACCACAACTCTTATGAACGGATCTCCAGGCTACTATGTTATCAAATTGCGCCACCAGACTGAGTACCCTTCAGACTATCCCATCGGTCGTCGTAATCCCGATAAGAACAGTTATCACCAATATGAGCCACGACAATTTCAATACCACAGTTTTGGCGGATATTATCAGCAGCAATTTGCCAATCACTTCCTTCGCCGTCTGTGATCAAGGAAAATCCTGCATTTCTTGGCACCAGATCGTGAGTAGAAATGACATGATTTCCTGCCTCAATCCAGGCATGTGGGAGACGATGTCCAGGCTGCGTGGTTGGATAGTATCTGAGACCAAGTGGATCCCTATCAACTGGAAGACTTCCGTCATGCAGAAGAAGACCATTGCGATATCCGAAGCCCAATTCAATTCCGTGAGCACAAAATTCGATGGATTGCGTGCTGATTATGCGTGCAACTTGAGCACGGAAGCTGCGGCCTTTGTCTGTATTCTCGAACAAACTTTTGAAGCGCAGCTCGTTTGCCATTCTGTCTCCTGGAATAAGACCGAGAGAAGTATTGATTACGGCTGAGTTGTTGAAAGTGAATAACCCCCAATCGGAGTTTATCTCACCCACGGCTCGTCTTTCTGGCTCATAGCTATTTAAAATAGCCTCGCTAGCCTGTCCCTTTAGAACCAGAGCGAGTTTCCAGGCAATATTAAGGGAATCCTCGATCGCGGTGTTAAGCCCTAGACCAGTCGTAGGCGGGCGACGATTCCAGCATCGCCGGCAAGAAATACTCGTCCCACCTGATACTTGTCCGGAAGGACTTTCTCTAGGACCCAGTGGCTGATTTTGTGCACGTCCATCTCCAAGTCGGGAATCTTCAATAGTTGAAGAGTACGAGGAATTAATGCAGCTTCGTCGTGTCGATTTTGGTCGTCCATTGCAAATCCGCAATGGAACACCCATTCCTCGGAATTCTTGCCCCAATTAGGACCCATAGGAACAATTGCACCACTCTCAAAGACCGTATTGCATTCACCATTGATGAAGTGACATGCAAAGTAACGATCATCCCAGTATTCAGAGAGATCAGCGCTGAAATGGACCGAAACCATATCAGTGATATCGGTTGGACCTTCCATCTTAACACCAAGCTTGGGGCCTATGGTACGGCCTCCATCTGCAGCAATAAGATACTTGCACCGATATAATGTGGTATTTCCTAGTTCGTCGGACGCTTTGACAACAACGGAAGAGCCTTCATCGACGAAATCCAACAATTGATGACCGAACAAAACTTTGCCAGGGTTCCGTTTCTCTGCGAGCTTCTTGAAAATAGGTTCCAGTCGAAATAGTGGAAGATTGCCGGAACGAAGTGGAGCATCGCGCCTATAATATGGTGAGTCTATATATATTTGGAGCTTCCAATGTGGGAATTATCGAGCTTGTAAGCTTCGGCGAATTCAGTTCCATCATTTCCACCGAAACTTTCAAATTTGGAGATCACTTTACGGTCCAAGGGGCCAGAGCCACCAAGCGAAGTCTTCCATGCAACCTGGCTCATGTGTTGGGGGGATGTCTTCTCAAGAATTTCCTCTACCATATCATGAAGGCGGAGAATTTCCATCGTACGTTGATTTAGGTAGTGTGCCTTTGGCAGAATTGAGGTACCTGTATGCTTCTCGAGACGTGCCCGACTCCATAGTTGGACAAGAAGCTTGAAAGGGTCAACCCACAGCTACCACCTCCGACGATGATAACTGGAACTTCTCTTTCGTGAGCCATAGTGATAGGAACGAGAAATGCTGGATGATGGAATTCGAAATGAAGATCGTGTGATATTTCAGGCCGCACAATCTTTCATAAGTAATTTCAGATAGACATCTGAAAAGATGTTACACGAATTGCTGAGAGTAACGGCCCATCCTCCATTTCCAAGTAAAAGGCCGCTCATTTCCTTTTTAGTGCGGGAAAATACACAACGTGGGGAAATCCGGGCCCCGGCGTACCGGAGTTTTGGCTTTCTCCGGATATCATGATACACCCATCCCGGGGAGTAACCCTCCTGCGGGAGTAAAGAGTAAAGCTAACATGTGCATGCGCGAGAAAAGTCTAGTTTCGGTACTAATTCGGGTTTAAGGAGTGCGCTACTGAATGTTGAGGCCTATAGGCCACAGGCATCTAGCATGTCTTTCCCATGTCCTAGTAGCGTTGTTTGCTTGCTCCCTCTCCTTTCAACCACCACCTGTTCAGTCCTCTCTCGCGTAACTGCCAGCATTATACAGCTTGATACTGTGGTGGATTTGGCTCCATTTATTATCCCATTGGGAAGGTTGAGATATGATAGTTTTCGATGATTCATAGAAGGGGGCTATTGCACAATTAAATACATGATTTCATCTACTAATCTTTTGTCCCCTCCGCATAGTAGCAAGGAATTGAACTAACACCGTGAGACATGGTGTCAAATAGATTGAGACTTTATGCTCCAGCGCATATTCAATGGTCATCTTCTCCTGTCCGACGCTACACTGCTGCTGGAATATCATGACGCTTCCCCATCTCAACTCGCTTCTTAATGGCTTTCTCATCCTCGCCCGCATCCAATCGGCGAAGCAGCTCACCTGGGTGTATATCTACTCCGATGGGATTTTCTTGGAAAAATCTGGAGGCCATGAACTCATTTGCCTCCTCGACGGTGTCAAAGTTATCGACTTGAGTCTCAATAGAGTTTCCATCCGGATCTTTGTAGTAAATACTAGTCGTAGGTCCGTGATTGACACACCATGTCGGCTTGATCCCAAGTTGCTCTCTCAACTTCCAGGCTTTAAGAAGTCCCTGGAGCGTATCGTAGGCAAAGGCGACATGGTGAAGACCTGCCGCGGTTGCCGGACGAGGAACGGTGCTTTGATCGTTGATAATAGCGACGCGATGATGTTCTTCGTCATAGCGGAGGAATGCAATAAACTCGTTTTCAAATACCCGTTCCGCGCCCAGGAATATGGACCAGAATTCTACCAGGTCGCTGATGTTGGCCGTTCTGAAGACGACATGAGCTAAGCCACTAGGTCGAAGAATCGAATTATCAGACATGATTGAAGTAATGTTCGTAAAATATATTTCCACGGCGAGGTTTGAATCTATTTGGGGTTCGTTTGCCAGGGAAGTTCCACAAGCTGTATTTAACGTCTTGTAGGTGTGAGGCTGAATAATGTTAGTCAACGTCACACATGCTTCTCGTTTTAATGGGATGCCTTACTAGCAGGTTCGGAAAAAATTACTTGTCCAAATTCGGTATTGTTAATTGTGGTCTGACGTGGGCAAGCAAGTTATACCATGGGTGCTAGAAGATCGGAATATTTAACATGTTTTACGCCATTCTGCTTTGGTTCGGATATATTCACTGGAAGCGGTGAAATGTTCTACCCCTAGTAGTGCATAGTGACGACCCCGACGTGTATCTTGAGGCCTGAGGCGGAAAAGTTTCCAAATGGCGGGGTTGGGGTAGTACGATCTAGTTCGCCACTCAGGACCCTCAGGCAGGAAATACGGACGTAGCCCCAAGATAACCCTTTACCGAATCAACTAGTTATACTTCTCATCCACTCTAAGTTTCTTAGTATAGTCCACTTTCGTCTGATTATCATCCTATCAGCACTTCATGGAGCGTATGTTGTGTTAGCGTTTCAGTCGCCTAGTTCCGCATTGTTTTAACCCGCGAGTTGTCAGCTGCAGTATTTGATAATAAAATTTTGATGAATTCTGAAAAAGCCAACCATTTGCCACTTTTACGAACTAATTCAATGCTTACGTTGATGAGTTTTGAATATTCCATGGGGATTGAAATTGGATAATGTGCAGTATAATACAGGATAATTGAATGATTTGAAAATCGAACAAAGTGCCTAGCGTAGTCCAATGCCGAGTTTCTCAATATTCTCCAATACCTGGGTCACGAGCTGCGCGCATCTCGCGACTGAAGCACCATCAAGAACCCGATGATCGGCACTCCAGCTAAGAACGGCCTTATCACGCCTAACAACTGATGTATCATCCTGTTTCCTATCATGTAGAAAGACCGGAACTTCTTCGACCCTGCCTAGAGCGACAATACCAACTGTAGGAGGCACAATGACAGGGCTAACAACAGAACCCCCGATACTCCCGATGTTGCTCACAGTGAAAGTGGCTCCACTCATGTCAGATGGGGTGAGACGACCTTCTTTAGCCAATGCGCCCAGTCGCTTAACTTCAGTGGCGATGGAAAGAATTGATCGATTTTGAACATCCTTGACAACCGGTACCAGAAGGCCATTAGGTGTGTCGATGGCAATGCCGAAGTTATGAGACGCCTTGACAATTAATCGAGGATTTTGCTGATCCGTCTCTTTGTCCAAGTGGGCGTTCAATTTCGGGTGACGTAGGAAGGCCTGCGACAGAGCCTTGATAAGAAAAGGAAGAAGGGTTAACTTCGTAAGGTCATCCCCATACAGATCTCTCGAGGTGTCTTGCTTCTCATTGAAGCTACGCTGTAGACTGATCAAAGAAGTGACGTCGACAGAGTGGCTGTAGCCAAACTGCGGAATATCAAGAGCACGAGTCATAACCTTGAACATCTGGCTCTCGATCGGGGTCAGAGAGGAGGACTTGATCTTGCGGTATCACAGTGGGCTGGGTTGCAATGTTCGTGGATAAGGAGTTCGGAGCTGAAATTCCTGAAGAAAGATAGCGTTGCACGTCCTCCTTGAGTACTCTTCCACCCTTTCCACTCCCAGTGACATCATTGATATCAATTCTGTGCTTCTTGAGCATAGCTCTGACAGCTGGTACAATCAGCCCAGAGTTCATGGTATCAGGCTCGGGACTCGAGTTGGAAATGTCATTGGGTGTATCGGTGTTCACTGTTACTTCCGCGGCATTCGTAGCCACAATGCTCGAGTCATCTGAAGCAGCCTCTCTCGCTCCTACTTGTGTAGAATCATTATCAATATCTAATAGATCTTCCTCGACGTCAATGTCGAGAAGAGGCTATATGGAATCAGTGAACACCCGACGCCAATTTCAGTGGAGGCGAGGGCAAATTTACCTTCCCTACTTCAGCCATCTCATCTGCTTGGTGGTGGATATTGGCAACGACTCCATCATATCGGGAAGTGATCTATTTGAATGGTTAGACAAATTGAGGGTGAAATTGAAACAACATGACAAACCTCAACAGAGGCCTTATCCGACTGAACCTCACAAATGGCGTCAAACTGGCCCACTCGGTCTCCTGGTTTGACGAACCATTGAACAACCCGGCACTCCGTAATGCCTGGATCTGTTAGTGACAGTCTTATAAAGGGTCCAACTTCATAACCCACCTTCACCAATATCGGCGAGGAGATACGGTTTGAGTATTTCACATGAAGGAGTTGTGTGAAAGTGACTCCTCGAAACTCGAACACCCCGACTTCGATATATCGCGAGGTACCGACTCGGCAGGCGGGCAGCATGTAGGGAGCCCCGAAAAATGGAGGAACCCATATTAACGGGTTTTTTAGGAGGTGAAGAATGGGGAAAGTGGTGATATTCGTGGTAGGCGAGAGAGTGCGAAGCTAGCTACACACAAGCTGGAAGGAAGGAAGGCACGGCGATCTGAATGAATGATGCAGTGGGTTCTAACAGGTCTCTGTTAATTAAATGCAAATTGAATGTAAATTAAAAACAGAAACGAAAACATACGCTCCATTAATGAATATCAATAAGTACACAACTGGGCACATATAAAGAGCAGGAGAAAGAACAACTTATGCTATGACTAACTATCTGACAACTAAGAGAAGTTCCTTGAATAACCGATGATAGATATTAGCTCTGAAAACGCAGTGTAATAAATTGGAGCTCCTGGCCTCCGAGGTCGGAGCTAACTCGATACATTCGGCCCCGGCGTTGATCTGCAGAAGTCGAGACCGAGACCCCGCATACGCCCTATAGGTTCCTATTCTGCATTCAGATTCAAGCCGATGATAACCGATCGGGTTTTGTGAGCCTGAGATTTGTTTATACGCGTGGTATAGTATCTCGGAGTATCTGACCATGGACAAGGTTGAAAGCAAGGAACTTCCTTCTTATCATCTTCACACATTTACATTAAAACCCTAAATTCGCGACTTACAGCCTCTTCGACATGAAAATGACACCAGGCCAAAAATTGTCTCCTTTGATCTGGAGACCGCGATCTCTGGTTGGCGGCAGTCATAGTCTCCAAAGGGGTTTCAGACAAGCAAGCTCTAAGTCATCTGAGAAATCCTATCAGTCTTCGTGAGCGGGAAATTTAAATTCCCTTATATTATTTGATCATCGCTGAGAAAGAAGCCACCATAGGCCATTCCCGGGAGCAGTGAAAAGTCCCCGTACCACGAAGATGAATTTCCTGAAACCGATAGAAGTTCCTCCCATCCCGACCTACCATGTGATGGACTCGGGTGGCTCGATAGAAGATTCCAGTCGTGTGCCACCCGAAGTGACCGACGAGCAGGTCCTTGAATGGTACAAAAACATGCTAACCGGTAAGTCAAACTTATTTCAAGCAAGAATAAAGTGAATTCTCTTTGACCAAGAGGGATAATAGTCAATATTATGGACAACATCATGTTTGAGGCCCAAAGACATGGGCGTGTCAGTTTCTATATGGTAACTTATTTTTTCTTTCATCTACTCCGAGTCTTGTTGCTGATGAGCCGCAGGTTTCCGCGGGAGAAGAGGCTGTCACCGTTGGCTCTGCAGCTGCGCTAGACTCGAAAGACGTGATTACCTGTCAATATCGGGAAACCGGAGTCTTCGTGCAGCGCGGCTTTACTCTAAAGGATTTTATGAGCCAGTTGACTGCCAATCATAACGATCCCGGAAAGGGACGAAACATGCCAGTTCATTACAGTGGAAAGACCAAAGTCAATGTGGTAAGTCATCCACCAATTTGAAAAAGAACCGTCAGATCTCTGATTATGAGAACGTGAATTCAGCATGCAGTTGCGTCGACCCTTGCCACACAGATCCCGCATGCTACCGGTGCTGCATACGCACTAAAGATGGACGCCCTCGAGAACCCCGACCAGCCTGCCCAGATTGCAGCGTGTTACTTCGGCGAAGGGGCCGCAAGCGAAGGAGATTTCCATGCAGCACTCAATGTGGCTGCAGTGAAGAAGTGCCCAGTCATTTTCCTTTGCCGTAACAATGGCTTCGCGATTTCAACTCCCACCACAGAACAGTATATCGGGGATGGTATTGCAGTGCGTGGAATGAGCTATGGTATCGAATCCATTCGAGTGGACGGAACCGATATTTTTGCTGTCTTCGAGGCAACCAAAGAAGCTCGGCGACGAGCTCTGGAGGACGGAGGGCGCCCAATCCTCCTCGAATTCATGAGCTACCGCGTGTCTCACCACAGCACTAGCGATGATAGCTTTGCGTACCGCAACCGAAACGACGTGGACTCTTGGAAGGCAAAAAACGATCCGCTTGCCCGTTTAAGGAAATGGATGGAGAGAAAGGGTCTATGGGATGCCGAGAAAGAAAAAGAATCTCGTCAAACAATCAGAGCTGATGTTCTGCGGGAACTGGTGGCTGCCGAAAGAGAGAAAAAGCCAGCGCTACGGGGGATTTTTGACGACGTCTATTCTGAGCTGACTGAGGAAGCAGAGGAGCAAAAGGAAGAGCTTAGAAGGCTAATGATGAGATATCCGGAAGAGTATGATCTCAATGAACATGAAGGGGGGATTAAGGGACTGTAAGCTAGCAAGAAGGGAAATGACGAACATCCAGGGAAAGATAGAAGGACATGGATGAATTTTGTTTGAATTGAATTCTTTCTTTTTTGTTCAAAAAATCGCTATAAAATCTCGTTCAAGTTTACCAAACAGAATGTTTCGTATAAAACTACGGCCATGGGCTCGTATTTGACTAGGGGAGGGTAACCTTTTGAGACAGACGAAGTTGGCTGCAACGGTCATATGGTCTTACGTTGCAAAGAGGTTCAAGTTTCGCATCCCATTTCAAAAATATTTATTTTGGAGAATTGTTCAAGTTTGAGGAAAGTCTTTTTTCAAATCTGGAGAAAGACAGGACAAAAATCTAATCACACAAAGTCCCAACTTGGATGTTCTCACACCGAGTTCAACCCAAAAAGCATTCTCTGCCAAGCAACATTTAATCCTTCAGTAGCTCTTGGATTGTGTCATATACCCCTAAAGAACACCCAATATGTTAATTTTCAACCGCAACCACGATTCAAGAAGACTTACTGGTAACATCGGGTAGAATGTATTTCTCCCAGGCGAGACCTGTGTGAGTGGTCCACCCAGCAACACGCCTGATGGGAGCTTCAAGATGAAAGAATGCCTTCTCTTGTATCGTTGAAGCAACCTCGGCACCAACGCCAAAATTAACCATACTCTCATGGACTATCATAGCTCTGCCAGTCTTTTTGACACTGTCAATAACAGTTTGTCTGTCCCAGGGATATATCGTTCTTAAATCAATCAATTCAATTGAGACACCAGGCATTTCCTTCTCGGCAGCTTCGATCGCAGCCTGGCAGGTATAGAGGGGTCGACCATATGAAACAATGGTGAGGTCAGCGCCCGGTTTCACAATCTCTGCCTTACTCAGGGGTAGCATATATGAGGCGTCTGGGACCTCTTCGACGGCAGCACGATAGAGGATTTTAGGCTCTAAAAAGATAACCGGGTCTTTTGATTCGAGGATCGCAGACAGAAGAAGGCCCTTCGCTTGAGATGGGGACCGTGGCACGACGACTGTGAATCCTGGAATGTGACAGAACAGACTCTCTGGTGATTGACTGTGGTATCTGTAATTGTCAAATACTCCCATTAGCTTTCGTTGCAGACAAGAATCTAGAAGCAAAGGGGACTAACAATGCACCATGCCCAACACCCCCGGAAGGCATTCGGATAACCATTCCTCCAAGGTTACTCCCAGTCGAGCCCTCTCGGTAGCGAAATTTGCTTGCTTCGTTGACAATTTGGTCAAACGCAGGAAAAATGTAATCTGCAAACTGGATCTCAACGACTGGCTTTCTCCCTTCCGCTGCGGCACCAATAGCGGCCCCGACAATACCTTGCTCTGTTAGAGGAGTGTTGAATACTCTGTCAGGGCCGAATTCATTTTGAAGTCCACTTGTGCAACGGAAGACCCCTCCGAATGCAATATCTTCACCGAAGCAAAGAACATCCTTGGATGAACGCAGCGCGGTGGCCAAAGCAGTATTGACGGCCTGGCACAGATTCAATCGTTTGGATGGTCCGTCATCAGGAATACTGCTGTTCTGGAATGTCTTCGAGGAATGGTGCAGCAATGGAGAAGTTTTGAAGTCGATTGGTACATTGAGTCGGCGTGATTTGGCAGTTGTTGTTGCATAACCACGCGCCTTGAAGATTGATAACTTCCATGGGGATATGTGACGAGCAGCCATTTTTTTGGTCGAAGTTATCTTACCTTTGAGGAATATAGCAAGCGTGTCGAGTAAATCAATGAATGTTCCCCAATTTCATTCGCATTTCATACTATCGAATCTTCCAGGTCTGCTTTTGGAGTTCGGTTAGAAACGGATAGCATCTATGCATGGCGCTCGAATTGTCGGACTCCGATTGAGAGGAAAGCTTTCCCCGCAAGTGACCCCAGGCCATAGTGTTTAGCAGGACTCGGAGTCATCAAAAGTGTAAATACCGGAGTTGCCAATGTCTCCGAACGGATGTAGCATAGCGCAACAAGAATGCCCGAGATCGGAGCCGGAGTTTGGGCTTACCCCATAATCTCATACCTCGGACACAGAATCTACGCGGGGTATTACCTGTAAACAAATTAAAAAGGCTAAAGTTAATATCGTCGACTATTCACCGATTCTCCGATCAAGGCAAAATGTCCGCGCAAAAAGGTTTAATGTTAAAGCTCCCAGTCGGTTTGTTTCGCTCATTCAATGGATATATCAAATAATTTGATGTCTCCCTCAATTTCCCGAGGAGTAACTTAACTCTCTGGTCGAGAAGGAAGGTTTAGGGTATTTAGCACTAGTTTTGCCCATCGAAATTGGTTGTTTATCGCCCATAAAGATCCCATTCCATCAACCAGAAAAATGACTACGGACAATTCGACAAATCCAGCCATATGGCCTACTTCCATGCCTTCGTCAGACGTGAAACAGCTGGTAAAACGCTTCTTCACTTTGGTAGACACGAGTTCGGATGATGTAGGGCAAAAGTTAGCAGATGAGGTCTTTACCCACGATGGAGTGTTCATTACAGCAAACGCAACATTCCAAGGGTCGGCAGGTGAGATCATCATCCTGGGCTTCCTATTTGCAGATTTGGACTTTGCGCTCATATTCAAATCCAGAGATATTGCACTCTAGAAAGGGTGCCTGGACGACTGTGAAAAAACGACGTCATACAATCTTGAAGAGCTATGTGAACGACGTACACGGCACGGATATCATTCTTGTAGGAAACTTGAAAATGGAAACACTGGATGGAACAAAGACAAGTCTCGAGTTTGTGGCTCGTATGGAAATTGAAGAACAATGGCCCGGTCCCAAAATAAGTCAATATCAGGTTATCAGTCCGGCTCCAAAGGACTCGCGGCCTATTGTGGATATTGAGTGACTTCTATCTAGATATATGGGTTGATGGATTTCTTAGGTGATTTTATTGCTGATTTGAGAGGTTATATCAAAAACCCTTGGGTTCAAGTTGTGCTCGCAACTGAAAACTCAAAGTTCTCCCCGTCAAATATTCCAATTATCACATATAGTTCATGCTAGTAACTACACATGAACAAAACCAGCTACAGCAATAAGTCCAACGCGTCCGAAAAATAGTGAAACTCAATATTGTAGCAATATCTCATCTATCGGAGACTTATAAATGCACCAGAAAAGAATTGGTCGAATCAGTTCAATTGTTTAGGCGGGGGAAAGCAATGTGAAACCGGGGTGATGACGGGTCACGTGCATGTAAACAAAGCGCGGGCTTGTCGGAGATACAGCACAGCATCACCAACCTCACCAACTCCCTCTCGTCGCCGGGGCCCAAAACCACACCCCCAAGAATTATCCCAACCCAACCGCAAATATGAATCAAAAAGCATTCCTGCTCGGCTCTCCAGACCCACAAGAAGAAGAGCTTGACGCCGAGATCCGCTCCATTCGCGCAGAGAGTACGTTTACGTCCAATCCAATCCAATCCAAACAACCCAGACCCCAAACACAGCGCGTCAACAGTCAAATTAGATAATAACCCGAACCCAACTAACAAAATACGCACACTAGTCTCTACCCTCAACCACCGCAAAAGAATCCTAACAACAAGCCTCCTCTCAAGTCCCAGAATCAAAACCCTCCTCCAAAACCAAACCCCAACGACGACAAAAACCCTCACAACCCTAAAAGAAGACCTCTCTCCACTAGCAACAGCAGCCGGCGCCCACACCACTGCCAATCACCACCGCATCGCCTTCGGCGCAACGGTATTCCCATTCAAAGATCCCGCGCCGAATTGCCCGGATCCGAATCTGTTGGGTATACGTATTGACGTTTGTGCGCGGAATGGCCGCTTCGCGAAACCTTATTATGTGCTTTTGCGACAGGAGCGGAGTCGGCAGCAGCAGCAGCACCGCCAGCAAGGAGGGAATGGGAATGGGAAAAGACTCTGCGTCCATCGACATACGATTCCGGCTTTTATTTCGGTGGATAGATTGGCGGGTGTTTATTTGCCGTTATCTTCTTCATCATCATCACAATCGCGTCATGGGAATGAGGGCGGGAGCGGGAGTTCTGGGTCTGAATCTGAGAGTGATGGTGATGGTGATGAGAGTGTTCCGATGAAACCAGGACAAGCGCGCAGTACGAGGAGAAAGCAAGATCTACGTGGTTTTGTGCGCGAATTGAGGAGGGAATTAGTGGCCTGGCATCTTCGTTCCGATGCGGTGGTTTTTCTGCAGGAGAAGTTGGGACTTATTCGTGATTCCGGCTCTGAAACGGACGCAAATACAAAGGCGGACGAAGAAGAAGAGCAACAGCAGCGGCTCTGGGCCGACGAGAAGTCCCCGCCTCGGAACGATTTGGGGATTATTGGGTTAGAAGCTACGGCTGTTGAGGCGCGGTATGTGCGGATGGAGTGGGAGGATGGTCGACTGGGACGGTTTAAGCTGTCTAATGCGGGACTTGTGGAGCGGGCTGTTTTCATGAATGATCGCGGTCGTGATAAGCAGGTTGAGGATGCTGTTACTGGAGGTGGGGGGGAGGGTGGAATCGCTTTTTGAGCGGTTGAAGGCGCTTTCGGCTATGGAGTCAAGTCCCTGATTGGGCCGCCATGGAAGTCAAGGTTGCATGTACCAGTGCTAAATCTGGCCGACGGATCCAAGCCGAGGGACTCGGATGAAGTGAGCTTGAAAGGACTACCTACTAACTACTTAATATGATACCCGATGCTCAGCATCATTGATACGAGGAATGAGAATTTGAACTTATCAAACTATTCAATCACATCTATAAGAACCGAACCTAGTCCACGGGTATCCCAGAAACAAATGCTATGCACATGAGGAACCAAAGAGCCGCCGCAATGCGATATATAGACAAGTCATGTCAAGGAGATCAACAGGAAATATTCACGAAAAAAAGGTGATTACAAGAAAGGTAAGGGCATGAGAAATGAAAGAAATCGGTACAAGTGAAAGTGTTGAAAGCCCTTGGTGGGCTGTCAACAGAACATGGGTATCAAGGCGGGCAGGTAGATGCAAAAGTATATCACCAACCAACCAAACTCAGGCGAAGTAGAGCACGCAAAGGTCAATAGCCACAAGACTGACTAAATTTCCCCAGCAGCAACAGACGACGCCTCCGAAACAGAAATAGCACAATCTCGGTTCTCGGTCTCAGATTCATCGGCAACAGCAGTAGCAACAGTGAAAGAGATCAACGGCAGGGGCCCGTAAACATGCCCATTTCTTTGTTCAAGCTGGTGGCGCAAAATAGCTTCTTCCAAATGCCAACGATGCTGCAGCTCCATTTTCTTCGAGTCCAAAGCCTTGATAACAGTCGTTTCCTCATTCCTATGTTCAACCTGAAGCGTTTTGATATTTTTGATATTCTGCTCGCACAGCGTATCCAGTTCGCGCTCCATACGCTCCATAGCCTCCGACAGCTTCATTTCTTGCCGGTCTCGGAGAACTTTGATGCGAGCTTCATGAAGGGCATCCATCGACTCGTGCGCGTGATATTGCTGCTCGAGCTGCTCTTTTTGCTGCTGCGTGATGCGACGGGCTGGTGGGGTGCCGTTTGTCTCGGAGATCATCGACTCGGAAGATTGTTGCGCAGTCCCTCCGGGGGAAGGTGAAGGTGGGGGGGCTGGCATTGCGGAAATAGCCCTCCATATGCTTGATGCGAGTACGAGAGTTCATTTTCGCGCGTTCGAAATCACGCTGCTGTTCCATTTCGATGGCGAGTTGGCGCTCCTCCAGTCGACTAGTCGCGGCTGTATTCTATTCAGTCTGGATTAGTCCGGTTTCAAATGTCAAATTTGCTAGTGGTGCAAGCGGAACCACAAACCTTTACACGCTTCTCTTCCTCCAAACGCTCGTTGTCTGCGTATCGTTCCGAAATGGCGGTCTGATGTCTTTGCCGCGTGATGCTGAGGGCGGCATCTTGGAATACCATGTGTCTGTCCTTCTCCAGTCGATGTCGCTCTAACATCTCGCTTAGCTCTGGATCATCCAAGCTTCTCTGCAGCGATTCCTCGTCGAAGAGGGGGATTTCCAACTTCGCGAGAGATTCCGATGTTGGCGGACGGGGGAGCATATCGTTGCTTGTTGGCGCCTGTTTCTTCTGCTCGAGGTAGACATGATCCACGCCCGTGTCGCCCTTGGAGACTAGAACGTTTGAATCAGGCGGGAGCAAGACGCTAGAGGGCCGCTTCCTGCGAAACTGGATCCGTCCAATGGCACTCTTAATGCTACTCCTCCTTTTATCTTTCTTGTCCGCCGACGCAACGCTGAGCATAGACATGCGATTCACGGGAACCGACAAACTATCCGCATTTTTACCATACGCATAAGCGCCAGGCAGAGTCCTGCTCTCGCTGGAACAATACGAGGTTGGCCGAGTGGACAGCGAAGCGAGCGAGCGCGTACTGCCAGGCTTCGCGAGCTCGGATGCAATTGTGATTGAGGACGGGGAGGAGACGACTTGATCGAGCGGGGATGGGGAGGACGGTTCGTAGGAGGGAGTGACGGAGCCATCAGCGAGGGAATTCCGATCAGTCGATGAGCCCGATGAGAGGACCGGCGAGGAGAGATCGACCATTCCAGAGGCGATCGAGGCGGCCAGCGGTGCCGAGGCTTCGATCTCAGGAACTTTCAGGCCGAGAGTGCGCGCCTCGTCAGAGAGCTGTTGCGCCCGCGCTTGTTCTGCTTCTGCCGAGTCGAGGTGGAGGACATCTGTTCGGTATTGTTGCTCGTCGAGGACGGGCGCAAGGCTGGGCGTGGGGGAGTCGTCCATGACTCTATATGTACAGTCCACCAGTCCCGTATGCGAAGGTTTGAGGAAAAGCGCCTAGCCAGCGGGCGCGCATGTAGTGGAGGGGGAGAATGGGCGATGAGGTTCAAGATGAAACGAACGGACTCGTCCACGGTACTGCGAGCACGGTGGACGAGGGGGCGCACAATGACAGCATCCGCTAGGGCCGGTGTGCAAGAGGGGAATGTGACTCGGGGATGAGAAAGTGGTGGAGGCAATGAAGATTGGAGATTGGAGATTGGAAATTAAGCCTCGACAGGGTTGAGAGGGGTGTAAGCCACGCGTGGGAAGAGAGAAAAACAGGTTGGAACTTGAACCTGTCAGGAAAGATCCGAGGATCGTCTTTTATTCTCCAGTCTATTCTCCAATCTCCCTACTATTTTTTATTTCCTTTTTACTTTATCTACTTTTGGACAAATGTTTCCGCCTTAATCTTTTTTCGTATGACACTATTGACCCACAGGGCGATCCTGATGCAAAGGCATGTGGCAGATATTCGGCCCGTTCAGCCTATTCAGCCCTTTCGGCATTCTCTCTTTTGTCTCACCCTGAGAGTTTCGTTCTTCCTTGGAATAGTTCATTAGCCCACGTCAATCCACTTCCCCTAACCCTAGGGTTGAGAGGTTGTCCATCCCGAACGGACCCCCACGCGGTGGCGAGCCATGGGTCCCGGTCAAATGGAACTTGAAACTTGAATGGATCAGGCCAGGTACACGCGGCAGTACAGCACCACTTGAATATATAGAGTGAAACGATACTACTACTAGTAGAGAAAGCAAAAGCACGAAAAAAAAAGAGCCTGCATACTAGTAGTTGTAGAGGTATCAGATGAGCCACAACTTGAACTACTCATTCAACAGATCAATAGCCAATCCGTAAGCCCGCTCCTTAGCCTGAAGTTGCGGGGATCCAGCCCGCGTGTGCTTGTCCCACCCGTGGTTGCACGACTCCATGCGCTCGCAGACCACATGCCATCCCTGTCTCTGTTGAAGTTTGGTCGCAAGTTCCTCCGCCTCGAGGGCCAGTGTATCGCAGTCCGCCGTAATCACCAGCATACGCCTTGGGAACCGCTCCAGCTCCGCAAACCGGGGTGAGATGCGCGGATCGCGTCTGTCAAAGCCCGAATGCACATAGCAGGTATTAAACAGGCGTGCCAATGGGGCCGGAATGGGCATTCCATTCGGGTTGGGGGCAATCTTAGAATTGGCAGGGCTGCTCAGATCCAGCGCTGGGTAGAAGGCGATTAATGAGCGGAAAGTGTCCGGCGGGAAGAGACAAGCCGAGGCTGCCAGAGAGAGATTGCCCCCGGCGCTGAAACCACCAATTGAGAACTGCGTGGCATCGTACTCTTCTGGTCGACTGAGGATGTATTTCACCGCATCTTCGACGTCGTTGAGGGCTGCTGGGAATGGATTTTCTGGGGCCAGGCGATACGAGCAGTCCACCACGGTGTATTTGGTGGCGCGGCTTACTCGTCGACAGAATTCGTCGTCGGTGCCGTGTTGGGGGAGCATAAATCCGCTGCCATGGAAGTTCAGGAGAACGGGTTTGGGGCCTGACGCGGATGATGATGAATGATACAGATGGGCCTTGATGGTTCTCCCCGCGTCGCGGGAGGGAATATGGAGGACTTCATCGGGGGTGGGAGATGGTCGGCGAACAACGAAGCCTATTACATCCGAGAGGAATCGGATGATCACCACGATGATTTTGTAATAAACATAGGTCAGTCCCTTCATTTTGGAGAGATGTGTTAAAGTTCAAGTTGGAGATGGGAGGCTGGGCCGAGGCTGACTGGTTTGGTTGAGAATGGATCATGGATCACGCTAGTTATAGATCGTTGCAGGCCCGAGCCCACTCAGTTCAACTTTATTTGCTTAATACCGACTGGGATATAATATCTTTCGGAGCCCAAAAGCAATCAAAATTGAAGTTTGGAAATGATCATCCCGCATTTGTCAAAATTTCCTGCAGAATTGTGGTATCTCTGCCAGTTGGTAACTAAGGTTGTCGACTCAGAGCAAGGAATCTGCGACCAGGAGGGGAATCCTCTAAGTATAATATACTATTATGTAAAGTTTTCTTCTACTAGTAGTCTTCCGCAGGCTCAGACATGCATGGATAAACATAATTGTTTTGTCTCATACGCAGCTGCATAATTACTGGTGCAGAATAAACGGGAGGTGGGCAAACACGATCCTCACAAAACTCACCTCTGGAGATTTGAAACATGTGATTAGGGAAGCTCTTGTTAAGGCTGGCATTATCGAATGAAAATGACATCATTCTGAGATAGAAGCCACAAATGTAGTAGCCATTCAAACTACTTTCAAAAATCATTGCCATAAGGATGGCCTGGCCGTGAAAAAAGAAGCCAAGATCGGAATTTGAGTCTTATTTCCTTTGAACAACGTCTTAAGTATTCTTCGAAGAAACCCCTGGAGGGAATTATCTTATGAAAATTTCTTTCTGAGCTCAAAACAGCCCCAGGAAACGCAACCACAATCATCATCCCCATTATCGAATGGAGCTGGAGAGTCCTTTCAAGGCATTGTGCCTCTTACATCTTCACACCTTGAATACCTTAGCCAAAACTCCTCTTTGGCTGCTTTATCGCATCCTCTTGACATAGTGACATTAGTGGTGTCAAGCTACCAGATGACTGAGATGACGGACTAGTATGCCGTTTTTAATTCAGCTTCCATTTCGCCAGTGTGACTTCAAAAGAAATAAAGCCTTATGACAGGGTGATGTTATGCTTGCACCTATATTTAATATCGGGATAATCTAGCGAGAAATTCATTTATTAATACTATACTAGATAGCATTGATGATGCGCGTCGGCATAGAAACTGGTGCGTGGGTGTCGAGATAGGTCATGTGAAGAGAGGTTATCGGGACTGATCAGAGTGTTGTGACCCACCTGGAGGCAGCACACCCACGCACTCGCCACTTTCCATCCACGCGCATGCCAAGACGTTCGAGATCCCATGGAGATGATGACGTTCCCCTGGCACAACTACAACCGCGACTGTCCCTGTTGTCCCCAGTCTTCATCGGATACAGCACAAAAGGACATTGACAACCACGCTCAAAGCTGCGACTCCACTGATCTTTCGAGTGAGAGCTTCTCGTGCTATTCCCACGTCCCGAGCGCTTCAACCTTTACCTCCGACAACTCCCAGGACGTGTCTGGGAGAAGCTCTGGGAGCAGCTCTGCATCTATTAGTGTTGGGTCTGTATTTGACTTTGACGAATACGAATAGTCGTTTTGCTCCTCCTCATCCTCATCCTCATCCTCATCCTCATCCTCAAAGAGCACGGTCGTGGATAGCGATCCCACTATCGCCAATATCTACAGGCTCATCCACGAGCAACTGGCCTCACGAGGCCTAACTCACAAGAAATACGACCATCACTCATCTTCTCCATCCTCCTCATCCTCAAGGGAGAGTGGAGGGTGCCCTCTCGAATCTCAACCCCAAGACTCCCCGTTAGCTCCATCCTCTCCCTCGTCATCATCGAGTGAGAGTGGAGGGTGCCCGCTCGAATTTCATAACCAAGATCCCCCGTTTGCTCTCTCCTCCCCCTCCCCTGCCTCTCGATCCTCTTAATCCTCTTAATCCTCCCCATCCTCCCGATCCTTCCCATCACTCTGTTCTCCAGCCTGCCCCCTCTTATCCGACCTACCTGATGTCGGGCAGCGAGATGACTGACCAGTACGCGGTGCTCATTCGGCTTCCATTTCCCCGAGGTGACTTTCATGACCCCCCCTCGGTAAGTGATTGATAACCTATATATGCATGTTGTTCACTGATCTAACTGTTGTCTAGGTGGAATGGGATGCGAAGAAGGAGAGAGCGCTTTGGGATTTGATTTCCCGCCCATCAAAAGATGGTCTCGACTGTGAGTCTGCTGCATAGTTTATTTACTGAAATCACTGTCTAACTTTTGACAGGGAATGAACTGTAACTGTCATCTGGATCTGCCCACGTTCAAATGCGTTTGGCTAACATGAACCATCAGGTCCGAGCACTTTGGAGTCACCCTTCAATTTTTGCAGCAGCAAGTTGCATGGCTCTATGAAAGACAACTTACCCAGGCGCGCGCCCAAATGCGCAAAGTGCCCCAGCAACTTCAAACACATTCAAATTCGTCCTCCCCGGCGCCAGGATCTGTGGCTGGAAGTACAGCACTTGGTGGTCAGCCACAAAGACCACCCCTAGCTGGTAAGTATTCAAAATGGAAGTTCTGTGCCATAACAGACTGACAAGTCCTCAGGCTCTCGCGGCATGTTCCGCCAAGTCTCGCAGCAGCGAGAGGGTCTTCAGCCTGCTCCCACCGACCGAAGACTGAGCTTTACATCAACCACAACCATCAACCGAGTCCGCGATACACCCCGAACTGACACACCGACCACTGATGGCCGAGAACACGGTGTGGGGAGTAGTACCCGTCGACCTTCCGTTCCCCGTCGCGACCAACCTCAGAGCACTTCATTCATGCGGTCACCACCTCTCCAAGAAGAGGATTTAAGCTCAAGCTCCGAAGAATCGGACTCCGAGGAAGAGACTTCACCCCGTCGCTTCCCGCGCTGGCGCAATTTCGGAAAATACTCCGCGCATCAGTCACGCGCTGGTATCCGCGACGATGAAGACGACGACGATGATGCGCCCGCTTTCCTCCCCATGCCTCGTCACGAGCAGCTACCACGAGAACGTCCCAACGAAAGAGTAAGCCAAGAACTGAGTGGCACACTCCGACTAGATGCCGAGCGAGCATCCGCCGCCTGGCGTCCAACCGAACGCAGGCCTGGCTTCTTACCAACGGATGCAGGGTCAAGTACCAGCTCCACTGGAATGAGCTCGGCAAGCTCCACTGGCCCAAATCATCCAGCGAGGGGTGATGAACGCCGAGTTCCTCTACGGAGTCCCCGTGGCGGCGACCGGGCCACTGAACAATCGCGCGCAAGCCCACGCAGCAAGGGTGGAGTGAATGGCAGTGACGGTACACCCAGCATGGGCAGCAGTTTTAGCGACTTAGATGGTAAGTCCGGTACCACCTTAATGAGCTTTCCATGTTTACTGCGGCTTCTTACTTACGGGCGGAATTAGATACCAGTGTGACCCAGTCGGCACTCGAAGAAGCTCTCATGAGCAACATGCAACAAGGTGGGATGGCGAGCCGCATGAGCACGATCAGCCAAGCCCTCCGCAGCCGATATCTCCAGTAAATTCCGGTGTGATCGCGGGCTGGTATGCAGTTTATTATGACTTGATGAATTCACGATGACGATCTGTTGAGTGGCGATGGAAGATCTTGGGGTTACACACGAATCTAACTGCCGATTTGATCGAACCAATCTCGACTGCAGACCCCTATGCCAATCTATGGCTTATGCATACATGCATAGAATGAATGTACGGGGTAGATCACGACCCACTCTCGCATCTGCAGGATACCAGCTACCGAGTAGATCTAGTTCTAGCAATTTATTCCTCCTAATTTCGGAGTAAACCATAGCAATTCGGAATCCTGTTCTCCTTTTTCTTATTTACTTACTACTCCTTAAATGCCAGTACAATGTAATTAGTACATCCTTCTGTCCGAGTGAGTGCTGCAATCTGCTCGGTATAAACCAGTCTACACGTGACCCGCCCGCGTTAGGGATCCAATCACAACGCCGCACCACGCTTCACTCCGACAATCAACCCTCAAACGGTCGAGCAACAGGCTCCTTTTTCCTTCCAGACTTGCCTTCCCTTTTTCCATTCTGACACCAAGATCCGCATCGGCCCAGCGGCAGCGCTAAAACCCAATCAGGCAGGCCGATCTCCGCAGGTTCCAAAGCACAAACTGTACAACCGGCTACAGCGGGGCAAAAAGTCACCGAGCTACGGAGCTTCCGATCGACCCCTGTCAATGCTTTGCTATATAGACAAGACCAGTCTGTCTTTCATCGCAAGCCTGCTACAGCTTCAGCTGCATCGTTTTATCCCATCACCCGTTGGGAAGCTTGCCAATCGCCCCACGCTGATTGACCCCGGTCGCAGCAGCACCACCCACTGGTACATCCATTGCAACCCCTCCATGATCAACCGCGGCCTCGGCATCTGATTTGCGTATCCACCCCGCCGATTCAAAGCGGCCGGATCCTCGAATCCCCAACGAGCCAGAACTTACGTCGCAACCTCGTCAACCCTTCCGCCCTCTCTCAATTCTCTCATCCTTCCATCCACTTCACCGTCAGCCTCCCTCCCCTCACCACCTCGCCACCATGTCCCCCTCCCTCGGCGATATGGAGCCCGCAGAGGCCGAATCCGTCTACTTCAACGAATACCCACCACCAAAGGCGCTCCCCAAACACGAAGCTCTAGCCCGCGCCTTCATCGACCTCCACGTCGAAGCCAACCGCCGCGTCGTCCTCGTTACATCAGGCGGAACAACCGTCCCCCTCGAAGCGCAAACAGTCCGCTTCATCGACAATTTCTCCGCGGGAACCCGCGGCGCAACCTCGGCAGAGTACTTCCTGGAGCAAGGGTACGCGGTGATCTTCCTACACCGGCAGTACAGTCTGCTCCCGTATTCGCGGCACTATAGCCACTCGACAAATTGTTTCTTGGACTTTATGGACGAGGCGCCACCTGTTCCGGGCGCGGCGAATCAGGATCATGGGTCTATTGTTGTGCGCGATGAGTATCAGACTGAAATGCGTGATGTGTTGAGGAAGTATCGGTACGCGAAGCAGAATAATCGACTCCTTTTGTTGCCTTTTACGACGGTTGCGGAGTATATGTTTGAGTTGCGGTCGTTGGCGAAGTTGATGCGACCACTCGGTCCGAATGCGTTGTTTTATCTTGCCGCTGCTGTGAGCGACTTTTTTATTCCGAGGAGTCGGATGGCCGAGCATAAAATTCAGTCTTCGGAATTGCCGCCTCAGTACCAGGGTGGTGGTGGTGACAGTGGTGCGGATAGTGCTGTTGATGGGGAGGATGAGATATACACCGGAGAGAACGAGGCTAAGCCGGCCAACCAGAAGAAGCTGGTTATTAACCTTGATCCTGTGCCGAAGTTCTTGCATCGACTGGTCGATGGATGGGCTCCGGATGGGAGTATGGTTGTTTCCTTCAAGCTGGAGACAGATCCCACGTTACTGGTTTATAAGGCGCGCACTGCCTTGCAGCGATACTCACACCACCTTGTTATCGGTAACCTTCTCTCAACGCGCAAGTGGGAAGTTGTCTTCATCACGCCGGACCCCCCCACACGAGCGATGGATTCGAGTCCCCAAGGCTCGCCGCAGTAAGAGTATCTCCGGCGTCGAAGATCAAGTTGGTCTTGCGGAGATTATGAAGCGCAGCGCCGGAGGCGCAGCTGGCTCCGAGTCACAGCAAGCGCCGAGTCAACCAGATGTTGGCAGCGAGGGCATTGAAATCGAAAGTATTATTATTCCCGAGTTGATCAAGTTGCACGAGAACATGATCGAGAAGAAGAATGCGCCGGCGCAGTAGTCGCGGCGGGAATTTATTGGAGGGAGTGATGGATGGATGGAAATTCTGTCATAGAGCCATACTGGGAAAAGCATATCAGCCTCATAGTCAGCTGTACAATCATTAATGGAGTCAATCGTGCTTACAATCATCGCCCTTGATGAATATACTCAATAGCATTGCCAGCGAAGCCATCTACGCAAAAACAAGGCTTAGCTATCGATCAATCTTCAAGAGAGGCGCTGGAACCTAGAAGAACACGAAGTATGCAGACACAGCAACAGCGGTCATCATTTGTTTTTGTGATTCACCACAGCCCTGATGCCCTACAGATAGATTGGGGTCCAAAAGTCCCCAAAAGGAAACTGGTCCTGAACCACGATCGAACAGCCAAATTCTGCGCTTAAAAGCCCTTGCTAACTACCGCCACGGAGAGGAAATCAGAAACTTCTACCTAGGTACATAAATGGCCGGGCCCGTTGCAACGGCTGAAGGGTTTGCTCTTGGAGGTGCTGCCATCGCTGCTGCATTCTTGCGCTATAGGTGCAAGTGCTGCGATCGCTGAAATGAATTTCCTTTTCAGTCACTCGCAAGTTCAAATTTAAAGTTAGCTTAATTGTGTGTCTGCAAGCCTTGGAATGAGTTCAAGTTTTTAGATGGCATACCTAAGTGTATAAATACCTGGTACTATCTGATATCGATGGATATGTCAACAGCAATTATTCAGTTAAAATTGAAATGATAAATCGTTAAACCGGGAATCTGGAATGTCGAATCCTCAGCCAGCGGCACCAGAAAATACTGAAATGCGTGTGACTGAAAACGCACAGCATCTTGGTGTTTATTTATTCGGTGATCATCAGTCCCTTTGGCGTTAAGGGATCACTCGCATATTTTGGAACTCGGGCTTATCTGCGAGGGACCAGAAAATAGGGTTGGGTTGCGATGGCGTGTCTTGAACCACCCCCATTCACTTTTTCCATACGATCAGGTTTTCCCTTTCTCAAAACAGATACCCTCCGTCTTCTACTCCGTAGACTTCAGGAAGGTTAGCGAATTGGCAAGTGTGCCAAGGACGTCTCGTATTTCCACCTCGTATACTTCATTTTAATCACAGTCTAAAGATCTTGGCAACCCGACAAAAAGTGATAGTGGCTGCATTTCAAATTAGTAGTAAGAATCGTCAACCTTCATCTCTGTGCGTTTATTAGTAAAAGATCCCCCCCCCCCCCAAATCATATTCCCCATGAGCTTCGAACAAAAGTCCAGGCCATCACCATGCGCTTCCCCCACACTCTACTCTTGCTTGCAGTAGTTCAGCCCTCAACCGCATGGCTTGTCAAGTACTATGCCACAGAAGAAATTCAACGTGGCTGGGGGACTACTAAACATACCACCGTCTCGCCAGTCGTGACAACCGCTCCATTGACAGTCGAACCGACCTCCACCTCCACGACGCATTCTACAAATTATCTTACCAGGGACGGTCCCGGTAACTACCAAATCAATGTCACGACAGAGTATCTCATCTTGCCAAATGTTACCAACCTTCCAGTTTCGGCTTTCTTTGTCTGGGCCCCACCAGTTCCAACCGAGAATCCATCCGTGACGACAAATTATTATTTGCCCGTCACATTGAGCAACCCTGCATCATGCACTAAGACCAAATTCACATATACGGACTCGACTAGGATCTTCCTTCCTAAGTTCTTGAAAGCGCAGGCGACTGCATCGAGTATAGCCACATTCGTATCGAACTATGTGTCAACCATAAGCACGAATCTGGGCGGACAAGAAGTGACCACATCAATATGCGATGTCTATATGAATGACAAGATCGTGACCTCTATTGATCTCATTGATTATGAACGGTATCTTTCAGAGTGTATAGATCCGCGACGATCAATGTGTAGCTCAGGTGAAAATACTGAAGCTACGGGCACTGGTGGTTGTCTTGGGGTATACCCGCCCACCGGAGCTGCTAATGGTGCATCTACTACTACTTCAACTGGAGTTGCTGGAGATCCGACTCAAACTGGTGCTGCGACAATACTGAGAAGCTCAATACGCTCATTGAGCATATTTGCTTGCATTTGGGCGACTTTGATGTGCTGGTAGATACTAGCTAGTATACTGATCATTCAAGTTGTGTTTTCCCACGATGATGCCTGTGATAATTTAATATTTTCTGGCTACATACACATAGTAGGACTATGGAGTGCACAGAAATTGTAGCGGAAGTTAGGTACTAGTACGATTTATCTAGATGCCCTGACAGCGGTATTTTATTTGGATTGAGCATCATTATATCCAACCTAAAACGAAAGCCTAGGCAAACTTGAGCAAATTAGGATATAAACGGGTCGATCCTAATTCAATCTGGCTAGACCCATCGTACCTATGACATTTCAACGTTTAATTTTCACCGAGCTTTCCCCGCCCCTCATCCATCTTACACACCTCTTTGTCCAAACTGTGAAGAGAGCGGAGTCTGGATATGCGATGATCAACATCCCAACAACTTATCTGTCCTTCATGCTATCTACCGCAAATAGTGAATGTCATCGCAGAATCTCCTGGCCAAAATAGCCGGCCTCGGCCTCCCCGCGCATTAACGGATTTTTCCGCTTTCCGTTTGTTCAGACTGAGCACTTGCACCCCTCTCGAGGCAAATCAGACCTAGGAAGTCTATTAAGGGGCCGTGGTTTTCTTCAAATCTCCTGTGATACAGGAGATGCAACATTGTTCGCACCGTGACTGTGCTCAGAGGCCATGTCAGGTGGGTTTTTCCTCCTGCATCTAGATTCATTCCATCATACCATTTTATGAAGCTCAATCTGTGAATAATATCGTGAACCGTTAATAACATTCCGCCTACCTCTACCTAGACCGGCAAACGGCTAAAGACTAGCCATGTGCGAGACCAACAAGTTCGGTCCTGCCGTTGCACGGCACAGACTTCTGCGCCTTCAACACCGTTGACCGTCGCCTATAGTGACGAACCGGCACCCTCCGAGTCTGACTCTTCTCTCTCGATATGCGCAGAATTCTCTACATCTGTTGATGAATGTGTGTCCCCGTCACTAGCAGGCAAGGCTGTAGCTCTCCAGCAGCCCCAGCTGGCGCTCAGCTTTGTGATGGCCTCCTTCCCGTGCTACTTCAAATTAATCGAATCCCGCGTTCCGATAACCTGGATCGACTACATCGCCAAACAGCCCAGTTCAAACAACTCATCCTTCGACTGGGCCGTGCGATGTATGACCACAACGTATCTCGGTAGCCTCCACAACGACACCCGCTATCTAGACCAGGGACGAATGTATTACTTCCGTTCCCTCCGAAACTTATCAAAGCTACTGAGTGACCCACATACGGCCGAATCAGACGAGGCCCTGTCAACTGTCATCATCCTCGGTGTTTTCGAAATGCACGTCTACACATCTCTCGAGGGGTGGAAACATCATGCGCGGGGCCTCCGCACACTAATGCAGCTCCGGGGTCCTTGCATGCACGAAGACGGGTTTGGGTACAATCTATATCTGGCATGTCGGAACACTCTAGTGACAGCCGCCCTGGTGTCCGGCGAAGCATGCTTTTTGGAACAACCGGGATGGCAGCAACTGAATAAGGATCTAGCTACCAAAAATGCTAGGAATCCCAACTCGTCAATCCTGGAAGACATCGCGGAGCGTGCATTCCGAGAAGTCGTCACACTCCCGGGGTTCGTGAAGCGGATTCGTGGGCTTAGTAGTTTGCCAGTGGAGGCGCAGAACTATGAGAGATCGGCGCTGTTCCGTACAGTACTCGCCACACGTGCGGCTATGAATGGTATCTACACTGAATTCAAAATAGCGGCGTCAAGCGCACGGGCGGGCTATAAATCATATGCCGATTTTTTTGGGCCGGTCCCACGTGTTTTCTTTGATAAATTTGCTAATATCACCATTCGGGGCATACAGTCTAGTCTCCTGCTGCTCAATTATCTCGTTATCTTGCTGAATCCATCCCAGCAGTCTGCTGCAGAACTAGAGATACGTGATATTATGGGATCGATGCGAGTGGCAGAGCCCGCGTTAAGTGAAGACCATGATGGAAACTCTTCTCCCTTGTCTTCTTCCGGTATTCCCTTGCGGCTTTCGGGGGAAGAACTGAGCCTGAGGGTAGAGTCGAAATTTATCCCAGAAACATCGCAGCCACCCACGAACGACTGGATGGACGAGATTGCTATGTCGATGGGCATGGAAGGGGTATCTATATCTCTGGTTAATCTAAATGAGTCACCGAGAGACTGATTGATCAATTGAACGGCTAATATCGCCCTGTTCTGCACCTGGATATCCGATATATAACTACTACTACTAGTATGCTACCTAGTACTAGTACCAGCTCTGGAGTATCCCCCCACAGCGAATACTATTCAATTAAAACTTAAATCCAAATAATAAATTAGCCTGAGTCTGCCAATACGAATTCAATGTATTTGACCAACGTAATTATAAGATCATATCACTGCGTAGTCGGCAATTTTTGCCCAGGTGAAATGGCCACATTCCGATGCAATCAGGGGTAATTACTATGGGTAATTACTATGGGGAACAAAAGTAACTTCATCCCGCATTGTGGCTGGTGATTGTCCGTATTGCTGTGTACTATGCAGTCAGCACTAGTTATTATGTAGTAAATTCAGGTAAGCTATAAATGAATATTATCATAATGTAGTAAAAAATAATATAATAGAATATGATATCTGTCATCTACTTAACGGTCTGCGAAGCAGACCGTTTGCAGACTGCAGCCTATGCTAAGAATGCGCCACAACCTCCGGGCCGTCGTGCAACGCGGCCTTGTCGATCACCTCGTCCCTGGATTGCCGCTGCCTCTCGACCTGCAGGAGATCTGTGAACCTGTGACCTGTCTCTTCTCACAATGACCTCCAGGCCCGGCGACTGATTCGTTACCTTCGAAAATGGTCCCTCGTCGCCGTTTCAGCCGACGCTTCGCCGCCCTCGTCGCTGCCGCCGCCCTCTTCTTCCTTTACCACATCTTCTCCCTCCACTCATCCCTCGCCACCACCTCCTCGTCATCGTCCTCGAGTGCCGGCACCGTCGACCGTGATCATGCCGGTGAACCCGCCCCATTCTGCCCGTCCTTACCAGGAATCGACGATGTCCTGGTCGTCATGAAAACCGGCGTCACCGAGTCGAGAGAAAAGGTGCCCATTCACTTCAAAACGACCCTGCGCTGCATCCCCAACTTCGTCATCTACTCCGACTTCGACGAGGAGATCGAGGGCGTCAAGATCCACGACGTTCTGCGCCACATCGACACGGACGTGAAAGAGCGCGTGGCCGACTTCAACATTTACAATCGCGTCGTGGAGCACGGGCGCAAGGGTCTGGATCAGGACGATTTCGCAGACGAAGCCAACTCCGCCATCGGAAAGCCCAGTAACCCAGGCTGGAAGCTGGATAAATGGAAGTTCCTGCCAATGGCCCAGGAGGCTCTCAAGTACAAGCCCGATGCGAAATGGTATGTCTTCATGGAAGCCGACACCTACGTCTCGTGGCCGACACTGCTAGCCTGGCTCGCCAAATTCGATGCCAAAAAGCCCTGGTACCTGGGCACTGAGACGCAGATTGCGGATGTCATCTTCGCCCACGGTGGTTCCGGCTTCATGGTATCTAACCCCGCGCTGCAAGATGCGTCGGATCAGTACACCGCGCGTCGCAAAGAGCTGGATAACTACGTTGACCATCACTGGGCGGGCGACTGCGTTTTGGGCAAGGTTCTTGCTGATGCGGGCGTCAATTTGCATTTTACTTGGCCGATTCTGCAGAACTCGAATATTGGCGAGCTGGACGAGTTCACAAACGAGTTGTACCGTCTTCCTTGGTGTTATTTGGCTGTTGCCTTCCACCATCTCAGCTCTCGCGAGATCGACCATCTTTGGAAATTCGAGCAAAGGCGCTGGCACGATGTGAGTATACCCAGACCTCGTTTCTTTGATCCCGCGCTTTATCTCACAAATGTACTAATTCGTCATCGCTTGCATAGAAGAATAAGCGCCTCCTCCTGCACAGCGACGTTTTCCGTGAATACATCTACCCCGATATCGCATCCCTATCTACAAGATCGAGCTGGGACAACCTCTCAAACGAAGACCAGCCCTTCGCCAAAACATTCGAAGACTGTCGCGAGGTTTGCGAGGTCGAAAAGACATGCGTGCAATACGTCTGGCGCGGCGGAGAATGCTACACAAGCAGTCGCCCGCGTCTGGGTAACTCGTCACCTTCCGGAGACTCGACATCGGGCTTTATGACGAGTCGTATCCGTGAAATGATGGATAAGAGTGGTGTTTGCCGCAGTCCCGAGTTTGGAAGCCTAAGCTAAGACCTTACCATTCACCTCGAACTGTTTGTGCCAACATACCTGCTATAATTTTTATGAAATTCCGCCATTATTATCGTTGTTTTGCGCCTGTCGGGCTTGGGTCAGTGAGACTGTACGTGACAGGACAGTACCAGTACCAAGTTTTTCTCACGGTTTATGACCGCTTATTTCTTTTCTTTTCCTTCCCTTTTTCATTACGTTGGCTGGTGCCTGTATCCCTACGAACTATGCGATAAAACTCCTTTTTGGACGGGCGTTGGCGGTAAACTCGATGCATCACATGGATTTTCTTTGACCTTGACATTGGCATTGGACTTAGACAAAATCTGAACAACAGACCCGATTTGGGCTTATGATAGAAAAATACTATGCTTATGCTTATGCAACATCTTCAATTTGACAACACTATGTCAGACACCGAAATCCAGAATCAAATGTACTAACGCTCATTCACGGTTCGTTGAAATTACAAATTGTTCAAGTTCGAGGGGTAAGCTTAACCATCAACCCCGGCTTCTCCCACAGAATAAAGGCATCCTGGTTCATCCAGTCATTGCTCGTCGGGTCCAGTTCCATATCGAAGTTGAAAATCATGCGAGCGAGGATAATGCGCATTTCAACGTATGCAAGGCTGGAAGGAATGTCAGCAAGCAAGGATCTAAAAGAGGGACGGCGGTATCCCAGTACTTACTTCCGTCCAATGCAGTTGCGAGGCCCAAAGCTAAAGGGCTGCATAACTGATCTTCTGTCATTCACATAACGAGGATCATCGAGATGGCGCTCAGGAACGAATTGCTCTGCGTCCGTAAAGTTTCGTTCGGAGTGGTATGCAGCGAGGTGCGAGACTGAGACAATGGTCTATAAAACATGGTGGACCGAAGTTAGCAAGTGTCGAAATCCCCAGCGAGAACATGCTACTACGAGCGGCATGTCTGCTCTAATGCAAGGCAAGGAAGTACTCACCCCTCCAGGAACCCAATGACCCTCAATCATATCACCCTGAGCATCAACAATGCGCGGAAGACCAGTGGGAACAGGCGGATAAAGCCTCAAAGCCTCAGTCAAAACAGCAAGACAATAAACCAACTTATTGCAAGAATCAAATCCAATCTCCTCATCCGAGGTAAATGCAGACCGAATTTCCTCCTGTAACTTCGCCAAAACCCGCGGATTCTTCAACAGCAAATATGTAACGCCAGAGAGCAAGGTCGCAGTAGTCTCGGAACCGGCAATAATCAACGTACTCCCATTCGAAACCATCTCATCAACACTGAACCCCTTCTCCGTCCCATTATGCTTGAGAATATTCGCAAAGAAGTCTGGCCGGTCATTTGATTTTTCGAGTCTGCTGGCGACTTTTTCCCGACTTAGTTGATTATGAAACTGCTTTTGCGCGAAGACGCGCTTCGGCGTGATCAGTTTGACGAGGTATTTTGAGCCCGGGAGTCGGCGCGATATATTCGCGTATGCGCCGAACTTGATGCCGGAAAAGATCATTTGTACCCAGACGTGGTAATCTGAGTTCTTTAAACAGTCGAATGGTTCGCCGAAGGCTAGGTCGCCGATTATATCGAAGGTTGCGAAATTATACCAAGCTACTAGATCCAGCGGCTTGGCTTGGCCATTGCCATTGCCCTTGTCCTCCTCTGTCGGTGTCGAATTCTCGCGCAGACGCTGGATGAGAAGATCGACATAGCCTTTTATAATAGGTTCCTGACTGCGCAGAGAACTATCGGAGAAAGCGTGTGAAAGGAGACGGCGGAAGCGCGAGTGGTCTTGATCATTGGATTGGATGATGCTGGCACTGTTTGCGGCGGTGGGTGGGTAGAATCGGTAGTCTTTTTGCTTCTGACCGTGACCGGTGCGTGTGCCGTAAACTACCTTCCATGCGTCGCTGTCGATGAAGGAGAGTTCGTCGGGCGCGATGCGGACGACGTCGCCGTATTGGTCGTGGAGACTTTTCAATCTTTGCGCGTATCGGCCGCTTATTGTGTTGCGCATGTAGGGGATGCGTGTTGCCGCCATGGATTTTGGGCCAGGGTAGTTTGCCAGTGGGTGGAAGTAGAGATTGTAGATTATGAGGAAGAGGTAGTAGGTTGGAATCTGTTGAGTGGTAGACACTTTTTAGTTACTGAAGCTCAGGTTGATATTATTGAAAAGGTTGAAGGATTGGACCATCGTACGATCAACTTCAAATCAACTTGAACCTCCAGGACTTGATTGAACTTACCAGAGCGAAACTGATTCCAAACAAAACCCACATCGAAGGTATACCACCCAAGAAGCCATCCCGGTCGAAAACAGAAAATCTAGGAATAACAGCCATGATTCTGAACAGAACTTTGGAAGAATCCAAAGCTCACTGCACTCTGTAGGTCAAGTTTCTTCCATCAAGCCCTTCAGTCGCAGCTTCATCATCGATATAAATACCACGGCGTCCAAGCTCTAGACCGTCCTACCCCTCTATTCCATCCCCACTGGCATCAGACGACACTTCTCCTCGGGCTTGCACTGGCACTAACAACTTAGCACAAAACCACTGCATAAGAATTGACAAAAAGGCTAATGCCCTCAGACCTCCCCACATTCTGCACGGCATAAGTCAAGGCAGCTAGCCTAGCTCGTATCCTTGTACATCTTTACTAGACTACTTGTAGTCCCGCTACCAGCCACTAGTAAACGGGCTAAAAGCCATCCCGTCCACCCTGTCAGACTCTTATCCAGCAATCATGAGCCCAGATTGGCTGTTCGAGTTGCGGACACTAACTCCTAGTCCTACTCGATCCAAGGATGGGAAAATCCCCGCACCAATTATCATAATTTCCCGAGCCCATGACATCCGGATCGACGACATCTGGAATTCCCCTTTGGCTTTAGCTCTACTCGCACTCCGTCCGGGGGTACATACGTCTTCCTGTCGATCAAGGTGGGACATTGTCTCAGTGGCGGCCAGGATGGGGATATGATTCGCCTGATGGGAATACTAGTGTTACAGTTACAAGCTAATATGCACGACGACCACCCGTTGCCCCACCCCTCCCAGCCAGTTATGCTGCATGCAATTATGCGTGAATAAAGCATCATGGAAAAGACGGCATCTTGGGTTTTTTGTGCAGTGCACTATGGCGGCATTAGTCTGTGGTGGGACGGGATAAATACAACTACATGCAAGGGAGAAATGCCACGTCTCTCGTACTAATTGACTAACTAGTAACGCGAACCTATGTACACCGTTTATCTACAACAGGGAAAGTTTTCATCGGGAATCTTATTTACAGTATCTTCTGGGCAGAATCTAAGTCAGATCGTGCTTACATTTAGGGTTCTGATAACATCCTACCTACTATCTATGGGTATGTAGATCACTGGCTGGGGGTAGGCAGCCTTCACTAGGTTGTTGGACCTTGGACAAGGTAAAAAGCGCCCCGGGGCCAGTGCGAAAATTGTGGAAAGCGACGTAATGTGCAGATACTAGTACTAGTAGTAGTCGAAAAAGGATGGAGTGTCTCGTTTTCGAATATTCATGCACACCCGTAGCCAAGATAAAGTAATATCGCATCTAAGAATAGTGACGGGATCTTCATCTAGACTCGGGCAAGTACCGATACTTGCCATCGGAGTATAGTACGCAAAATTAAGAAATCTACACTCGCACTTTCGAGTCAATACTTGTATTGTAGAAGAGGCAAAAACCGGATTGCTTAGGTAGAGAGGCAAACGAAGGACGTCATATACAATAAGGATATATCAAAGCCCACCCATAGGGTAGCTCCAGCTGCAACTCCAACCATGGCCCCTAGCGCAAACTAACCCAAGAAACTCGAATCCCGCTCTCAAAGCGCCGGACTAAACGGATCCGCCAAACACTGATCAATCCGCATGATTTTATACCCAAGCCCCTTAACATGCCGGATAAAGTCACGGAGGTACCCAACAGTCGACGGGTTGAGGAAGTGCATCACGGCAAGATTGCCGCCCCGGGCCACACTCCGGTAAAATGCGTCGAGCTGTTTTTCCGGTGTGGTTGTGTTGGCCCATAGCCAATCTTCCACGTCCACGCTCCAGTTCACGATGAAAGGTTGTTCGATGCGTTTTGCTAGTTGTTGGCGCATGCGGGCACCGACCGTTCCGAAGGGAGGTCTGAAGTAGCGGGCTGGGCGATGTTAGATAAACCAATCCGTGAGAATTATTGGGAATTGGGCTGCGATGGACTTACAGGATATGTCTAGTCTTTCTTTGAAGACTCGGATGGTGTCCTTGACTTCTTCGTCGATCATTTCCATGGTCGGGAGGGCTTCCATTCTGAGTGTGTTTGTTAGTATTCATTTGGGTTCGCACTTCAAATCTGGAACTTGGCGTGGAAATAGACAACTCACTTCGGATGGGTATTAGAGTGCAGCGCCACCTGATGTCCCTTCTTCATCATCTCCTTGTAAAAGCGTGTGAAGTTCGTCGTCGAGTCTTGTAGTCCAGCACCAACGACAAAGAATGTAACCCGAACATCTTCCTCGTCGAGGATTTTCATGACCTCCTGTGCAAACCGCGGCTGGCCATCGTCAATTCCAAAGGCGAATGAGTTGGGAACACTACAGCGCAGGACCAACTGGCCAGTCGGTATTTTCTTAGGAACCGTGAAGTAATTATTCGCGGGCGACGGAGGCGGAACCGAAGGTACGATTTCGACGCGGTGAAGTGTGAGCGTTTCATTCGTATAGAAGCCCGTAAATGAGACAGAAACGACTCTTCTCTGATCGATGCGGAAATGAGATAGGGGGATGTACAGCTCAGTCTTTGGAGGGGAAGCTGGCCCCTGGTTACCGCTTTCTTCGCATGAACCTCGTGGCCCAGGCGAAGAGGGAGAGTAACGTCGCTGCGAGACATGGCTGGTCAAAGGCAGCTCAGGAGCATCTTTTGAATTGCTAGAGTCATCTTCGTCCGAGGAATCTGATCCAGTTCTCATCACATAAGGCGACGCCTGGACACTGTCCGGTATACCAGGAAACGGAGCACGGGCGGCGGAGCACTCGTTGTTGTGTTCGTTCAACGAAACAGTGAACTGGTCGGTTCCATCGTATACGACATGTAGAAACTGGTCTTGCCATGGGAGGAGGCTGAAACAGCCACGGGTCTCGAATTGGGTATGGTAGTTCTGGTCGGGATCAATCGGGAAGAAAGATACAGAGCCCGGTGCATGATGTATATTAAGATTTTCACCAGTTCCGTGCCAAAATCCTAGGTCATTGTGCAGAGGGTCTTGGAAGGTGTCGATCACCAAAGATGGGGCCACTTGCTCAACGTCTCGTAGCTCAAGCCGAGGCTGGGGTCGGAATGATTGGCTGGTATAGCCCAGTGCCGTTAGTAAGAATGGTAGAAGGTAGACGGGTATCATGATGCTGGTTCAACGATTGAATAAGGATTTCGCAAATGAGTATCGTAGTGGTCAGAAAGGAAGAAGGGGGTTGGAAAGAGAGAAGTGGATGTGGTAGACCGGAAGTAGATATGATCGGATGGGAAGAAGGAGAGCAGAGTACAACTTGAGGTCAACGGGGAAGGCGTGATCGGTTGGACTCGGTCATCGCACCCCAATGTACAGTACTACTACTACTAGTATTACAGATGCTCACATTCAATAGAATAATAGTAAGTAGAAATAAAATCTGATTTTGTTGCTAACTAGGGTGGATTAGATAGAAGGAATAAATGCCCACTATACTTAGGTCGATCATCAAAGTACTCCCTTCTAGTCCTGCCGAACAAAGACCGCCAGACAGAGTGACACCCCGTCAAAGAGTGCACAAATCAGAAACGCGCCCTCAAGCATTGCAGTTGTCCCCCCGGAATGACCATCACCAAGCCAGCATAAGGATAAAACGAAGAGAACAAGAGTCAGATGTGGGTAAATTAAAACCACAAAAGCAAACAGAATAGAAACCAAATTTGGCTTCTGACCATTTTCGCACCGAAAGATAACACCGGACTCAAATGAAAGGGCACAATAACAGAAACCAAATTGGTTTCGAAATAACTTTTCGTGCCGGAATGAACTACCAGTTAGCATCCTCAGGAGCCTCCTCAGGGGGCGGTGGAATGGGATCGCCTTCGGAGGCAGCGTAGAGGGAATGATCCTCAGTGGTCGCGGCATTCTCAGCACTTTCCTCCTCTTGACCAGCGTCCTCATTCTCGTTGTTGTCCTCGTCGTCGGTCACATCATCGTCAAAGGTAAGCTTCCCCTCGGAGGGAGTGAAATGCTCCAGGAAATCGGGAACAGTCTGCTTGCACTCCAAGAGAATCTTGACGAGATCGGGTCCGAGGTCCTCATTCCGTTCATTGTAGAAAGAGGTCGCAATGCCCTCGTTTCCAATGCGCGCAGTTCGTCCTGTTGATGGTTAGCATTACTGGCGACGCAAAGATATTATCTTTGGCAGCACAATGTGGAGACTGGGACTTACCGATTCGGTGGACATACTCAGTGATACCACCATGAGTAGTGGTCGGAAGATCATAGTTTATGACATGCATCACGTTAGCGATATCAAGACCGCGAGCAGTAACGCCCGTGGCAATCAAGATAGGACATTCCGCAATTTTGAAGGAGCGACTATTGAGAGAATCAGAGAGTCAGAGATGGAAGATACAAGGAAGTGGTAAAGATGAAGAACTCACATTGCATCCTCACGCTCGCGCTGGGTCCGATCCGAATGGATGGAGGTAGTTGGCAGGCCCGAGTTGTAGAGGTAATCGTCCAGATAGTCGACAGTGGTCTTGTTGTTCGCGAAGATCAAGGTGCGAATGGGAACCATGCTCAGAAGCAGGTCAAAAACGGCGCGTTTCTTGGCCCGATCTTCCACAAAGTGGATCTAAATAGTCAGCGAGGTGAAATGAAGGAAGGGTTGTCAAGGTCAAGGTACTTACGACCTGGGAAACATTGAGATGCGAGCTGCCGGGACGACCAACTCGAATTCGAATATGGTCAGTCGACAGATACTCGCGAGCCAGCTTTCGGCATTGCTTATTGAAGGTCGCCGAGAACATCAGGTAGCGATGATCCTCATCCTCGTTGACATCTGTTTGGAGTAAGAGATGGTTGTTAAATGCGAAATCGAAAATACTGACCGCCACCCGACATAATCTTCTTGAATTCATCCTCCCAGTCCGATTGGAGCATCTCATCTGCCTCGTCGATCACAGTGTAACTTTAGAGCTGTTAGTATTCGCCATTTACGAGACTTGAGTGCCGGGAGATACTTACCGGACTCGACGAAGAGACAAGACATTGGGCTGGGACATGAAGTCTGTAATTCGGCCAGTTGTACCGATCAAGATGTCGCATCCCTTTCGGAGCTCATCTCGTTGATACCTGGACGGAGCGCCACCATAGACAACACAGGGGCGCAGCATAGAGCGATAGCACAATCGACGAGCCTCGTCAAAGATTTGAGTAGCCAACTCGCGAGTTGGACAAACAATAAGAACAAGGGGTTCAGCACGAACACCCTGGCTCTTAAGATCGAAATTTGGGTCGGACACATTTGGACGCGGCGCGGCCAGCTTCTTTGCCTTTCCCATTAGCTGTGAGAGAATGGGGATAAGAAAAGCACCGGTTTTGCCAGAGCCTATACAAGTTAGCTGTGGACCAAGGGCAGCAAAGGTTTGTCTACCCACCAGTCTGTGCAATCCCAATAACATCTTTCCCACTGAGGACAGATGGAATCACATAGCACTGAATTGGAGTCGGGTGCTGGTAGAGGCAAAGCGTCAGATTCTCAATCAACACAGGGTGAAGTTTCGCGGCCTCCCACTGAATGCGAATGGTCAGTAAGATAGACGTCAGTACTCAGAAGTGTCTCGAGAACACTTACAGATGCTGTTGGGTAAATGCGCTCTTCACTCTCGAAAGTGACTTGGATCTTTTTGTACCTGATTAGAAAGGCTGGTTAGCAAATCCAGAAACTGAAGGATTGAGGGCACTGACTCTTCAATTCGATGTCCCACGCGTGAGAGGTTGATATTTTTGAAAAGCTGCTCTTCGAGCTCTTCATTGCGGGGGCCAATATCTCCTTCTTCACCGGCCCATTCGTAGCGATTGGCACCTCCAGCCCATTCGTAGTCCTCATTGCGAGCGACTTCGTCATACTTGATGGCCACACGATCTGTCCAGCCTTGTTTGCGAACCTCCTCATGTCGATCCTCGGATCCCATAGGGGGCTTCAGTTCGGCGACTGTTTCGGGCTCCTCACGAGGATCCTGATAATAGTCAGAGTTGTGGACGTTAGAGACGTCCTCTAGAGCACCGGGGACTTGATCGTACTCGTCCATGATTGAAGTCATGATGAGCTGCGTGCAGGAGAGCAAAGAGGATAACTCAAGACAAGGATAAGGTAAAGGGAATCCAGGGTGAGAGGAAGGAAAGAAGAGGAGAGGAGGAAAGGAAACAAATGTAAAGGCAACAAAGGGTCAACAAACGCGGAACCCGGATGGCGGATGCCATCGCACCTGCTTCGTTAGAGCCGCGCGGGTACGTACTTGCCTGTTGAGCACGTGCTGGTAGTGGTATGCAGTAGTCTAGTATTGATTTATACTACTAGTTATACTAGTATATTTAGGGTTCTTGAAATATAGAAAAAATTGAGAAAAAAGGGTGATAAATATTTAGAATTACCAGAGACTCGCTAAGCTATAGGGTAACTCTATAGAGTTAAAAATCTAGATTATCATTACCTTTGTGGGCTACAGTTGATTATGGTAAGCTACCCTGTATTCAGGGCTTAACGAAATTGATAAAAACATTACTCTTGTGTCTTCGTATATTGTATAGAATAAATTGATAGAAAATCAGTACTAGAGTACCCCAGTTTATAGTTTATTCTGCAGATAGCGAAAGGCGAGTCCTAAAGCGGTTAGCGTATATGCCAGAGACCAGACTCGCCAGTTGCCCGTCGGCAGAGCAGTTGTCCTCGTCCCTTGAGTCTAGCTTGAGCATGACCACTTCTAGGCTAGCCTGTTCAGGTCTACTAAAAACTCCTACATATATACATTACTACCACTAATACTATTACTCCTATACTAGAGTCATCTCTCGGCACCTCGGCTCGGTGATTGTCAGGGTCCACCACTGCCACTGCCACTGCCACTCCCACCTGCCACGGTCCACGGGCCACCCGGGTAGAAGGAAATATACGCCGTAAGCCTGGGCACGGCCTCTAGCTTCCTCCCAGCTATCTTCCTCCCTTACCACACCTCTTCTGTACAATATCATGGCTCCCGATCGTGACTCCGATGGCCGTCGCAAACGGCCTGCTCGCCTAGAGGAGGCTATTACCAACCCCGGTGCCGTTAAAATTAATGTCAAGGGCGCCTTTATCGTCGACGATGAGCTCCGCTCCCGTAGCCCCGTTGAAGCCGAGGGCGTGCATTATGAGAACAAGGACATCCGACTTCCGCACCATACCGGAGTCGTTAGCCATGTCGCTGTCGATGTGAGTACCCTCCTTTCCTCTCCGACCGGCTGCATTGAGCTATTTCGACCTGTTCTTCGTGGTCATTCTATGCCCCGCACCTGCGACCGTTCACCCCGCAATCCGCGGAGGACCAGACGAAGAGGAAAAAAAAAAAAAGAGCCAACACCTCCGAACAGAAATTGCAAAAAGGATTGAGACTGACTGTGCTGGATCTTCTTCCAGATCGGCGGAACCTTAATTAAACTGGTGTACTTCACCCGTGAACTCGACGCGGCGGATAATGGTGGCCGCCTTAATTTTATCAACTTCGAGACGCATCGGATTGACATCTGTATCAATTTTATTCGCCAATTGAAGGAGGAACACGCAAAGAACAACGGGTCACCCAAGGACGATCTATGTGTCGTTGCCACCGGAGGGGGGGCGTTCAAATTCTATGATAAGCTGAAGGAGGCGCTGGACGTCAATATTCTGCGAGAGGAGGAAATGGAGTGTTTGATCATCGGTGAGCCCTGACCAACACCCATCGGGCCTTACACTAGCTAACGTTGAACTCTCTAGGTCTTGATTTCTTTATCACCGAGATCCCTAACGAAGTATTCACCTACAACGACACCGATACCGAGCCTATGAAATTTGCCGAGGCTCGACCGAACGTGTACCCCTATCTCCTCGTCAACATCGGATCCGGCGTCTCAATGATCAAGGTCTCCGGCCCGAATAATTTTCAGCGTGTGGGCGGCACACATCTCGGTGGTGGTACCTTCTGGGGCATCATGTCCCTGCTCACCGGCGCCAGGACCTTCGACGACATGCTGGCCATGGCGGATCGCGGGGACAACAGCGGAGTCGATATGCTAGTTGGCGATATCTACGGCATGGACTATAGCAAAATTGGGCTGAAGAGCACCGCCATCGCCAGCACTTTTGGGAAGGTCTTCCGCTTGAAGAACGCTGCTGAGAGAGGCGCCGAGGATGGCGAGGGGCTGTACCACGACGATTCCGAACACGCGAACGGCAATGGTGGAGTTAATTTCCAACCCGAGGATATGAGCCGAAGCCTTCTCTATGCTATAAGGTATGTCTACTAAATGGCAATGGCCTGTGTCTATACTTGAATACCCCGACTAACGATCCCCAGTAATAACATTGGCCAAATCGCCTACCTCCAATCAGAAAAGCACGAAGTCAAGCACATCTACTTCGGCGGCTCCTTCATCCGTGGCCACCGCCAGACAATGAACACCCTCTCCTACGCCATCCGCTTCTGGTCCAAGGGCGAGAAGCAAGCCTACTTCCTACGCCACGAAGGCTACCTCGGTGCCGTGGGCGCTTTCATCCGCCGCCAGCCGCAAAACTGGGGTCGGAGGAATAGTCTCGATGAGGTGGTGGCACCGCAGGCGGTCCGGAACCTTGTGCAAAATTCCGTTTTGAATCAGAATGAGCAGAACGGAGCATCCAGTTCTTCGTAATCGGTGGTTACGGCGGTACTGGCGACTCTTTCATACACGCACACTCTCTCTCTCTCTCTTTCTCCCTCCCTCCATCCTACTTTCTCCTACCTACCCTATCACCTTCTCCAAAACATCTCTTGAGTCAAATCGATACCCCTCATTGAATGTATACTTTGTCACATCTCGCCCATCACCCGTGGTGGACCCGAGATGGGGATTCTGGATGTCAGCTTGCTTTAATAGACACATGGTTGTGGCCCGGCGTGGCCCAAGCCCCATATGCATTGCATTTCGTTTTTTTTTTCTCGTCTTTTTTTCTTTCTTCTTTGTTCTGTTTTCTCTCGGAGACTGCTGTCTTGTTCCTACCAAAAATCCATTATATACTTTTTGTATATGCTGTGGACTTTGTGATCCTGGTCGGATAGTGCCCTGGTAGAGAATATGCCTCCAAGGACTGTCAGTGGACTATACGGGGTAAAGGTGCCCTGTTGGGTCTCGGAAGTTGAACAGGATACTATCTGTGCTCTAGGCAATGCAAAAAGAATCTTTCAATAAACATAGAGTCAATTGTTTCTTTTTAATACTACTCAAATTACTACATAAATACTCAATAGGCAACGCACCTAGTATTACCAGCGACCTCGGGATGCTATATAGCAATGAATGATATTGGACCGTGTCCTAGTCTAGCTCGAGTTTAAAAAAAGGCATCCCTCCAGTACTGGACTACAAAATCAAACCACTACAAACGGAAATCTCAAATAATCTTGTCACCGACAGTACTTTCCATATCATTCGTTCTGCATAACGTATATAATTTCTCTCTAAATGTTATTTGCTACATCGCCCACTGTGCGATGACTCAGGAAATTGCTTGCTGAGATGAGGTATAACCCTAGATTGCTAGGTACTAGGATGATGTCTCTGTTCTTCTGGAGATATCCGGCAGCAGTACCACACATATAGATTTAAAGCCTGCGCCTACAATTAAGAATGTAAAACTCTCATGGCCCCCTTTCTTTCTCCTAGATCTTTTCGAATTCCGTTGTTTTCACCATTTTCCACCTTGCTTCTTGTCAAAGCTTGTGCTCGGAACGATCTAGGTCGGCTAAAATATCCAAAGATCATGGCTGTAACCAAGGAAGGTAGCTCGAAGATAGGGACAGTAGGAGCTAAAGGTGGAGAGTCAAAAATGGTATTCCTAATAACCTGGTTCTTATATTCCTATGAAGGCCTCAGAGGGTTATTACCTAGAGCTAAATTAACTAATGATAAACTATAGGCAGAAGCTCACAAGCCGAAGCCTGCGGATCAGAGGCCTGCGGATGAGGATGAAGAAGTCGATGAGGAGGAAGAGGAAGAGGAAGAGGAGAATGACACCAATAAGAGTCAAAAAGAGATGTCTCCCGCCATGAACAACACAGAGTTGAAGAGAGTGGTATCAGGCTCATTCCAATTCACGATCCAGTGCCAGTACGGAACAATGGACTCTTTCAAAGAGAGTCAATACATGATCTCAACGATTGGCACGAGACATCCTTAGACTACCCACCAAGTTCAGTCCACAGCATCGGGACAAAAGGGCAGCAATTTGCCCATAACCGGTATTATGACGAGCAAGGCAATGAGCTTCAAAGGTCGGTTTTTCACATCACGGCCTACAGCGAAGATGAAGAGGATGAGTGGCCCACCAGAAAGTATGCCCTTCTAGTTCTTCATGCAGAAGGGCAATTTGGGCTGCCCATCATTTTCACATCAAGTATCCCAATCCAAGGACGTCCGGGAAGACTTTCGTTGGGCTATGTGTGGAATGGCCAGGAACAACAATTCGATGCAGACCCTTTCGCAATCCGGATCTATGTTCCTGAGAAAATGGCCGATACGGCTGAGGAAGATAACTTTGATTCCTCATTCTTTGATATTTCTGAGAAGTAACATAAGGCAATTTGTCAGGAGCTGGAGAGCAAAGCGAGAGGTCGCCCTAGGGTCAGAGAAACTACGAAATTGTTCTCCCCAGTCAAATCCGAGTTTACTCAGGTCATGGTGACCTAGTTATGGGGGGGGTTACGTATCAACTTGTAACCCCCCCTGCCCCCCCCCCCCCATGCCAAGACCTTTCTATACGGGTACCTCCCCCCCCTGACGGGCCGGAATATATTTAGGGTAGATCACGAATTATTAGGAAACTGGCATGTCGCTCATTTCAATTGCGTTGTTCAAGTCTCTTGCAGTTGGTGGGTGCTTATCATAGCCACTTTTAAATGACGTCCCGATTTGTACTTACGTTGCGTTGCTTAAATATTGTGTTTCTAGAGCTAAGTATAGGCTACGGTGTAAGTATAGAGGTTATAGAGGTTATTGGAGCTAGAACTAAACAGGAAATAGATGCTGCTTTGTTTTTTATTGCTTTTTTGGACGATTTGGTGGCTGGGCGTGCTGTGGTAAGGTTGGTTGTTGACTGGTGATTGTGGTGGTTTTGACTTGCGATCACGATCACCACGCGACTATGGCTAATGTATGGCCATAATTATCACTATAGACTTTATAGAGGTTATTGGAGCTAGAACTAGATAGGAAATAGGTGCTGCTTTATTTTTTATTGTATTTTTAGATGATTTGGCGCCTAGGTGTGCCGCGGCGAGGTTGGCCGGTTGTGGTGGTCAACTTGCGACTGTGGTCACCACGCGACTATAGCTGATATACGCCCACCTACTATCACTATAGACGCTATAGAGGTCATCAGAGCTAGTACTCAATAGGGAATAGCTACTGCTTCCCTTTTTAACGTGTTTTTGACCGATTTAGCGTGCTATAGCAATATAAGCCTGACGATATCGTCAATATCGTATCGCAAATCGTATCGCAGGCCTCATATTGTTGCGACATGCCAAAATTTGTATCGTGTGCAGCCCTATCTGCACCGGGGTTTCTTTTGTGGCTTATGGGATCAAGCATCGGTAACCTGAGGTTCCTAGGCGGTAAAAGGATCAGAATCCGAACCCCCGTAGGCCAGCAGGCCCGCGATACTGTCGTGTTCCTTCCACCAATGCATCCCATTATAGTCACCTGTGTCACACAATGTCTCTGGGCCACCAAGGTCTTTTATGGCGTCTTCGACACATGGGTTTGAACCCTTCCACCCTCCAACTGGGTGGGGTATTGAATGAAAACGAGGGACCGTACCCGTCGACAAATTCTTTCCACTGGAAATTACTGACAAGGCAACCTTTCGAATTAATTTTGTCGTGAAAGGCGGAGGCCAGACTTGAGAAATCTTTTTCGTCAGAAGTCCAATCAAAAACGTCCCAAATGATGTAGATAAGAAAGGCTCCGCCATTAACATATTTACAAACCCCGTCTGGTGCGTGTATGCTGATGATTGTCGGCTGGGCGGCGATGGTTGCCGTTGTGCCCTCGATGGTCTTCGCAGGGGTGAGCTCAACGGCCGAATTTGCGAGAGTGGAGCTCATTGGTGGTTTATAAACCTCTGTAGGCTCTCCAACGGCCATTGTTATCGTGCCTGGACCGAGTCCGAAGCCGCCGCCATCGGGAGTGGTGATCACCACTGCCTCGTTATACATAGAGCTTCGCCCTATAGGGTCGACCTCAGTATAGTCGGTAATAGTCTTCGTGGGCGCCACGGTAGCGGTTGAGAGAGAAATGCGCTTGACTATAATGGTAACGGTATTAAAACGCAAGTTTATCTCTTCAGTACACTCAATAGAATAGCCACCTCACAAGAAATAACCGTCGATCGTCTTACCGTGTTCATCAGCTCAGAATTGATACATGAGATAATCCATCTGGGGGACAGTAATCAGTGTAAGTAGTTTCTGGGTGACTGGAACGTCCCAGCTGATTGGATCTACCATCTACGGGAAATAAATGGCACTAACTCACGTCTCTTTCTAGTTCCGCTCATACTTTCTCCGACCGTTGAGGAGCAATATAGGTATAAGGGTTACAGGGATATCGTAGGAACTGAGATGAAATAGAAAAACTGCGATACTTTTGCACTGATCGCACAGGGTAGGTCTTCGCCCCTCTCTGTCTACAACTGTTGACTAAATCTCTTTTAGCAATTTATATAAACGCTTATTACACCGATGGCGACAAGCTCAAGAAACTTCCTGATAATCTCATTCCACCCAGCGAACAGCGCAATATTCCCCACAAAAAGAGCATTCAATGAAGAAATCACATTCCGGCCTATAAGAACATGACTCGGTTCTTCAATACTCGATTTCTCCAGTTTCGTTGAAAGAAGATATTTCCGTTGACTCAAAAACGAGTTGATCATTTCTCCTTCAAACGTAACAAGCTGAATACAGTAAATATGAATTTGATTCTGAATATATAACACCATACAAAACATCGAGATCTTTCCCAATAGTCTATGATAGGACGACCACATGGTTATTTTGAATCTCTAAAGAGGTCATTCTTCCATTACATCAACATAAAACAAAATCTATTCAAGTAGATAGGCATATACAGGAATAGTAGAGTAGAGTATGCCTTGTTCGCCCCCATTTAGCTTTCTCCACTATCCTACCCACTTGTGTCCCACTCACACCGACAAGCGTTACGTCAATCACGACCGTCGGGATGTTTAAAAACCCCGCTTGCCCGCCTTTCCCTTTTATAACCTTTATTTTACACCCGACCATCACTCAAACGCGGCTGCGCAATCAGTCAACATATAATTCCTGAACCCTGCGCCCTTGCAACCATGGAGATCCTCGAGAGAAATATCAAAGTAGCACTGGTCGGTGATGCGCGTGTTGGCAAGGTAAAGAAAAACAATTTCCCTGATCATCAACGACATCACTTACTATATCCTGCAGACGAACTGGTGCAACAAGGGGATAGCTGGTGAGGATACAGATGAATATATTCCAACAATTAATTACCAAAGTCGTGAGCGTAGATTTTGTTCTGTAAGTTCCGTTTAACTGCTATATATAGTATTATGTAACACTATGAAACCCTCCCTAATGCTTATTTTTAGACGATTGGTCTTTGTACCTTTGATTTCTGGGATATCTCCGGATCGTATAGTACACCCCAAGATAGGGCAAAATGGATCGAAGATAGCGATGCCGCTATTATTATGGTAGATCTCGCTAACCAGGAGAGTATCAATAATACAATCTTATGGTATCGTATGTTCTCTTTCGTTTTCCGGGCCTCTTTTATCATCTTTAGATCCTATTTCAACCCATTTTAAGAACTAACTCATACATTCTAGGAGAAATTATATCATCCCAGCAATACTCCGATAACCTGAAACATTTTCCGGTCATGGTATTTACCTATAAGGCATATAAAGATGATGCCAAATACAAGATAAAGCCGACAGAGATCTCTTGGCCCGAGGAAATGCGGTCTACGCCATTTCACTACAATGAATATCGGGATACGACTAATTGGGAGACGGATCAGACTCATTATTCTGCGATGCTTCTAGCGGATGTATCTACGATAAGACCTTTAGGATGGATCTTGGAGCAACTAACCGGTCAACCCGAAATAGTATGTGCTTCAAACTTTTTTGAATATCGTATTCACTTAAGGTAAACTGACCGTTATCTTAGGGTTTCATCGCCCATTACCCTCCTGGACCTGACAATGCGTATTGGGATGCACCTTCTCCCGGTACACTCGAGAAATGGAAGAGAGAAATGGATGAGGCGTATAAACTGCCTATGCCAGAAGAAAGTGACGTGGAGTTGTGATCAAGATCCATTTAGAAGCCACCTCTTGGCCATCGAATTATGATCGTAACCACCGTATACCTTGTCTATCTAGATTGTCACCTCAAATGCTGTGTTGTGTCTGTTTATTTGTTAGGCTATATGATCTTCCCTGCTGTACTTTGGTCTTATGACATGATGTCGACGCTAACAGCACTTCCTGTAGCCACTATCTGAAAGTGAGAAATGCCACTTCAGTTTATACGAGATGTGTGAGGATGCTCAGATACTCACAGAGATCAACGTACGGCGTAGCATACGAAGCAAAGGAAGCAGTAGCGGTTCGACGAAAGTAATAGCTTGAGGAGAATAAGAAGGAAGCTAGGATAGAAGGCTAGATACACAGGTGTATGGTGTGGATGCCTAGAGTGGTGCCATAGGCATAAGGCATCCACGAATGGTAACAACACCAGTTCGTTACAAGATGCAGCCTCTTGGGTATTTGCTTGACAAGCGGTTCAATGTAATTTTAACCAAGCTAAACCGGTCCATTTTCTTGCTTACGGACTTGAAGGAACGAACATACTTTGATTCCGGTGACTTCGCTCTTTCGGCAGGCCAGCGTGCGATCGAAACCGGCGCCATTGATTCGGGCTGCGAGCATCCAAATCGTGATAATATTTCGCACCCTAACGCACCAGCTCCTAGTAATAAGAATGTTGACTATGGTGCCAACAGAACTATTGACCGAAAGAGCGTAAGCCCTGAAAGGAAGAGTCTGCTCCTTTTGCCCGCGTTCTGGAGGGATAGACGCAGGCAAAATTGGATTTCCGACAACCCGAGCACGGTGATTGTTTGTCACATTTTGCTTTGCGCTGATGGCAGGTTGTACGTGAGCGTGTATGCATTTAGTGTTGACCAGTTCACTCGGTCGGTCGTGCTTTTGCGGGATGCGTGATTTTCGGTTTCCAGCAGCTGGCTGACAAATGCTTGCCGGGTGACAATTACCTAGTGTAATGGGGAATTGCTCTCAACACCGGTATTCCATAGTCAGGTGATTGGGGCCTTAGTATAAAGGCAGCCATATCGTTTCGGAAGAATAAGTAGCGTTCGTTCCATAGTATCAATAAGAACATGCATGTTACCCCTTATGAATTATTCTTTCTGCTGAGGTTACTGAGGCTGAGGTTGCGGTATCGGTATATCGCATGTCCATGAAGACTCGAATGTCTTATTAGTCGCATCTCGATAGCGTCACGCTTTGTCCACTACTCTCCTGCACTCTGCGAGTGTGGTGGTTTTGTCCTCTTGCAATCGACCCGTCTGCCAACGCAGACTGCCAGCGAGCATTCCCATCTTACACTAGTCAACGTAATCGGTAGGCGAGTGACGCGCGCCGGCCTGAAAAGCGGCTCAAGACGAAGGGGGGATCATTCGTTGTAAATGAAGGATCCATTGGGAGGCCCGGGGCAACACCAATGCTCCTCGCTTCAGCACGCGTGAGGTTACTCTCTGAGGAGAGCGACCACGCTCGTGTCTTCTCATTGGCCGGGTGTGATATAAAATCGCTTTTCGGCAAGGCGAGAGATTTCTTCGGGGTCAAGGACCCCGAGAAAGAAATCTCTCTCGTCTGCAGGGCCCCTGGATTGGGGTTCCGCAGGTATATTGGGGAGGACTGTGAAGACGAGTTCAGTCTCCTTTGCCATGATGTGCGGAAGCTCTCAATTGCGGAGAGAGGATCCATCGAGATAACCGTTAAGCCTGCGGCGCCGGAGCGCATCCAAAAAAGCGATTAATTTATTCAGTTTCATCCCGGTGTGTTATTATGTTTTAGTTAGCCTTGTTATTCCAATTCATAGTCCGATTCGGACGTTGCTACACTTCTTCCTGTTCTGGGATACGTACCACTAGTACTCTCCTTTTTATACTTCTGCTGTTCTCCATCAATTGTCTCAGAATCCACCACCAGTATCTATAGTACCTAGCCTACTAATTCGTACACCAATTAGATTTGTCCCACATTCCAACAGTCCCCAGATAAATGCTAGATTCCAAATCCTCTAAGACCCCCAAGTATAGAACCGTTCCTAAATAGGAAACCCAGGGCAGAGCGATCACATGACTTTCCCCGGACACGTGGGATTGCGCGTCTTGCAGCTTGGGGCGCGGAGACCTCAAGCCCAGCTCCCCAAAGGCCATTAAGACGCTCACTTTGCTTCAAAGCCATGCGTCGGTGCTACTACTAGTCGCCTCAGCTCGATGACTCCGCCACCCTCGTCGCTCTCCCCATTTCCTCCACCGATCCCCGTCGACACACATCCAAACCGCAGCCCCAATTCCCGAACTCCTGAGGAGCGCCTTCCGGATCCGGACCTCCTAGCCCCCGAGGACGCATATTTTGCGCCCTCGCTATCGCGTGCTCGCTCTGCTCCGACGAACTACGATGATACGCTTCGCTCGCTGAACGGTGATGCCAGTCTGCATCCGCCGCGGGCGGTGCTTGGCGCGGACCCTAACCGGAAGGATGTACGGAAATTGGGGGCTGGTGCTGGACGGAGGAGGCGGAAAGGTGCTTGGAAGAAGTTACTTTGGGTGAAGCAATCTTGTATGTGACATCGTCGCTATAGAGGAAAAAAGCTTTCTTGCGTCAGAATTGTGTGGGGTAGTGGACTGTGTTACTAACTGGTGATAGACCCGGATAACTTCACCGATACCGAGACATTTCTAGACCATCTCCAGCGGAATCCCCGAGTACGGCCGTATGACTTCTGGCCGCTTGTGTCGGACTCGACGGTCATCGTGCAGCATGTCTGCTCCGTGGTAATATTCGTGTGCTGTTTCGTTGATATTGTTCAAGACCGGGTGAGCCCCGTTTCGGTTGTCTGCTGGGGAAGTGTCGGTACGGCGGTGGGTTGGATTCTATGGGACAATTGGATCTGGAAAGAACAGACCGAGCTTTCGAATGCCAATGGCACCATCGGGGGCGATGATGGTTCGAGTTCGAGCTCGGTGACCAGTGCTGTCAACCCATCAGCCAGCGACACCCAGGGCAGTGGTGTCAAAGGCAGTCCGATCCATGGTCTCGGCTTGACAATGGCTGCAAACTCGTCAAAAGAACATCTGCCACATCAAAGTCCCGACCACAATAGTGGCGTGGGCGGAGTGATTGACCCTACAGCACGAGCTGGTCTCAACCTCGCTCTGTCAAGTGCTGTTGCTGGCGACACGGATGTCCAAGATATCGACCGACCCTCTCTATTTTCCTCTCGCAACCGCCAACGACTCTCAACCGTGAAATCCGCCTTCTTGATCTACTTCTCCCTGCTGGGACTAAGTCCTATCCTCAAATCTCTTACCAAATCCACCGCCAGCGACTCAATATGGGCTATGAGCTGCTGGCTTATAATCATGAATATATTCTCCTTCGACTACGGAAGTGGCGAGGGCGCCGGCGCCACCAAATTCCCCGCTTCATTATCCACAAATGCAGCCGTCATGGCATCGACCGTGTTGGCATCCCGCCTCCCATCCACCACCCACGTGTTCAGCCTCATGCTGTTCTCCATGGAAGTCTTTGGCCTATTCCCTATATTCCGACGACAACTCCGCCAGAAGTCTTGGACCGGTCATGTGTGCCTTACGCTTGCGCTCGTGTTCATTGCAGGCGGCGCCGTCGGCACGACCATGAGTGGTGGCTGGGCATCAGCTATCATCGGATCCTTCCTTGGAGGCATCCTTACTGCACTTGCCATGGGAGGCTGCAGCTGGTGGCTCATCAGCTTGCAGAAGTATAAGAATGTTGTCATTGGTCCCTGGGATCCAGCTCGTCCCATTATCCGACGACACTGGAATTGATCCATGCTTCCTAATAGCACAGTTGGTTTTTTTCTTCGCCGTTGTGACATAGATCTGGCGTTTTTGGTCTTATACCCCTAGATTATTGTATCTTTTCAGATGAATATATTTCAATCTGCATTCGAATTGCATGCCAAGGTGGCCTTTGGGTTTCCCCTTCCACATTGTAGCTGTATCGGTCTGAATTATACACCCTAGGGAAAACCATCTCCGACACCGGTTGGACTGAACTTGAAGGCAATCATAACCGAGCACCAAATCTACCGTCTGCCTCCGCAAGTGTCTTCTACTGTAAACTTGCTTGACTGTCGGAGTTTTCGGGAGGGGAAAATATCTCATGACGTCGGGGAATGTGAGCGGGAGGGGGACGAATGCACTGCGGATCTGGCATGCAGCCCAAGACTGGCCTGAACTTCGGATGAGCCTCGCCAGGGATCGCCAAAAAACAGCTCAATTTCTAGGGCATTGAACACATACAACCAGATCTCAAGAGTGCTTGTATGTGTGCGTCGGCATAAAAAAAAAGTCTGTGATTGCCGCCCAACTTCTAGTACCTCTCAAGGGCAAAACGTCTATAACTGGTCCCGAAGTCTGGCCGACATTCCAATAACCCCCTCCCCAAGAGTCTTCTGGCCTCTCCTTCCCCATGATCTTCTCAAATAGCCTCACACAGATCCACTCTCCAGCAAGGATGCCTAAATGCCCCGGAACTTGCTTCCATGTAAGCAATCCTATAGGTCCAGCCAAATGGGTCGGTGGATGCATTTTGCTATAATCCGTACTCTCAGACCCGACTGGCATTCTGGGGAGGGAATTGTTTAGTCGGTATCTCTAGCCAGGTGTGCTCGATGATTCTTATAGTCGCCTGTCCCAGCTAGGCGCGAGTGAGTTGCCTGCCTCTCTTCTATCCCTCCTTCTGGCCCGGCGCTTAATTGTCTCTTCCCGCGCGACTTGGTTTGATCCCTTCGTCCAGTGCCTCGCTTCCAAGTCTTACCTTCGATCCTTGCTTGAAACGACGCGTTATCAGCTCCAATCATGCTCAAGCATATCGCCCTCGGCCTGTTGGCCGCTCAAAGCGTCGCTGCGACGCGGTTCGCCATGTACATTGACCAGTAAGTGTACCATCCAAACAGGTTTCCAAAAGAGGAAAACCAACATCATCTAGATGGCACAAGAGCGACCTTCCCGCCGGGAATCAGACTCAAGACATCGACTATGCTGTGATGGCCTTCGCGAAGACGACTCTCTTCAACTCGGACTCGGCCCCATCTTTCACGCCATTCCAGCCTGTCGATGAGATGCGCAAGCGCTTCAGCCCAGACACGAAGCTCATGATTGCCATCGGTGGGTGGGGAGATAGTGAAGGGTTTTCCACCGGCTCGAAGGACGACACCAGCCGCAAGCGATATGCGAAGAATGTCGCATCCATGCTTGAAGCCAATGGATTCGACGGAGTTGGTTAGTTGCTCATTTCAAATTCCAATAGTGGTGTTGATGCCTCCATTCTAACTGATGCAGACATCGACTGGGAATATCCCGGCGGCAATGGCGACGACTACAAGCAAAACCCAAACAAGGGCAAAGTCGATGAAATCGAAAACTACCCCAAGTTCCTCGCCGCTCTCCGCGAGGCCATTGGCAACAAGACCCTCTCTATCGCTGTCCCAGGCCGCCTGCAAGACATGATCGCCTTCACCAAGGAGCAGGGTCCTAAGATCTTTGAGACTGTCGACATGGTCAACGTTATGAGCTACGATTTGATGAACCGCCGCGACAACCACACCTTCCACGCCAGTGATGTCGCCGGATCCCTGGAGACCGTCAACGCATACCTCGACATTGGCGCTAAGCCCGAGCAGCTCAATCTTGGATTCGCCTATTACGCCAAGTGGTTCGAGACGGACCCCAACTCGGACTGCGAGGAGAACCCTCTCGGCTGTGCGACCGTCAAGCTGGAGAACTCTGACGGTAGCGACACCGGCAAGTCCGGCGCCGTGACCTTCGAGAAGAATCCCGAGTATATGCCTGCCGCCGTCACTGAGTCTTGGAAGCGTGCCCAGAAAGGAGGCATGACTGATGAGGAGAAGGGTGGTCAGTATTTCTGGGATAAGGAGACTAACTATTTCTGGACTTGGGATACTCCTGAGCTTATCACTCGCAAGTTCACTGATATCGTTGATGCTAAGAAGCTTGGCGGTGTCATGGCTTGGAGTCTCGGTGAGGATACTATCAAGTTTGCTCATGTGGATGCAATGCAGAAGGGTGTTCGTAACTCCAATCAGAAGAAGGAGGACTCCAAGATGGTTGCTGCGAAAAAGCCTGCTGCCAATAAGCCTGCTGCCCATAAGCTTGCTGCCAAGAAGCCTGCTGCCCATAAGCCTGCTGCCAAGAAGCCTGCTGTCAACAACCATGCTTAGGTTGTACTGGAGACAGATATGGAGGATTGATATGAAATTTAGATCTCTAATTTCCTAACCTCTTATGGAAGATGGACACTATTGTGTAGATCCCAAAGATCATAACTTAATACTTTCCAGAGGCCATTTAATTTCAAAAATTGCAAATTCCAAAACTGGAAGCTATAGCTATCCATCGCTTAGCCTCTCGCCGTGACTATAGAAGCTCTCAACTGGTTAAGTGCAAGCTCATGGCCTTGATCCACCCTTCTAAACTCAAGGTGGCCGAGTAGTTGGAGAAAAGGCTCCGTCGGGTGCTTTTCGAAAATTGGTGGCAGACTTTACATGGATTTAATATAATTTGAAGTTTCTTTGATTTGGGGGTAAGATGACCATGCAGTACCGCAAGGCTGCTAACAGTACATGTTCTGATCCATAATGTCAGTGGGGCAGCTTACTGCAGTATGGTGGGGACAAAACGTAGATCACAATATTTGACGAGTTAATAGTAACATTTGGGTATCAACAATAATAAAGGAAAGTGTTAGGTTCGTCGTACAAGCCAAGGAAAAAAGGAAATATAAGTTATCTTGATCGTATCTGCCGGGGCGACCACCATTGCTTCTCCTCGAGAACAATCTCCCTCTGTCTATTACTCCACGCCCGAAGCTGTCTCTCCGGACCTACGAGCCGGACACGATCACGACCACGCTCTGGGTACTTCTCGTGAGTGCAGCATTTGAGGATCCGCTCAAATAACTCGAGGACGAGATAGGCGAGAGGGAAAAGAACGAAGATAGCCACAGCGACGCATTCCGGACCATGAGCGTCGAGGAGGTCAAGTAACTCTGACGGATTGAGGTAGGAGGCAATGGGCTTCGAAGAGTTGCAGGAGCCATACTTCCGCAATCTGGATTTTGCGAGCGCATTCTTTGGGTGATTTTCGGATGGCATTAAAGTGTCCATGCCACCCAGGAACGTCCCATAGAGACGGCCAAGTGAGGAGTCTGGCTCTGAGTGGAGGCTTGCTGACGGATTTGATGCGATGGAGTGATATTTTGGGCCATGCAGTTCGACAAATTTGCTGACTTTGTCCAGGAATACACCATATCGCCGGGAGGGCGAAGACGAAGAGGCTTGACGTTGCTGCTCGTGCTCGCCTTTATTCGATTGACTCGAGCTGCTCAGCAGGAGGCCGTATTTTCTTCCAAAGAAAGATACCTCATCTTCTTGATTCTGGGATTCTGATCCCGCCGGCCACTTTGCATCCGGACTGGGTCCTTTGGCGGATGACGGCCTGCCCAAACGGAGACGCTCCACGTACTCGCGGAAAGTCGGCTTGGGAGAAAACTCTTGCTCTTCGGCTGTCATGACGGGCTTTGGCTTAATAGTTTCACTGGGAGAATTTGAACGCAGGCGAATAGTAGGTGTATCACCGATAAGGACAAATTGAATTGGCAGTGCGAGACATAGTGTCGCACAGAGACACAACAAGAGAAGGAGGTTCATGTTGGCAGGGGCAGCCCCCTGGCGGATGAGAGGAGGAGAGTTGCATAAAGGAAAAGGAAAGAGAAGGAAAGAGAAGGGGAGTCGAGATGGAGGGAATTAAGGGCGTCGCCGTGATCAGAAAGAAGCAGCAAGCAGCAACAACCCGCAACGGCAAGCAATGGCATGTGGCAGATGCGTCACTGTGATTGGCCCGTCGAAGGGGGGCCACGATCTGTTTTGGGAATCGGACGGACTAGGCAGTCGCCCGAAAAGGAAATAATGAGGATTATCAACTTATAGCATAATTGCAAACTATAATTATGGTTATGGTTATGGTTATGGTTATTGCAAGTTTTTACTTCTGAAGATAATTCCATGGGAGAACTCGTAGTTATAGGCCGGGGTTGCAACCGGACCCTGAGACCCTGACACTGCGGGGCCACGGACCGGAGCGGAGCTACTACGAATGTACTTAACTCTATAGAACGCCACTTATTCCCCTCACCTGCCAGGGTTCCCTGTCCGAGGAAAGGTCAGCCGACCTGCTACGTTATTAGAGAACTACAAAATACTCATAAGAGGTCTTTGGTATTTATTGCACAATAGAATGGTTCAGGTTAATTTACTAGTAGTCCACGTCGGGCACTTGTAGTACGGCATAGCTATTTGCTGCTACCTAGGTAATATATACTATGGGTAGATATATCGTTTATTCACAAATATAATGTGTTCAAAGAACTTGAAGTTGTCCATGAGTTATTAGTCTTAATTCTCCAAGTCTCTGCATAGCTTCAACCCTTCAACTCTCAGAGTTTCCCATCGTGACCGTCGCCTATGAGAGCCACATTTGTTGTGAGCGAGAGGCTAAGCTCTGCCAAGATAAACCGAGCCAAGTCATTCTCCACCAACCAGAAAGAAGACACAACCTTTCCCCCGAAAAGGCCACATTGGCAGCTTGGCAACAAGCGCCAAGAAGAAGATGAGTGAACATTTCTGGTACTTCTAACTTCTAAGGATTCTTCCTCAGCTTCCATGGTCGGGGAAACACATAGTCGAAATGACTTCGCTGAGTTGAACAGTAAATACTACTAGTGCTATTGGACTGCATGGCACTACTAGTCTTGATCACCTGGCCACTCGGGCACCAACTAACCTCCAAGTTCCGTGGATAAATATTAGACTGCTACTAGTATTTTTACAACTAGACTTAGAATAAAGCATAAACAACTAGTATTCTACCAATGGAAGCAGAAAATTTTGAATTATTGCTGAATTAATAGCGTAGAAATATATTGAATATAGTTAGGTATACTGTACAATCTATGAAAATTTTCAGATTACATTAAAGCCCTTTCTAAGCCCGGCAGAGGCGACCATTTTGATCGGGCAGGCCATCCAGGCTCTTAACAACCCAGTCCTCGCTACCCACACCAGTGGGAGCATAGAAAAGACCAGTAGGGTCATAGCGCTGCTTCAACTTATAAAGACGGGCGTAGTTGGAGCCGTAGAAAGCCTGTTGGAAGTTGGGCTCGAGGATATCAGACTCGGACATGTACGCACCGGCATCGGGGCTGACAGCGCGCCACTTGCCGAGAACGTTGTTCGTGAAGTCCTCCATCTTGGACTTGATCTCGGTGTTGGTAGCGTTGGCGTCCCAGCTGGTAGAAGTGATGGCATGCAGGAGGGTGTCGCGGAATGCTGGGTTGGCGGCGTTGGAGGGGTATCCATCGACCAACTCGGCCTTCATGTTAAAGGCGAGAAGGGAGTAGCCGGCGCTGATGGTCTCCTTGAGAGCATCGAAGGTGGCGTTGAAGGAGGATGAGGTTTCCCAGTTGGAGCGGGGGAAAAGACGGGAGCCGGTCATCATGACTGAGGAGGCGACGGTCTCGAGGGGGAAACCGGCCATCCAGGCATCGTAGAAGTTGTCGTAGTAGGTAGAGTTGGGGGTGATTGAGATACCTAGATCCTCAAGATCATTGTACCACGGCTTCACCAGAGTGTTGTACTGAGCGAGGGTGTGGTTGACGGCAAAGAAAGGGTTCATGAGGAAAGTGAAAGAGTCGGCGCCAGTTGCCAGAATCCAGAAGTAGGCGTAAGTTCCAGCGTCAGCGTTCTGGGGGAAGCGTTCAATGTAAGAGCGCACACCGGCCCAGAACGCATCCACGGAAACATCGGTGCCGGTGGAGAAGCTGAAGGTCGAAACGGTCACACCAACCTTAGGCTGGACACGGCTGGTAACAGAGGTGACAACACCGTAAGTACCACCGCCACCACCGCGGATGGCCCAGAAAAGATCGGGGTTGTTCTCCTCAGTCACGGTGACAAACCGACCGTTGGCCAGAACGACCTCGAGAGCAAGGACTTGATCAGCAGCAAGACCATAGATCGAAGACATGGGGCTGTGGCCACCTCCTAGGACGTAACCTCCGGCAACACCGACGGTCTGCAAATATTAGCAAGGAACATCCGAATACACAATAGAATGACGAGTCTCACCTTGCCCTCTCCACCAACAGCAGTGAAACCAAGCACATGTGCCTTCTCATAAATCTCGTGAGCCTGAACACCGGCACCCATCTTGACGGCGGGTCCCTGGTAGCTCGAGCTCTTGTAGTTCGCGATATAATCGATATCCTTAAGGTTGTGGGTCCAAATACCAAGCGCACCAGCTCCAGTCGACTTTCCATTGAAATCGTGACCAGTGTTCTTGACAACGAGTCTCAGACCAGCATTGCGAGCAAAGTTGACAGCCAGTTGAATTTGTCCAACACTGCTGACATTAACAGCGTAGCTGCTGTATCCACCAACAGTACAAGAGGCAGAGGAATCAGTAGTAGGCAGACAGGAGCGTCCCTCGAACAAAGGCCACATCACGGAGGCAGGGTCGGCGGCGCTGGATGGAGTCAGTGGGTGTCTTTGAATAAATGTGCATAAAAGGAACTCACTGGATGTTGGAATCGGTCCACTCAGAAGTGAGAGTCTCGCACTCATTGGCATCATACTCGGGCCATGATTTGTAGCATGAAGCAGCCAAGGGCACCGTCTTGATCAGTGCACCGCCCAGAAGCTCATCAAACAACCACCAGACCCACTCTGAGGGCCACAGCCAGTCTCCGGGGAAGACCTTGCAACCATTGCCAAACGTGCGAGTTTGCAGAGAACTATCGTTCTTCGCAAAGTCAAAGTAAACCGACTGGTTCTTGCTGAGATGCGACAAAGACTCATCGGTCAATTGAAGTGTTTCGCTCTCGAAAAGAGGGGCATTGGAGCTAGACTCGACGGCAACTCTTGAAACAGCCGAGAGAGCACTTCCAGGGGCAACGAGAGAAAGGGCGAGCAAAGCGGCTGCCGCAAACGAAGGGGGCGCCATTTTTTAAAAAGTGGAAACAAAAAGAAACAGAATAAGTTCAATAAGAAGGAAAGTATTCACCTCCAGATCGATCGGCGAGAGGGCTACCGGAAGAGTGAAATAGAAAAGAAAGAAGGCGATCTCTACGATTTAAAGCGATGCGGAGATGGGCAGACAAGCTCCCTGGCCACGAGTTTGACCAGACCACCACAATCTTCCTACTCCAACCAACTGCACTAAAAAGAGCTGGTGGCCGGTTATTTTGACTGCGCCCCACCCGAATGCACAATGTATAAGTGTATCCAGAGAAATGCACACCGGAAAGATTTCCGAAAGCCCTCATTCTACTCCACTTTGCGTTAGGGCGACGAGTCTTGTCAGACTGGGACCTTCGGCCGATTTCAATCTCCGAGACATGCATCGCTTCGGCAGTGGTCAACAAGCGAACGATTTATACACTATACGCACGCTATGCAGATTGAAGTTAGCCGCACGCTACACTCTACCCGCGACGACCGTCCTGTCTAGAAGATGGCTAGCTCTGGACCGATTCAGGCCCGGGTGTATTACCAGAGTGGAATTGGGGTGTGCTTTTTGGCCCTGTTCATCTCCCGATCCGCCCCCACTCAGAGAGGATACTTCCGCTAACAAATCCTTCGGCCAAGGCCAGATTGACAGAATCCTCCTATGGCCGATAAATAGTTCAAGCGCCACGAAGGAGCAATAGTTAGTATTCATCCTGCAAAAATGCACACGTGGCCAATCCTTGTTCCCCCGCTATGAACTAGGTGCTTGATCTCAGAATGGATATTAACCCGGCAAATATCCTGCAGTGGCATAAGCCACACGCGGAATAAACAAAGCCTCGCCATTGGCGGTTTTTTCCCCCTTCAGACCCACCTGTGGTTTTGATCCACCCAGATTATCCTGGAGGATCTGAGGCGCTCGGACAATGAGGGTAAGGAAAAGGTAGCCGAGGTAAATGGGAGAAATGGGCCAATATCGTACGATGGAATATAGGAAAGAAAATGGGGGAGGCGTGCTCATAAATTCATTTCCCTGCAGTGCCTGCTGGATGTGGCGGACGGTACCAGCAAACGTTAAACGGTGTGTTTCCACTATGATATTTTGTTCCTGAACGTGGCATGTAAGACTGTCTGATAGTGGCGAAACCTTCTCTCAAAGTAAATCCTTCGAGAAGTATAATCCCAAATTCCCCTCTCGTATCGGATCGGCCATTGGATACGGAAAAAAGTGTTTCTTTGCCCACGGTTCATGGGCATACACCCATATGGCCTAACTTGACTGGGGATGTGCCCCACCTCGGTTAGGCCAGATTGAACACCGAGATAATGTCTCATAACATGTCCTGCAGTTCTATGAGTTTCACTAATTGGCCCCTAGAATCTGCAAAGAATTCTTTTTCGCCAAGCCGGCAGATAAGTTTGCGAATACGATTATTTGCCATTCCTGTGATTTCTGCAGCCATCGTGCTAACTTGACCTCTCAAATTGGGGCCCATCGATAGATAATCTACTGATAGTGTTGTATTGCAGAAGGTTTCAGTTTGCTCTAAGAATGTATATGATATGCTGGAATAGCCTTTTTCTCAAAAATCTCGTCTTTGGGTACTCGTACCTGGAAATCCTGATCCGCCCTGCTTACTCTTCAAGTGGGGTGTTCTGGTCTCAATGCCAATGATGGTTAGCACCGGCGTATCTCGTAACTAATGACTTGCCCAATTGGGGTTTCCGAAATCGGGCGTGGCTCCGTCGACTTGGTTCTTGGGCCTGGATCTCGGAGATTTAGCGAAGTGAAGGAAGAAATATGCAGGCGTGACTGGGCATTGCGAAGTTGGTGTTACACTCTGCACACCTTAATTGATTGTTTCTGTGGCGGTCCGCCATGTGCTGGGCTTTATAATATGGACTAAAAGACCTGTATCTGAGAGGGGTTCGTACTTTGTGATTTTGGTTCTTCTTTCCACCTTCTAGCCTCTCTTCTAGGCACCATTATGCAGGATGATTGACGACCATCATCAAAAGCTCGCTCTGGGCATTGTCGTCGCTTTTCCTATTCTGGGCGGCCTAGCTGTGATCCTTAGATTATGGAGTCGAGGATTGTCGCGATCTGCACTGACAAGTGGTATGTTAGCCCCCCCGAGCCGTCCCCAGTGATCGACACTTGGCTATTATGGGATCTATTCTGCCTTTGGTATACTAACAAGTCTACTAGATGACTATCTGATTATTGTGGGCTATGTATGTGGATGGATTGTCATTTAGTCTAGCACTCACTAACCTTGCTGGATAGCTCCTCGCTGTTTCACAGTCAGTCACGTCATGGTACTGTATGTACTCATATACCATGCATCCGCAGGCTGATGGCTCTGTTGACTGACCTTTTACAGATATCAAGACCAACTATGTCGGCATCCACATGGTAGACATCCCCCCGGACTACGATGTCAAATTAGGATTGATTGTAAGACCATATTGCGACGATGAACGACACACATGGACTGACAGCATCTAGTGGAACTTTGTCAACCAACTTCTCTACAACCCAACCTTGACCATCATCAAATTGTCAATTTTGGTATTCCTCCGTCGTCTCGAATCACGGTCGCGAGTCGTCAACGCTTTGATATGGGCTTCAATGGGAATCGTTATCGCCTTATTTGTGGCCGTCCTATTCGTCGACATCTTCCAATGCACCCCTATTGCATACGTTTACGACATGTCGATCAAGGGAGGGACCTGCATCGACCAAGGAGGATTCTATGTGTCTACCGCAGCAATCAATCTCTTCACAGACATCATGGTGCTGTCTATTCCCATCATCATTACTTGGAATCTTCAAATGCCCCTACGACGAAAGCTTGCGGTCTGCGTGATCTTGTGTCTTGGTGGAGTGTAAGTCCTCAAATGCCCAAAGGCTGCAGGGTATAGTTGCAGAGTATAGGCTGACAGGATGCAGTGCAACCGCCATCGGCGTCTGGCGTATCATAATCCTCGCAGAGGGCTTCCTTAGCCACAAGGTCGTATCGGATCCTACCTATTCCATTGGCTTTTGCAGCTCAGCCATCGAAGTCAACGTGGCTGTTGTGACCGCCTGTGGTCCATCGATGAAAGCCATCGCCAGCAAGTATCTTCCTCGTCTCCTGGGAACATCGCGCGGCGGAGGTACCTCTGGCTATGGACCTGGGACCAGTGGATCTCGCGGTGTCTTCCCTGGCTCCAAGTTTTCCAGACACAAGTCGCAGCTGCACTCTAATGCCGACGACGGATACGAGATGGCGGATCCGAGGCACCGTGTGGACATCGGCCCGGGCGAAAGCGGGAACCAATTTGATATGCGGAAGTATAAGCGCAGCGGCGATAGTCCCAGTATCTCAAGTGAAAGTGAGGATGGCATAGCCGGGATTGTGAAAACGACTGATGTTTCGGTGCGATATACCGTCGACGAGGTGAGCCCCCATCATAATGGCCGGTCGCATGATGGCAAACATACCAGTATGGATAGCTTGGTTTAGACTTCGGGATGGATTTAATGTATAGTACAAGATAAAAGGCATACAGCCGATATGACAGTGGGGTATCCCCAAGGAGGAGAGCAACTTGAACCTTGGAAGTAAAAAGAAGTAGAAGCAGCAGAACATGGAATAACATGGCGAGGGACAACCCCACCTCCTTTCCCCCGAAAGACCCCGCCGAACCCGCCGAGTATAAACTTAACTTCTCTTCATCATCCCCCTCCAACTTTCTATCTTCCTACATCACACGCACACACATATATACACAATGGCGACACAATATCAGCTACCTTTCAAGGTACGTGGATTCACCCCCTGTTCACCGACCCTTTCTATGTGTTTTCAATTGTTGATTCGGGGCTTGTGGAGCTCTCGGCCAGAAGTCCGAGATACCTAAGCTAATGCGCGTATAGCTCTCCGACCCATCACTTTTGCACTTCGACTCATTTGTAGGTAACAAATGGGTAGAGGCAAAGAGCAAGAACCGATTCGAAGTTCTCGGTATGCAAAGAATCAACCCGATCACCAGCTTTAGGAAGATTGTCGTGGCTAATGGTGTTTTCTAGACCCTGGTACCGATCAAGCATGGGCAAGCTGCCCCACCAACTCAGCCGAGGATGTCAACGCCGCCGTAGAGAATGCGCACGCTGCCTTTGAAGAGTTCCGCAAAGTTTCCGGGCGCAAGCGAGCACAGTGGCTAATGAAATGGTGGGAACTCACCACCGCAGCGCGCGATGACTTGGCTCAAATCGTTACCCACGAGACGGGAAAGCCACTTTCTGAAGCCTATGGAGAGCTGGACTACTCTCTAGGATTCCTGTGGTGGTTTGCTGGCGAGGCGGAGCGCATCCAGGGTACTGTATCGGTCCCTGCAGCGCCCAACCGCCGTTTGTTCACGATCAAACAGCCCCTTGGCGTAGCCGCTGCGCTGGTGCCATGGAACTTCCCAATCGCGATGGTTCTGCGCAAGGTTGGTGCCGCGATGGCAGCTGGCTGTACGATGGTTGTGAAGCCGAGCCCTGAAACTCCTATTTCCGTGCTGGTGTTGGCAGAGCTGGCGCAGCGAGCAGGTATCCCTGCTGGTGTGCTGAATGTGTTGACCACCGACTTGGAGAACACACCCCCGCTCAGTGAGGCGCTCTGCAAGCACCCGCTAGTCAAGAAGGTCACTTTCACTGGCTCGACTCGTGTCGGTAAGCTCGTGGCCGCTCACTGTGCTCAGGGCCTGAAGAAAGTGACCCTCGAATTGGGCGGAAACTGCCCATTCATCGTCTTTGATGATGCCAACCTTGATCAAGCCCTTGACCAGCTTATGTTATTGAAGTGGCGTCATGCTGGACAGGCCTGTATCACCGCAAACCGAATCTACGTGCAGGCAGGTGTATATGACCGCTTCGCAGCCTTGCTGAAGGAGCGTACGAGCACGTTGGTTGTTGGTCACGGGTCTGCTAAGGATACCACGATGGGACCACTGACGACTCCGAGAAGTATCGATAAGGCGATCGCGCAAGTTGAAGATGCGCGTAGCCGTGGCGCGGAGGTGATCCTTGGTGGCAAACCGTTGACCTCGCAGAAGGGCTATTTCTTTGAGCCGACCATCCTGTCAGGCATGACCGAGGATATGCAGATCTCACAGGAGGAGTCTTTTGCCCCCATTGCTGCACTTTATCGCTTCGATACGGAAGAAGAGGCAGTTAAGATGGCCAACGCAACTAGCATGGGACTGGCTAGCTATGCATTCACCAAGAATGTCGATCGTATCTGGAGACTATTTGAGAACCTAGAAGCTGGTATGATCGGCTTGAACACAGGTGAGTACATTATCGAAAATTCTAGTCCTAATTTGTGTGCAACAAACTTTTCTAATATGTTTGCAGGAAATGGATCAGCCGCCGAGTCGCCATTTGGAGGTATGAAGGAGTCTGGATATGGCAAGGAGAGTGGCAAGGATGTTGCGGTGAACGAGTATCTGGTGTCCAAGACTGGAACTCTGACGATCGAGGGACAGTACTAAGCTCTTTATTTTGAATATTCGAGAGTACATATAGTTAACTAAATTAAATTGCAAATTGGAAATACGTATCACAGTTTCATCGCGACCAGTGTTATTAGATACTACCAGCTTACACCCAGGATGATGGTGTCCTACTTTCGCGTGTTTTCCGCGGTGCAACAGATGCTGTCATATTCGAATACTTCTTAGCGCTCTATCTAATATACAAGATACTAGAGCACTCGCAACTGGAAAATGGTGAAAATGCTGCACCATCATTCCAGGATGGTATAGACGGCCCGCTTGGACTCAGCTAGTCGACAGCCCTTTGGTCGCCAGTGGGGAGAAGCTGGGACAAGTACACACCAGCAATGCCTTTTTTCATGTCGACCCACTATCTCGATGTCAGTTACAAGTCCATAGAATGGGATACATAAAGATAATGCCAATGCTTACCCAGTAGCAATTGGGGAGTCCGGATCAGGACAGTGAATACTGTCTCTATATATTTACCCAGTTTCAGGCCCGTCACTTGCTCCACCTGATTTTTGTTCTGTCAGCTAATTCTACGGTGGATTCTCTAATATCCTCCGTAGGGCTGGATATTAACTATCAGCCCAGCCCATTCAAGTCCAGGACTATACATCCACTGTTCTCCGGGCTCAAACACCAGAAACTTATGGAAAGACTCTCGCTGTTTTTTTTAGTAGAGTGCGCCAAGTCTCGACGGTGAATGGACATTCTATGGTCTGCAGGAACAGAGGTCGCTCGCCTTCCAGCTCTTGGTAGCGTATCGAAAGCGGATGCATAAATTTATAGGCAATCCCTGATGAGTGGGTCAAGAGGAGTCTTGAAAGGATTTAATGAGAAGAATGTATACAAGATAATTGATTTGAAGTGCCGAAGAGTAGGAGGGCATTTTGCTGGTCGGAATTGGGGTTCGTTCTTCTCGCTGAATCAAGTCAAGATTTTGGGGTCCTTCCACTCAGGTAGAATGACAGATATGTCTGCGTCCAAGTCCAACAGCCCCTTTTCGACGCATTGCATGACCGCGATACTTGTGATGAATTTGATTGTGGATGCAATTCAGTGCACATCATCAGCTCTAGAAACTTCTCCCTGGTCACCATCGAAAGACTTTGCGTAGTGTAGGGTTCCTGAGAATTGTTACTGATGTGGTGGTCAAATGTTTCTGTTCTTTTATGGAATTTACCATCTCGATTCACAGCACCAAGGGTGATGCGAGGTAGGGGCTCTCCATCCTGACGGAGGAAGGATTGGACGGCTTCGTCAATGAACTCCATTGCGATGGCCATATGGTCTTCAGATTGTTTGTTTTGAGAGAATAGAATTCTATTTTCAGGAGTGAAAGCATTGTTTTTAAATCGTTAAATGCCTTCACACTTTGTGATTTCAGTGCCCCCCTCTGCTTTTTAGGGTAATGATATTCAATCCTCCGCTGGCTTTCAATCGTACATATAATTGGAGCTGTGATATACCTGTCCGTTTCAGTGATACCGTTGGTTCTGCAATTCAATGAATAAGCCAGGCGTCGCAAAACGGCCGAAAGAGGGAAAAACGTGGGGTCGTCCGTGAGCTGCCTGCATCAGGAGTACGCAGGTTTTTTTTTTCCTTTTCCGCCCGGCGAGGATGTTGTGGATGTATTAACATCTGCAAAGGCAAACCACCCAAATCATGAAGACGCCAATTGGCGGAGTCGGATGAACCCTCGCGATCTGCTCTAAAACGGAAAATATATAGTGGGGCGGGCGGTTCAAGGTCCACAGGTTGCGGAGCACAGTAGTACACCCCAACACTAACTAAGTGACAGTAAATTAAGCGTCAAAACTACTGGCTCCTTTCAACGCCAGTTTACCAAGATCTTAGTCATCATAACACCATGTAACTTAATTGAAATCAATCCAGTCTTATCGTTTGCCCGGAAGCACCGCAGTTTTCTGCCCGATGGACAAAGTCACATGATACACCCCGCCAGCTGACGGATTTCTGGATCAGTGTAGCTATCCGTTGCCATTTTGATTATTCCCCCCGTAGTACCGCTGATCCGTTCTCGTCACTGACAATTGAGTCTCCCCGGCATTTAGTATCTCATTCTGATTGATCATTCTATCGGCGAAACGTCATCCTCAGGAATCCAGAGGCAGATCTTAGAGAGGAGGATTGTTTGCAGGCCAAGCGCAGGAATTTTCCCCCTTGATTTACCGCGGGACTCAGCCAAGAAATGATAACGAACAGTATTCCAGCTTCTCGAAAGAAATAGCAATCATCATACCGCTTCAGTTTAATTGTTGTTGCCAAGTATCTTCTTAGGCTACCGGATCCACATTATCACCGCGTAGAGTACTTTCCTTCATACACACCGTTGATCATGTGCACTTGGATTCAGTTTCACACCTCTAACGTTGTCATGCTGCCAACGCCTAATTTTACGGATTCAATGGCTTGGGGCTGATATACCTACGCTTCGGTCACCGAGGAATCGAGCACTGTTGTAAGAAACGAACGTTGTCTCTGGTTTTGTTCTTGTGTGTGAACAGTAATATTTATTTGTTCATTTTCTTTTACGCTTCTCGGCCCGCAGCCGAGGTTGGCCAGCAGACCGGTGTTTTATCTTGGTATTATAGTGCATCTGTAACGATGAAAGTGTGCGGCCAGGAAAGTATGCTACGATTTCGCTCTATGCTAGCCTCTCTTGCTTCTTTAACTTCACTAGTAAGTAGTCCTTATTAGGTGAGTAAGGCTGACGTTTGCCCTTCGCCTGACTGCCGTGAGATTCCGTCACTGACTGCTTCTGTCTCCTGCTTGGTGCTATAATTCTATAAGTATAATTAGTAAAGGGGTAAGTAGGTGAAAGAATATTATCGGGTACCAGTATCAAGGAAAATATAGGCTTTAGTCCTTCTAACTTGATTATAAGAATAGCCCGCCTAATGATATTATGGCTAGTGTTATAATAATTCAATAAGCTATTATAAGAACCCTAAAATTGGTATAGGGCAGCCGTGCCTATATGAGTATACTTGTAACCTAAGGCCTTGATGCTTTCTTTCTCAGAAAACCCTGCTTAGAGATTATCTCTTATATAATCCTTATCTGAGGTATTATCAGATCTCTCTTTATCTCTACTGAGAGACATGCCCAATGAGACTGCCTGGGAACTCGATTGTATAATTTGTATTATTTATAATCACAATAAGGGTATAACAACAGCAACAGAAGGGTACTTTCCTTTCTGAAGTGACCTATTTAGGGCTACTTGGGAGAGTAGTGGTCACAGAGTAACTGTCCGAATCACATATAGATTCCTGTAATGCATACTGGTACGTGTTATATTCTTCTTTATTGTGATCTTCTGAGGCAAGGCTCAAAAAGAATCCTCTTTTGAGGGTTCGGCTGCGGGAGAAACTGATTTGGTAGGGGGCGAGATTTCTGAAAAGCGCTCACGCACAGAACTGGCAAAGAAAATAGCTTCGTAGAATTTCTATTTTTAACTATTGAGCTGAAATTGGCCTTTTGGATCGGGAAAAAAACGAAGCAAATCCTCTATTATCGATGTATATAATGTTACTCTTACTAGTAAGAGTGTGAAGAGCAGCAGCAGCAGCGAAATGTGAACAATCTTACTAATGGTCATAATGTCGACGATCAGCTCTATCTCCTAGTCTCCGATTCCCAACAGTCACCTTGACGTTGTATGTATAGCCCCGGTTAGCACTTTGGGAATTACCTGCTTGATACCTTAGGTTAAAGTTTCGGTCGTCGTCTCTCCGAGTCACGACGGAAATATTCCCGGTCTTCCTGAAGATCTCGATGTTGGACGAATTGCTCTGGCCAGACCTCTTTGTGACCTTGACCGTAGTTCTTCGACTCCGAAGAATCTCCATGCTGATGTTGTTCTCCAACTACCTCTTCACTAGTTGCCCTTTTAGATCTCCGTTCTCGTCTCTCTTTGGCCTGTTGTAATTCCTGTTGCGACTTCCTTTCGGCTATCCTCAAAAGTTCTTTTTTGTGTTCCCTCTGCACCACACTTTTTGGTGCCGATTTCATCCGATCCCACCTTGATAGTGCTGTAGATGTATTGGCTTTCCACTTGCTTGCTTCTTTCCTTTCTCTCCTTTCTCTTGCCTCAAATTGGTCTGCCAATCGCTGATGATCTTGCTTCCCGGTGTTTCTGGCTGCTTTTCGATGGACTCCCGCTGGATCATTTGACCTTGTACAGGCTGTCTGTTGTCCAATCGCCTCTTGTTTGGCTGCTTTTTCATCAATCACCGCTTCACCTCGAGGCTCACCTTGCCAACTGCTACTATCCGGCGGTTCCATATCATCCCCTAGTGCCGTTCCTTCGTACATTCTATTCATTGCCGCCTGAATTCGCTCCGTCTTCTGTGCTTCGTCTTCACCCGTTTCGTACGCCTCGCACTTGTTTGCTAGAAACTCCCCATTATTAAGTCTTCGGATGGCTGCATGCACCTTCGGCTCAGCCGCTAGCCATTCGTAGTAAGGCTTTTTCAGCAGCTCGCTTCGCTTGAGAGACGAGTATTGATCGATCCATGTGCGAGCAGCAACTTCCGCAGCAGGGTCATCCGCAACGACCAAATCAGACCGTGGGTACAGGCCTCCATGAATTGCTCGGAGTATCCGTGAGAGTCCTCTCTGACCTTCTGGCCAGCGTACTAAGCTTCCAGTGTCATACCTTGTGCCGTATTTCACCCCATCTGGTGTAATAACGTCGGGTAGACGAGTACAAGACGAGAGCACTACATTAGGGTAGTCTCTTCTTAACTCTAAGCTGACATCAATCATAGCTCGATCAACGCGGCTCTCGAAAAGGGTTTCCAGATCTGAGTCATCAAGAGGCTCCCCGGTCAAAGGATTTGCTGGTCCTGTTCTCCTTTTGTCTTGGCCCCTGCGAGCTGTTCCACTTGAAGGACTTGTCGATTCCGGGTAACCGTGGTATCCGAGTCCCAGTCCACTATATACAATTTCAAGTATGAAATTATATATGCTTTCTCTGATTTCGATATCGACAAAGGACAGAATTTGGTCCCTAGCTATCTTGCTAAGATACTCCAAACTCAAAAACTCCCAGCGCTCTTTTATAGAAGCACGATTGTTCATGCCCTTTCGTTGCAATGCAAGTTCAACCAGAGGTTCTGGATAAAAGACCATGGTTAAATTAGGAGCTGCAAACAGTTGATCTGGGAAAAATTGACGGCCGTACTCTTTGCGAGAATAATCTTGGGCTTCTCCGATGAGCCTATAATAAGAAGCATATTTGGTGTTATAACCCTTCAGTATTATATTCCGGCGTTTGAATTGGGTATCAGATATGAAAGATCGGACAAGGGGATTCTTGACTTTGTGAAAATGGTCGGTGAACTCGACAATGGCCTTAGCAAGATCTTCTTCTCTGAGATCGACTTGAAGCCCGTAAGGGGTTCTGTGGTCCATGCGCATTGCCTGTCTCAATGAAGGCACTTTCTCATGCGCCCGGAGATAAGTACTCGCAAAGTCGATATTATCCAGATCCACTCGCCTGGAAACAAGATGTGTCCCGTGAACCTGTTCGTAGGCAAGCTCAGACCAGTCTTGTAACTTCGATGATGTGACACGTTCGGGACTTAAGTCATGGGCTAAGAATGAATAATTCCCAGAGTCAGAGCCAAAGCGACAGTCCACCTCGTGGAGAAATAGATCGTTTGCAAATCCCCAGGCGATGGCAAATCTTGAATTTTCTACGATGCGCCTGGCACGCTCATAGTACCCGCGATGACAAAATACAAGGCCATATCTAGCCGGCTGTAATTTGTTCTGTAGTTTGGGATCTCCAGCGGGTGCTTTTCTGATAGTTGCGGTTTGGAACTTGCAATAAATACTCTTTTGCATTTTCCAGTCATCGTATCCTGGGGGAAGATCTGGGAAGTGTCTGCAATGGATGAATTCCCCGCGCTTCTTCAATAAATCTGCCATGTCGAATGTAAGATGATAAGGCGTTACACTCCACGAGAATATGAATGAAGAGGGGTATAATAAGATACGCGGAGCTTGTGTTTTGAGAGTTTTGGATATTGGAGGACGTAGAAAGGTGCAGCATTTTGAAGAGAATGTTTAGCTACTTATACTGCCTGGTAGTGCATAGCAGTAGGAGATTGTTCCCGTACTACTAGTCAAAGACCTGCCCCTTTCACTGGACGCAAAGAACAGCCTCATTATAGTGCGCCTTGGCACGAAGGTTGTAGATGTGATTGGTCTTGAGGGGAGACCAAGAGCTGAACATGCCACTGAAAATACCATGCATATGCACCCAAGCACTCTCTGGCCAATATTGTAGAGACAAAGCCGCAAACATGTAATATCGAAAACGTGGTGAACGTTTCTACTGGTCTGGCTGTTAATACCGGTATCAAATTACAGTCAAGATCATAATACTCCTGGTCGTCATCTTCCGCCCCAATTTGCTGCTCTTAAAAATTGTAAGTTCTGGAGGCTCTTCGGGATTCCCATAACAGACCGAACCCCGCTAATGCGACTGACAAATCAGATCAATGGTGGATAGCGAGGCAAACCTTGTCATGCGTTGGCAAGGCAAACCTAGTCATGCGTTGGCAAGGCAAACCTTGTCAAGCGTTGGCAAGGCATAGCCGGGGTTTGCCTCGACTCATGTCACTGGCAGAATTTATCTACAACCAACCAACTCGCCGTTTTAGTCGCTTTGCAGGAGCACCGAACCCCATACAGAGCTCGGAGTGGAATATGACGGCTACTGTCTTTTCATTTACCATGCAGCAGTTGCAGATCGATTAACTTACTTGTCAACTCGAACCTTTATCCCAGAGAACCCCGGTATCTCCAGGGCTGTACGACCCTGCACGATCAACATCAGCCAGCAGATGTGCTTTAGTCAGCCCCACAAACTTTCGTAGTCTAAACTAGGCCACTAATCGTCATTTGGTACTGGTATGGAAATCGTGATAAGTCTGTCATTTCTGAAATACTGGATGAAACCTATTTAACATGCAATTACCGCCTTGTAAGCAGTTTACCTAATAATGCCAAGCAATTTAAAAGTGTATCCGACTAGTAATGGTATACATGTCGCGACACGGACTAGTTCTATTTGCAACATACCTGCAGCCCATCCTGTGGCAAGCAGGATATTTTTTTCTTATTAGCTCGCCTTCCGAACTGCCTCAGCTGCTGGCATGCATCGATACCAATCAGGGGTGGCCTGAGATGCCCCGTCCCTTGAAAGTGTGGTGGCTATGTGAGGAATTCAATTTCGCCTTGCTCTCCCCCAACTGAAATGAGCACTTGAGCCTCACCGAAGAGCCTTAAGACTTTGCGTCCATGACGGAGAAATCATTTTTACATGTTTCTGACATACAACTCGCCCACTGAACTTGATTATGGAGACTCGAGAAGAGAAACTTGCAACATGGGCCGATTTATCAGTCGATGGCCATCAAACCTTCAGATTTTTGGAAGGATCCATGCGAATATTTCCCAATGATCCCAATAATCGAGCTCGCTTTGCCCAGGATCGATTTGACTGCAGTCATATCGACCATCTTCTCAATATCCCCAACGATGATAACTTGAATTCATGGCATTTTAAAGTGATATCCTTTCCCCAGATCCAGCTGGGCAGACTCAGAATCTCCATTTCCAAACCTGTTTTTCGGAAGATCCAAAACTCTTGGAACCTACACCCTCGTACGATTGAGGTGTTCTTAGCAAACAACGGTGTCTTTACGACATTTCACTGCTCCAGCAGTGGACGCACATTCTTTCTTCTTAAGGTCGCCAATTCACGTTCCACGGGCTTTGATTGTATTTCTGTTACCTGTGACCCTTGTCGCCGCACTACCTACGTCCTATATCATCATATCAGGGACGAAGAATCTGTCTTCGCTACCTTAACCACTGCACTAGAAAGATGCATGGATCCCCTCTTTTTCATCGCCGCTCTTTATCGCTCACATAATCAGCAAATCGAAACTTATCGGAATACCATCGATGATGCCATTCTCAAGATCGAGCGACAAACGGGTCTCGGAGTCCCTGCAAATCTGAGGGGACGTCGTGCTAGTTTAGACGAAGAGCCTCTTCATTTTAGTTCTACAGGAACGATCCAGCAATTAAGTTATTGCCAATCCGACGTGGCAATCATTAAACATGTTGGACGATGTTGTTTGGAATGCGGGGATTGGCTTGTACAGTTGTTTGACAAGCTGCTCCTAAGTGAGAACGAAAGATATTCGAGCGAGGAGCATAGTGAGCAAGACCATCAATTATCGAAGGCTCTCAAGACGGCGCGATTGATGAACCGCGATGATGTGGAGTATATGCGCAGACGGAGTAAGACGCTGTTGTCGCAGATACAGCAAATAGGGGAGAGAGCACAAAGCCAGACTAATTTCGTGAGTACCAGTATTCCCATCAAATCCATTTCTCTTATCGTGCAGCCACTTATGATTCAAACCAGCTACTGGCAGCCCTCTCTCAAAGCGATACCGAATACTCTGCTTCAATCGCGATAGATGGGAAAAACGATAGTCACGCGATGAAAGCCATTTCAATCCTTGGTGCAATTTACCTACCAGGTACATGCGTTGCTACGCTTCTCAGCATGGAAATATTCATTTGGCGCGATCCAGATGGGACACTCAAGATATCGCCGAGTATTTGGATATACTGGACGATAGCCTTGCCATTGACAATCGCGACCTTCGTTGTGTGGATTGCATGGTCAAGGAGAGAAAACAAGAAGAGTGAGCAACAATTGACAATTTCTCATACCAAGCCTCGTTTTGAGCCCGATGGCAATGCTAAGACCAATACTGTCTTGGACAGAGCTGGGGGCTCGGGAGGTCTGGATTTCTGGCATGAATTGGTGCCCCGTCGGCCTGATATATGGAAAGTGTGAATATCAGTCTTCTCGGAACGACGGTGACTGCTCTGAATAAGTAAAGGCTCAAAATATTGGATAGTTAGGGGATACAGGACAAGAACTTCAAGTTCTATCCAAATACTGTGACTAGAGGAAGGCAACATGGTAGGGATATGTGTGGTGACAAGAAAGCACGGCAGGTTTAACCGAGTGGCCACGTTATCCGTGTAGGGGTCCTCAAGGCGTTCAGGTGAAGGGTTGAACAGACTAAAGAGTAAAGCGACAAGGGCCTCAACCCAACAACCAGAAAAACAAATCATCCCCAAAGAAAACAAGACAAAAATATAAAAAGAAGAAATATGGTAAAAACAAAAACATACAACAGCAGGGATTCGCATGTGGTCACTCAACTACTAACCTGCCGGCACGTGGCTCAAGTACGGACAGGACCTCCCGTTCTTGTACGTGCTCCCCAGACAGCCCTGGAGTATCGAGTCAAAGGCACCCGCGTGTATCAAAAATGGACGACTGAGTAAGACAATAACAGAGGACTTCAAGGTTATCACGTTTCATAAGAGCTGCAGACAGCTATCGTTGTGTTTTGACTCAGTGACATAATCCTCTTGTTTCTCACTTTTCTAGAGTAACAATTTGATTATTGTTTCATAATCCATATAAGAGTATACTGCCATCACAAATAATACTTATTAGTGAGATATAGGCTGCTCGCCGACCATAAACCTAAGCAAAAGCCGTTTGGTAACACCACTTCTAAATATATTACTACTTACAATCGTTCAATTGCAGAGAAGAAGGCCAAAGAGTCTGGAAAACAGCACAAACGACTAAAATAGAATAGAAGAGAGTATGAATACACTGTTTAGCCGTCCCTTATTACATAGTGATATCCAATACATACCAAGCACGCTAAGTTACATCATCAATTATACACAGGAGTAGGTTGGCGATAGGATTGGGGCATTGCATCCGCATCCCTCAAACTTGTCAAAGGGGCATTTGGATATTTGGAGAACAATTGGATCATCTCCGTCAGGCTGTCTGCCAATTGGTCAACGAACGGCTGTCCCAGGACATCCCCCGCCCCCGTCACGATCAAATCGAGGCCCGAGTCCCGCTCTATGGAGACCACATCCATCTGTCCTGGGACGGTCTTCGCGTTGCCCCAACCGGCGTTGGCCAAAGAAGCAACTCCACCAAGCTCCCAGGAACTGTTAGGCTGCGGACTCTCGTGATGGACGCGAAGACCGAATCGGACATCTTCTGGCCAACTAGTGGAATGTTTTGCAATAGTTGGAAGTGTTAGCGAGTCGTGTTGAAAAACAGCCATCTGCTGTGTTTGTACATATCGCATAAACTGTGCCACCGTCGATGAGGTGTCGATTGTAATCCTGACTGGGAGTGTATTGATACATGGACCGAAGATGTTGCCGATTCCTGGAGGCAAGCCACCACGCCCATGGACGACTTGGCCGAAGACAAGATCCGATTGGCTGGTGTGGTCGTGAGCGATTACCCATGCCAGGGCCGACTTGACTAGCGTCGACATGGTAGCCTCTGATCGAAGATAGGGCCGGTCAATACCTCGCATTGCCGTTGGTGGGTGTTTTAGCTCGACGGGTGGAAGTGAGGGTTTGGCAACGCCAAATGGGGAGAGTGCTGCCGGAGAAGCGTCGTGCAAGTACTCCTTCCAGAAGGTGAAGGCATCTGTATGATTTTGCCCGATGCGGTGATGAACCACATTGGCAAAGTCTGTAGCCTCCGGGACCTCCTGTCCCGCGTAGGCTGCGGCAATGGCATGCCAGAGAATGCCAATACAGGACTGGTCGTATTGGGCGTGAGACAAACTGACAAGAAAAACAAATTCTCGCCGAACGGTGCTGGTAATGACCTTGAAACTGACTGGACTGAAAAGGAGTTGGGTGGTTGGGGTCGGTCGCTGGCGGGAGAGGTGTGTCATATATGCCTCGGGATCCTCTTGTTCTACAAATTCAAAGCTGGGCTCCAGGCTTTGCAAGATCACCTGGAAGATGCGATCATCCAGATTAACGAATACCGTCCGCAGTATGCTATAGCAGGAAACGACCTGATAGCAAGCGCGACAAAGACGATCGAAGTCCACAGCAACTGGAAATAGGTACGCATATTCAACGGGAGACGAGTGTTGGATATAAAACTCCTGGTATGGTAGAGTAGGGAGGATATCGACTATGTTGTCCGCACTGAAAGGGTGCTTCTCGGCGAAGAATGAGGAAACAATGGAAGTATGTTCACCAGGATGGATGAGTGAGAGCGGAGGATTTACAGGCGATTTCGTCATGGTAGATGATATATCAGCCTTGGTAGCCAACTGACGGGCCGTTTGCCGGATGGTTTCCCAACGGAACAACTCCCCAACGGTATGCTGAATGCCATTGGCCACGGCTCGCGAAGTGGCCTTGAGAGCAGAGATCGAATCTCCGCCCAGTCGAAAGAAGCTGTCTTCAGCCCCGATCTCGGCATGTGTAACGGACAGAGTCTCTGCCCAGACGTCTTGAAGCATCCGCTCCAGGTCAGACGACATGGGCTGCTTTACCAGATTTATGTTAGGAGCAAAATGTTCGATCTGCTGCCGTGTCATTGTGGCGACAGCATCTCGAAGTCGCCGTCGATCGAGCTTTCCACCAACGGTCTCGGGCATTTGGCGCAGAGGGATAAAAGCAGACGGAACCATGTAGTCCGGAATAGCAGCACACAGCCGGGTGTTGGCATCAGTAATATGACCGGCATGGTTGGGTGGAATTGCTATGTCCAGTTGAAGCGGCGCATCCATGGAAGAAGAAGATGGTTCCTCGGTATTGTCAGGGTTGTTGGGTACAACAAACGCAACTAGACATGCTACCTGACCCGGTCCAGCCGGTGTGATAATTTCAGTGACAACGTTCTTCCAACATCCAGGGCAATGATGGCGGATATTCTCCTCAACATCGCCGAGCTCCAAACGCTGGCCCCGCAGTTTGACCTGATAGTCCCTCCGACCCACGAATACCAGCGATCCATCGGCTTCATACCGAGCCAAATCACCTGTGCGATATACTCTCTTGTGATCACCTGTTGAGAAATCTTGGAGCCATCTTGGGCAGGGAAGGAACGCGGATGCCGTTTGGTCAGGGTTGTTAAGATAACCTCGGCCGACTAGAGATCCTTGCAGCAGAATCTCACCTACAGCCCCGATTGGTACTGGCCGATGAGGATCCCGCGGATTTGCAAGCCACGCATTCCCTGCGATTGGGAATCCGATGTTGGCTGGGGAACTCACATCAACACCAGTCTGAATAGTGAAGAATACGGTGCATTCGGCGGGCCCGTAGCTATTCAGTAGGCGTACTTGATTTGCCCATTGTCGTATATCGCTGGCAATGACTGGCTCTCCAATAAGGCTGATAGTATGGACTGATGGTAGATCGGCGGGGGCCAATACTCGGAGCAGGGACGGTGTGAAGATGGCGTGAGATGGCTGCATTCTAACCACGGCCTCGGTCGGTCCTTCCTTTCGTTCAGAGCCGGATAAAATGCAGATACAGCCTCCAATAATTAAAGTGCCAAGCATTTCGAACATGCTCACATCGAAGGCGTAGGACGAAAACTGAAGGATCCGAGAAGTAGTATCCATCTGTAAGTGCTCGGCGTACCGAGTCGACATGGTAACGAAAGCCCCATTCTCAACAACCACGCCTTTCGGCTTTCCGGTAGATCCTGAGGTAAAGATAGCATATAGGGCTTGATAGGGGTTTTGAATATTGGGTAGGTCCGATGTTGTCATCTGATATTGGAGAGTGTCCTCTCCAACTGAAATGACTGTAGGAGCTAGTGACTGAGCAGTGGACATATTGGTCCCTGCACTCAGTATGAGTGAAGGTTGAAATTCATTGCAAATATCCCGAATCCTATTCACGGGATGGGCAGTGTCGAGAAGGACAAATGCTGCCTGTGCGTGGAGAACACCGAGCATAGCGATGACAGTCCACCGGGACCGTTCCATGTATATAGGGACAAAGGACTCTGATCCAATACCATTGGTAACAAGCAAGGAACCAACCTTACGGGCCAGGTAAAGCACCTCATCGTAACAGAAGTTCCCATCCCAGGAGCAAACTGCCGGGGCTAGGGGCTGGCTCGCAGAATGCTTTTCTATCATCGCCCTGACAGTGTTTGGACTCGGGGGACAATTGGGAAATGCCCACCTTCGCAGGTGATCGATGGCACACGGACTCAACGTGGGAATGTCGCTAATCATAGAACGTGGCTTCTGGTAGACTTGTTGAAGGGTATGGCTGAATTGATCGAGGATAGTTTTCAGATGCCATTCAGGAACTACATTCTCGTCGTAGGAGGCATCAACTATCACACTATCAGCCTTTAGGATGCACGTCAACTGTAAAGCATAGGAGCTGAACGCCCCGAGACCCGAAGTTGTCTCAATATGTTGCATCAGTCCTGTCTCCAGAGAGCCATCGTCTGCCTCTCGGCCAGTTACCATGAGCAAAGTCTGAAACCTGCAGCATTCTGCAGCTTCCGGATTGAGCTTAGCGATTTGGTGCAAACCCAATTGTTCTACCGCGGTTATGTCCACGGACCATTGCTGCAGGTCCTCCAGTAGCTCGGTAACCGTTTTATTACCGTCAAGGGTTACTCTCAGAGGTAAAGTGGCAATTGTCGGGCCAGTCATGTTTTCGATGCCTCGTATTGGTGCTCGACGTCCCGATGAGACAATACCAAATACAGCTTCCTCGGAGCTCTGGTACTGAGATTGAACAAGAGCCCAGGCGAGCCAGGTAGCCGTGGTCCTGGTGACAGAGTGCTCGGAAAAAGGCCCAGTGGGTACTTCACAATGGGAGTGGGCCAACGCATGCGGCCGGTAAGCTGGAGAGGGCAACGAGGGGAACGGCACCACAGATATCCCATGGAACTCTGTATTCCAGCGTTGGGATGCTATCTCGGATTGGGAGATGACGTGTTTTACAAAGAGCTTGAATGGCGCTGGCTTCAGCAATTCGCACGCCGGGTCACTATAGGCCTCATCTATAGCCTCCGCTAGCCGTGCAAGTGACCACGCGTCATACACCGCATGATGCATTGTTAACATCAAATGATATTCTTCGATGTCAGAACCTGACGCTGGCACTGGGAAAACCTTGAACTGGGCCAAGGCTTTTCCAAAACCCATCGCATTATCGCACGAGTATTGCGGGAAATCGACCGCATCACTTTTTACGACAACCTGAAGACAACCAAGATCATTCGTGTAGATAAGTCTGGTGCGTAGAATTGCGTGTGTTTTCAGGACCCTATCCAGGGCGTGATGCAGCCGATCCAGATCAATGCTGGGAGGTAGTCGATAGCGGTGGAATGCGACGTATGCACCAGAACGTCCTTCTGTGACGGAAGCCAAGGCAGCCTGTAAGGGAGTACATGGATAGATGTCTTCAATTTGATCCAGCAATATACCGCATTGAAGAGATGCTTGAGCTTGGGCTTCGGAACGTTGCTGAGACTGAAGTAGGCTGAATGGAGCGATGTCGTCTGCCACAGCATCGGTCGCGGACGTGGATCCACAATAGGAGTGACAAGCAACTACACGCGCAAGATCACGCAGCCGAGGATGCTTGAAAATGTTGGAAACAGCCATTTCTAGCCCGACTGGTCCGCCGCTTGATGCCAACCGCATAACGGCAATCGAATCGCCGCCCAAGCGGAAGAAATGATCATCTGAGCCAATTGTCTCTGCTGGACGCCGAAGTACTTTTGACCAGAGACACCGCAGTTGGTGTTCAATCGGACTTAAATCATCCTGGGATACATGATCCGTAGCTTGGTTTGTTCCTTCTAATTGTTTCTCCATTGCATGCGACATCACTTGACGCAGTTTGGGCCGATCCACCTTACCACTTAGCATCCTCGGAACACTGTGCAGAGGAAAGAACGCTGCAGGTATGAGGAAAGAAGGGATGTCCGATTGCAGAATTTTCCTTGATTCTGTGACCGCACTGTCAAATTTCGTCGAAAGATGTGAGTTCGAAATGTTCACTGCAGCTACCAGATATGTCGTTTGGCATTGCTTTGGGGCGATCACCTCGGCCAGTACCTCGGGGCTCCCTGAAAAGGATTGCTGGACATGATGTTCCACCTCGGCTAGCTCGATCCGTTGCCCGTTCACTTTGACTTGACGGTCCTTTCTTCCAATATATCGAGTTGATCCATTGGGCAGGAGCCTTACGAGATCTCCCGTTAGGTAAAGCCTTCCAGGTCGCCCAGAGCGGAAAGATTGTAGCCAAGCGGGAGCATCAATAAATGAAGCGGTTGTCTGCTCAGGCCGATTTGCGTACCCCCTACCGACAATGGGACCCTCAATAAGTAGTTCTCCCACAGCCCCAATGGCGGTCAATTGAGCCGAATTTTGGGGGGAAACCGCCCAAGTGGCGCCTCCTGCCGGCATTCCAATGTCTGCAGGATCTGTATAGAGTGCATCAAGGGAAGATTGAACCGTGGCAATAACCGAGCATTCCGATGGACCATAGGCATTAATAAGTTGCAACTGCGAAGACCATCGGCGCACATCTTCCTTGGTCATACCCTCTCCACCCAAAACCAAGGTTCTTAAAGATGTGACATCCTTGGGATCCAGCATTCGCGACACAGACGGTGTCAACAGTGCCCAGTCAACTTGGTATTCCTGAATAAATCCAGCTAGTCTCTGCTGGCGGTCGATATCCTGCGGAATACAAACACATCCGCCGACAATGAGCGTGGTGAGGATCTCGACTATGCTTGCGTCGAAGGCGTGAGACGCGAACTGAAGCACCCGTGAGCCCTCCGCAAGATTGACCATTCTATGATGGGCTTTTTGTGCGGACATGAAAGACTGATGCTCAATTATATTTGCTTTTGGCTTCCCAGTAGACCCTGATGTGAAGGTTGCATATGCTGGTGTTTTGGGTGAGACTTTCATCGGATGTAAGCCCTGACTCTGATGGAGCTTCCACACTTCCTGTTCCTCGCCATCAAGCACAATGACTTTATGAGCAAGATGTCTTGCTACCGGCCTCTGGCGAGATGAAGTTAACACCAAGGGGCACTGAAATTCCCCACGCACCATATCTTGCAATCGCTCAAGGGGATGTGACGGATCTAGGAGGATGAAAGCCCCACCCGCCTTAAGAACTGCAAGTGCAGCGGCAACAACCCAGAGAGACTTTTCACTGCACACTGGCACGAATATTTCTGGCCTTATACCCTGCTCCTGGAGGTGGCTGGCTATCTCTGATGATATACAATCCAGCTCACCGTAGTTGAAGCTGCCGTCCCAGGCACAGATAGCGGATGCAGCTGGATTGGCCAAACTCCGTTCATGGATCACATCATGAATGCAGGATGTCCCCACCTCTGGGATATTCTCCTTCAAATTCATCATGCATCGGTAGTTTTTGGCTCCAACCAGATCCAATTGGCCCAGGTTAATGATGTTGGGATCGAGTAACTGTGCGATAACATGCTGAAATGCATCTCCAATTAGCTCTGCCTGCACTTCCGATAGTGCATGTGACCAGAAGGTAAGATCACCAGATATGACGCTTTTCTCATTGACCGAGAGATTAACAGTCAAGTCAAACTATGGAATTTTAGCCTTCAGTTGAATGATATGATTTGAACTGGCCTGGCCAGTTTCGAGCATACCTCGGTTACGTCATGTCCTCCACGATACTCCAGCCGAGACCCAGAGCTACCATTTTGATCACAATTTATACTATTCTTTTGCAGAGACATGGCTGTGTTGAACAATGCCTGTCCTGATAGGTTCAAGGAATGTATCACGTCAACCAAAGTGCAGATCTGGTTATCCAGACTACTTGCGTAGGAGCTCTGGTTGTTCCGTAAAGCTGACTCAACTCCATCTTCATCGCTCAAGGAGAGGCGACACACCAAAAGGTTGATTAGAGGGCCAGCAATACATTGTGCACCTTGAAGAGGAATCTCCCGACCAGCCGTCAGGTAGGCAAAGCAGACAGAATCCGAACCAGTGTATGCACGAAGGACCAGGCCCCACGCGACCTGCAGGAGATTGAAAACAGTGATTCCAAGGCCGTTGCAGACTGATTGAATTCGATCACCATAATCAACGTTTAATGGAACTGAGAGTAAAGTAGATTTTTGATCAACAACAGAAACCAAAGAAGGGAAGATGCATGGGTTGACATCCTCAAGATACCGATTCCAGTACTCCTGCGATGCCTTTCCGTCTTGCTCTTGACAGTACGCAATGTAGGATCTGTACTGAACTCCTGGATCAGTCTTAAGTTGTCCATCATAACCCTTCTGAAAGTCTGAAATCAACAGGCGGCGAGTGTAGCCATCTATGAGCATATGATGGATGTTGAGTTCACAGAGAACTTCTCCTCCTGGCTGAGGCCTGAGGATAAGCCAATGAGATGGTTGCTTTCTGCCGTGTTGCTGAGTCAACGGATCACAATTTGCGTGTATGCTTCCATCAGAAAAGATAGTCTTCACATCTGCGACGATTGATTGCAACACAACTTGAACGGGGTAGTTCTGGTCCCCAGGGCCAGTTGCAAAGGTGGTCCGCAGAATGGTGTAGCGATCGACTACCCGCTGCCATGCGTCTCGCACCTTATTTAGATCGATAGGGGCGCACGTTGGATGGAGCGACCATTCCATTCTTGACCAGTACATATCAGGGTTTTTGATCTGGCTGAGCCACATGCCAGTTTGGACGGGCGAGCAGGGATAAATTTCTTCAATTTCCGACGGAGAAAACCGACACTTGCCTGATATCTGGCTCACCAGACTTTGTAACTGGTCATCTGTGGTCACTGATAACAAAGGGAAGTCAGACATCGTAAACCGCTGATGCTGTCTCAAATTCATGGGCAGAGATTCCAATGCCTTCTGGAACCCCAGAACCCACTGGTGTAACTTCTCTTGATGCTTCATGCGTCGATTGTACCAGATTGAGATATGAAGGCATCCATCCATGACGGTTGCCGACACATCGATCAGAGCAAAGCGTGGCAAATCTGGAGGAACTGGAATAAGGTCATGGTCGGGGAGAGTCGCCAGTTTCAAAAGTGCCTGTGATCCTTCAAGCTGCTGGAACCGCCCTGTGTAATTGAAAATAATTTCCATCTGCCCGTGGTTCTGGAAATGCCGTGGCCCGTCCTCGTGAAGATAGCGCGAAGTAAAGTACCCCCAGCCATTACTAGGAACAGAGCGGCGGCTCTCCTTGAGGCGTTGGAGTAGATCTGCAATTCCTTGGTCCTTCTTTGCATTCACAAAAACAGGGGCCAAAGTGGTAAACCAGCCCACCGTACGTGAAACATCGATTTGATGGTCCCACGGCTCTCGCCCATGACCTTCACTTAATATTGTCGGCGTAGGCCTATCTTTAAATGTCTGCGAAAATGCATACACGAGAGCGGTATGGATGAGTTCGACCGGCTGCGTGCGAAATGCATCATTACAAACACCAAGAATTGAGCTCGTAATATTCTCTGGTAGGCGGATGGCTTCGTGCAGTGCCTCCCCCCCACGTATTGTGACCGAGCAAGTCTTCTCCTCCCCAGTAGCTTCGTACTGGTGGTGGGATCTCTCTTGGAAGAGCTTTTCGGGGATCCAGAGCCTCACGACTGTACTCATGCTGCAAAAGACACCAAGTCTGAAACGACAACGATTTCAACCCAGAGACCGTTCCCGTCAATAGCAGCTCATCTAGGTCTTGCAAAATCACTCGCCAGGACACCAGATCAATGACCATATGGTGGGCCATTATTGACAGAAACTGCTGATGCGGCGTTGTGACGAGATCAATAGCCAACACAGTTCCTTGCTTAATATCTAACGTCCGTTGACTCCTGGAGAGAATATCCCGAAGCCCTTGAATCCCTATCGAGGGAAGAGAGTGCGCACGGAAATAATAGCTGTCTGTACCTTTTGGGCGGATCGCTTGCTCCCACTGCCCATTTGGCAACCGCCGAAATAATGCCCGCAGCATTGAATGTCGGTCGACAATATCCCTAATGGACTGGTGGATCCTGGATTCTGGTTGATGTTTAGAAACCTTTAACAAGAACTGCTGGGTGAACTTGTCATGTCCCTCGGGTGTATGCTGCACAAAGAGCTGTTGAATTGGGGACAAGCCGAACCAAGTGTCGATCGGATCCTCATCGGCCACAGCAGACAGGTAAGAGCTATTGCTTGATGTTCCCATCTTGCCGGCTAACTCCTCAATGCTTTGATAGCGAAATATATCTCTGACAGTCACCATAAAACCCGCTGATTTGCAGGCGGCGGCCACTTGCATAGCACTGACCGAATCTCCTCCCAACCGGAAGAAACTTTCCGTCACCTCCATTTCTTCGGGTGAACGGTTAAGTGATTGGGCCCATATCCGTTGAAGGATTTCTTCCCGAGAGGTCGAAGAACGTCTAGACTGCGACGGGCTGCCACGGTAGCTTTGGAGGTCTTCCCAAGATAGAAGAGCCGCGCATTTCTGCAGTTCGCGACGATTGGTCTTTCCAGACGTAGTCACTGGCATCCGGGAGACTGGCAAAAACAGACTTGGAATCATAAATGCCGGGAGGGCACTGGCTAGCTCTTTCTGCGCGGCAAAGCATTCCGTTCGGAATTGATCACTAGGGGGAACAAATATGTCGTGTCCATCTTTAGCACAAGCGGTGGATAAGGGCTCATCGGTGCAGATAAAGGCCACCAAAATATCCTGTGGTCTCAATATCTCTGCCACAACATCAGTGGAGCGAGAAAATGAATCGCGCAGATGATGCTCAATATCAGCCATTTCCAGCCGTTGCCCCCGGAGTTTGGCCTGCGTGTCCTTACGCCCTATGTAACGGAAAGAGCCATCGCCTGCATGCTGAACCAAATCCCCGGTCTTGTACACCTTCCCACCTGAGCTTCCGAACTGTCGGCGCCAGGAAGGTGCATCAACAAAGGCGGCTGCTGTTCGTTGGGGGTTTAGGCTGTATCCTGGTCCCACCGTTGGGCCTTCAATCAGCAATTCCCCGATGCATCCCACTGGCATCAGAACTTGATCATCTTCAGAATGTACAACCCAACCGATAGCACCTGTGGGGAATCCAATATTGGAAGGGTCATGTACTTGCAGGTGGGGCTGAACACTGAAGACCGCGGAACACTCTGCTGGCCCATAAGCGTTGCGCACATTGACATACGGCTCCCAGCGCGCCACATCACTGGCCAAGACTGCCTCCCCAACAAATACCAGAGTTTCGAGGCAATGGAGAGACTCTGGTGATACAATCCGAGTCACAGTGGGTGTCAGGCATGCAACATTGACAGCAAATCGGCTTACAGCGTCCCCAAGTGAGCTTTGGCAGTCGGCCGTGGTGGGGATACACACGCAACCACCCATGATCAATGTAGTGAGGTGCTCGATAATGCAAGAATCGAATGCCGGTGATGCAAATTGAAGGACTCGGGACTGGGGAGTGAGGCCATAAAGTTCGCCATGGGCCAAAGCGCTCGAGGCAAATCCATCGTGGTTGACGACTACTCCTTTCGGTGTGCCGGTTGATCCTGATGTGAATGTGGCGTAGATGGCATCTTGTGGAGTAGCAATGAAGGCTTCAGAGAGAACATTGTTAGTGTCACTCATCCACGGCTCCATTCTCGTGCTATCAATAATCAAACGGCTTCCTGTAAGTACAGAAACAATCGGCTCATTTACAGGCGAGATAATGATCAGACTAGCTTGAAGCTGGCGATACATCTCTTGAAGGCGTTGGACCGGGTACGCCGGGTCCAGTAATGCAAAAGCAGCCCCTGCCTTAATTACTGCCAACATGCTCACCGTCGTCCATTTCGACTTTTCCAGGCACAATGGCACAAAATGACCAGGCCTAATTCCTAGCGAGAACAGCCGATTTGCTAGAGCGGAAGAGAGGCCGTCGAGTGCTTTATATGTGAGGTCCCCATCCCAGCTGCAGACAGCTGTATCCTGGGGATTGTGGTAGACACGATCATAGATTAGGTGAAGCACACTCCGTGATGCAGCCATCGGTACTGGTAGATTCCAACGGCATAAGTCAAACTTGTCCTGGAGACTGATTGTGTTGATATCCCTGAGAGTCATGGCCGGGGTGCTCTCTACTTGTTCGTAGATATGTGCAAATTGCTGCAACAGGCGTTCCGTCTGACTAGGGGTGATGACAGCCGGGTCGAAGGATGCTTCGATACACATGGATTCGGCAGATGGCCGGCATCGCAAGATAAGAGAGTATGTATCATATGTCTTTTGTAGTTCTCGACCGCTGACAAAGAGGCTTGGAATACTCCGTGTGTTACGTGGCTCAACGGCCAATAACGTCTGAAATTGACATGCAGCCGCGGGCCCCTGTCCCAAGCGAGAGAGATTCTGCAATCCAATATGCTGGACAGGGATTGTCGCCGCCCACTTACTCTGAACCTTATGTAGTGCGTCGACTATTCGTTCGCCTGGGTTCAGTATGACACGGACCGGAAGACAATTCAAAGCTGGCCCGCTCAAGCTCTCAATGCCTTGGACTTGTGTTCCTCTACCAGCGTCGATTGCCCCGAAAACATTATCTGGGGATCCCGTGTAATGTGATTGTAAGATTGCCCAGGCCAAACGCACTTTTGAGTTAATTGTGAACCTCTGCCCTTCATTTGTGCAACTGGACAGACGGTATTGCCGTGATTCGGTAGGCTGGGGCTCATATCCGGCTGCGGGCCGTGCTGGAAATCCTTTCATGGATGACTGATGCGCGTCCTCGAATTCCGCCGCCCAAAAGACTTCTGCCTCACGTCGAGATTGTGAGATATAGTCAATCAAAGGCCTGAATGGGTGAAAGGCGATTTTCTTCCCGTGATATGCTGAATCCACCTGTTGCAACAGTAGTGCCATTGACCAGTCATCACAGAGCGCGTGGTGAATTAGGATCGTCAAAGTGTGTTGATGATTGTCGGCGTCTGATAGTAAGGTGAACTTCACCAACGGTGCTCCAGCTCGCCATTCACAACCCACAGCATCAAAAGATCCAGGCTTCTGCTCCTCCCAGGGTATCCTACCACGGACAACTGCCTGCACACACCCCTGTAGGCGGGTGGGAATGATTCGTGTGCGCAGAATAGGATTGGCCTGGTAGATGCAGTCCCACGCGTTATGGAGGCGTAAAGTATCAATTTCCCACGACATCCGGTACTCGTATTCAACAGTGTAGGCCATTGGGTCTTTTTTGGTGATAGCCATCATTCCCTCCTGGAGAGCAGTGCAGGGATAGACATCTTCTAGGTCGTCTAGCGAGGAATGGGTTTGTCCCGCGATTTCTTGCAGAAGTTCATTGTCATCCATGTAGTTGCCTGGGGACCAATTATTCGCTCTTTCCATGATATCCATGTTGATGGACTTTTCTTTTTCATTGGGTGCAAAAATTGGAAGCGATTTGTTTGCCACAACGAGTTGCGGTTCTACATCGCGGGCACCCATGCTGCAGTCAAGAATTGGTAAGAAAGCCAGCACAGAAAATCAAGATGGATGGACGCTTGTGTGCATGGAATTGTGTAAAATAATGAAAACCAATGTGAAAAACCACGTTGTTTTATAACTTGGGTTGATGAGCCATGCTCCACTTCCTATGTATATACATTCTACTGCACGCCCATATGGGAAGAGGGTCTGGAACAATGTAACATAGCAAAAGTACGTGTATTGTTGGAATCATCTCGTAATGTTATAGTTTGCATCAAATGTTTAATATGGGCAGGTCTGAGTTAGGGTTGCATTCGCCGTCGGCTGGTTCGGGTAGATCTGGCTCGACACCTACGAGCGGGCAAGTCATGATATCAGACAATCCGGTTGTCAGACACTGAGATTTTTCCGAAATCGTAATAGCAAGTAATTCGTTAGGAGACATCCTAATAATAGGACGGATGGCCCGACATTTTCTCATACCTCACTCAGGTTATCTTCTGGGAATACACATTTGTCAATTATGGACTCCTCTTCGCCCAAGTTCGAGTTAGACGAGAAGCACTCAGAGAACACTGGCCCAGCGGAAGCCATAGATACAGGCCTGGCCGAAGTTGAAGCAGAAAAAGCAGAACCCGATAAGGGCCCGTCTCTCGGAAATTACCTGGTATATTTCCTGTGTCTCTTCGCGATGCTCATGCTGACTCCAATTAGAGGATCCTTTCCTATGGTGCCAGAAATGGAGGCATTGTGGCCATTATTCTTGGTCTCGTTTGTGCCATGGGATCTGGAGTGGTATGTGAAGTCCGAGTGAAGCTTCATTGAAGGAACTTTAGCTGACTATCTAGGCATTACCCTTGATGAATATCGTCTTTGGCAACCAAGTCGGCAATTTTAATCAATATTTCACGCCGGGATCTAGCCTTAATGAGGAGACATTCAAAGCAACTGTTAACCGTAATAGGTCAGTCGGGCTATCTGACCATATTCACGGCTCTATTGACTTGAACTAACATCATGAAGCCTCTATATTGTATATCTCTTCATTGGGAAGTTTGCTTTAACTTACGTCTCGATGGTATTTTGTCAAATATCCCATAGCTACTACACTATGCTAACTAGGTAACAGGTCTGTTTCCGGCTTATTAGTCTCCAGGCTTCGGCAGCTCTGCGTCTGCAGTATTTACAGGCTCTTTTCTCTCTCCCCATCAGCAGATTGGATGAGGTGTCTTCTGGCTCAGTCACTCACGCAATCACTTCCTTATCCAACCAAATCCAGCACAGTGTGTCTGATAAATTGGCTTTATTGTTTCAGTCTCTCGCCTTACTGGTATCAGCGTATGCAATTGCGTTCCGATATTCTTGGGCACTCACCTTGGTCGTTAGCTCCGCCATTCTATTCGTGGTGCTCGGCTTCAGCCTCACTATTCCCTTTATTGTAAAGGCTCAATATGGGGTTGACCAAGCTGATCAGAAGCATGCTTCCATTGCAGCAGATGTACTTGCCTCTATCCGCACAGTGCTTTCCCTCAATGCAGAAGCCCCTTTAATCGCAAAGCATTCGGCATGGATTGATGAAGCAAGGAGAAGGGGATCACGCATGTCTGTAGTTACAGGCATTCACCTGGGCCTTCTCTTTTTCGCCATGTACGTCAGCTTTGGTCTAGCCTTCTGGTTTGGCCTAAAACTGTACCGTGAGGGTCATATTGGAAGTATTAACGTCGTTATAACGTGTGTGAAACTGCTGTGACCCTTGTTTATCGTCATATATCTGACCGGGTCTAGGGTTTTCTTTTCTGTTCTCCTTGTGGTCACCATTCTAGGAAGCATCGCATCTCCTATAATTATTATCGGCAAGGCCATCAGCGCGTCTCGCCCGTTCTTTGACATCATTGACTCCCAGCAGCCTGTTCCAACCGGGCTGAGAGACCCAGACGTGTCCAGCGAAACGGATATCACCTTTGACGGGGTTACCTTTGCTTATCCAACACGGCCAAATACAAAGGTGCTGCGAGACTTCCATGCTTGTTTCCAGCGAGGCAAAACGACTGCGTTGGTGGGAGCATCGGGCTCGGGAAAAGTACCATCGTGAGCTTAATTGAGCGATGGTATGAACTGCCTCTTTCATCGCATACAGACGCACAGGCTGTTAAAGGTGAGATCAGGGTAGGCGACGTTAATATCAATGATTTGGACATCAAGTGGTGGAGATCCCAAATCGGCCTGGTGCAACAGGAACCCTTTCTCTTCAACGATACTATTTTCAACAACGTCGCCTTTGGCTTGCTCGGTTCCCAACAGGAAAATGAGCCAGAGACGGTAAAAGTCGATCTTGTCATCACGGCTTGTAAAGAAGCATTTGCTGATGATTTCATTCAATACTTGCCTCTGGTATGTAGCGGGAACTTAACATAAAATATTGGAGCTGCATACTGACACTTTTTGAAGGGATATTCAACATTGGTCGGTGAGGGAGGAATCACGTTGAGTGGCGGACAACGTCAGCGTATAGCAATTGCTCGTAGCGTTGTCCGACGACCTCCAATATTGATCCTCGATGAAGCGACCAGTTCAATTGATGTTCATGGAGAGAGGATTGTTCAGGCCGCGCTTGACCGTGTTTCGAAAGACCAAACGACAATTATTATTGCGCATCGCTTGTCAACTGTCAGGCGTGCGGATCATATTATCGTCATGAAAGACGGGCTGAATGTGGAAGCTGGGTCTCACATAGACCTGTTAGCCAAGGGAGGAGTGTATCAGGGCCTTGTGAATGCCCAGAAGCTGATATCCCAAACAATCTCTGAGTCTGTGGTTGATGAGGAAGAGGACTTGCGGCTGCCTCAGGTAGCAGATGGCAATCCAGGCAATACTATCATCCGCAGCGATGATAGTAGCAGGACCAATAATGAATTTCAGAGCCAAGATAAGGGCTCCTCAAATGGGTTTCTGCGAATTCTCAGCCAACAGCGCGTTCAATGGCCATTGTACCTCTTGACCCTAGTGGGCGTACTTGGTGCAGCTTGTAAGATCCCCCGGTTGCGGTCAGTGACTCTGGTGCTAATCCGAAGATAGCTGGTTTCGCGTTGCAAAGTTGGCTCTTTGCACAGCTTATTCAAACATTTCAGTTTTCGGGACAGAAACTAGTGAATGCTGCAAATTTTTGGGCGCTCATGTTCTTTATACTTGCGCTGGCTATGGCAGCGTTCTACTTCACCATAGGAGTTGGCTCAAACTCGATCTCCGTCGTACGTCCTGTAACCCCCAGGCAGTCGAATCCCGGCTAACAAAGACATAGAATGTCGCATCCACCTATCGCAAAGAGTACTTCCTCAACATGATCACTCAGCGGGTGGCATGGTTCGATCGGGATGAAAACACAGCGGGGGCGTTAATATCCCGACTATCTACGGATCCTAAGCAGCTCCAGGAGCTCTTCGGCATTAGTGGCGCTTTCCCCCTTGTTTCTATATTCAGTGTGATAGGATGTATTGCCATCTCTTTTTCGTTTGGTCCGAAGCTGGCGGCTGTCGCCTTTTGTGCTGGCACTCCTTTTATGTTCCTAGGGGCCTTTGCAAGAATACGGTATGAGATGAAGTTCGAGGCCATCAATGCAGAAGTTTATGCAGAGAGTTCTCGATTTGCCAGCGAGGCTATTCGGGCGTTCCGGACTGTGACATCTCTGACAATTGAGGACTTCATCCTCAAAAGATATTCCGAACAAGTCACCACGCAGAGACACCGGGCTATGCGAAAGGCTTGGTACGCAACCCTGATGTTTGCATTTGCCGATAGCTTCGAATTATGCTCCATGGCACTCACATTCTGGTATGACGCCTTCCTCCCATTTCCATTTCGGAAACCGACTCATAAAATCCTAGGTACGGTGGCCAACTGCTTGCATCACGTGAATACGATGTGGTGACATTTTTCGTCGTCTACGTTGCCATCATTCAAGGAGGTCAGTCCGCAGGGCAATTTCTCAGCTTTGGACCAAATATTGCGCAAGCGACAGCGTCAGGCAGCCGGATTCTCAGCCTTGGGTCTGAATCGAACGGCTGTGTGCAATCCAGTCATGTTGTACCTCTACCGTCCACACGCGAGAAAGTGCAGGCAGACATCCAATTCGAAGATGTCTCATTTCAATATCCCTCTCGGGATGTCCCCACGTTTACTGGGCTAAACCTGAACATTCAAAGCGGTCAGTTTGTTGCCTTTGTCGGGCCATCCGGCTGTGGTAAATCGACAATCATCTCTCTCCTTGAGAGGTTCTACGATGCCACACAGGGAACTGTGCTCTTGGGTGGTCGTGACATTCGTTCCATCGAGTTATCATCCTACCGGAATGCCCTCTCCCTCGTCAGCCAGGAGCCCAAGCTATTCGACGGCACTATTCGTGATAATCTTCTTCTCGGTCTAGCCGACACGAATGAGAACACCGAGTCCCAAATGGTCCAAGCTTGTCAAGATGCGGAGATCGACGGCTTCATCACTTTCTCTCCCCGAAGGCTACTCCACGCCACTCGGCGTCAACGCGCAAGCCGCGCTGAGTGGAGGCCAGAAGCAGCGCATTTGCATCGCACGTGCATTGATCCGTAAGCCACATGTTCTTCTTTTAGATGAGGCGACATCTAGTCTCGACTCTCAATCTGAGAGTCTCATCCGGGAGGCGATGGAGAGACTGGCAGCCAAACGAGATATGACCATTATTGCCGTGGCGCATAGACTGGCGACGATCCAAAAAGCAGATACGATCTTTGTTTTCGGCCAGGAGACTGCCAGCCAAGGCACAAGGGTTTTGGAGAAGGGCACGCATACTGAGCTATTGCAAAATTGGGGAGCCTATTGGGAAATGGTAAGTGGAACTGTTCCCAGCGGATTCGACTTTGAGGCTAACTTCGGTTTCAGTGTCAAGCACAGGCGTTGGATCAATAGGCAAGATGAGTGTACGAAACAGTGAATGGATCATGAGCATGGTGAATGCCTTATCCTGAGTTAAAGCTATATATGCGGGATCAAAGCATTCATCTTCCGAGATAGTTCAAGGGAGCATGTAAGAGGACCAGGTCGAATGAAGAAGAAAATGGAAAAGAGACACCCTACGATGTGACCGGTGTGATTCCTGCAAAATGGATCCATGATGGAACCGCACCGGATGGGCACATTTTTGCGTTGATATACCATAGTTCGTTTGATGCGTTTGGCATTTAAAGGGGGCTTCTCCCCGCAAGTTGTGATTTAGTTGTCTTAACAAACAATCTTGACTTTCTACGAAAATGGATACACCCTATCTCATGGGGGTGGTTGGGATACGGCGAATACCATTCATTTTGTATGGGTTAGGGTTTTCGGGGCCACCCCAAATACCATCCAAAAATTGTGCTATATTAGTTTACGCTGAAGTACGCTGTATTTACCCCACCATACTCATGTTGGATTCCCTGTACTGATGGTGTTGTCCTTCCACCTTGATACGCACTACTCATGCATCACGATTGGTGTCAACCCGAGGATGTTGCGTATTGACTAGTATCTGACATGTCCAATGGAATCGGTGTTGATTGATTGATTGAAGTGTGAGGATTCATCCCCGTTTTCTGGATGATTAGTTAATTTACACGTGATATGGCCATCCCACGTCTTCGATAGCCACAGCCAGTTTCCAATGCCACTATTGAATGCAAGGAACAATACAGAGGGATAACGACGATCCGACCGGATATGTCTTTCCCCGGCTTTCGTTTCAAGCAAGTGATAGTTCGCTCGTCCTCGCAAGCGAGCACGCAGCAGGAGCACGAACCCCTAGCGGGTCCACGGCGGAACAAAAGCAAATTGGGCTGTCGAGAATGCAAGGCAAAGCGCGTCAAATGTGACGAGGCCTATCCGATATGCAAGCGGTGCCAGCGTCAAGGTCTTGTCTGTTCGCCAGCCCCACGATTATCACAGTGGCAATTTGAGACGCCGTGGCTCTTACTGCAACCTAAAACGCTTGTCAATCGAAGATTACTGCAATATTGGCTGGAGAAAGTCAGTCAAACATTGGTCATAGATCCTGAAAATAACTCATTTCCAATTCTAAATTTGGAATACATTGCCAATCACCCGCACTCCTCCATTCTATCCAATCGGTCAGTGCCAGCCACGAGCAGTATTTCTCGGCCAACGCTCCCATTATCGCCCTTTGATGAACATGGCAAAGCATTATCCTGCCTTCGAAGAGAGATTAACAAAAGTCAACACGCGCCTAGCGCACACTTTTTGACTATTCTGTTACTGACTCTGGCGCAAGGTGCTGATTCTGACATGAAATATTATGGCAAACAGCATTTATTTGGCGCCCGTGCCTTAATCAACAGTATGCTCCAGAACACATCTATATCGACGATTAATGACCCTGCTGTCCGGCTCTGCTTGGGGATGTATCTCTAGTGGGACGCATGCAGTTCGTCTTTTGTAGATCCGTGTGAGCCAGAGGGGCTCGACTTATTGATCATGTCCAATGCAGTGCACAGGATAGGAGACTGGCATCATCCAATGTATGGAACATGTAGCACACTATTTATGATAGGACATGCCGAACGGTACTGCCGACAGATTCTTGACTCGCCACAGAACCGCAACATCTTGCAACAAGCCGAGTTGGAGGCCCAACTTACTACCTGGAAGACAAGCCCCCCAAATCCCGGACTGGCCCACCTATATGAAGCGTTCCGCAACCACAGGCTCATTTTCCTTTATCGAGCCCGTGCGCATGCACAAAGTAGCTATCTCGCGGATCCAGATTCATTTGAAGCGCAAGAACTTTTGATTTCTCAACAATACGCCGAAAAAACAGTCCGCCATCTGATGCAAATCCCTGCAACCTCAAACTACCTAAATTTTCAATCTCTCCCTCTTATCACAGCTGGCTCCGAACTGACGGAATCGAATCACTTTCTGCGCGATCAAGTGCATCACAGGCTTCGAGCCATCTTCTCATTGAATCGCTTTCCTGCAAATCTTCTGGCCCTTCAATGTCTTGAAGAAATATGGGATGCCCGAGACAGCGGTAACCAATCGTTCTGGCTACTGCACATGCTTCAGACCGGTCGGCGGTTACTTCTTGGATGAGGCTATATATCGTCAAATGTATACGACTAATTTCTTGGATTGAAAATTCTAGATATCATGGCTTGCCGCATGTGGTTTTGAGACCTTAGTCATGTCACGGTGGTGATAATTAGAGTATATTACCGTACGAAAAATAATATCGTAATATTTTTATCCCGGCACTATTCTCAATATATCATGGAAGAGACTGATGGAGCTTCTGTCAGTTTGATGACCATTATGCTCTCGACGGCTTGGATATTCGCAGTGGTAGGTCCTGTGGAGACCTTCGTGTTTCATTCTTGAGAATTTGGAATATTTACCGTCAATTCAACCCGGACTCCTCCTTCGGGCCCTTTTGTGATGTATCTTGATATTTAACCTGGTGTGTCAGGCTTTTGCGGACTAGACTAGTAGCCTCGTTGAAAAAGGGGGGGTTTGGCATCGTTGGTGATGATTTTCGTGACCCCGCTGCTTTATCTTTTATCTTTATCACGAACTCTCTTCTTTCTTTCTTTTTCTTCTCTTCCACTTCCAAGGTTGCACCCTCGGTCTATACATCGGCCATGGACGACTACTCTTCATTGCGCCACCTGGTGCAAACTCACCCTCTGATTGACAATCATGCCCATAATATTCTTGGCCGCGACGTCGCCACAGACTATGACAGCTATCCCCTCGAATCCGTTGTGTCCGAAGCTCACGGTCGCGCCATGGCCAATGCCAGCACAACTTTGCCGATGCTTCGAGCCATTAAACAACTGTCAGAGCTCTATGGCACATCATCCGAGGATTGGAATGAGCTTGTAGAGGCTCGAACCCGATGGGTTAAGGATGACTACGAGGGTCTGGTCCGGCGGTCTTTAGAAGGCACCCACACGCTTCTTCTCGACGATCTTCTGAGCGAAGATGACGTTGAGGCATACAGCTGGCATGACCGCTTCACCGCCGCCGCTACAAAGCGTATCGTGCGCATCGAGGCGGTGGCTGCCTCACTACTCGCCGATTTAATGGATTACCAACGCAAACCCGACGAGACAGTGTGGGGTCTTTTCCGGCAACGTTTCCTCGACGCAATCGACCATGCAATGGACGACCCAGCTGTTGTCGGTTTTAAATCCGTGATTTGCTATCGCACAGGCTTAGATGTCGATCCTTACTCCGCAGATGAAGATGCCTTGACAGCCTCGCTCCACCGAACCTTGGATTCCGGTACGAGGAAATCAGGCTACCGCGTCGAGGACAAGCCTTTGAATGACTGGCTTGTTCAGCAAACGCTGAAGGCCATCACTTTCAAGAAAGCTGCTCGTATTGTGAAACCGATCCAGTTCCATACTGGCTTGGGTGATAATGATATTAATCTGGTCAAGGCGAACCCGGCATACCTGCAACCTTTAATTGCGCAGTACCAGAATGCAGATATCGTTTTGCTGCATTCTGCATACCCATTTACCCGCGAGGCAGGCTATCTGGCTTCTGTCTATCCTAATGTCTATCTTGATCTGGGTGAAGTTTTTCCCATGGTTAGCCGTGACGGACAGGAGAAGATTCTCCGTCAGAGCTTGGAGATCGCGCCCATGAATCGTCTTCTTTGGAGTACAGATGGACACTTTCACCCTGAGACCTTTTGGTTGGCCAGTCGTCAATTCCGCCAGGCTTTAGAGAAGGTAAGTTTGCTTTCAATGTGTCTCTTGCTGCCTTCTAGTTTTCTAATATCTCGTCATTTTAGGTTCTTGTCGAGTATGTGCAGTGTGGCGATCTGAGCAGCGTGCAGGCAGAGAATGCGGCCAAGGGTATATTGTTTGAGAACTCCAACAGTCTCTATAGGTTAAACGCTTCTTTGAATGACAAAAGCTGTTCTTCTTATTCCCTTCCCATGTCGGTAACACGTACCAAGCAAGCTGGCAGCCCCTCGCATGACCAGCTTGACACCATTTTACAAAGATTCCCTGATCTCGAGTATGTTTGGATTACATATACGACCCTTGAACTCGTATCTCCTAATTACATAAAATCACGATTTTTCGAGCATAGGAGCTAGTCTGATCATTGTTAATACCCTCTAGTCGTACGCGAATGCGCGCCGATTTCTGATCCGATCATTGCTGGTATTTTCCATTGGTATCTGGGATTTGATCTGAAACAGTAAGCGAATCAACATCTATGATGACAAGATTACCTACCGAGTCACCACTAATCCCTCATATGAACCAGCACCATTTCCGAGAGATGCACAGCAGGGAGCGTCGGCTTCGGTAATGCTGCTGTACTTTTTCTCTTTCCCGAGGGAGGACCCACCCAATCAAAGCCGATTGGCCAGCTAGAAAGCCAACGGAAATGAGCTGCTCTACTCATCATTCTCATCTCTCACTCTCAATTCTCAACTGACAACTGACCAGCTTGGACAGATTGATACATGGAATATGATGGTGGAATGATTTTCCCTGACCAGTGAAATCGCCAAGATTTTCCAAAATTTGCCCACGCTCACGCCAAGGCCACATTTATACGGCAGATAAGATTCACGGTCTTTCCGAGGACGTCAAATCATTCCCGACGGTGGCTTCGGGACATATCCGTCTTGGCCCACACGTCAGGTATGCTCCTTTCAATTCCACACACTCGAACAATCCCGAGCGCGTCAATCTGAAATCTTCACATCTTGCACCGCAAATTCATTCTAGCCCACATCCGTATATCCGAAGAGAGAAAGGGATCTGTATGAGGTCAAGATCATCATAATGCGGACAAGCCTGTCCTGTGCTTCGTGCCGGTTAGTACCGCTTTGCTTCAAAGTCTTGTCTGCCCCTTGCATCTGCCCTACAGAGAAGGTAGCGGGAATTGTTATCCACAAATGTCACTTATGCTTGTTGTTTAAGCGGGGTGGATAAGCCTGTGGGCCTGGGAGCTCCTTCATCGGTTTCTTCTCATGACTTGATATTCGTGTCATTGACGAGTAGTTTATAGCAAAGCCAAGGTGAAATGCCTTCATCAAGGAACACCCCCTTGCGAGAGGTGCATCAAAACGAACAGTCAAGGATGTGCGTTAACTGAAACGCGCGTACGCTCTGCAACTGTCTCGCGAAAACAACAAAAGCGCAAGCGCCCAACGGCAGCGATCAACAAAGATATTGGCGATGTCGATTCAAACGATAATAATAATAATGTTGGCGACAGCGGCAACAACGACAGCATACACCCGACGCACCGGGCCCATAGCGGTTCGGTCTCTGAAAGGCGAAACGAAGGCACGGCGGATGGCAGCTCAGCGAAGAGACAACGTCAGGTCCAACCCCGTGATCATACTTCAAGAGCTCTCCCTCGCTCTGTGAGCTCGTCATCGCCATCACCAGTGTCCGAGAAGGCTGTTCCGACTACCCAAGTCGAGATCCATCTCTCCAGCCTAAAAACGAATACTATTGTACAAGTAGTCAAAGGCTTCACATCCAGATATCCGGAGCTTGCCATGATTCACTTGCCCACCCTACTCAAAGGATTCGGCGTCTCCCAAGAGGCAGAGATCTCACAAGGCACTCAAGGTCAGAAACTATGTCAACAGGAATATCGAGTCTTGATGGCAGCCATACTTGCAGCATTTACGGCATCCGGTGATCGAGTTTCGCATAATGAATTGTACGAACGCAGAGTTTATGAGAGCTACGCTGAAAAGCTGTTATCAATCATGGCTTTCACAAGTCCGCATATGCTTGTTGCCCAGGCACTTCTTATCATAGCACTGCTCAAGGGCAGCTCGTTTGACCTGCATAAAGCATGGATGTATTGCGGTGCGTAGACTCTGAGTTCCTTTCTTTGGGTACCACCATGTTCGTCTAGATATGAGACAAAAATTAGAAGGCCTTTGTTCTCATCCTCAGATTCTAACGTTATTTGGATACAGGCTCCGCAATAAGAACCATGCAATTCTGCTATGGTGCTCGTCGTGCTTCTCTCGGCAACGACTCGCAGACTATTAGCTGGGCAGAGAGACACGCTCGCGTCATTGAGTCAAGAACTTTTTGGTCATGCTTTAACGTTAGCAGCATGATTGACCTAGGTATTTTGGCCCAGCCTCTTCTGCCGTTTCAGGAACTGGAGCGAATGGATCTACTACACCCGCTCAATAATTTCGAGTTCGCCTTAAGTATGGACTCGCCTACCCCAGTGCCTAGTAACGCAGCAAGTGGCCCATCATCTATGGACCCAGGTACCGAAGTCCACTCGTGGAATGTCAGTGACGGCTTCGAAATTATCTCGAGGGGCATAGTTGTATGGAGCCAGGCCATGACATTCATACAAAACGATGGGCGTCGAGCTCCTGGAATGTGCCGTGCAGAAAACTGTCCATGGTCACCCACATCACTGTGGTCTTCAATATCCGATAATCTAGAAAGCTGGAGAGCTCGCCAACACCCAGCTCTTCACTATCCAGCTCAGTCCGTAGCCGCACATTCTGCCGTGGGAAATGGGGAAACGTTTTTGTTTGTCAACATCATATACTACCTAAGGTACGGTAAACCCACCTTCAAAGTAACACAATTCAGAAGCCTAAAAATGGTTATACTGACTGTTCTTGAAAGCGTCATTCTCCTACATCGAGAGTACTTTCCTTTCCTTCCTGTGAACGAGTCCGAACCACGCGGGCCCATCGAATATCAGCTGGAGGCTCAAGCACCCCCGGGCTGGTGGCATTCCAGTGCATGCCGTCTATTCAACGCGACTTCCGCAGTGGCTCATCTTCTTAAAGAGTCGTCGGAATGTGGCGTTCTGCTCAATTCGCCATTCACCGGCTTCTGTGCTTTCATAGGAGCCTACATGAACCTTTATGTGACGCAATTCCCCCAAATGAACTTGGGTCAATCCACCAACTCGAAACTTGAATTTGAGCTGTGTTACACATATTTAAAAGAGTTTCGAAAAACATGGTTATTGGGAGAAGGCTGGGTAAGTGAAGCTAAACAGGCCGCTGCAGTACCCAACAGCTGTCTGGGTCTTTTCCCTACAATTTTTGCTAATGGAACGATAAAAAAAGATCAAGACAATACAGAGTGCATCGCTTCTCTATAACAGATTCAATGCGAATGATAGACGGTGGATGACTAAATCGAGCCAGGACTTTTCCACTCTTCATCAAAGCATTCACGAATTCTTTGGCCACGATAAGTCTCAACAGCATTTGCAAGAAATTAATAGGGCTTCCGCCACACTCCTGGACGCTATCGATACATGCCTGGTGGGCGTGGATCAGGGTACGATTGATCAGCCTACAATGTTCAACTCGCTGTTTTTTAATCTTAGCGGCGAGTTTGACACGCATCACTTCTGGCCAAGCTAGAATTGGAACGATTTTAATGCAATATCAAAAATGCCTCCGTTGAACGACATACTGCTTTCTCACCCCATTCTTAATATCTGCCCGGACTAAAGCAGCATTTTACAAATGCCATAGCTGATGAACGGGGCTTGGGCTGCGTAGTTACAGCAACGACATGATCTCCAGTACTCACGGAATATTCTTGTGGACCAATCAAGGAATCTGGCCCAGCTTCCCGTTGCTGTATTACCAGACCCCGCAAGACTCCCAGGCAAGCAGCTGCAGCAATGTACATCATGCCTGTAAATAATTCTGTCCCCAGATAACTGCCGGTACCATCAACTATCTTGAGCGCAATCGGCTCGCTGAAAGTTGAAGGGATTGCCAGACTCAACCAGAGTAAGCTCAGACCTGATGGAACTTCTCCAAGATCAAGCACTTCGGCTACAAGCGGTCCTATTGTAGCCCAGAAATTCCCTGCCACGAGACCTGAGCTGACGGCAAAGAGAAGGCTCACACCGTATGTCTTCGAAGGTATCCAGATGGCCAATGATATCAAACCAGCCAAAAATGTTGTTGAGCCCGCCATGTTGATCCGACCAAGTGAGTCGCTGAAATAACCAATGATAGGACGTCCAACCGCCTGCGCGAAGTTGAAGACAGCGCTGATTGTTGCGGCTTGCGATGAGTCGAGCCCGATACTGTTTGCAAAGTTTGCCAAGCTGAAAATAAGGATGAAGTATCCAAGCATAGTGAAGCTGCTGAAAGCGATGAGAAGCGAATAGTCGAGCCGCCTAAAGAGCGAGATATCTATCGTTGACCGCGATACTTTGGTATTCCTGTACCGGTCTTTGATCAGGATAATACAGGAACTATTCACAACGAAGGCAATAATAGCCAAGATGCGAAACGCCCAGAAAATCCCAAGACTCCGTATCATAGCTGATGCAGAAAGGGAGTATACGCCTCCTCCAAGGCCGGCTCCAGCTAATGAAATACCGCTCGCGAGGGACCGTTTCGCTGTGAACCACTGGGGCACGACTGCAGCCGTAGGTATGAACAAAAGACCAAGCCCGATACCGAATAAAAGCCCTTGTGTGAGAAAAAGATGCCAAATCTTTGTGGCAAAGCTAGCAGCAACGAGGCTTGCTGTTTCAAATATAACACCAATTATCATAGTTGGCCGAATGCCCAACTTCCGTGTGGAATATGTTGCTATAGGCGAGGCGAGAAAGAGAAATGTGAGACTGAGGGCACCAACAAAAGCATATTGGAGCGAAGTGGCTCCCATAAATGTATCATTTGCTAGGTAATGAGCCAAAAAGACTGCATAAGCCGAGTTGAAGCCCCAAGAGTGCATGTTGATGGTCGCAGCGGCCGCGGTACATACCCAGCCATATCCTCCATCTGGGGGTGGGCCGGGATCCTGGGCATCATCGCAAGGCGAACCCCAGTTCATGAAGTTGTCGCTGTTGCTGTCCTTGTCATTGTCGATTTTTCGTGCAGAAATTGACTTGCACATAGTCGTTACCAGTAGGCGCTAGCAACTTAGGGTCGTAGTAAAATCCAAACGCAAAGCAACAACCAAACTTCATTCCTAAACGCCCGAGAATTAATCATTAATTATTTTCTCAGCGTATTTTTTCCAGGAAGAATTTTTTGGACTCCTTTCAAGTTTTGTGCGGAATTATGTCTTTCGGGAAATTGGAAAATGGTGCCTCACTATGTGCCAACCATTTCCGACAAGTTCACAATACAAAACGGACGTATGTTGAGGCATAGAAGTTGCTCTCGGAAATGAGTTCCAATCCCGACAGAGCTGTGTAGCTTGGATTTGTGTTCGTTTTTTATTATTTTAATTTCTTTTCGGGCAAGAATTCCCCACAATTTATCGTTTTGACGTTGTGGAGTCAGCTTTCTTGAAGTTCAATCTCCGAGTTCGATATCTTGTATTGTTTTGTACACCAGCGAGCGCAAATGAAGCGAAGGAAAAGATATTCGAGCTAATGTCTCACTTTTCATGTATTGATATCTTTCTCATGCGAGTACAAAGACGCCTGTCATCAATTCCGAGACTTGACCATCCATTTCCGAGCTCTCTGCTCCACATCTGTCCATGGATGTGAGCTCAAGTCAGGCGTAGGGCAGAATAGTATCCTCGTCGCATCCGCCTGTCTAATACTTTGACCATTTTCTCTCTCATTGTTGCAATCCCTCACCCTCTTTGTTGGCTGTGACTTGGTTTGCCCCTATTCTCAATCTCAGAATGTCATCTGGCGACAATTTTATTCTCACGGGCGAGGCCCTCGACGAGGCCCTACCCAGCATGTCAATGGCAACCAAGGCCATCCATGGCGACGACTTCTACTCACCTCATCGAGCCATTGCTCCTGGTATGCATGTGGCTGTCAACTACCGTTATTCCCGTGACCCCGAGAATCTGAAGTACATGGACAATCTCGATGTATAATGATGCCCTTTGCTCCTCTTTCCTCTCTATCTTTCGAGATACGCTGACATTCTGCTGTTATTCTTCTAGCCCAACGCACCGAACGATTCTCATATATACTCACGCTACACAGCCCCTAACTCTAACAGGCTGGAGAAGCTACTCAAGAGTCTCTTTGGCGCCCACGTGGTGACCTATTCTACCGGCTTATCCGCTTTCCACGGCATCATGGTTCTCCTCAACCCCAAGCGAGTTTTCCTCACCGAGGGCTATCATGGCATTCATGGTGTCGTAGACATCATGTCGCGCATTACCGGCACGAAAAAATTGACCCTTGAAGATGTGGATCAGGCCGGGCCGGGCGATGTGATCCACGTTGAAACGCCCGTCAACCCCACGGGCGAGGCACGAAACCTTGCCTACTACAAGGCAAAGGCGGATGCCGTGGGCGCGTACCTAACCGTCGATGCTACCTTTGCACCTCCACCTCTTCAGGACCCTATTCAGATGGGCGCCGATCTCGTTATTCACAGTGGCACAAAATACCTTGGTGGACACTCGGACATGCTATGTGGACTTCTCGTTGTGCACCCCGAGAGGGAGAAGCAAGGCTGGGCTGAGACTTTATACAATGATCGCCAATACATTGGCTCAGTCATGGGCTCTTTTGAGGCATGGCTAGGCATTCGCTCTGTTAGGACACTCCAGTTGCGTATTCAGCGACAGGCAGATAACGCCATGAAGCTTGTCAAGTGGCTGACCGAAGAGATGGCGAAGCCTGACTCTCTGGTCAGCGAGATAATTGAGACTGTCCAACACAGCTCGCTTCAGTTGGCCGATATCCAAGATGGCTGGTTGGCCAAGCAAATGCCCGGTGGCCATAGTCCTGTCTTCTCCATTGTCATGAGGACTAAGTCGCAGGCGCAGAATCTTCCGAGTAGGATGTATGTGTTCCAGCATGCTACTAGCCTGGGAGGTGTTGAGAGCTTAATGGAGTGGCGCGCTTTGAGCGATAAACTCTGCGACGAGAGGCTGATTCGTATCAGTTGCGGCATCGAAGAGGCTGAAGATCTCAAGGCTGATATTATTCAAGGCCTTCAGTCTGTCTCGAAAGATATTTAGTTGAGCGTCAAATAAGACTTCCCCTCTATCTCCTTCACAAGCTAGTAGCACATACCAACTTGTCTTGGAAATTTACAGAATTGCAAGCTAATCGGTATATTCTTGTCGGGGTGCTTACTAGAAATCAGCTCTGACTGCCGTCAATAATTGTGGATTTTTGACGGAGATAAATGAGCCCAGCAACTATAAAATGATGCTCTCTCCCTGGCATCATTTTGGGGTCACTATGAGGTGGTCAAGTTGCTTCTGCAGAAATCGACCAACCTTACGAACAGTGAGGCACTCCATAATACTGCACAGGGGAATGAACCTCGGATAGCGCAACTACTTCTCCAGTCGGGGGCAGATATTGAGCTGCTGAGTAGTTACGGTGATACGGCTTTACAAGATGCTTCACAAAATGGACATACTGAGATGGCCCAGATACTGCTAAGCCATGGGGCAGATATCAATTGTCGGAACAGCTGATCTTGATCCTCTAGACTTCCTCAACCGCACCCCATTATTCTACGCTGCTATGTATGGTCACAAAGACGCGGTCGAGGTTCTTCTATCAAACTCATCTCCAAGCATCAGAGATCATTATGGCGCGACACCTCTTTGCGTCGCAGTGAGAAAGGGTCACGTGGACGTGGTTAGACAATTGGTCACTTTCTGTAAAGAAAAAAGCGACTTTGAAGACGGTTTGGGTCCAGATTTGCTTTGGTGGGCGGCAGGGTCTGGGCAAGATGGCATGATTGACATTATTCGTCAATTCGCTCAAGAAATCGGCATCGAAGCCCCTGAGCCTAATGTATACAAGGAATGCGTGGTAACTAAATCGACTGACAACCACATTGACCACCTTTTTGACATCTGCGCTCGGTCTATACCAAGTGATTTCTCATCCATGAGGTGTGAAACATGTGAAGGCTTCGATGTTTGCCTTCAGTGTGTTGGGTTTAAGGTGGAGTGCTTGGATTTTTCTCATACGTGGAAGCTCCAGGAGCCAGATGCGGGGGATTCTGATCGAGCTGAGGACAGTGATGATGATATAGAACTGAATACTAATTAGAATCATCTTCGTTAACTTGAACCTCGGAAGAATAGATGGGCATCTGCCAACTTGGTTGAACGAGCTATTCAACACTTTGGAGGAGTCACAGATAGTAAATGGAGATTCCACGGCAATGGACCGCGCAGTAGTTAGATAGAAGAGTAACAGAAAGAGCTATATACGTTCCCCTAATAAATCAAAAAACACCTTCCCCTCCCAAGACCAGAATAGAATCAACCGAATCCCAGCCAAATGCAATGAATAATTTACACGAAAAGCCCCGAATCACCACTAGCAAGCGTATCAAGTCCCCCCCTCCCCATCAAGCAAAGGAAAAACCTCCTCAATCCGATGCTGAAGAATATCCCGTTCAGCCTCCCACCTCCTCAACTGCTCAGCCTTATCCTTCGCCTGATTAGCCCCACCATACCAAGCCTTCTTCGCCGAAACAAGACTCTCAACCTGCTCCTCGCGCGCACTCTCAACCAGTGCCGAAACCATCGTCCGCCAGTTCTCCAGTCCGACCTTCAGACACTGTGCGCAGCGGCCGCGGGATGTCAGATCGGGCGAATTGTGAAGACTTGCGAGGGTTGACTCGGCCAATTCGACGGAGTCCCGGGTCCAGGCTAATCCGTGCTCGCGACTTGAAGATGCGTAGAGGATTTCGCCGATGTAGGTCATTAGGCCTGCTTCGTGGCAGATTGAGCCTGTTGTGCGGGTTGGTGGGTCATTGCCTGTTGGGGAAGCGGGTGGGTATTCGGCTGGGATGAAGACTGTTGAGAAGAGATTGAAAATCGGGGCGAGGGGGGTTGAAGCCTTGTGTTGGTGGTGTGAGGGTTTGATGATCTTGGACTAGCGGGAGACTGCGCCAGGCTTTGAGAACGGATGTGAATAGGGATAGGGCGGTTGGTAGGTCACCCTGGCGGGCATTGTGGACGGCCAATGCGGTTGAGACGCGCATCAGATTCTCGGATGGTGGTTCGGGGCTGGTATTCTTCAGCACGCCCGTTTTCAGATCGACGAGGTTATCCGCGCCGCCTTCAATGCCACCTGCAGCTATGTCTAGTGCCCAGATGTACATATCGCCTGCCGTTATTCCGAGACCCTTGTAGTCGAGCCAATCGGCATAAGCCAGTGCAGCCTCGACCTTCTGGTTTGTGTCGAAGCCGTTCGTCGTCAGGATCTTCATGTAGAACTTCTCCGGTGGTGGGGACGCAACTTCGCAATCCTCTTCGTGGATAACGTAGTTTGCAGCCGCGGGCATGGGCTTCGGGCGCGGGTTTGAAGGACCGATAACATGTTCCGCTGGAGCAGAGACACGCTGTTTCTTATCGGTTAACCATCCCTCCAGGTTCTCAGCGGCCTTTGCGGCGCCAAGAAGAGCCTGGAAATAACCACGACGCCAGGGCTCGCTTTTAGCGGAGATGTCGAGACCCGTCAGACCAACGCCCTCGACAAGGATTCCTCCGTCTCCTTGCTCGAAAATTCCCGCGCCTTCGCGTTCCACGTTCTCCAGTCGTTCGATGAGTTCCTTGAGGTAGCCTGCTACCATGGGCCAATCGGTTAAGAGGCGGTTTGTGTACTCAGGGTGTTGCAGGGCCTGTGCGGAGCGAAGACACCAGCGAGATTTCCATGACCATTCTGGCGGTGACGGCCATTTGTGCTCGATATCTTCTTGGTATACGCCGAGCTTGACGATTGAGAACAGGAAGAAGATGGCGGTTAGGGTGAGGGTGGTTTTCACAGTATAGCTGAAGCGTTTCTTGTAGTGTTCGCGACTAGTTGTTGATACTAAGCGGCCGAAATGTTTGCGCAGGTGAATTGAAAGCGGGGGGATAGGTCGTGAGAGTGGTTGTGGTGAGAGAAATTGTAGCTGCGGACGACCTGACGGCGGGGAGATTTGAAGTCGAGTACAGTGGGTGAATGGTCGGAGTGAGTGTATGGCAGGGCGCCTTGATAGTTGTAGTGGTCGCACCCGAGCTGGTACCCGACCAGCAATGTTGCGTGACAGCATTTTGGGCGGTTGGATTCACTGCTGAATTGAATCGAAGATGCGCGCGAGATGGATGAGTCTGGCCGGTTTGCTGTTTTTGTTCGTATCACGTGACATGGTCCGAGGTACTCAAAGCGCATCGGAAAAAGACATCCATACAACTTACATTCAAAATGTATGGCAAGTCTTGGCCTGTTCTTTTCGTTTTAATACTCATTTCTCACCCTGTGGTAGTCATCTGTTTACACTGGTTTTTCGAATCAATGACCATTGTCTATCTGCGCGCAACGTGGATAAACAACCCTAGGATTTACACACCCAATGATGTGAAATTATATTCCCCTTTCAAAGTTTATATATAAGAACTTGAAAAGTCTTGCAAAAAGAAAAAGGAAGAAGAAGAATCCTTTTGGATGACCACCTACATACCTAGGTAAATGGTGGAGGTACGCCGAATGTCTGATAACAAAAGTACTTTGTGGTCACCCTCCTTCCTTTATCTCTTTGTGCCTCTCCAAGAGACTCCGCCAAAGATGCCATGAAGCCACTTCTACTTAAAGGGCTTTTGATTTGCCTTAGATGATTGACCGCCCATAGGGTTTCCTCTTTTGATACACTTTCGATGGCATATACAAAAAGCGGTCGAAGGTAATCTGGGTTGAGAGCACCGTTACTCGAGGCGTTCCAATCTCCTTCGACGATATCTCGCATTTTTCTCATGGCTTGTATGGCTTCCGGTGATGCAAATGGAGGATCTCCAAGGGTCCGACCAAGCGCGACAACCTCAGCAAGATATGCTGCCGTGCAAAAACCGGCAAGGGAATGAGCGGATCTACTATCGTATGGCTCAAATGATCTCGAAGTTCGCCTGGTAGTAGCCGCAAAGGGCCCGGTCAAGCTTCCCATAGGAATGAGATCTGGGTTTGCAGACTGTTGGAAACTTCGGTTAGTCAAGAAGGCACGCACCTCATCCCTACGATCGATCACCTCAATTGAGATAGTTTCCAACGCATCAAAAGAAGGGAATACGTTCTCGATTCACACTTTGGGAATTAGTCCAGACAGGCGCCTTCCGCACCTTCGACCTTGTGATAGAAAGGACCAACATCACAGCATACCGTTGCCTCTCCCCCTCACTGCACCCTCTGATCATTGCTTTCCTTTGACATCGGCTTGCTGGGAATTCCAGGCTGAGTTCGCCGTTGGTCAATTGTGCGAACGAGTTGGAATTGAAATTGCCCACAGTCCTGGTGAGTGCTGCTCAGCGGTTCTAGCCTTTTTTACTTGTATATCAATATTGACAACTCTAGATTTCACCCACTGCACCACTCTGGCATGGGACCCGCGTAACGAATCATTCACCATCCACCGACCCTTTTCGCAAGATCCCGAAATAAACCACGGATACGAGTGTGCCCCTCATACACTTTTCACCTTCATAAACGAGCAAGGTGAGGATATTGAAGAGACTCTACAAGTACATGCATTTTTCGATAAGAGCGTACTAGAAGTCTTCGTCAACGAACGAACCGTCATTTCCACCCGAATTTATCATCCTGGGGACCGTTGTTTTGGAATAAGATTTTTCGCAGAATCGTTGGACAACTTGAATTGCCCTAAAGAACAGCCAGCGACGCTTCTCCGGGCCAATGCCTGGGATAGACTTGGGGAGAACTAGTGGTGGGAAAAAGGTATATCTATCTGGACTGCACATTTGTATTGATTCTATGAGACTAGCACGTACGGCTTTCTAAAATTTTGTAAGCTCTAGATTCTCACATAAACTTGTACGTAAGGCACCAAATCGGCGTGAAAAGTGAGGTTTAACTTATCACGTTTTTAACAAATTTGTATACACAGTTTTTGATAGCAATAATAATATTGCCGTGATATAAAACTTTGATATGTAGCAGATTAGCCATCTCCTCGGCCATAATATAGGTAGAGGCTTTACCACTCTTATTAAGAAGCGCGTCCTACCACTCACTCAGCCCGAGCCTGAGCGCCCTCATAAAAGCGGCGGCAACTGAAATACGAAAATCCCACCCCTGGCAGACATTATCCTGTCTATATAGGATAGCTGCATACATCTTACCTGCATGATGCGCAAATTCACCTAATCTACAATATTACCAAAAAACAGAGAATCATTGACATCAAAATCCATTCATTTCAGGATCTAGTATAGGGGAATCCAGTCGCAATTAAAAAGCGAATATCTATGTGTCGGCCAACAAAACAAAGGAAAAGGTAGAAAAAAAGCAATCAAGTCCAGTAATTTTCGTTTTCGTTTTTAACAAAAGATTTACTGGGACTTTTCGAAGAAGCCCTCGCTCTCGAGCACGAGAATGATCTCGTGAACGATAGAACGAACGCTCTGCTTGGACGCATCAACAGTAAGGTCAGCCTTGGCGGGAGCCTCATAGGGGTCATCGACACCAGTGAAGCCCTTGATCTCACCGCGGCGCGCACTTTCGTAGATACCGCGCTTGTCGGTCTTCTCGCAGTACTCAAGGGGAGTGTTGACGTGGACGAGGAAGAAAGAGCCGGACTGGGAGACGGCGTCACGGGCGTACTTGCGGGAAGCCTCGTAGGGGGCGATGGGAGCAGCGATGACCGCGGCACCGGAGCGGGTCAGCTCAGAGGCAACGAAGGCAATGCGCTGGACGTTGGTGTGGCGGTCTTCGCGGGTGAAGCCGAGCTCGGAGGAGAGCTCGTGGCGGACGGTGTCGCCCAGCAAGAGGGAGACGGAGCGGCCGCCTTGCTGGTTGAGAGTGACCTGCAAGGCGCGGGCGATGGCGTCCTTGCCGGAGTTCATGTAGCCGGTCAGGAAGATGGTGAAACCCTGGGCGTTACGGGGAGGGTTGGACTCGCGCAGGATCTTGACGACCTCGGGGTAGGAGAACCACTCGGGGATGTGGGCGCCGCTGCGGAGACGGCGGCGGAGCTCGGTGCCGGAGATGTTCAGGGTCTTGACGCCGGCGGGGACCTGGTCGACGGGACGGTACTCGTCGGTGTCGGGGAGGTAGGTGACCATCTGGAACTCGACGACCTCGATGCCGAGCTCGTCCTTGTACTTCTCGACGGCGTGCTGGGCATCGTAGGGGCCGTAGAAGTCCTCGCCCTTGGAGTTGGAGCCGGGGCCGGCGTGGTCACGGCCAACAATGAAGTGGGTGGCACCATGGTTCTTGCGGATAATAGCGTGCCAGATGGCCTCACGGGGACCACCCATGCGCATGGCAAGGCCGAGCAGACCCAGGACGGCCATGCCGTTGGGGTAGCGGGGCAGGAGGGCCTCGTAGGCGCGGACACGGGTGAAGTGGTCAATGTCACCAGGCTTGGTCAGACCAACGACGGGGTGGATCAGGACATTGGCTTGGCGAGAGCGAGCCGCGCGGACGGTCAGCTCACGGTGAGCACGGTGCATGGGGTTACGAGTCTGGAAAGCGACGACGCGGGACCAGCCCAGCTTGTCGAAGTGAACGCGGAGCTCAGCGGGGGTGTCTAGAGTGGAGGTTAGTATATAAAATGGCGAGAAACGCGGCGATTGGCCAAGCTAGGGAATCCAGGGGAAACGTACAGCGCAGAGCAACATAGTCGTAGTGGTTCAGCTTGTTGACAGCCTCAATCTTTCCACCAATGTAGAACTCCTGGACGGTCTCGTTCAGGTACTTGATAGCAGGGTGCTCAGGATCTCCACCGAAGACAAGCTTAGCCTCCTTGACCCTAGAAACAGAAAAGAATCCACGTCAGCCAGACCCACAGTTAAAGGGAGCCGCGCCCGGTCCAGGCATTGCGTATAGCAAAGGGTCCATGCACCCAACGCCACCTCCGAGCGATTCACCGCACCGACGCTAGAACACGAGCAATGGAAATAGTATTATCCAGGTGTTGCGGGTGGGGTTCGACAGAGGAGTCGCGGAGTCCGACAGGAGCGGACGGAGCGGACGGAGCGGACGGAGTGGGGGAATTGTCGAAACTCACTTGTCGGGGCGGTAGATGTCGTCGATGGTCAGGATGGCCAGGTTGCGGTCGTCACGGAAGTCACGCAGGGTGATGCGACCACCGGCCTGCAGCTTCAGAGCATCGATTTCCTTCTGGGTGATGTCGAGGGTGATGGGCATGGAGAAGACATTGCCATCGGCAAGGCGGTTGTCAGCAACGACACTGGAGGGCAGAAATCATGTTAGTATTGGGAATTGCAGTCTGCACGGAGTATTGGAGTATTGGAGTATTAGACGTACCCGTCGTAATCAACCTGGTTCATGAAACCTGGAAAAAACAAAGAAGATCGGCGTTAGCATTGCCCATCTGTAATTAAGATCCGCCCGCGCCGCCAAAAAAAGAAATTTGATAGTAGTGGAAATATGGGGTCGTGGAAAAAAATCGAAAAAAGCAATGCGGTATTTCTCAGTAACATTCCAATTGCTAATTGCATTGACAACGCCAATGTCAATGCAGTCAGCAAGGCAGTGGCAATGGCATTGGCATTGCATTGACAGTGAAATTGCGCAAGAAGTGCAGTCTCCATGGTAAATAGAATAGAATAGAATAGTGGGGGGAGGGGGGGAGGGGCAGCATGACGCGATTGCCAAGCATGGAATTTCAGATGGAATAGCGAAAGAATGACTTACCCTCCAGAGGTGAGAAACCACCGTTCATGATGAGTTCCAAATCGCACAGCTGACGCTCAGTGAGGACAACAGCGGGGGAGAGTCTCAGCCTCAGCGCTGAGCTGCTCCTGGCGGGGAGCATCGCGGGCGAGCAAGTCCTTGAGGACACCACCGTGGGGAGCGTTGGCCATTGTGAAGAGAGGGTATGGAAGGAGGGGATAAGAGAGAATGAAGAAAAGAGAAGGGAGGAGAAGGAGAGAGGAAGAGAGGGAAGAAAAGTGGGAAAGGTGAGAATTTCTAGTTCCGAATCTTTTGGAAGGGTAAACCGGGATGGACAAGGGCCACGCATGGATGGACTGATCTAATCGCCCAGACCGTCGTCAACGGTGGAGTCTGTTGGAGTCTTTGGCCCCGCTGACTCTGTCCAGTCTGTCCAGACAGAACTCGATGTGATGGAGAACCAGGGGTTACTCGCCTATCCTGCATATCCTTGCTGCAATTGACCTTCTCGAACACGTTTCGAATTGATGTTTGTACTAGTAGTATATCAAGGGACTGAAGGGACTCATTATGGGTACGTACCCATATCATACTCGTACTACTACCCATACCCTCAACTATGTATACCTCGTCCATATCTACTAATACTTCTAGTAATAACTAAACAGAATTATGTACACTGCCAACACTCTACCCAACACTACTCCATACCTTATGCCTACGGGGTATACCTAAAGGTAGACGTAAGCAATCTCCGCTGGCCGCGGACTGGCGTACTCGTTTATGGCGGGGATCTTCCCGGATTTTCAGGGGGCGGCATTTAGTCGATACTCGTACTAAGGTAGGACTCCGCCTCCCTCGGATTAGGATCATCTCCATTCATCTCGATAGGGGTGTCCCACAACTCTGCAAGATGCAGAGTTGAATCTATATACATATCAGATGCATACTCGTAGTCGCAGTAAGCCCAGTGCGTGGCGACAGCATTTAACGGTACGTCCACGTGACTCTGTGAGCACGTCAGCGGCCGCGGAGGTGGCGTGCTTCAACAGCATCTGTCGACCCAAAAGGGAAGGGATCCCCTCCGAGGCCGGCCTTGGCAGTTTCCATTTAAGCTTTTTTGTTGGCCCGGTAGTTGCTGACTGCACAAAGGATACTAGTATGTACAGCACAGTATGTACACTGCACTGGAACCACTCATAGAGGAATTGTTATTGTAAAAGTCAAGTAGAAAGGCACATTATGGTTCTCATATTACCTAACGCCTAACACCTATGTACATACTACTCTCACTTGTATCGATATCGACATCTATACATCGAACCCTGTTCCATCAGACAGCTCTCAATACACTAGTACTTTTGTATACACACGCGTCCTGATCGACTAGCCCAATATACCCCTGTTCAGGAGGTACGGAGAACTATACGAGACGGAGCGGAGTGACTAGCGGAGTGACTAGAACATCAATGCACCGTCAAGCCAGTCCCCTCCCGCGTAATCGTCTTATTCGCAAAGTCCAGCGAGAAAGCCCCCATCAATTCCAATGAAGGCATACTGGCCGTCGCATACGAATCACTCAAATACGACGCAATCTGCTTCTCAGAAGAAAGCGCCGAATCAAGGGACCCCGTATCCTGCATAATGAAGAGCACAGCCACCTGCGAGAACTCAATCACCGACTCCGGTACCCCGGTCGACTTGGCCTTGGAGCTGCCGGTCGACGTGGCGGTCGCCGTCGCTGGGTTCGCTGCGATCGACGTGGTTTTGGTTTCCTTGGACCCACTGTGGTTGCCGGAGCCGTCGACGAGGATTCCGTTGATTGTTTGCTCTGAGCGGGCGGCCAGGAGTGTGGGGGTGGGTTGCGTGGAGTCCTCCAGATTGTCAAGGTCTAGGTCTAGATCCAGGTCAATGGAGCGCCGGCTGTTCTCGCTGCTGCTGCTGCTGCTGCTACGGTCGACGTCGCTGAAAGAAATGAGCGCATTCTCCGTCTTACAGGAGATGTTGTTCATGCTGAACAACGCCATGATCGTCACAGGGTCGAGGGTGATATCGAATTTCGTCTTTGACTGGTTAAAGATAGTTGGCAGAGAGCTACCCATCGTGGCATTCTTGCTGATGGTCCCATTATCCACGTTTGAACTGATACAGCTGCTATCACCAGAAGTGGTGCATGTAGAACCGGTATATCCATTCGAGCAGACGCATGAGCACTGGCTTCCGCTAGAAACGCTCACGCCGCCATTTTTGCAGGGGTTAGACGTGGCGCAACTGGTGTCGCTGCTGGACTTTTCGTTGGGGACGGCGACGAGGAAGACGGGGAGGAGTACGGCGAGAATAATGATGATGAACAAAATCACACAGAGAATAATGAACCATTTTCGCGCCATGCCACAGCAACGGCGTGCGGGCTTTTGGGGGGGCAGGTTCATCCGCGTTTGAGCCGAGGGCTTCGCCGTTGCGTAGACCGGATCGGCCGAAGAACACGGGCCAGGAGCCACGGGGCTTGTCGGGGGTATCCAGGGCCGGGTTAGGGAACATGTGTAGAATATCAGAAATAGAGCCGGAGTTGCGGCGTCGTCCTGTTCTTGTTGTCAGTGGTTTTTTCTGGCTTGCTTCGGAATAGAAAATTGACTCACCAAATGGAGGTTTCGGTTCTGCGTCTGCGTTCAACACATCGTTCCGACTCGCTGTCCTTCCGTGGTCCAGGTTAGAGGCGAGTTTAGTCGCCCGCCGAATAAGGTCAGACAAGCTGGAGAGACTACCGCGTGCCTCGGCATTTCGTACGGCGCCGATATCCAGACGAGGTGGTTTACGACCACCAGGTCGCTTGTCACTCATGGTAGGTGCGGCAGAAGGGAGAGCCTCCACTTCCTTTTCCAGACTTGTATCTCGATACAAGTCCATGTGGTCTGGGACAGGATGCGCAAAGCGCGGCTTTTCAGGATCGATGTACGATTCACCTGACACGGTCGAGGCGGATGCTCGTCGGACTGGGGTCGGCTGGCGCATAGCTTTGCCGATGGCGGCTACTGTGATCACGGCACTATCTGAGACGTCACTCTGCGAATCGCCCTTGTGCTGGGTCGAGGGAACGCCCGGGACCATCACTTCAGAGTTGGGGTTGGACTTCATGATCGTACGCATTGTTGGCTTTCCCCGCTTGCCAACGCTGGCATTTCTCACAAGAGCGGCTTTGTCTTCTCGGACAGTGTCTTGGGAGTGCTCTTCATCTTCAGATTCCGTATCAAGGTAAGCCCCGAGGATTTCCGATTCAGCTGGTCCAGAGCCCCAGCTCGAGGGGAATGGCACGGCTAGAGGCAAGAGAACCAAGGGTTTGGCGGGGATTAGGGAGTTCCTCTGGAATGGGTGAGACAGAGGACCTCCGGGCACGGGTCTTCTGAGCACTTGGGGCAGCAAGCCCTGCGGTCCGGTGTGGTTGAGGGTGACCCAAAGGCAGAGGCGGCTCTGGCAATGGGATTGGCGGAACAGTTGGAACAGAAGACGAAGTGGAAGCTGTGGAATGGCGGAATAGATCTTCAGTAGAGATTGAAATGCGCGGTGTCATGTCCACTGTGCTTGTGGGGCTCGGGCATGAGCCATCGTCGGCTGTATAATGGCGCGGCTGATGAACCTGATAAGCTTTTGGTTGGGAGAAAGATCGAGTTGGCCGTGTTGGGAATGGATAATTGGAGCTAGGTTCGGAATCCAGGCCACTCCTGACAGAATAAATAGACGGCGACGGAATTTGAGAAGGCATCTGCGAGGGCATTTCATTTGGACGCGGCGGTCTTTGCGGGGGAGGGCCCCGGGGACCGAGATATCTGGGGTGCTGGTGCGGGTGCGGATTGAGCGGGCGTGGTTGGAGCCCTGAGGCAGGAAGAGGCCATTGCGTATGGTGAGAAGAGTTCCGTGGTGGAGGTGGATTTGGTCTTGGAATTGCAGCTACGGGTATGGATGGCGGGACCCGTATCGGACGTACGCCAGCTTCCAATTGCTCCCTTGCTCTTTTAACGGATCCCTTCCTATCGGCTGCTGGTCCAGGAGGACGAGGCCCAGGACGTGCTCCCGGGCCGGAACTTGCTGGAGGGTTTGAGCTCATTGATCCTTGGCTGCTGATGCCGGGGATTATTCAAGCAAGAGCCAAATTTCGGTGAAAAGTGTGCAAGAGTTGGCCGTCTTATAGCATCAGGTTAAGAAGCAATAAGGATCTGGAAAGGTTAAGGTCACAGTCGAAAGCGTGTGCCGATAGATAAAATCAAGTTTCTTGGTTGCTCGATACCCTGATTGAGGAAAGAAAAGAATGGCAGGCAAAGGCACGAAACGAATGGACTGTGCCGAAATAACCAAAAGGTTCAAAGAATGAAGTTGAAAAGCAAATGTCTAAACCGAAGACAAATACCGAGAGAACGAAGATAAGCTTGTGTGCTGCAGGTCGAAGCTTAGGTTGAATATCACAAAAGAATGTAAAGGCATTCAATGCCACTGTTGAGAGCCTGCCTGTTAGACATCAGATTACTCCTAACATGTTTCTAGGTGAATGACAATCTCTTACCACCGATCAACGCTGACTGCAAGAAGGGAACAATCGCTCGTATCAAACCAGCGATGTTTCAAATCAATAGAAGCCTGAATTCCACTTTCATATTAGAATGCGTCCTTGTGTTGCCAGCCAGACCTTTGAGCACCGGCCTCAACCCACTATCGATTGAGAGTAGGACTGGACAGAGGTATAGAACCGTACTCACAGTAGTCGCGAAAGGAGAAGGAAAAAGAGAAAGGAAGAGCCTCAAGCTCTTCGAGCAGAAAGAGAGTCGCGAGTGTCGCAACAAAGAAAGAGAGAGGAAAAAAGAGAAGAAAGGGACAGGGAGGAGTCAACGGCAGACAGCCACGCCCAGAACGGCGCAACAGTCAGTCTCTCCTAGAACCAGCCCCGAAATAGATTAAACCCTGGTCATATTTTTTACGGGAGCAAGCGAAGTCACCAGGCCCGTAGTGGAGGTCGCTTTCACACCGCGGGCCAGGTACGGAGTAGATAGATTAATTTTGAGGGGGCTCGGACGGCTCCTGGTAATCTCAGGCGACCATGGGGCAAGCAATTCGAAATTCGAAATCGTCAAGGAGGTTTCAGGTCGCTACACATCTAGGCCGGTACCCTTGTCAACTGTGGGGGACTGGGGCCGAGCGCACGAATCCCGATCTCGATGCTCGCCAGTGGGGTGCGTTCCAGGAGGTGCCAGGAGCTTAGTCTCCGACGCTACGTCTCACGTTGAGGGGCGCGTTCGCTTAGTGCGGCCAATGTGAGACGTCAAGAAAGTCCATTGTTTTGAACATGGAACAATCATCCGTAAAGAGTCCATAGATATCACAGCCAGCGGGAACAACTGCGGAGAACTCTGGGAGTCACCCAGTGGAATATGACATCGAACTCCAGAATCCGAGTCCCCAGCTGGGCCATGGTACGTACAGTTGAACAATCAACCCATCGTATAACCCCGGGCCTTCATACTTCTTTTAGGTTGGAGGTTCGGAGAATTTCTCAAGGCGGAAAAGTCGGGTGAAATATAATGAGAAGGCTGGCACTATCTATACCGCCAGCTCGTCTAGGGCGCCTTGGGGCCATCCTAGTATAGTATTCCGCCTCGCACTTATCCACCACAGGTGGTCCCATGAAGGAAAGGGGTGTTAAGCGACCCAGAAAAAAAAAGAAATAAAGTGGGGAAAAAGAGAAATGCAAATGCAGAATCTGGGCAATGAAGAAACGGGGTCCTTCTCTTCACTAATCCACCGTTCGTGAAGCTGCAGAGCCGTGGAGCTCCGTTACCCATATTTCAGCCTCCCATCTTTGGTCCAGCCGGATCGTCGCACACTTGTCCAAACAGGGCCGGTGATCCGGTTCTATCGACGCCGTTTTGTGCCATGCCCACCATGTGGCATATGGCCGGGAGCTGCCGGATGTTCTCGACTGCGGCTTAGTATAGTTGGTATGTTTAGCACGGAGTATACCCCTGTAGCTACTCGTACTCCGTGCCGACGGAGTAGATCAGGGAGAGCTTGTTTTCTCCAATGGCTCGACCCCAAATTCCTTTCGTAGCTTGGTAATTCTCTGCTCCAGGGCTCGCATTTCCACAACCACGCCAGCTAGCTCGGGCACTTGACTCTGGGTTGCCTCTGTGAACGATCGCTGGGCATTGCGTAGCGAGGCCGGCACTAGGATCCCGTACCAATGGATAGGATCGTCCGAGTGGAACTTTTTCTTAGGCGCATTAGACTCAGTGGAAGATTGAGTCTCATCACTGGTCTCCTCAGAGCTGGATTCCTTCGCGTCTTCTTCTTGGCTGGGCGGCGCAGGTGCTTCGGTTTGTAGGTGCTCGGTCGTTGATGAGGTACTTTCCTCCGTCTCAGTTGTCTCCTGCGATTCATGCTCGGGCGTACGCTCCAATATACGGTTCAAGGCGAAGTTATACTCAATCTCGGGCGCTGGGGTTTGGGATTGTGCTGCATTTTCCGAGTCCTCCTGGTCTTTTGTCACATCCTCATCTTGTTCAGTTCGGATCGAGCTATTCATTTGGCACGTATTAGCCCACCAGAATCCCTAGTTCCAGGGTATTTTGAGAATTCGCCCACATTTTTCGAGTCGCCTTCATCCTCTCATCGTAATAGTCGGCGCCGTATCGTCGACCAGGAGGACAAGTGTAGTTTGCATGGGCCAGTGCCAAAAATCCCTTTGACCAACAATTAGCCTTCTGTTTAATCATATGGCATCAAAGGGGCATACCGAAGACAATTCCTTCGCCAATCCGGTTTGTAATTTCTGCTGGCGATCCAACAGATTTAGGTACTGCTCCAGCAAAACATCCAATGACTGGAGTAACTCCGACGAGTCCTCCGCGGGCTTCACTGCGGGAGGATCTGAGCCTAGCCGCGATGCGGGCGGCGTGGGTACTTGGATCATGGTGAATGAAGCAAGGCTGTAGATTGCAATTAAACCACGCAGAACGATATGCCGATCGATCGCGGGTACGGTGATAAGTGGTGGTGGTGAAGGAGGAGAAGCTGTGAGGAACGCGGAGAAGAAGCTCGGCCCCGGAAACTCCGTCATTTTGGCTCCGAACCCAAAAGAATTTCCCGCCCTGCGCTTCGGCATCAAACACTCTCCCCCATCCTCACCCTCGTCCTCTCCTCATCCACTCCCACCTCACCCCTGGGAATCTACTGTACATCAGCACTCTCTCGTTTCCCCTTATCAAACTCGGCCGACCGAGCATTTGGACTTAACCCTGAGCCACGATCTGAACCTGTGTCTGAACCGCCACCTCCGCAACCCCGATAACCAGAACCGCATATTCCGTGGACCACCTACGACGTCAGGTCTTGTCTGATTATCAACGGCTCCAAGCGATCTCTCTCGCCTCACGCACCTTTATCACTATCAAATCATGTCTGTTGCTGCGCTGCACCGTGATACCGCCTTCCAGGCGCGGTCTCTGGTAAGTCATTCATCCCAGGCTTCTTCCATATCACCGAATATGCGATGCAATCCTCAAGCGAGCCACCAAACTCGATCGCAGTGGGCTAATTAACTCATCTACTTCTACAGTTCCGCTCTCTTCTGCGAACCTCGTCGCAGTTCTCCAACTACAACTTCCGTGAATATGCGCGTCGGAAAACGCGAGATATGTTCCGCGAGAACCAGAATGAGTCGCAGGAGCGCCGGATACAAGAGTTGATGCAGAAGGGTCTGCAAGATTTGCGTCTGTTGAAGGTTAGTCTTTCATTATCGGCTTGTTGAGTCGGCTACCGCTCAGCGAGGCTCGGCCAATGCGATCTGGATATCGAAATGGCTATGCCACTATGTCTTCCGTCTACGCTTACGTTCAGAACAAATAACGAATCTCGATGCTAATATTTCTTCGCAGAGGCAAACTATTATCAGCCAGTTCTATCAAATGGATAAGTTGGTGGTGGAGGGCCAGGAGACAGTAGGTGCTCTTTGAAGCAGAGAGATAAGACCTTTGACCTAATACGATGAAATCCAGGGAAAGGAGACAGGAGACCAAGGTGGCATTGTTCGCCAGAAGGAAACTGGGTACGTTCCGCTCACTTTTACCGAGCCATGGGGCTTGCATCGATCATTTACGCTTGAGAGATACTGACTCATTCTTCTTCAACAGCTGGAACTGAGTCATTGGAAGTACCAAGTAAACCTGCAACTACTTCTGTCTCACGGAGTACCTAGCGTGGCAATATGATGGAGAGTACAATTGGACTGGATTCTTTTCTTCTGTATTTATAGTGTATGTGCCGCTTGACGGCCAAATTCATTGATCGCCCAGAATACAACACCTCTCCTCTTTGTTGCAACTTGAAATTAGTACCCAGGTGGCCTGCCAAGTCAATCCTCAAGTATCCCATGCTCGGTAGTTCGTAGCAGTAGTTCGTAGTTGTAAATCACCCCGATCTGTAAGAATCGATATCACGTGACAGTCCCTGTCGAGATCGCCCCATTGCAACGCGACCGACTCCAACGCTGCCTCCACCCTCCGCCCATCCGCGTTCTTGTTCGTCTCAACTTCGGACCATTTGCGGTGTATACTTAATCGGAGGACCTACAGGGGAAATAGACGGGCCACCCGGCTGTTCACTATGCCTTCCGCAGTACGTCTAAATTGTGCCCGCGATCCTTACCCATCCCCGTCTCCCTTCTCGCGAGCTATGGGATGCCAACGCAACATACAATTGAGAGCAATCAATTGCAATTGACGTATCAAAATGAAATTATCCTGCTAATATTCTAGTATAGTTCAGATCTTCACGCTCCGGGCGCCAATTAGATAGCGCTAGTCGCTCTAGAAGCGCAATCGACCATGATGTCTTCGAGGGTTTGCCCGTCCGCCGCTGGTCGCGCCAAGTGCAAACTACCTCTCAAGCACCTAAGACCGAGGAATCCGATTTCAGCGTCCAGGGCCCTGGAGGAACCCCCGCGCTCCCAGAACTAGCCATGCCACGCGACAGCCAACTTCTCCCTGCCGCCAGCCGCGCCCTCCTTCGAGCCGCCCGCGCAGGTTGCATCTATGTTCGCCAAAGCGGTCGAGCTACAAAGGAGGAAGAACAAAACGCCGCAGCAGCAGAGGATCAAGCAAACGCCAACGCACACATGGCTGATCGCAGTTTCACCAGTCGCAAGTGGGCGAATCACCCAAAGAATTTGGAGCCTCCCGAGCTCGAATTCTTGGCGAAGCGTCGCCCGGGGTTGCCGTCCCTTTACGGTGGCCCTGTTAGCCTGGATGGAAGCTCTGGTGTGACCCCGGGCCCGATGCGACGAACCAAATTCCAGAAAGTCGACCCGGTGACTGGCAGCATCTCGATCTACGAAGCTTGGGTCCCTGAAGGACATCGCATCGAAGGCGAGGTTACTGGAGATATTCAGACTATTGTGGCACAAAGCGAGGTGCCCGTCAAGCCCGAGGCGCCTGCCCCCGGCACACTCGTGGAAGGCGTGGGAATCGTCAATTCGGAAGGTGTTGTGGTTGCGGAGGCTAGCTCTGCTGCAGTCGTTAATCCCAACAAGCGACGACCGCCTCCTCCCAAGCGCAAGGGCAAGGGTACTGGCAAGGGCCGAAAGAAGAAGGTCATGTTCGCCCCGGGTGAGGGCGCTGATGCTGCTACAGTGCATGGTGTGGCTCCCAGCGCCGGGGGTGGCACCGATGCCGCCAAGGTCGGTCAGGATGGCTTACCCATTCCGGCTGGTCAGGATGGTCAAGAGGGTCAGGATGATGATGACGATGAGGGTGATGACGGTGACGAGAGTGATGAGGGTGATGAGTCTATGATTGACGCAAAGACGCCCGAAACTCCTTTGCAACAGTCCCTTGACGAATCTACCGAGCAACAATCAACCAGCACTCCGGCCGATCAAGATAAGGATGTCGAGATGAATGATGCTGCTCTCGAGTCACAACCTTCTGTCTCAGAGCCCTTGTCTGCTGAGCCGCTACCACCCACCCCGGCTGTTTCTCAAGTTGAGGCTACTGGACAAGAAACCGAGGCATCTCTTTCTGCAACACCTGCTCCTCTTACTGGGCAGATTGAAGAGTCCGCGGCCGAGACTATGGAATTGCAGGAGCCTCCCAAAGAGGTCTCGCCTCCAAAGGAGACTATCGCGGCTACCACTGATTCCGATAGCAACATAAGGGAAGCAGAGGAGACAGTACGAAAGGAGGAGCCGCTTGATACACCATCCACTTCTCTTCCTGCCGAGGAAGATGTTAAAGAATCCCCCGCAGCCGAGAAACAAAGTCCCGCTGCTCCAGATGCCCCAGCAAACGAAATCCAAATAGACTCTCAATCAGTCAAGCCCGAGGAAAACACACCTACTCTCCCTTCTCCCACTCCCGAGGAGAAGCCTCCGGCCCCTGTCCCTTCTGAGGAATCTCCAGCACAGACAGAATTGGAAAATATTGCCGAAGACATTACCCAGCCTCCGGCCGAGTACCAGACTATCGAGCAACCAGAAACTTTGCCGAATGTGCAGGAAGAAAAAGAGCCTGTCAATACCGAGATCAGTCAGGATTCCGTGGAGGAACACAAAGATACCGACATGGCCGATGTACCCAACCCATTAGCAGACAACGAGGTAGTCGCAGAAGAACCCGTCGAGCTGTCAGAAAAGCCAGCGTCTCCTTCAGTGCCACAAGCGCCGACTGAACCAGAGTCGACTGAGCCGACAGTCGAGCCTACTCCTACCCCTTCAACTGCAGAAACCCCAGCCCTCGAGGCCTCCGTGCCTGATCCGTCGCCTCCCAGTATGCCAACCCCCGCAGAGCCAGAGGCAAAGGAAGATGTGGATTCTATACCAGCGTCGGCTGGCGTTGAAGATCAGGGTGAGCCTGTACAGGAAGCAGAGCCAGAGGCAGAGGCTAAGAAGGAGGAATCAGAGGCAACCCCGGCCCCGGCCGCAGACGCAGATGCAGATCCAGCTGCGTAGATCTGTCTTCGATTTGCAGAATTCGTCGTTGTTCTATTCAATTCTTGTAATGTATCTAAATCTTGCTTTTGCGGATTGGAGTTTAGTCGGAGTAGGGGGAATTTTCAGGTGTACACTTTTAGGCTGGGAATGGACATCGGATGAATACATTAAAGTACTAAACTAGTATACAACTTGAAGGTAGTCGTACTATCTAGTAGTAGCGTTGCAGTTTTGACTTGAACCTTGGATGATCAAGAAGTGATAGATCTACTACCTAGAGGTAATTTTCAAAACCTTGCAAGGTTGGAATATATAAATTTTCTCGGGGTTTCTTGCAAATATTCAAACCGAAAACCAATGCACGACCATCATGGTGGAACTTCCAACTTGAAGGTCCCAAGGTTGCACGCCTTGAAACTGAAGAGATTTCCTTGCGGCACTCATTCTACTTCAAATCAGTAATACTAGCAATGGACTAGTCCTGAGTTCATTCTTTCCAAGAGCTCGATTCAAATCTTATACCTAGGTAGGTAGCGGTAACGATCTACATACCCAGTATCAGAAGCTACCAGTGGTGTTGTAACCGTTAATATAACTCAGTAGTCTACTAGGTAGTAGTAGTAGTAGTAGTAGTAGTAGCTACTGGTACTCCCCGCCTATGACAGCTCGAATCTTCCAAGGTTCCGAGTAAAGTTCCAAAGTTGAACTGGAGGTGACCAACTCCGAAGACACCGGGACATACATTACCATCTGCATATAAGTATTATACCAAATTCCTCACCAAAGGAAGACCCCAACAGACACTGACACCGAAAGATTGAATTTGAAAATTTTCATTGAATTGGATATTGAGCCCAGTTACACATGGCACACCAATCTCGTCTCCACCGACTCAGAGACCCAGCAAGAACAATCCATCCACCACGCACCAAAAAGGAGGGAAGAAGAGCAAAAGAAAAGAAAATAAAATAAAAAATAGAGACATAAAACAAGGGACACAACCGTAGACATTGCGCAGAATTCAAATCGAGGCCGAATAATCAAATCAACTGAGTTGCAGGACGCAAGAAACAAGAAAAGAAAACACCATGCAAGACAAAAACACCCAAGGGAAAAACCAGCCTATTCTCACGTGCAAGGGGAAGTGGGCTAACGAGCAAGAAATAAAAATAAAGAATAGGGGGGGGGGGGAGGGAGCATAGCTCGCACGAATCGGAAGGGGTGGGGGAAATCATCCAGGACGAGAAGAGGCCACCTGGGATTATGAAGATTAAGGTAGAAGTGTTGAGTGAAAATAAAACACCGATCGAGGATCTCTGTTATCGAGTTGAGTTCTTATGATGATGAGGATGTGTGTGTGGCAAGGTCGTTGAGAAGCTTGACAGTTCGGAATGATCATGATTCGACTTGACAGAGGATCAAAGTTGAATCCAAGAGAAGAGAAGAGAAAATAAGAAGAAGAGTAAAACTGGTCGCACATCGGATCGGAAATGAGGCATTCGGCGTAAGCAAGTGAAACTGGGATCAATATAGGGCTTGTGATATTGATGGTCCTGACCAAAAATCATCAAATGGCCCTGCGCAATGCTTTATTTTTTTTTTTAGTTTTTCACATCATTATGCTGATCGCTTTGCGCCCTTTACGGTGCGAACGACATTCTTGACTGCTTTCTTCATGCTGCTGCCCAGCCCCTTGGCTTTCGCGGGACTCTTAGCTTTTGCCGGGCTCTTACCTGTAGCATTATTTGCCTTGGCGGGGCTCTTCACGGGACTCTGGGCTGCGAGAGCCCGTTTCAAGAGAGTCTTTTTATAAGGGCCCCTTTTAATGCCAGTCTTGTCTTTCTTGGGTTTGGCTTTGGGGGCCTGGGGGGGTTGAACCGTCGGCAAGGGCAAGAATCTTCTTCTTCGTCGCGGCAGATGGCCGCTTGAGCTGGGAAGTACTCTTCGCCGGCGATTTGGGCATCGCTTTCTCAGTCTTCTCGGTCTTCTTTTGTGAAGTCTTAACAGTGGCCTTGACTCTTGATGCTGGCTTGACATTCGGAAGCTTAACAGGCTTCTTCTTGGCCGGCGAAGCGCTCTTGGTCGCCTTGGAGGCAGTCACTGATTTCTTAGTTGTAGCCTTACCGCGGGCGGTGGTTGCTTTCTTGATGACCTTTTTCAAGCCGGATTTGATGGACTTTGGCAGCAACTTGCGCTTCTTTCCTGGAGCCGAAGAGGTTTCGGTTGTTTCAGACAACTTTCGCTTGGTGCCGGTGGTCTTTGCGTTCTTTGCGTTCTTCGGAGTTGCCGCGTTCTTGGTCTTCTCATCTACTCCTTTGGGGCGTTGATCCTTGTCCTTGGGTCGGGGACCGAGGATACCGCGACAGTTATCCGCGCCACAGCGGCATTCTTGGACGTTCTTGTTGGAGTACGGACTAATGGCATGTTAGCAATGCCTCTATGAACCCCCGAGCCGACGCGCAAAACTCACTCAAAGTTATAGTCATAACTCAATTCTTGCCCCGTCATGACCCCACGATCGCCTGCGAACAGGGCCATGCGCGGCTTTCCAGCAACCGTCCACTTCTCCATGCGGCAGTTAGGCTCGCAGGAATGGTTGACAAAGCGAGCAATCGAGCCCCGAGTAGCATCAATGATCATGTTCTGATCAAAGTACATCAGATAGTAGCACTGAGCCACCAAATTAGCCATTATTCAAAGCATTGCAAATCAACCAAGTTTCATACCTCATTGTTCTTATACACTGCCCTCATCCGCCGTTCACACTCAAACTGTGTGATGATCTCTCCAGTGTACTCGACAATAATCTGATTTGGCTCGAAGGAGCGATTGCTGCGCACGCCGTATCCGCGATCAGATGTCTTGATCACTTCGACTCCAATGTTGTACTTGCCACCAGCCTTCGTCCTGTGCTTGAGCTCACTGAAGTTGCGGTTTCCACACTCAGGACCGAGTCTGCAGTTACCGCCATCACACTCGTAGAACATGTAGCGATTTTGGCAGTTCTCGTCACAGCCGGTGTCCTCGTCGCACATGCAAGTTGACAGTTCCAGGTTCTTGTTTGCTCTCCACTCGCTTGCGGCATCGCCAACAAAAACGTCTAAAGGTAGGGTTAGCTTAAGGGCTATCTGGGCATTCCGTCAAAATATAAAACTTACTTTTGTTGGTCTTGCGCCATTCATCCGGCTTAGGCTGGCCTGGTGGGAGGGGGGGAAAAGATATCGAACGGAAGTCGATAATCTCTGCCATTCTTCACAAGACGCGAGCCAGCAAACATAGGCATGGGAAGAATGCGCCGGTTTAGAGGACCAGTACCTGTCTTCGCAGAATTCTTGCTTTGGCGTTGTTTGGGAGGCGAGTCAGATGGCTCTTGACCCGTATACAGCCCGTGAGTAACCCATCGCTTAGGCTTATATTTCGGAGTAGCCGGTTTAATCTCTTCTTGCGGCGGAGAAGGCTCCTTCTTTTGTAGTTTGGAAACATCGCTTTCAGAGACACGTCGCTTCTTAGGCTGGGGTGCCTCAGCTGCCGGTGCGGGCGTTTCTTCCTTCGGCGGTGCCAGGGTGCGTGGGCGAAGACTGGCGCGACGACTGACTTCTTTTTTGTTATCGCTGCCCTGGCCCCTCTGACGCTTGCCCAGAACACTGCTGGTTCGCTCCAAGATATCGCTCGCTTTCTCTACCAAGCTCAAACGGGTTGAGCGTCTCATAGATCCCCGAGATGCGCTCTTGGGGGTCGCTTTCGGTGTTTCCTTCTCGTCATCTTTGCCCAGTGCCTTCTCGACACGTTGTCGCAGGGTTCGTTGTTGAAGCGGGGGATTCAGTTCGTCCGAGACGGGTTCTTGCGAAGAGTTCGAAATGGGCGTTTCGGGGACCATTGACTGGTCATTGGCGAGTGTATCAACATCTGGTAGCGCGGTTCCGTTACGGAGAGATGACTCCATCACGGCGATGCTATGGCGCAATGAGGAACGGGAACGCTTCGATTTTGCCAGGCTATCAACATAGGCCTGGCTAGATGCGGTTTTAGGCTCGTTGTTCTTGACTGGCGTGTTGGCCAGAGACTCAGTTGCTTGTAGCGATGCGCGTACCACCCGTGTCGATCTCCGCCGGCCGGCGAGTTTTTCATCTGTCGACGCGTTTTCATTGTTGCTGGAGGTCTCTGAACGACTGTTCTCGGGCGTGAGCAGCTGTTCTGGCACGTCGAGGCCCATCGTGTCTTCGGGGGTCTCGTGAGATGAGACGTCGGGAAGTGCGGGAGTCGCGGACGTGGAGAGTCGGGAGGTTCGGCGCGACATGGTGGGAAACGGGGCCTAGATTGTGAGATAGGCGATTTCCACACGTGAACTAGTCGACCTTGCTCGAGGTGGGCGGGTGAGGGGAGTGGAAGCCGGGGAGTATCAGGGGTGGGAAAGTTGGAGATCAGCAGCCGCGCGCCTCTTATCACTTTGGGGCGATGAGGGATATTAGCATGTCTGACGCGTGCAACATCAACTTGCCCGTTTGGCCCGACCAGGACTGCGCAGGCTACTCCGTAGAATTGTTCAAATAATTTTATTTAGGTACAAGGGTGAAAGGGTGAAATGAATTACTTGACAATCCACGAAGAGTCGTTGGAATGCCGAAAGTTGGTTATCAACACGCCCCTTCTGGCTACGCGAGGGGTTTTCACTTATGAAATTAAATTGGATAAAATATCGGATTAGATTTTAACTGGCTGTCTCACACAGACACAGGGTATTGAGCTATCTCCATCATAGGAGAGAGAGGAAGGAAAAAACACGAATGAAGATAAGAGAAAATGTTCAAGGGCGACCCGAAGAAGATGGAGGGGCAGGTAATAGTAGCAGGACATTTGACAGCATGACTGAAGGCTGTTCAAGGTCTGAGAATCGTAATCACAAAGACGTGTGGTAAAATATGGAAGAAGAGGAAAAGACGCCAAAGAATGCCGGCGGGTGAAGTAGAGGTCAGACAAAAGTAAACAAGGAAACATGACAGGAAGATGTCGGTGTAAAGATTAGCAGCCATTAAAAGAGTAAATGGGAAGAGAGAGGTTGGACATGGTGACCAGAAAAGAAAAGAAAAAAAACAAATCATATCGTCTTTAAGGGTCGTAGCAAATGTGTCGAGACAAGACATTCAGAGATCGCTTTTGGTTGGGAAAAACTCAGCCCTACTGAGCAGGACCAACATGTTGCATCTCGATGCCTGCTTGGGATTCGACATCGCGGGGGAGGTATTTGCGCTTTTGCATAGCGTAGCGCTGGTCCCCTTCTAAATAAGGCTGCTTGAATTGCATGTAGGTGGGCGGTCGGGGGCGGCCGAGAACCGCGATCCAATTCTTCAGAACATTGCCCTGAGTGAAGGGCCGATGACGGTCCGTTTTCGCAAACTTGTGGGAATTGAGATACTCTCTTGTGGTTTCACCTCGGCCAACCAAAAACAAGTGGTATGCCCAGAGGGATGTCGGGTACGGGACTGCAACGATGCCGTAGATAACCATAGCCCAGGGTACTCGCCATTTGGATATGGCAGACCCAAAGGAAATGTCCTCGCGTGACATGTAGACGAGGATATGCGCGAGGCTGGCCCCGATCAAGAATAGGGAGAGAACCGTACACGAGCTGACGAAGGCAAAGAAGTATCGATAGTTGCGGCGGCCAACGCAGTTGTTGAGCCACACGCAGTGGTGGTCAAGCGTTTCAACACAATTGTCACAAACACGGCAGTGATAGCAGCGGGGAGGTCGCCAGATATTGCAAGTCTTACAAAACTTGACGGGAACGTCCATGGCGGCCACCTCAGAGGTAGCAAGTTTGACCATCACCCAGTCATTGGTTGGTGGGCCCAAGGCCAACGGGTCATCTGATGGTACTGTTGGAGGCATGGAGTGGGCATTTCGAGGCATGATACCGGGATCAACAACCGAGGCGTGCACGAAGGACGAGAAACAAATGTAAAAAACGTATCCGAACAGAATTGGAATTGCCGGGGAGATGTTGTGCCACAGCCAAGGAGCCGAAAATGCGAAGAAAAGGGCCGAAGGAACGACGACCAAGAGTCCAGTAGCAATATTGATGGGCTTGTCCCTCGAGTTTTGGAATCTTCCACCACCGCAAAAGAGCGTGTTACCGGTGAAGTATTCAAAGTTCTTGCCAAGATAACTCCGAGGGAGTCGCTGCTGCTTCGCGTCAAGAGCATTGGGAGATGAACAAGCCGATGAAAGTGGCTCATGACCACGGGTATCGTGGCCATTGTGTCCGTGGCCCTTGTTTTGCAATGAAAGGAAAGATAACGGAGATTTCGGAGGTGCGTCTTGCCCCGAATGTCCATTGTAGGTTGGATTGAGGTTCAAATGACCGGGGTGTGGCTTGTTCCTTTGATCTCGATCGCGGAGAAGTCTGACACTATCGCCGAGACTTCGTATCGTCGTATGGCCCGTAGGGCTGGCATTGGAGGTATTGCGATCTGGGATAATAGGATCCGTAAACTCGGTGCCCCGCGACGGTGGAACGTCTTGTTCCACTGTTGGCAGGGATTGCGGGACCGTGCTATTCGATATGATACTCCGGCGGTTTTGGCTATTGTGATCTGCCCATTCGTCCGTCGAGGAAACTGTGCCTTTGGTCATTGGTCGCGCACCTCGGTGTGCTTGAAGGCGCTGCGAGCTCATCGGGCGGAAGAAAGCTTGTGCGGTTAATGTTGGGATATGCGTGCGACTCAATCGACTCCCCGAGCTACCGGGTCTGCTGGTCACAGAGTTTCTGGTTGGCGGTGGGCCCCGTCTCAGATCCCGAGGGGCGCGTTTGATGGGTTTGATGTTGTGAAGGAGGTGGCGACGCAACGGATGGCGAGATTTCTCCATCTTCAGAGGCCATGTCGGTCACACGGGATGAAATTCCTCCCACTGATGGTGGCCGAGGAATTCCCAGCACATGCTGGCTCGCCTCGCCGGTGTCGGGACGGTCTGTGGTGTTCGACATTGTATTTTATTACGGCAGAGTATGTCGTGTCGGCTAGTAGGAAGTGCACGCAAGCATACTGCCCTCAACGGGTGACGAATAAAGGTTCTGGGGAAAAAAAAGCAAGGCGACGGCAACCGGCAGACGGAATCGAATGAATCGCGTGTGACTGATGTGACTGATCAAACCGGGGGGCGAGAAAAAGGAGCGACGGGAGGTTGGCGATGAGGTCTTAAAGAGTGACTAGCATGCAGGATACTATAAAATTATTAGCATAGGAGCTTCTAGGGAGCTGATCAAGGCTCTCCACGCGTGAAACGAAATCCGGGGCAAAGGCAAGATCCCGAATCGGGAGACCCCTGATCAGCATACCAAGATCGAAGTCTGGCAGTCGCACTCACCTTTCCGAAAGTGACAATAGAAATGACACAAACAATGAAGAGTACCCAATTACATCACCAACGGCCGTAGGACCGTAGAACCACAGAAAAGGAGGCGGGATTGTCGACAAACACAAGATCCGAACCAGCGGGCGAGAGTCGCAAATCCAGGGTTGGCGGTTGGTCTGTCCGTTGCTGACTCATGCAAACACGTGACCGTAGCCACCCACGCAGAGGAGCAGTGCATGACATGATTCTCCCACGACCTCCCCAGTCTTTCGCGCTCTCCTCTCTCATCCACCTACGACTTGCCACAACCATGTCTTCGATCGCTGCTCTGGCTACCCGCCGGGCTCTGACCCGCCAGCCTATCTTCCGCGCTCCCCCGCGCCGCTTCGTCTCCTCCAAGGTCGAGGAGGCCAACCTCGACAAGGGAGCCAAGAAGGACCCCGAGCTCTACGTACGACCACCGACCTGCCATTGAACGTGCAATTAAAACCCCCGAAGCTAATCCTTACGACTATAGGTCCTCCTCGGTGTCATGTCTGGTGCTTTCCTCCTCGCCGGCTGGTAAATATGATCCTCCCACGCCCGACAACCCGAATATTCCCGCAGCGAAATGATAGTGCCACACTACGTGCGATACCAGGGCGCGCATAATGCTGTCATTCCCCTACCACAATGCTTCAGAAATACTCGAGTTCCAAGCGCAATGACTGACCGGTCGGCTCTTCTGCTTTTTTCAATAGGTACTTCGGCAGCAAGCCCACCTCCGTCACCTCCGAGGCTAGCAACGTTCGCATCGGCGAGAGTGCTATGCCCTGGCACGCCGCCTCTGAGGATGGCAAGATGTACAAGTATCAGTACCACCCTCACGGTGACAAGAGCCAGCCCCTCCGTGCTGCTCCCAGCGCCATGAACACTGTCATTGTCCCCAATGTCGCCCTCCCCGAGGTATGTCATGCCACCTTTTGCAGATCCCGCCCCCATCCATCCTGCTCCGATTTGTAATGAATTGAGAGCTACACCCCCTATTGCGAAGAAAGCTTGACTAGTAGTGAAGTGGGATGGTCCATCCCACTTCACTAGTCAAGCTACATATGCATATGCCACAGCTTGCTAACTCTCCTTTCACAGGACCTTCACGAGAGGTTCAACAAGTACGGCAAGGAGGAGTGGGACTACTAAATCTGTCTGTCTGCTTGGAGCTTTCCCAAAACATGTTGTGAGGGCGAACCGCCGCTTATGCGGTTACCTGTTGTACACTAAGACCACGCCGTGGGCAAGGAGGTAGTAGAGTGCGTGGACTTATGATTGCGATTAACCGGGGATTTGTGCATAGTTACCCGCTGTTCAGATAAAGTCAATTTTGGAATCGGTGTCTTTTTTTCAGCTTATATCCTTTCCAGTCCTTTCGTATTATCACCAGAGACTAGGTCGACGTTTTCGTTTTCTTATCTTCTTTAAACCCTTTTTTTTGGACTACTAGTGCTCGGTACTCCGTCTATCGGCCGGAAATGGACAATATAAACGCTCATCACATTCTTCAAGTTTGGAGATTCAATATTCTAACAAGAAAAAAAACTAGTCACCGTGAAAGAAAACTTCATTCCGATAAACAGTCATAATACACAATTGTGAAGATTTTCTCTCTCCGAGTCAATATTTCTTTCTACCACGTACACCCAAAACCAAAACCCTATCAACCGAACTTATTATTTAGTAGCTTCATTGCCCTCACTAGCAGGGCTGGGGACAGGCTCATTGGGCTTCTCGACCGAGCGCTCATTACCACCGACGACGGAGGCAGGGCTCTCAGGAGCGATCGAGTCTTCCGCATTCGAGCCGGTCTCGGGGTTCTGGCCCTCGACGTCCGGGTGTGGGGGCGCAAGTTGACCGTCCACGATGGGGATCTCCTGCGCGTTCTCGAGGCGCTTGGATTCGTAGCGGGTCTCGAATTTGACCTTGCCCTCGGAGCGGAGCGAGGAGACGAGGGATTCGTCTAGGATGTTACCGTTTTGATCGCGGTACTCAACGCGAGCCATGGAGCCGGATAGCTTGGGCTCGGTCACTGCGGCTTGGTCCTCGTCCTGGGCGGCGTCGACGGGGTCCTGAGCCTTATTGACGGGTGGTGCGGCGGCCTGGACGGCGGGGGTGGTTGGGACTGCGTCGAAGCGAGGCACGTCCGTGATATATTGACTCAACTAAGAATTGATTGGTTCCATGTCAGCCATGGGATGTCGCGGGTTTGATTTGTTTTGGGAAGTTTTTTCTCAATATCCTCGGCGGGGAGGTTGCCATTCCGGAACACTTACGTCGGTGTGAAAGGTGTTGCAGTTGAAATCCCAAGTGCTCAGGAGTTTGGAACTCTCGCAGGCGGACTGGGTCCAGGGGTTTCCGTAAACCAGGGGGGAGTAAAAGGTGAAGACAGCAACGCTGAGACCAAGGAAGGCAGCCATCACGGCCTTTCCAATAATAGGCTTAGAGGTGAAACCCAGGCTTTTGATTCGGTTGAAGACAAAGTCAAACTCTTGGCAGAAGACCATAATGGCGAAGTAGAGGGCGGGGAGATAGTGGTGCAGGAAGAGCTGACGGGCCATGAGGTAGAATGGGAAGTAGTGGAAGAACCATCCCAGCACGGTGGTGCCAATCTCGTAGTCGAAACGCTTGAAAGAAACGTGGTTGTAGTCACCACAGCTTCTCTGCCAGCGCAGGACTGAGATGGCCTTCACAACGAAGTAGATGCCAATGGCAGCGGTGGACGACCACCAAATGAGAGGGTTACCAATAAGATAGATGTGGCGGTGGTCCTTGCCCCAGAAGTTGATACCACGGAGAAGAGTGGGCCAAGATGGAGGACGAGAATCCCAGTTGTGGGATTCGACCAAGTTGGCGTTCGTGGTCCACATCACCTTCTGCAGCTCCCAGAACTTACCCAGGAAACCGGGGTTACGGTAGTTGACCTTCTCGGCATCCTCGGGCATCATAGGATGGGCATTGGACTCGACAATCCAGACGCTGTTGGGTAGAGTACCACCGCGAGCGCAGGTGACTTCCTGTTGCTCGTATCCCCAATCCGGAAGCTTGACTCTGTGAGAGAACAGAACGCAGCCAGTCATGACGTGCACAAGCTTGAACTTGGTCTGAATGGTGCGGAGGCGAGTCTTGGCCGCCTCGCCCTCAGACATGCTCTTGATAATCTCGACCTTGAACAGATCGTTCGCGTCACCGGGGAAGCCTTCGTAACCGTAAGCCGAGATCTCGAACTGCCAATCAGCCTCGGTCACTGGAGGACGCTCGTCGTGCGAGTGAATACGGCGGTGGGTAAGCTCGTGGTAGAGTCGGATAACCGATCCATCTTGGATCAAGCCGGCGGTTTGGTTGTCCCAAGCATACGGGCCTTCGATTTCTCCGTAGGGGCCCAGAGGCTGTGTCTGGTTCTCCATAATAAAGACGTTGTTCTCATCCTTGTGGGGGTAAAGAGTGACCTGCTGCTGCTTACTACCGGTGGGATACATGTGGTTGTGCGAGTGCAGATAGCCACCTTGGGTGTTGTGGTGACGAAGGCTGATACGCGAGCCAAAAGAAACATCGGCCGGAACGTCTTGCATAGCCTTGGAGTTCAACGTTGACTGGAACTCGGTGGACATGAAACCATCACCCTCACCGGGGTTGACCAGGCATATGAAGTGAATAGCGAACATGGCAAGGTAGAATCCAAGAGGAATAACAATCAGACAGAAGATACGAGCGAACAAGTGCTTGAACCACAGTCGCGGGGTCACTGTGCGGGTATCACCGAGCAAAACCCAGAGTTGGAGGGCCGTGAGAGAGCCCACCCAGGCCATAGTGAAGAGACCAACCCACTTGACACTGAGTGTAGCGCCCAGCGAAAAGCCCGTAGCGACCAACCAAAACCACCAGGGGCCCTTGAAGGCATGGGACGGTCCCATTTCTTGTTGATTGGTGAAGCAGTTGAAAGTAAGCGCCGTCAAAGCAGTGAAGAAAATCAGAGGAGAGTCCAGGAGAATCAATCGCGATTGGGTAGTGAGCGCATTGTCTAAATGATGGTTAGCTTCTTGCCCTATATCCTCTATCCCGGTACCTCGAGTTCAAACATACCGAAGATGACGATGCCAGCACCCAACACCGCAGTCACAGACCGGCAGCCGGTAGCCTTGAGGGTAAGAAACATCAGGGAGACGGTCAGGACACCCAGGATCGCCGGCAGCAAACGCATTGCTACATATGGGACACCGGGCTCCAGATAGTCCTTGCCAATGTCCTTGAAATCAAACTCTCCATCGAAGCCAGCCAGCCAGCCAGCCAGCGTGATCAGGAGTTTAGCAAGCGGGGGATGGACATCCATAAAGAAGCGACCTTTAATGTATTTGGAAGCGAAGCCACCGAAGTGAACTTCATCGAAGACAACGCTGGCAGGTGCATAAATGCGAAATAGACGCACGGCGGCGCCAATCAGCGTTACCAGTACCAGCAGCTTGTAGTCGGAAGCGGGGAGGTTGAGGATATCATATTCCTTGACGCCGTCTGACGCGTAGCTGGAGGGCTGTGTCTGAACAGGCTTGCGGTTCTTTGGCTTGGGCGAGCGACTCGGAGAGCGGCGACCGCGGCTCTGAGGTCGGACAGCCAGCGTATCCTTGGATTTCTGACCCATGATGGTTGATGGAATTCCCGGTCGATCGGGGGTATGTAGGAAGCTCGTGGCACGGAGCGGCGGGGGAGTTTGTAAGATCGGAGGAGAGGGGAGGAAATGTAAATTGGCTTGGTGGAGCCTAGATCGAAAGGACGCAATGGAAAAAGAAAAGTGGTCTTGAAATAGAACCAACAGTTGTTGAAAGCTTCAGGGCGGAGCTCTCACCAACCTCGCGGAGAAGAGGGAAGGCGAGCTGTTGGAGGGGGTTAGTGATCGTAGGTAGTTAAAAGAAAACCCATGACAGGGTCAGAGGAAAGAAAATAGAAAAAGCAAAAGAAAAAAAGATGATGGGAATAGAGAGTGGAAGAATGGACGCAAGCGGGACAAGTTCGTGAGGCCAGATCGACGGGAGCCACGAGAACGGAGAAGTTTACTAGTAGAACGTGAGTCCACCCGTTTTGGCCCCAGCCTGGCCCTCGCCCTGGCCCCTTTACTTAGTGCAGCCCGCATGTGCTAATTGTTAATTTTAGAATTTGCTGTCAATTGGCATTTTGAGTTTTGAATTTTAGAACAGTTATATATCTTCAATTGCCTAAATTGTATCTATATGCTGGTCAATGTCGGGAAATTTCTGTAGTACATACTACTAGTTACTTGCAGTGTATGCACTCCCACTGTTTACGGACTACCCCTGGCTTCATACATCGTACCATGCAGAGGAGCCGTCTGAGCAGGGACATTGCCCACTGCACTTACTACCATAATAAATACTTGAGTAAATAACCAATTGGGCCAATTGCACTTACTAGCGTTGAGGTATTATATCTAGTTTATAATATCTCAATCTCAATCTCAATCTCAATTCAAGTATAGCCAGACACAATCTCGCCGCATTCGGCGCGCCACAGTGCTGTGGCTAGTGCTGCCCGTTAGTGTGGCTGGTGCTGGTGATGTGGCTGCCATGCTTAGTCATACACGTCGCCGTCGCCGAACTGCAAGGCCGAGAAGAGAAAAAGATCCAGTTGACATCCCATTCCCCTCCATCCTTGTCATCATGGAGGCGTCAAATGGAAATACACCCCTTCCGGAGGATACGAACAAGGCTCCTGAGGGTGTCGTGGTACCCCCCAAGGATATTCGCGGTACTGTCTCTGCTCTTCCCCTTTGGCGCGACTGCGCAGCTAACCAGCTATTTAGCAATCGTCGAGAAGACCGCTGGTTACGTTTCTCGTAATGGCGCAGTGTTTGAAGGTAAATTGGCTCTCAATGCTCTCATTTTACTCTAACATACTCACGCGCAATTGTCCTCAGACCGTGTCCGTGATAAAGAGAAGAACAACCCAAAATTCTCCTTCCTCAACCCAACCGATGCCTACGCGAATTTTTATCAGTGGCGTCTGACCGAGATCAAGGAGGGCCGCGGCACTTCCGTCGCAGCTGGACGACCTGGCGAGGCCGTGCCGGCCGTTGAACCCGCAACTCCCAAGGGCCCTCCTGAGCCACCAAGCTTTCACTTCTCGGCGCGCATGCCCATGATCAATGCGCAGGATCTGGAGGTTCTCAAACTGACTGCAACATTTGTCGCCAAGCGAGGAAAGTCTTTCCTGACAGCACTGTCACAACGGGAAGCTAGAAACTCCCAGTTTGATTTCCTCCGGCCTCAGCACCGTCTGTACCAATTCTTCACGCGATTGGTAGACCAGTATACGATCTTGTTACGACCGGAAGGAATCGATGATGCCACGACAGAGAAGAAGAGAATTTCGGATCTGGAACGTAATGTCCAGGATAAATATAACACACTGGAGCGTTCCAAGCAACGCGCCGAATGGGTGAAGCACCAGGTGCAACAAAAGCAAAAGAAGGAAGAAATCGAGGAGCAAGAACGCATTGAATACCAGCAGATCGACTGGCACGACTTTGTCGTGGTCGAGACTGTGCTGTTCAACGAGTCCGACGATCAGTCCGAGCTGCCACCCCCAACCTCACTCGGAGACCTGCAGTCAGCTTCTCTCGAACAGAAGGCCGCCATGTCCCTCAACCCACTGCGCATTGAGGAGGCTATGCCTACCGATCTCGACGCACCCGTTCACTATAATGCCTACCCCGCCCAGCCTGAAGCCGCCCCGGTGATGCAACCCTCCGTTTCTCCTTATCCCGCACAAATGCCCTACCCACCCCCGGCAATGGACCCATCTATGCAGCACCCTGCTGCTGCCCAGTTTGAAGACCAGCGTGCTCGCCCCGAATCGCCAGCAACTGCGCCTGGTCAACCTGCGATGCGGATTCGCCAAGACTATGTGCCGCGAGCTCAAGCCCGCCGCCAGGCCAGCGCGATGGCGCTATGCCCCAACTGTCACCAACAGATCCCCGTCGCAGAGCTTGATCACCATATGCGTATCGAGCTGCTCGACCCGCGCTGGAAGGAGCAGCGCGCCAAGGCTGATTCCCGTAGTGCGACGACCAACCTTTCGACTGTTGACGTGGTGAACAACCTTAAGCGACTGGCTAGCCAGCGCAGTGATGTCTTCGATTCGTCTCTGGCGCCTAACGTTGACCCCGAAGAGGAGGCACGCCGCAAGCGCATGGCCGTTGGTGCTGACGGCTCATTGCCTCCTGGTGCTCCTGGACCGGCTCTTGGACCCGGCGGAGTGCCAACCCCGCAGAATATGAACATCGAAGATCAACTCCGACACATTCATCAGCGTGCCCGGCAATAGGCACTTTGTGATCGAACTTTTATCTTCGAATCTTTGTTCCCTTCCGTCGGAGTTTTAGGAGCGTCTTTTTTTTATTTTCTTTGATACTCCTCGCTTGGAGAATGGGCATTGGATCGGTGTGTTCTTTTGTATAATAGCTTGATCTATGTGATGCCCAAAAATATCCCACGAGGAACTTCCTCGGTTTTTTTCTCTGAATTATTACGCTCGCGTCCAATGGCCAATTGTGTAAACGTCGCCACAGTTCCCCCCTTTCTGGGCCAATTTTCTTATCATGGCAGACTTCGGGCTCTCGGGTTACTTCGTTGGCTTCAAGGCTATGTCCAGGCACTAATTGGGCATTGCCAAGGGAGAAAATACATGGTGGCGCAATCGGTTGTTCTTTGTGAGGGATTATTTGAGCCTCGTTTGCTTGTCTTCGGGAGAAGTCTATACTTCGATGTTCATATCCTATAAAATCAACCGATGCGGCCTATATACGGACCTCAATATCCACACAAAACAACGGAATAAGAAAAAAGAAGACTGCAGATTACCACCACCAGACTCTGCCACGCTCTAAATGAAGGAAATTGATTGCAAAAGTGGATCGGGGGTCTTCCCTACTCCACATGCGAGGCTTGGTGGCTCCAGCCTTGCAGCAGTGGCTCTCATGATAGGTCGATCAGCACTCTATTTTCACCTAAAATAGTGAGTGTAAAACTACTAGGTGAGCCATGACCACCGTTGTGACAGGTGTTTAAAGCTCTTTCAGATTTCACCCCCTTAAAACACTTACGACTCAGAGACGAATCATTTCTCCATTCTCCTTCACACAACAACCACCCTCTCCCCCTCTCCACAATGTCAAGCGTACCGTTCAACGCCGACCCAGACTCCGGTCTATCAAAGAATCACGAGCCCTACAAACGATCTCACAATACAACCAAGACCTGGACGATTGGCACCTTCTCGACGGGGATTGTCTCCGCAATCGTGGGCGGAGCTCTCCTCGGCGCATACTTTCGCGAAGCATGGAACAACTGCGAGGCCGCACGCAAGGCACTCGGCGATGAAAATTTCGACAATGTACCCGGGGGTGAGTGTATGGGTCCGGGCGAGTTATTTTGGGCTGGTGCATTCTTCATCGTGGTGTCTTGTGTTCTCGGTGTCTGTTTTATCGTCTTCTTGATACTCCACTGTACCCGTCGAGGCCGCAGAAACAGCCCGGGAGTAATGTATCACAGCGCCCCCGTCATCGATCAAAATTACGCTCAGCCTTATGATCCATATGCTGCTCGTCTCGCTGGCCCACCGCCTGCTTATCCTGTGCCGGTGACACAGTATGATGCTCAGTCGAATGCTCAGTCTCATTTTCCGATGGTTCAAGTGAATACACCATCACCTGTGCCGGAGCCAGAACCAGCTCATTACGATCCAAAGTCTCAATATCCGCCAAAAGAGAATGCTCCTGATCGATTCGCCTGATATTTTTCTGTTTTGAAATGTGAATGCTTTGGCTCAAATTACATGATCCCAACTGCGGTTGAGAAAGAGCAGAGCAATCGCGTCTCCGTGATGCTGGGGCTTGAAATTGCGCGGATTGGTAAAAGACCTCAAAATTAGATTGGTGATAGATCTTTCTTTATCTGCATGTTTCCTCTTTTATCTATCATTTCAAAAGCGCGCTGGATCGTTGTCTGTTAATACCCCATTCTTTTATGTATTATATTTTTCTAAAAGGGGATTTCTTTTCAAATGAATAAAAATGAAAGAGCACACTCGGAGTTCAATTCTTTGTTTGGTATAAGCCTTCTTTGTTTGATCAAGTCATTGATACTAAGCTCTGAAAAATAACACAAAGCCCATTGTGGCTGCTCGAGTCTGTGTCAAGAATCAATGACTCGGGGGTACTATTTAGTGGCCTTGAGTACTCCCTATCGGTACTTGAAATATTCAACAGCCCAGTATACCACCGACACCATAGCCAGTATATCTCAACCAGAGCATAAAATGTCTTCCTCAGACACACTTCATCGCATATTTGAAGGCGAACTGTATGACAATTGGTATCCCAACTCCCAGCGTGCGAACGATCCGGATGACGAGCCGCAGAGATGGAGGGTTGTTTTTATGCTCGAAGTATTGGACGCCCAGTTAACTGATAGTGAGTTGCTTGAAAAGATGTTATATTGCATTAGGCGCAGAGACATTTATCTTAGCGATGTTGATCAGGCAGGGTATCATCCGCTCACTTTTACGTTTCTGATTGTTACTATGACGGATACTGACGAGGACATTCTCGATGAGGCTGAGATAGTTGTTGAGAATTGGATTGAGAATTATCAACTCGGAGAGATTAAAGCACCGTTCTGCCGGGAGCATATTTTTGGTAGTTAGAATCGAACAAGTGGATTTATTTAAGTGAAATCTGAATACTTGAATTTTTTTTTTACATCGCTCAGTTTTGAAGATCTTTGCACTAGCAACTAGTATTAAATAGTAGTAGTAGTAGTAGGCCATCCTTAATCATTTTCTTTCATGGCCAGTTTACTTTGCATTCTCAGAGTCTGATCGGCAAATCTGCGACTCTCTCGAATTATTTCCCCGTAACAGACGAGGAATGGCGGAGCGGCGCAGAAGATAGTTGCCACAATGGCTAGTCCACTAGCTGAATAAGTGAGATAGCTATCCACAAGATACCCGAGAAGAACTGTGTCAAATTCATTGACGGCATAGCCGATCAAAACAAGTGGCAGGGTTGGAACAATCCAATGAACGCCATTGACAGCGTCAGGAATTGTCCAGGCGAACCACCACAGTCCGATAGCAAGGGATGGAGCACCAATGAAAAATCCACAATTTGTATTCTCGGAAAACATGTTTATTGTGACGACGGCGTAGTTTGAAGACCCGATCATCGTAAAGCCGAGTCAGCCCTCTAAGACAATGACTCCTTACGTGATTATCCACTTGAAACCCTTATATGGGGTAAAGCTTGAATAAATTGAGAAATCTCACTTAATTTGAACCAGAGCATACCTATCCACCAGGCAGCAGCTACATTACATAGTAATCTGATAGCACAAACTCCAATCAGTACGGGCCGAGGGCCCACCGACTAAGGTTAATTTGGCCCTGAATCTCGTATCTCGGATCCTCAATCCATTATTACCCGAATGCGAGAAGTACAATAGTAAATATTCCTTCAATGAGGTGGCTTCAATTCAATGGTGGATACAGTAGTCTATTTTCACTAACCTTATTTGGCCTAGCGTGCTTCAATATAGTAAAGGGTACGAACACGAAGCTATTCCAGGGTCAGCGGGTACCGTACCAGTCGATGCCTAAAGATAAAGTTCTAAGTCTGTGGCGAAGACCAGAAGCTCCACCGAACCTTACCTAGTAGAGAGTACGGAGCGAGTACGACAAGCAAATGCCTGCGGCATCCCCTCAACCAATTCCAACTGGCGTCAAATCCCTTTGAAAGGAGAACGATTTTTCTCCTGCAAACTGTACATTAGTTCTAGTCAATTTATTATAAAAAGCTTGCCTTCTTCCTTCTCGCTTCTACTATTCAATACACTCGCTCATCTCTCCCCCTTTGGGCCAATTACTCATAGTACAAATTCACGCCCAGTCGTCTTCATTTCTCAACCCCGATTTCGATACACTCTCGATACGTCACAATGGCCGTCCAGTGGACATTCTACTATTATGCGCCGTCCAGCGCTGCTGCAGGCATTTTCGCCGGCCTCTTCGGTTTAAGCAGCATTTTCCATTTCTATCAACTCATTCGAACACGAACATGGTTCATGATTCCATTTCTCATCGGTGGACTTCGTACGTTATTCCTTTTAATGGTCCAGGTTGCCTAAAATTTGTCCAATCTTCTGACAATTTCTATTCGCATCAACAGTTGAAACAGTCGGATATATCGGTCGTCTCTTATCATCCCTCGAAACACCCAACTACACGCAAGGCCCATACGTGATGCAAAGTGCCCTCATTCTCATCGCCCCCGCATTCCTGGCTGCGAGTATCTACATGACCCTGGGTCGGATCATCGAGATGTTAGACGCAGAGCGAAGCTCAGTGATCAAGCTGAAATGGTTGACAAAAATCTTCGTTGCGGGTGACGTTTTGTCTTTTCTGATGCAAGCTTCTGGTAAGATCGCGCCAGCTCCTATTTCTTGTCTTCTATGAAATACAAGTCAGCTAACATTCCTTCTAGGAGCCGGAATCATGGTCAAAGATATGACAAACCCTTCCATGGGTGAGAACATCATTATCGGCGGTCTCTTCGTACAGATCGTTTTCTTCGGCTTTTTCGCTATCAGCGCTGTCATCTTCCAAGTTCGTCTTTCGAAAGCACCTACCGCGCGATCCATTGAATTGAGTTCTCTCTGGCACCGTCATATGATTGCGCTGTATGTTGCCAGTATTCTCATTCTGATTCGGTCGGTTATTCGCGTGGTGGAATATATCCAGGGTTATGATGGGTACCTGATGAAGACTGAGGCGTTTATCTATGTGTTTGATGCTCTTCTTATGTTTGTTACGATGCTGGTCCTCCAATATGCTCATCCCAGTGAGGTCAATTGCTTGTTGGGCCGTGGTGACCGGTATTCCGAGAAGATCTACAAAACGCGGAAGTTTGAGGCTGGGTCGCCATTGGAGACAAGCCGTGTGGAGGCGTGAAGGGAAAGGGCTGACTAGTAATTATTCTTCTCTCATGTGTCATGTCGTTATACCATTTTAGATTCATACTTTAGCGCAATACGATATGTACAAGTCAACCTATTCTCTCGCCTTAGGTATTCGGGCCATGTAGTGAAATTCGTAGTAAACAATCAAGCTTCGAGCTCCAAAGGACATTTTGGAATTGGGTATATCAAACGTTCACCCCTCACCTGAGCAGAGACCTAATGGTGCATATTAGACCTGCTCCAAAGCCCATTCAATATGAGCATCCCATTCTGGAGCCAAAATCTGCGATATCTCATGCAAAACAATAGACCCCCACGAACCCACACACCAATTATCCCGCGCCAGGTGTAAAAATACGCAATAATGAGCCAACAGCACCAACGCTAGCGGATGGCTATTTCTCAAGTCGTCCATCAAATCACCTGGGGCCCGAATCGCCCACCCAGCAGCTAAAGTCAGAGAATTTGGCTCAGCAAAAGCAAAAGGCGCAAGCTGCTGCATAAAGGTAATAGCCCTTTGATAAGGGACCATGTCGTGACCGGGTGACCGGCGATAATAGTCTAGGTTCAATTCCTCTAACCGCTCAAATGCATTCTGAAATTCCGTCGGGATTTGTGTATCTGGAGCTTTGATGTCAAAGAGGGGGCCGAAATTGCTTGCAAATAGAAAATCCTTTTCCGCATTGACAACCTGCTGGACGCCACGCGATAACGTGAAAATATCTATCAAGGCATCCAAACTAGGTCCCTCTCGCTGGGACGGTCCAAGATTTTGCGTAGTTGCAAAGCTAAACACGACCGCCAGACCTGCAAAGCTCATCATGGGTTTCACGTTGGCTTGACTGATATTAGGCAGCTGCTCTGAGAACATGGATAAGGCGGTATTCTTGTGGGCGATCGCGGTATTCACCCATTCAGAGTAACTATCGTCGGCATTTAAATGTGAAATCTCTGAAAGATGGAGCGCAGAGATAGCGAGAATCCCGTGCATTAGGAATGGGGCTTGGAGCGCTTCTTGCAGAACGGGCATTTCCCAGACCTTTCTCGTTTCCTCGTTGCGGGCGAAAAGTCGATGTGTGTGTTTGATCCACTGTAACACTAGCTCTAGTTGCTTCATGTCTAGTGATGGTGAAGTCGAGCTACCAGTGCTAGTCACGATATCCAAATGGTTCTGGACACTGGAGATATCGGAGCCGGCTGATTCCGGCTCTGATGGCCTTTGACTGCGCGACCTTCGGGGAGGCCTTTCTGTGTCTTCTGCAAATGTGTATGGCCCTGGAGCAGTATAAATGCATGCATCATGTCTTTGATCGCAGTTGGCGCATGTTGGTCGACCTTCATCGCACTGCGCTTGTAAGTTGATATGATGCTCTAATTGCGAGGGTTGTTCGGCTCATACCTTGACTCGTCGCCGCTTACAGTTGCTGCACCCGTGACGGGACTTACGGTGGGAACGACGGAAGACCATTTGCACAAGGCCGGAAATTGTTTGGATTGAAGAGTTGCTTAACAGATGATAGGATCAAAAATCAAAGATGGGGAATGATGGATGTGGCGAGGGATACGAATACGACGGGGAATATCCGAACCCGAACCAGACCCACTCAACATCTTCCAATCACTCCGTACAATAATATCCTTTCTCTTCATCAGAACTTGTGTCGACGAATATCCCGCTCCAAATCAATAGCCGCCTTATTACTGCCTCGTGGCCTCTTGATGTAGCCCGAAATAAAGGTGTCTGGCCCCAAAGGTCTTCTGTGTCCACCTTGACCTTCCCAGTTTCAAGTAATAGCCTTACTACCGCCTCATCGCCTTGATCCGCAGCCCAGGATAATGGTGTTCGACCCTCAGAGTCCCTTGAGTCTGGTTCAACCCTGCCTGCCCCAAGTAGTAGCTGGACCACTGACTCGTTCCCATATTTCGCAGCCCAGGATAAAGGTGTTTGACCCCCATGGTCCTTTGAGTCCACCTGGCCATTTTCAAGAAATAGCTGCATCACCCCCTCGTCGCCTACTATCGCGGCCCAGCTTAATGGTGTTCGACCCTCACAGTCCTTTAAGTTCATATCCGCTCCAGCCTCAAGTAGAAGCTGCACCACCGCCTCATAACCACCTGACGCGGCTCGACATAATAGCGTTTGAAGCCATCTGTCCTTGGAGTGCACATCCGCTCCAGCTCCAAGTAAAAGTTGCACCACAGCCTCGTAGCCATTTCCTGCTGCTTGACACAACAGCGTTTAGGCTCGTCTGTTCTTCGAGTTCACATCCGCTCCACTCCCGAGTAAAAGCTGCACCACGGCCTCATGACCACCTGTCGTGGCTCGACATAATGGCGTTCGACGCCGTCTGTCCTTCGAGTGCACATCCGCTCCAGCTCCTAGTAAAAGCTGCACCACAGCCTCGTGGCCATTTCCTGCGGCTCGACACAATGGTGTTAAGCTCAACCAATACTGAATGAAAGAGTTGATTGGTTCAGATGAACCACAAGCGATCAAGAGTATATTGAAATACTCTCCGGCCAATATGTGGGAGGCGCCGATACTCGGTGGTTACAACACCGAATTTCAAATTTGACCATCATTACATACAAGACAAAGCGTCAGAGGGGCTTTGTGCAACTAACGAGTAGCTAGTGGTAAGTTACCAGTCCTATATTCTGGCATTATGTTACAAAGAAAGAACCTATGGAGGGCAAAGTTAGTTGGAGACATCTAATGCACGATTCTTAGGTAGCTCTACGTGCCATATTTCCACTCCCAGGACCTTCATAGTATAGCTGCCACCGTTTTTATGAAGAAAATGAGTTCTCGCCTGCACCTTGAAATTCTTGAGCGTCCTCCTGACAATCACCTGCGGTACGGCACACCACCACTCAGTGAATTACCTGGTTAAAGCTCGTCTTCCTACCATATGGAACAGATTTCCAAAGAGCCTCCCTCAAATAGATGTAGATAATCTCCTGCCATGTGCTCCATTGACGGGCACCGCTCGTCGAGTAGTGGCTCAAGTAGGTTACATTCTCTGCAGCCAAAGCCGTCTCCCAATCCCGTGCCGCGTTAAACGTGGTATCGTAAAACCCAGCTCCAGTCAGGATACCCACATCACGTAGCCCCGGTTTAAAAGTGGCATTGTATTGTGGGTCGCCAGCAGAAGGAGCCGGCGTAGGTGACATGATACAGTAAGAAGAGAAGTAATCCGTCGCATTAAACAGCATCGCCAGAGTCAGAGTACCGCCGAGGGCGAGACCACCAAATGCTCGTTGAGAAGAAGAGTTGGATATGTCGTAGTTCTCATTCACCCAGGGCACTAAGTAGGAGAAAAAGTTCTCGCGTACTTTGTTGAAAAAGCGGGAATATCCGACTGTCGCATGTTCTGGGAAAAGATTTCGAGGTAACGAAGAGAAAAAAGACCGATTGTGATAATTAGTCTATTTTCATAGAATGTTGAGATATGGTCATCATAAATAAAGCAGGCCTGAAAACAACATCAAAGTTGTGACTAGAGGCAGCCAACTCAAGCTGTATAGTGCTGATCGTGCCCCACTGTTTTCCTTTTGACCGTAACCGATATTGAGTGAGTTATTTTGGAACCCTACTGTCCTAATCCAGGTAGGGGTATGACTAGTTTTTACCAAAATATCTGAACGGTAAGAGTCGACAACGCCGCCGAAGGATATTTTGATTGCGCCTCTCACAGACCCTAGCCCATTTGTTGCATTTGTTATATTCTGTAAAGGGAATGGAATAGCGTAAAAGTTACCAGATAACGTAAAGTTTGCTGTCTGGGCATCGAAAGTTGCTTCTACTGTCGCTCTTGTCACATTTGAGTTGATGTCGGGTGGGTCCTCATTGCCGACTAGGATGATTTGAAACGTTTTCGACTCTTGGTGACTATTGCATGGTTCCATGTCTAATGTAAAATTGTGAAGATTGCCAAAGACATCGTTATTGTATCCATTTGCTGACCCCGTAAGGTTAAATCGTCCCGCTTGGGTCGATGTCGAGGTCATATTGAGGTTATCCTCTACTTTATCATCGGACGGCAGTAACGTCCACCTAGAGAGTTCTAAATTAGTGAAAATAATCTACATTATTCTTTATTTATTTTCCACTCACGGAGCAGACTCAAAAATCCATTTTACTGACTCCAACCCGCCATATAATCGATCTCGCTCCAAGGTAGCTTCAGATGAAGGGCCAGATGAAGGAACGGAGGAAGGACCAAATGAAAGAGACGAAAAATTGAAACCGGGTCTCCAGAGAGTCAAAAGCACATTTACTGGGTTGGACCCATTATTTTGAGGGCTGCGCTCAGTGATGGCGAGAAAAGATTCGAATTGTGATGTGTATGTTTGGTTCATAATTTGATTGCATGATTTATGGCTCGAATCGTTTTCAACAAATTCCGGCGTAAGCTCGATAGTTGTCGTTGCATTGTAGTATCTTTAAACAGTCAGGACAAAAGTTGAATTGCAGAGGGGAGAAGAACTAACGATCCAACCCACGCATAAAGCTCCGTAAGTCCTGTGACGTTTCTAGGGCGAAAAGGGAACGAAGAATTATAATTCGGATCTGTCGTTGCAAGGGCCGCTAAAGCTAAACCTAGAAGAAGCAGGACAGTCTTCATCCTGGTGCAAGAGTGAAATATCAACGTTTGCTCCCGCCCTAATTTATGGGCAGATTCCAGCTATTCAATAATAAAGCGAAAGGATTAAGCTTCTGTCCCCACGAAACCCACCCCTGATTTCAGGGTTACATCTGGGAAATGTTCTAGTCCAATCAACAGGATTTGTGGTTGTAAATCCCTTTTCACGTCAGCACTAAAAGCTTTGACCCCCCTTGGCGTCAGGCGGCAACTCGTATCTTGTGCAAGCTCCTCCCGGCGTAATAGAAGTCTGAACGTCGAAGTTAGTATTCGGTGATTTCATTTCGTTGCTAGCAAAGAAACAAGACCAACAATACGAACTGTGGGAAGTACGAGTACGCATTCTAAGGAAGCAGACAAGAAAAAGAAGCCTGCAAAGGACGGATGGTACTTGCAGGCACAGCTTCAAGACTACGGGCGACCAGCTATTTTTATATGGATGAGGCTTATTCCATGGAATGCAGTCTTCAACTAGCTCAGTTGTGAGCTAGTGGAGAGTCGGCTCAAACAGCGTTGTTGATGCTAATGAGGCAAATGATTTGTCAAGCCTCGGCCCTGGAGAACCAAAGGTTCAGGTAGACATAGTACTCCATCTGCACTCCACCTCAGAACGCTGAATGCTTATTTCAACGTTAAATCAATCGTCTCAATGCCCCGCAAAGACGCGGTTGTCCGTACGAATCTCGTTAGAACTTGAGTCTGGCAAGATATGCGCAAGTAGCCTCTGCTGGAGAGCGTATTCGAAGTAGTATAAAAGGAACAGGGTTTTATTCCTCGTCCTCCGTGACCACTCAGCTTGTTAATTGCAGGGGCTACTGCTTTACTAAGTAAACTCCGCAGGTGAGTATTGCGTTACAGCCAGAAATTTTTCCTCGCAGCTATTGAGCCCTGTGATTGCATAAATGTGCTGGCTTAGGCAAGAGACATGACTCCACGGGCTCTCGTTCTGATTCTCTGGTGATATGCAGGCGTCTCTTCAATGTGTCAAAGTCTAGTATTCGGGTCCAACTAAGATCTGGAAGAAGCCAAGGCCCGCTCCAAAGAACCCATAGAAATCAAAATTCCTCCAAAGAGGCTTTGTGTGTCATGCCATCCAGCCTGTTTGTAGATTTCACTTTTCATGTTCCTTGTTCGCTTTGGGTACCTTGTAGCCTTCAACCACGCCCTGGGCTTCGGGAATGGACATTGCCTTCCATGGGGTGTAAAGTAGAATTTGGGATGCAAGGAACAGTCACTATCCCGGTGCATGATAGCGTGGTGACCAATCCGGGTGGCAGCTGAAATCCAAAGTAGTCACCATCAGCGTGAATGCTTGTGTCTTTAAAGTAGGGGTAGAAATTGGATGGATGGATATAGTGAGAGGTGGACATTGTCGATTGTAGGAATGGATAGAGGATCCTGGTGTCGGGTTGATGGTGGGTTGATGGGTGTTGATATCTATACTACACTCGACATTTTCCCCAGCTTCCTAAAAGCTGTGAGTGAAGCTATCTAGAAGTGAAAGGAAGGTACGGCGGTCTGGATGCCTGAGGCAGCGGGTGCCTAAGATGCGGCGCCGTACCTCAAAAAAGAACAAGGTGATAATGATAATGACAAGGATGAGGTCCTGGAGAGCAATAAATGAGAGGCAGCAGGAAAGTGGACGTTGTTAGGATACTGTGGGTGCTCATCTCGACTTTCCACGTGCCACATGAACCTATTCACACCACCCGCATTATTATTAATTTGATACTAGTATTCCGTATACAAGAGCTCGACCGAGGATATTGTTCAACCTGTTCGAGCTCTTGTTATGGTAGGGTGAGGAAACGGACCCTCCATGGCCTGCTGTGAAGTTGGGCGGTTTATCACCTGGGCATTCAATGTCCCCACATACATCGACAGATCATCCAAAAAGTTCTCCTATCATATCATTGAGCAGTCAGTGTGTGAACTGCTACTGAAATAATAAAGATCAAAGTTGAAATTGCATCACTCATAACCTTCAAGTTCGAAGTGGTATCGTATCATATCATGCAAAACCTATTAAGAAAAAAACAAAAATAAACCATCCCCTACCCTGCCAGCCAACCAACCAACCCGACGCCACCAGTCCCAGAAATAACTGAATTCAAAGGGCCATATTGGCACAGGTAAAAGCCGGCGTAACACTACCCGAATAATCCGTAATAATAGCCTCAACAGCCGCATACAGTCCCGGCCCAAGAATAAACAACCCAACAACCATAATGAAAATATTAACCAGGGTCATAACAGACTTTCCCACACCATTGAACAACTTCCCGCGATTGAGTTGCCAGTACGCAATAGCGAAATAAATAAAGCCGAAAAACGAGTCAAAAGCCGCACTGAGCAGGGAAAGGAAATCTCCCATACTCGGAATGACTTCTGAAAATACGAATGCGAGAAGCCAGATTCCAACCATCACCAGACCCCACACACCCCAGCCAATAATCGTATTGCTGTGCGCATGCTTGGACTGGCCCATCGTGCGCTTGTAGATGAATTTCGCTGTAACATTAGCGTAAATCACGCCGATGATCAGAGTTGGCACGATAACGAAGCCGAATGAAGCCTTTTTATACGCCACCACTCCCAAACTCCCGAATGCGGGCGCCGTGCTGTATTGGCCCAGATAGCGGAATCCAATAGCTGGAGGCACGAGGAAGAGAATTGCCGAGATGAATGTCAGTACAGCGAGCGCTTTGGGGAAATCTTGCGGCCGTTCCATTTCCGCTATGAAGCTGGGAAATAGGATTTGGGGCACCCAGAGGAATGTGATATTCAATACGGCGTTCATGCATGCGACCCATGTAGTTCCTGCTTGGGGGAATGCGTATGTCTTCACGGGCCCGAGGGTGGGGTAGTTTCCGTTATACCCGTACAAAGGGGCGGATTCGATTCCAGCAAAGACGAGAAAGAGGAGGATGGCGATTCCCATACAGGCGGCTGGGCATGATTAGCACACGGGAGCTTTCTCAAGTTCTCCGGTAAAGAGGTGCCACCCGGGAATATTACTCACAGGATACCATTGACATGGAGCTGACATGATTTAGAGTTCGTGGAAGAGACATCACGATGCCCATGATTGTTGCAATGACGGCAAAAACGGAAGTGCACAGACTGTGATCGGATAGTGTATTCAGCACCTTGGCACCGGTGAGGACATGAAATCCGATAAGGAGGATATTGTTGGCCAATAACATGAATGCCGAAAATACGTATGCCACGCGACTCTTTCCAAAGACATAGTATCCAAAATCACCTGCAATAAACCGTTTGAGTAACCAAGTTCGCTGGAAGCTCCTCGGGAGAAAGGATCACTTACAGATATCTTTGATTTGGGGGTATTTCATGATGAACTTGTGCATGGTGATGGATGTGATCCAGAACAGAACGGCACAGAGAATCATGGTTATTATGCCTGGAACCCATCCCAGCACACTAGAGAGGGAGTTGGGTTAGCGGATTCGGTCTCGCTCGTTGATCTCAAGTAGATTCGCCATAAAATAAATTACGCGCGCGGCCTGGGGGTGAACACTGACGAAAGAGACCATGCCTGAGCCATTATGGCCAGACAGACTTGTTCGCCGGCCAACAGAATGGCGGTTTTCTGCCATGACATGGTCCGAAGCTTGATCTCATGTTCGTGGTCTACCAGCACGAAGAAGTTAGTAATTGTGAATACGAAGATGCACTTGTCAATTCTGGCGTCAGGTGCCCACCTTCAGCTACCAGGGCGGTAATTGTATTGAGGGAATCCGGGTCATCGCTTTCGGTCTCTAGACCGTAGTCCGGTTGCTTCTTATCTTTGAAGTCGAAGTCGGCCATTGTCGACGATTGGAAGGAGTGGGAAGAAGTGTAAAGAGGATCCGATCCGCAACAGAACAACGAAGAAAAACGCAACTTTGATAAATGAATATCGAGAGAGAGAAAAGAAAAGAGGGAAATCAGACGAGGCACGAAAAAAAAGCAAAAAGAGGACGAGGGTAAGCTTATCTTGGCTATGAACAACGGCCACAGACTGCCCAATCAGGTTAGTCTAGAAGTGCCATCCCGGCAGCAAATGGCGCGATTGGAGGCTGATGCGTACGAAGTGCAGCTGAAAGCATTGGGCAGCTTGCTTATAGGCAACTATCCTAATTCGATTAGCACCAACTTTACTAGGGCGGCGTCAAATGGCATCATTAGCCGGGCCATTAATCCTTCCAGGGTTGACTGATGCCGGGACATGGGTCTTCCATGTGGTAACCACAGCCGACGGGGTGACCGAAGGATTGCAGGTACATACTAGTACTACTACAGTAGTACTCGAAAATTACGAACGGATTCAGTAGTATCATCACTGGCATGTTTGAGAATTTTTGAATAGACCAGCAATAATTACTATGTATACATCTTTGAAGCAAAAAAGAATAAGAAAAGAAAAAAGACGCCGGGGCCGAATCAGAGCCGATGGGGGAGGGACATGGGACATTGCAGTGTGTACAGTCAACAACATTCAAGGAAGAATAATAATAGTAATAGTAATACATAAGGCCCGGCAAAATGTGAAGAAAACTCGCGCTGTTTCCGTGCATGGGGTGGAAGCAGCGGAGAAAAAGGCAATGTGCGATTAAAGGCGTAAGCAACAATGCTGGAGAATGGGAAGGTGTCTATCAACGCCAGTTTCATCAAAGATGCAAGAATGCGAGAGTGAGAGGGGGGGGGAAGGGAGGGTGGAAGGGTGGAAGGGTGGAAGGGTGAAATGATGTGAAAATGTGATTGTGAAGAAAGAAGTGTCAGAAACGGGGAGTCATTAAGCACTAGGAAGCCGTCGGTTGTCGTACTCATGTCGATGTGGGCGTATGCTTGGAGCCATCGACCTCAGTGCCCTCCTCGCCAGCGGGGGTTTCATGGGAGTCATGGTGTTCCTGGGAATCATGGATAGCAGCCTGCGATTCTGCTTGCTTTTCCGACTCAGGCTTGACCGCAGGTTCGGTCGGAGAATCAGGAGTGATAGTCACCTCAGGCTGGGGCACTGTGGGAGGCTGAGACTCAACTGCAGGTTCATTCGAGGACTCATGAGTGTCAATCTTCGATTCTGCTTGCACTTCCGGCTGGTGCTGTGCCTGAGGTACGTATACCACCTCGGCACTAGCCTCCTCGTAAACACTGATATCGGAATCTATCGAGCCTCGCCTTTGAGCCTCGGGTGATGAAGTTTCATCGTGGATATTCAAAGTCGGAAGATCGGGTGTCACTGGTCTTGACATATCGTATTCAGGTACAGAGAGCTTGGTAGTGGGGAATCCAGCCCCATCGTGGGACTGCACGGTGATGTCTCGTGCAACGAATGGCTCATCGTCTTCGAAATCCTGCGAGGTGGCAGCATCGCTTGGTAGATCGGTTTGCGGGATCTCCGCATCAGCTGGCTTTGTGCAAAGCGGAACAATGCCACCCGCAATTCGGGACCAGAACATTCTTTCACGAAGACGAACAGTTTCTTCCCAGACATCTTTCTCCTCTTCCGAGTCACCGGCACGAATGTGTCCATCAAGGATCATACGTAAATAGCCGGTGAATTCACAGCAGGAGCGGACTCGCTCCAGGCACTGGATACAGAGCGAGTATCGCTGCGCGGTCTCGCTCTCTGATGTTCGGAAGCGGTGTGTGCGTTCATTGTTCTCTCCTGTCCTGCGTTCACCGCAGACTGAGCAAGGGAATTCGTACTGTTTCGTCGCTGATGGAACCGGCTCCACGACAAGCGAGCCTTCGCAGATACCACTCAGAACAGTACGTCGAGTGAGCCATGAGATTCCTGGGGATAAATCGAGTCTCAAAGTCGGCTCAATATCTTCCATGAGCACTCTCTTATAAAACTTTGTATCCTTCAATGGTATATGCGAGCCAGTTTGAGAGGACAAGCTCCCGTTAGGCGAGTGGCTAAAGCCTTTGGTGGGAGATGAAGTGGCGGAGTTGGATCCTCCAGTTGCGAAACTAGCCAAGCTCATGACATTTAAGCCTCCATAAGACCCACTGCCTGCGCGGCTGGGGGGCTTGGAGGTGCGAGATAGAACCAACAAGTCCCGGAAGTCGTCATATGCTGGTAGGTCAGCGCGGCATACCAAGCGGATCATGTCAGGGAAGTTGCACGAGGGGCCTGGTGCGAACTCCTCGGGGTTCAACATCGGAGGCTCCGTCCCCATCTCAGAGTCTTGCTTGGCAAAGCCCTGCGACTGTGGAACACCTCCCGGGGATGGCGGAGCAGTCGATATGTTGGCGCGGCTTTCCAAATCCTCCTTGTTGAGATGCATCCCTTGCAGGACCGATTTGAGCTCCGCCATCTGTTCCTGGTGCGATGCGAGGAGGGACTCGGTGTCTTTGATTTGCGAGCGCAATTGTTCGTTCTTCTTCTCCACTGCTTCTCGTTCGATTTTCGCCGCAGCAACCATCTTGATGGAATCAGTCAGACAGGTATTTTATAGACTCAGAAAACATGTAGCAATCACTAACCTTGTTGGCTTCCTCGAAGAGATCCGCGGTGAGAGTTTCCAACTCTTGTTCCATTGTCTTTTTCCCCTTCTCAGCTATGGCGCGCTGTGTTCTCTCCTCCGCAAGCACAGCTTTCAATTGTTGGATTTCGCGGTCTGAGTCGGCCTTCTTGATGTATACTTTTTGATCGAGATCCCGGCGGTATTTCTCATTCTGGAACTCGAGAGCGATAATTTTTCCCTGGGCAACCTCCAACTCCTGGCGCGTGGCGCCTAAACTGTCGTCTAGTGTTGTCTGGTTATTGATCGCCTGGATCAGTTTCACACTTAGCGCTGCAACCTCATTGCTCAGATCGGGGTGATGAGACGATGACGTCGATGGTGAGACCTCTCTGGCGACGTGCAATCGTGGATCCTGCAAGGTACTGAAGTTGTTTTCTTCGAAATTGGGGTGGGATTTATGGGCATCTGCTTGGGAGGCGATTAGGGAAAGATCGGTGGTGGACTTGGCTTTGGTGACAGTCTTCTCGGGGGATAGGATTCGGTGCTCGGAAGACAGCGATCGCTTGTGAGCGTGACGCGGAATCATGGTGGACGGCGGCATTAGATTATGATGGTATGTTTGGAAGGCAATTAGACTGCTCCGATTGTCAGTGAACATCCGCGCTGCTGTTCCTTGCTAGACTTACTCGGCCATGATGAGTGACGTAAACGGCGTCGAAGGAATGTGATTGAAGGTCTGCGGGTTTCCTCAACCAAGGCCAAATGGTAAACAGAGATGACCTCGAAGGTATCACACCCAATTACGGCGCAGGCGAAACAGAGTCCCCGAAGCCATTCACTTTGAAAGTAGGAGGAAGGACTGGGCGCTTAGCAGACCCCCGCTAGCGTTCGAAGTGAATTCTCGAGCCGGAAGATTGGGGGAATGACGAGTGATCGGAATCGGAGTGTATAGTGGTGGAAAGGACTGAAAGGATTAAATATCAAGGAGAGCGAAGTCACGGACTCGGGTGGGAGACAACCACCAGCAAAGTGACAAGAGTTGAAGGTCGGGGGGGGGTTGCCAGTGAGGAAGCCCAAGAAGGCTTAGTCATTCGATCACACCGGAAGTGGTGAGCGGGCCGAACGTGACGAATTTCAGGCACTTCACATTTCACACTTAACTACGGAGTACCGTGTGGATGTATCACCCGATCGGATGATTTATCCAATATGATATGTGGTATTTGGTATATCTATCGAATTGTTCCGTTGTCACACTGGGGCTTCACTTCACCTGATTGACCCCAGTGGTTAAATTGGCCACCGGGACGCGAAAGTTCTGCCTGATCAAACTATGCCTTTCACGGGCAAATAGTCGCGAACTAAGCCGGATCTTGCCAGCCGATCGCGCACTCGGATTCGCGTACTCCCGTACAAATTTGGGCAGATCTGGTTTTTTTGGGTCCGTGAAACTAGCGGCGATGCCGGGCCCAGTTAATTCGTATTCCCTTGCCCGAGGCGCAGCACATTCAAGTTCGCCCCTTTGCCTCCGCAGCCTTGTTGGTCGTAATTATCCGAGTTATGCAGCCAGTCAGTTAGCTGGGAGTACTAGCACCGGCACTCATCTTCGATGATATGGTTAGATAAAGTCAGGCTATTATCAATCGGTGTTAATGTAAATAAACTTCTCTTGTAACCTGGGCTGTGTTATAATAACAAGATGTTACCAGCTACTAACTAATACTGTCAGTTCTGTCCCGTGTATAGCGGTAACACAAAATTGACTAGCACTACTAAACAGTAGTATATTTTATAACATTACTACAGCTAGTACTATGAGGCAGCTTGATAAAAGCAACTTAAACTCTTCAAGTTGAACTGCTAAATTCAGTTGCTCCCACGTCAAACTTGAAAGGGCAAAACAGTAGTATCAATACTACTGGTACTAGTAGTAGTACCTTGAATATATATCAAGTCGTCACAGTGTCTCCAGTCTTCAAGTTTACCAATATCACAAACTTCCCCTGGGCAAGTTGAAGAATATACATCCATAAGGCTCACTCCAAACCAAACAGACCCCTAGCTTCGCCACTAAATATAAATATAGTCATAAATATACTAGTATGCCCATACCAATCATCACACTCCCGACTTCCCCGCGTGGCGGCCTCAGGCGGTGCAGCTTGAAGTGGGGTCGCTCAATAATCTTCCTCTCCGAATCCGAATCCATCTTCAAGGAGCACGAGCACCCCATCACTTAGTCCCGCAATCACACTATGGCGGACGCAGAGCTCGAGGAGGTGAGATACACCTTCAAGGTTCAGTCCGCCCAACCCATAACTAAGAGAAACAGATCAGGCGAGCTCGCCTCGCACAGCTACAGCAGCAAGGCGGCGGCCCTCGTGGCGGCCCCAGTCAAGATGGTGGCCAGGAAGAGCAGAAGAGGTGAATTTCTCCCCACTGGCATCCAATACTGTTCCGCTCAAAAATTCTCTAACCGCATTCTCTTCTTTTCCAGGCAAGCTGAATGTGAGTAACACAATCACAACCAGAACCACAACCCAACAGCCCACTATACGATCGCTCCACCCCACTCGTCCCTTCACCTCGTCGAATTTATCGAATACATTATGTACACCCCAATGGGCAGCATCACTAACAAGACACAGCGGACCGTCGCGCCTCAATCATGGCGCAGATCCTCGACCCCGCCGCCGCCGACCGTCTCGGCCGTATCCGCATGGTCAAGGCATCGCGCGCAGACGATATCGAGAACAGACTCATGATGCTGGCGCAGTCGGGCCAGCTCCGCCAAAAGGTTACAGAGGAACAACTGAAGGACCTTCTGAATGCCGTTGCGGAGAATTCACGCAAGGAGGAGGAAGAGCACAAGATTGTCTATACTCGGCGCAAAGGCGGCTGGGATGATGATGACGATTTGCTTGACCTGTAAACTGAAAGACGATCGGATAGTTGAGAAGTTATTTGATATGTGATCAGTTCCTGATGTTGGGTTTGTCGGGGTCTTTCCACTTATGCGTTTGCGTTGGCAATTGGATACCAAAATATACTTGGCTGCAAATATGGCCCAAGAAGTCAGTATGAAGAAGAGTATTACTATATCTGAAGTACCTTCAAGATTAGATCAGAGAGAGAGAGGGAGATCTGGTTGGTAAATAGTAGGAATACTCGAGTAGTTCGAGCCGAAGCGCAGTTTTGCTTTGACCGATTGCCTCCCAGGATAGAAGGCGTCATGTTCTACTTGAGTTATATGGCCGATCTCACAATATTCTTGTTCTTCCCTTTGTGCTGCTAATGATATTCACAAAATCGATAATCGTACATCTTCTCCAACCGGAGAGTAACTGAGCCGTGTCCTGCAATGTATTATCACACCACTGCACGTATACCGCAAACTACGACTGCTGTTGCTGCTGCATCAACATCTCCTTCTCCCTCTTCTGCTGCCTCCGAATCATCTTCCGAATCTCCCTCAAATCAGGCGGCTGCTCAATCCTCAACTCAGCCCGTAACTCATCAACATCCTTCTCAAGCACCTCCTCCCAATAAACATTAATCAACTCCTTACTAGCAAGTCCACTCCTAACAGCCCAAGGCAAATGCAGCGTCAAAAACCTCTCCTTCTCCGCAGGCTTCATACGCACAAAAGCAAACAGACTAAGCCCCGTCATCGGCAACAACGTATTCAAAAATTCCAGCGCCTTCAGCGCTAATTCGCCCTCCACGAAGATCGGCAGGCCCGTCACAGCGTGGTAGAAGTCGTGACACTCACGGTAGCGCTGCATGACGTATGCGCATTCGGGGTCATCGATGTATTGTACGTTATCGCGTGTGTCGGGCGATACGCCTTCCCTGTCGAGCCATTTCGCGTACGTTCGGCCGACGGAGTTCTCGGGGAGAGTGCGGAGATGGTCCATGTTTAGGGATTGGGATGTTATGCGTGGACGGTCGCGGAGGATTCGGCGGCCTGTTGGGTCGGAGAGCATTGCGTTGCGGAGTCGGTAGATGAAGAATGGGGTTGCGGTTGCTTCGCCTAGGGCTGCGATGAGGTCTGGGAAGCTTGTTAGTTTTGGGTGGTATATACGGGTATAACTTGTAGGACCGCGATAAGGAATGAAGAAAGTGAGAGAGGAGTGCGATATGCAGACTCCGACAATAGAGAGCACTTTAACTGAGTGGTTTGAGTGGCGTACCTGCTCTTCGAGGGTTCACGAGAGACCCAAGTGCAGACCCGATGGCCAGAGCTCCGCGCTCAATCGTCGTCAGTGGGACATGGCCTGGGTAACTTGGTTTTGGGCGATTGAGGACGGAAAATGGTCGTACACTGCATGATGATAGAGGGAATGGTGTATACAGAAAACGTAGTCCCTGAGGACCGCGCCTCCCGAGCAGCGACATTATGCTGAGTGTAGCTGGAGTTGTTCGAGTGGAATCATACGACGGGATGGGAAGGCCCGATGCCGACGACAGGCGGAGCGATAAGCGGGTTATCTATGGCACTAACATTGCTACTAGATCTCTTTACCGCCTTCACTGCTCCTGTAAAATCAATTGCGCTACACTTAGAAAGATTGGCATTATTCAAGAAAGAACTTATACTGAGCTTCAGTATGATATATACAGTTCACTGAGGACTCCCCGGAAGTCAATATACAGTTATTTTATACTGTAATGTGTGGGGCCGTGAACCTTTGTCCAGTTTATGCTTCAAGTTTGGACAAGGGCGGATGGCGGTGAGAAGCATATTCAGGTCCCACGGAGTATTTCAATATTGCTATGTATACGGACACAAACTATGTTTTCCAACTATTATTTCGAAATTACTATCTCAGTATATATCTTCTAAAATTACCTCAACCGGATCAGAGGATACCATGGAATTCATGAAGCTGAATTAGGTTCATCTCACTATACCGTCTTGCATGTGTAGATTTTCTGCCGGCAGAGTAGAGATCGGGTTAGGCTATCACTGCAAATGCTCCACTCACACTGTTGATCCATTGGGGTTGAAGACTGGAGTGAACCGTTTTTTGCCAGCATCATGGTTGCAGGTCTACAATTGAATTTCCTAAGTACACCATTGTACTAAAACTGTATCTCACCATCTCTGCTTCACCGTTCGTCTGATCAGTCCCTCACTCCCTCAGTCCACAGCCACTAATATCCACACAGACAGTCCAAGAAAACCACAAAAGAACCATTTTAACCATGAGTTCGGACTGGAGCCCCGGTGAAGTCCACGAGACATTCTCAGAATGGGCTCTTGCGCAGGGCGTCATTGCAAATAAAGTCCGACCTGCGCGATTTCCAGGTCGGGGGCTAGGGATGATCGCAACGGACACTATCAAGGTATGAATGAGCAAAAAAAGAGAGACCACTAGCCCTAACCCGAGGCCACGAATAATGAATGATGAACAAGAATATGAAAAAAACTCACCAAGACTCTAATATCTACACCAGTCCGGGGATTTCGTCGTCAAAGTCCCAACAACAACAATCTTAACCGCAGACAAAATCCCCTCTGAATTCCGATCCCAGTTTCCCGAAGATACCAGAATCCAAGCTATCATCGCAGCCTACCTCACCTGCAGCAGTGAAGAAGAACTAGCTCCGTACAGTCTATGGTTCAAGACCTGGCCTACGCGCCAAGATTTCGAAGATAGCATGCCAATGCTGTGGCCGCGATCATTGGGTGGGTTGACCTGGCCCGATAGTGACGATGTCGCAGACCCTGTTTCTGCTTCGCAGTCGAATTTCCTCCCGCCTTGCATTTCGGGGTTATGGAATTCTATTCAGAAAGGAGGGGCTGCGAGACAGTACGAGACTGAGCACCAGGATCTCGTGCAGCAACAGGGTCGGCGGCTGGGGAAGGCTTGGAATGATGTTGTTTCGGTTATTCCGGATATCGATTGGAAGTCTTTCTCTTATCATTGGCTTATTCTCAATACGAGGAGCTTCTATTGGGTTGCGCCGGATGAGGAGGCTCCCGAGGATCGGAATGATGCTATGGCTTTGCTGCCCTTTGCTGATTATTTCAATCATTCGGATGTAGAGGTGAGGATTCAAGTTATCTTTTTGCTGTGCAGATGCGCTCGTGTTCTTTTATTTGATCTTGCTAACTCCCTTCGTTACCTCTAGTGTGATGTCAAGTTTGATGGAGATGGGTATACCCTGAGTGCCACCGAGGACTATGAAGCGGGTGACGAGGTTTATATGAGCTACGGAAGCCACCCGAACGACTTCTTGCTCGCCGAATGTAAGTTGAGCCATTGTTTTCTCTGTATGACCACGTTGCGGTGATCTAACTTTGGCCCGATAGATGGTTTCTTCATGGATAAGAATGACTCAGATTGCATCTACCTTGACGATATTATCCTGTGCGACTTCCCCAGCGCAGAGAAACAAGAAGAGCTATGGCTGAACCAATATTACGGGTAAGTTTGTATTTCTTGAAAAAGGCCTTTCAATGCCGGGTATTTTCTTGCTCTAGTGCTAAATATACATAGTAATTACTCGGTCAACTCTGAGGGAGTCTGCTACCGAACGGAGATAGCTGCGTGTCTAATGTACATGGAAGAAGAGGATTGGAGGAACCACCTGGAGGGATCGACCGAGGGTGTGGATGAGAAGAAGTCAGAGGACATCATCAAGGGGTGGCTGAAGACATATGCCGCGGAGGCAGATGCCACAATGAGCGCACTGCGGAAAGCGATGAAGTCTGGCGCCGTGCCCGAGACACACCATGGGAAGGCAGAATATTTGCTGCGGAGGTGGAAGCAGATCAAGAGTATCTGCGAGAGCGCATCGAGCGCGCTATCTTTGTAACGATTTCTCAATTGCATGCATGACCCTGAAGGGTTGAGGGTGAGTTTGTGCATACTCATGGCGATTCGGATTCGAAAAGATCATCGGAGGTTGATTGGTGCAACTGTGTGTTCTTCCCTGGGGTAGGTTTAAGATGATTACCTGTCAAATGGGGGCCGCTGGTTGACACGAAGCCGGCATCAATTGGAATTGCTTCAGCTTCCCGGCGATTGTTGACCTGTTGTTTGCCATGAACGAGATGTTTCATCATGTAATTCATCACACATGTTATACCCAATCCTTCGCCACGGCGCACGATGTATCCGTTCATATATTCAATTTCCGTCCCCTTCCGGCCCCTAACGTCGTGGAGCATCGTACTGGTATTAGAGCTAGTTTGATTGAGCTTGAAAACGACCATTCGGCGTAAACGCTCAGGTTCAAATCGATCCTCCAACCCGGGAACCCCTTGTAATTCAGGAAGAGCCAAGATGACCCTTGAGATCTCGAAGAGAAGTAATCGCATAATGCGGGAGATACTTTCCACATAAAGTAGGTCGCCATTTTTGCAATCATGTATAGCAGTCAATGGGTCAATGACACAGCTGATAGCGAGTTTCTCAAGTTGGTACATGAGAACGTTGGTAGGCGTATTCACAACGGCAACCAGGCTTGGGGTTAGGGTGAAAAGGCGAGCCAAGTATTTCGTAGAAGGCGCCCAAGTGGTGTCGTCCTCTGGCTTCATCAGGGACACCTCACCCGCTGTGACTGGAGGAGCAATATTCGTCATTCCAACCTTTTTATACTTGACTTGGTACATATCCTTCTTGTCCAACCCGTGGCTGAAAACGGCATGAAGGTATTTAGGGCGCACGCTCGGGTTTGTGAAGATGTATCGGTTGAGTCTTTCCACGACACCCAGACCGTTTTGAGTGATCAAGATGGTTGACTTCGACGACAGACGGTTTGCAAGAGAGCGAATACCTAGGAACGCGTGATTTGACTTGCAAGAAACGACCAGGCAATCGATAGGGTCTTTGGACATTCGAAGCCGAGCTGTTTCCTCCTCTCGTATAATGCGCTGGCCATTCTCTTTGTACTTTTCTCCATAATCACGAGGAAGCTTGAACCATTTATCTCCTTCAAGTACTTCGACATCGACACCATTCTTGAGATCATCGCTCAGTCCATCGTAGTTGATCAATAACCTTTTTTTCCTCTGGCGGTATGCTTCGAACATTCCCCAATTTGCCATAAACAAGGTAACATCGGGCGGAGATTGTCGTTTGGCAAGTGATTGTGCGATAAATGTACCCACATTTCCAGAGCCTAGGACGTGTACTCGGCCTGACACGATGGACTCGGACTTGGACTCGGACTTGGACTCGGACTCGGCCTCTGGGGCAATATTTTCACTCTTTTGTGATGTTGTTGACGAGTATCTGGCGAAAGCAGCCTTTAATCCTGATCGACGAGCATGATGGCATGTGTCAAGGCACCCGCTGCGCCAAAGCGGGCGAAATCGAAGTGGTTGCAACACTTTGGCGGAGTTTTCGGGGGAGAGAAGTGTCCCCCGAATATGGTGTGAAGAGGGTCAGAGGGCGAGTGTCGGGGTGAAAATGAGGATTGATGTAATTCGAGACCGTGGAATAATTGCCAGGTTTTGCGAAAGGCTTGTCTTTGGAGTGACAGAAGCCAATACCGTCGAGGAGAAAAAAAATAGATGATGTCGGAGATGCGACGCGATGCCGCGAATGATCGGAGTCGTTCTTCTCCACCGCCCGCCACCGCCGCCCCAGTTTGCACCGGCCCTAAATTTTTCGATTTTCGCGGATTGTTCATCCAACACCACATCACCATGGACGCACCAGATTTGATGCCGCTGCTGGAGCAGCTAGAAGACAATGTCGATGATCTTGAGGAGGTTCTTGAACCCGTCCTCGGCCAGTCCCTTGCGAAGTTATCCAAGAATTTGCCTGTGATGGACAGGGCCAAGATCCATGTCTTGATCACTTACACACTCGAGTCTCTCATCTTCTGTAAGTTTGGATCCATGCTCTTGAACCAAAGCGCTTAGGCTAATTTCTTTTTCCTACAGCATACCTGCGCCTCAAGGGTGTCGATGCGAAGCAACACCCAGTATTCCGCGAATTGACCCGCGTGCGGCAATACTTTGAGAAGATCAAGGCCTTGGAAACCGAGCCTGAACAACCCACCATGAAATTGGACAAGGCGGCCGCAGGCAGATTTATTAAACATGGCCTTGTAAGTACCGATTCCATGCTAGAACTGCGCTTGCGTGCTCGAATTATGTCATAACTAACATATAATTCAGGCTGGCAACAATAAGATTGACCTAGAACTCGCAGAAAAACAAGCCAAGGAGCGTGCACGCGCTCAAATGAAAGCCGCGATGTTAGCCAAGAAGACTGCCGCAAAGGAAGCTGCCCAGGACTCCGCGGTTACGTCTAGTGCCGTCACTTCTGCCCAGGAGACCGGTGATTCTGACGACAACGACGAAGAAATGGAAGAAGATATGGGCAAGGAAGAAAAACAAAAAGAATCAAAGTCCAAGCGAAGCAAGAAGGACAAGTCCAAGAAGGGACTCAACAAAGCGGAACGGAGAGACGAAAAGAAGCAACGGCGCCAAAAGAAGGAGGATGCTCGAAAGGCCCGGAAGGGTCAATAGGATTTCCTCCTATCTACCTTTCTGTCTTTCTGTTTGCCTACAATGCCTATTTCAATGGTAGCCGGCAGGAACTCGGAGGGCACTCACCCTGAGGCGGTCCTCGCTATTGTCCTCTGTACTTCTCTAACTTTGTACACCACGACCATTAGATACCCAGCCATGAAGCACTGAATGGAGTTTTGACTTGACCATTGATGTGTCTATATACACACTTTAGAGATATTAATTCCTCTTATAAACGATAAATTCCGGCATTAAGCATACCTGCTTTATGCCTCACTGTTCCTGTTCCTGTTCCTATGCCCGTTAACCCCGGCCCACGTGATGCACCCTTCCAACCAATCAGATCCCACAAAAGTAATTCGCCTGCACTGAGTCAGCCTCTAGTAGCTTCGATTTTCTCCACCCTCGGCTTTGAAGTATTCGTATATCTGTCTCTCATCCCTTCTCTCCAAACCACCACCACATCAATCAAAATGCCTCGTCAACAACGCCGTGCCGCTCCCACCCCCGCGCGTAGCGCTCCCACTCGCCCTACCGCGGCCCCTGCCCGCCCGGCCGCCGCTCCCCAACAGCAGCAGGCGCCTCACTCGACTGCCGCTCACCAGCCCCAACAACAAGCTCCCATGCAGGCTCCTCCCCAGCAGAGCGCCGGCCCCGGTCTCTTCGGCCAGATGGCTTCCACCGCTGCGTGAGTGACCGCTCATATCCTAACATCAGCCTTATTACCTCTCCTTACTCCCCTTCATTCTACTTCACTCCACTCCGCGCCTCGGCCATACCCGGAGGCACTACCGGAACCCTTCCCGAACACATTTGACTGATTATATTTCTTTCTCAGTGGTGTCGCTGTCGGTTCCTCCATCGGCCACGCTATGGGTGGCTTCTTCGGCGGTGGCTCCAGCGCCCCCGCCGAGGCCCAACAGCAGGCTCCTGCCCAGGGCCAGGCCATGGACAACGGACTGTACCAGAGCAACGCGGCCAACACCTCGTGGGAGAACCCCGCCTGTGAGACCGACGTCCGCAACTTCCGCTCCTGCATGGATGAGAACCAAGGCAACATCAGCATTTGCGGATGGTACCTGGACCAGCTGGTATGTTTTTCTTTCCCTTTTCAACTCTCTTCCCTCCACGCGGACAGAATTCTAATACGTTTCCTTTTTTACAGAAAGCTTGCCAGTCTGCTGCTAAGCCTTACTAAGGGCTTTCCTACCTTGCTAGGAAGGAAAGGACAGTCTTATAAAGCGTGCGATAGAAATCATGCATCCCTTCCTCGTACCGAAATTCTTTTATATGCTTCGGTCATAGGTTGAGCCGGGTTGAATATGATTCTTTTATAATGCGACTCTGATCTCGTGTTGTTTGTACTTATATACCATCTCTGCTCATTGAATCTAATTATCAAATACCCGGGACCCCTGACACATTGGAATGGGTTCATAAGCTATGCATTTCCTGTCTTTATTGATGAGGTGAAGTATGTGCTTTGCAGGGCGTAGTAACCAGGCAATTTATTGAGTTATGATACACACTGTTGCGCTCTCGTTATGGTACGATGATAAAGCATCCCAATCGAACTCATGCGATTACAGTAGCAGAATTAGGAGGTAGCGTAAAATGTCCATTTAGATCACACCGAGTCACTCAACACTCAACGGCTGTTCCCATCTTGATTCCGAGGTTCGAAATTCAACTTTTTGGATGTCAGTATTAATGGGGTTCCAGGTAGAAAGAAAGAAATAGTAAGAGTAATTGTCATACCTGATTTCCGTTATAAAACTGGCTATCTCTCCCATCATTCGGCTGGTCATGGAGCGTCCGAATATTCGGTCCTGATGGCCGTCTATTGCGAGAACTATTGGGAGCAGGCGTAGAGCTAGAAGACGGCTCCGGCTCCGACGGTGGCGGTGGCGGATTCTGACCATACCCAACGAATGAACCAAAAAAGCTGGCAGTCGTGCTTGCAACGGAGTATGCTGTATTGTAGACGGCGGAAATTCCACGAACTGGAAGACTAGAGCCGGCGGCAGAATAGGCCGACGTGAACGATTGAACTGGGACCATGACTAGATTTGCGGTTGAGCCGAGACCTAACTCTTCGAGTGTTTGTGATTCCTCGCCGACGGAGAGTGTTCGGCTCGGAAGAGGGGTCAGAATGTGCTTCAGGTTGTATGGGCGGTTTTCGTCGGTCATTTGTTGTTGTTGGTCTAGCCAGGACCGCACTTCTTTGCCGATTGTTTGCTTGGGCGTGAATGTTGAGCGGACGGAGCTGCCGTCGAACAGTCGTACTTGGAGACGATATTCCTTCGGGGGTCCTTTAGGGACGGTAGGCTGTGGCTTTGGCTCTTCTTTCGGTTGCTGTGTAGTCTTGGTAGCGGCTGGTTTCGCGGGAACCCGAGGCTTAGGTTCTTGGCGAGGCTTCTCTTGTTTCGGTTTAGGCTTCTCTGCTTTGTCTTCTTTCCGGGCTAAACGCTTTGATGATGACGAAGACTGCTCCGACCGAGGTTGAGCTTGAGGGCGGGATGGTCTTGTTGTAGGCTGCGATACTGGTTGCTGGGTCGGGATAGGAGGCGGAGAAGATGCTGTAGCAGGTGGAGTTGAAGAGGATGTAGTAGTATCGTTGCTGGTGGATGGAGCACTTGTCTGAGGTTGTTGGGCCACAGGAGGAGCATATTTACCCTCTAGGGCAACTTTCAATCGGTTCAAAAAGTCCTCTTTGGATACCTCTGATGTAATGAACTCTTGCAATGTGCCGTTTCTATAACCCATTGTTAGTTTACGTCCGCCTCAGCCAAGCAAGACACTGTATTTCGAGTGTCACCTACTTGATTACCACAACAGTTGGGTAGCTCGAGATTGGACAGAATGATGTTAGGAATCCAGCCTCCTGAGTCCCAGAACTGAGTCGTAAAGTAATCGCTTTATCGTGGAGAGCTTGGGCGATCTGTTCGGGCGATTAGCTACCACATGGAAGACGGGATACTCAAAGATTCATATACCTCTGGATCAGAAAAGTAATCATCCTCCCAGGTAGAGCCCAGTTCTGTATCATCTGTATTCAAGTCGATTAGCCAAGCTGTCCCAGGTCCAAGGCGATCGATCTCATGATGCGGGGGGGATAGATAACCAACCTCGGGCGAAGCAAACAACAGCCTTTGCTTCCTGGACTGCGAGGGCTATGCCCTCCTGAAGTGTTCCAGAATAGAAGAGAGTCATGATCGCATTTCAAAGAAGCAAAGTATGTCAAGAGAAGTGGAGTGTGAGGTATTCCCAGTTGGAGATGTGTACAGAGTAACTGCGGAGAAGGAGAACGAACCCGAAGCTCGGGGGAGCCGGCGCGACCGCCTAAGCGCGCGATTCCACTCCGCTCTGGAAGACAAATCTCCCCGTTCGTCTTTCTTTCTCCGGATTCACGTTGCCGCGATATTGAATCCCGGCCTCTCTCTCACAAATCATGCGGCAGTTTTTCGAGACTTTATTACGGCGGACCCCTCCGTCTGCTTGGGCACTGCCACCCCGAGCCGGCAACCGGAATGTCGCATGGTCTCTGGACTCGATCTGCTCTAGATGTCGTCTGCAGCAGCAGAAACGCCAATTCACACAGTCCCGGCAATTGACGGACAGTCTCTCAGTGGTGGATCACCCGGCCAAGCTCGTTCGAGTGAACCAGAAGCATGGGCCTGGTCTGATCATTCTTGGTATGTTTTCTTCAACCTGTGATTTGGGATATCCGCAAATTCATGAAAAATGTAAAGTCAACCCACTAACCCCAGGCTCCTCTTGTACAGCTCTAATTCCAATTATTTCATTCGGACTGGGCTGTTGGCAGGTCCATCGATTGGACAGAAAAACCCAGCTCATTGCCAAATTCGAGGACCGTCTTGTCCGACCTCCACTCCCGCTGCCTCCGCGCGTCGACCCTGATGCTATATCTGAATTCGATTACCGCCGCGTTTACGCCACTGGTCACTACAATCATGACAAGGAGATGCTGGTTGGACCTCGTATGCATGATGGTGAAGACGGCTACCTTGTCGTTACGCCCCTCGACCGTGGAGATGGCCAAAGCACTGTGCTAGTCAACCGCGGTTGGATCTCTAAGAAGCAAATGGCCCAGAAGGACAGACCGCAGGGGCTGCCAAAGGGGGAAGTTACCGTGGAGGGACTACTACGTGAACCCTGGAAGAAGAATATGTTTACGCCAGATAATAAGCCCGCGGAAGGGAAGTTTTACTTCCCTGATATTGTGGAGATGGCTGAGTTAGCTGGGAGCCAGCCCGTGTGGATTGAACAGACTATGAGTATGGACTAACTGCCATTTGGCTATTCTGATATGTAATCAGGGCTAATTGTCTTTCCAGTGCCCGATCTGCTCCAATATATGGATTACACGGCGAAAGGTAAACCCATTGGACGCGCAGCCGAAGTTAACCTGCGAAACAACCATGCTCAATACATCTTCACATGGTAAGTCGATCGCACCTTTTTTGGAGCCTAGTCGTTCCCCATCTAATGCTTCCCAGGTTCGGTCTCTCATTTGCTACATCTGTGATGATGTGGATGCTTCTGCGGAAGAAGCCCAATGAGGCTCTGCGTCGTGTTCGCCAGAACCGTAACTGGTGATCTGTACTTGTTCATAGCTTTCCTTGGTGGTTTGTCCCAGGCGTTTGGATTTTTATCTGGTTATTATGGTGTTGGTCGAGTCGATCATGGTGGCATAGCGAGTCGCATATCTTGTTGGAGCTCCCTTGGCAAATGCTTCTGGGCCAGTGAAAAGATTGTCGTGGATTTGTTGACGTGGCGTTGTCTATATAAGTCAGCAAAGCAGCTCAAAGCGTCTGGGTCTGGGACTGGCAACCAACCTCCTCATTAGCGTTGCAACATCGCTCTCATCAATGGTCTTCCTTCCCGCGTGTTTCGAATATGCAGCCAAGTCCTGGCTTGCTTGTTCGAAATACCATGCAGATGCTTGCTCAATTGCTTCGAGCGCGGCCTTGTTGATCTTTGATTTTGACCCAGCCTTCGTACCTGAGAAACGCATGGCCAATTTCTTGACGATCCCCTTTGGCAGATTAGGTACAGGGATTCCGTGGCGGGATGTTTTCTTTTCTTTGCTCTGCGGGTTTAGTCCATCATCCCGCAGGCCGCCCCCGGCAATCCCTGAGTTCACGCTCGAAGAAGGGGCAGGTGGAAAATCAAACCCAAAATCATCGGCGGCATCGACGTTCTCATCTGCTGAAGGCGAGGCTGGCACTGGTTGAATATCACCTGCATCCAACTCGAACCCGTCCGTTTCATCGAGATTTTCTCCCATGTCATCCTCGACTGGCATTGCACCTGGGGATGGGAAATCCATCACAAGATTAAACCGTCCCAAATCCGCCGTTTCTCCACTATTCGTGAATATTAGCCTTTATGTACCATAGACAAATAAAGTTCAAAGATGTTATCAAAACATACCCGCGATCGAAATCGCCTCCGCTGATCATAGTATCCTCCCCACCATCGTCTTCCACAATGCCCGTCTCATCCCCCTCATCGACATCACTCTCGGACTGATTGTCCCGGAACACATCGCTTGGTCTTCCGAAATTGCGACTCATGATCGACAATCGTTCCTGGTCTCGAATGCTGATATCTCTCCTGGGGTACTCGACGGTGATATCGTCATCGTCGAAGGGCAGAGACAATCGAGGCGGGCTTCTTGCGGTACTTCCTTCTTCACTTCCCTCAACCTCCTGAATGGGCAGAGTCAACTCGGGTGCCTCGATTTCCGATTCCTCATCCAACTCCTCAATCTCATCTCTGGGTTTCGGTGGGGGCTTGATCTCTTCTTCGGGAGACGAATGAATTGGTTGAGTCGTAGGGGCAAGCGCTAAAAATACCTATCAGTTTTCCATACCGAAAATATAATACCGTCAGGGTATCTTCTTGACTTCAAATCATACCTCTACCAAGGTTTTTTAATATATCGAAGGTCGTTTCGCGCTGGATGCGCCCACTCCTGCGCCGGTCACGACCAGGAGTGTTTGCCGCACGTTGCTGGCGCGCATTCCGGCCGTAGGGCGTAGAAGGCGCTATTGCAGGTCGACCACGAGGTGTGAAACGAGAAACGGACCGCGATGGGGTCGCTGTAGTAGCAAGACGACGGGGTGTGAGTGGGTATAGAGTGTGACTTGGAAGGCGTTGAAGCTGTAATTTACAGAAGTCAGCAAGTCAGTAGGTTGACAATTTGCGACACATGAAGCTATGAGCTTACTCCAGATGGGGTCGCACTGCCCGCATCGCGCAGCGACTTGCGGTTACGCGGGTTTGGCGTAGACATCCCCAGGGTTGAAACCAGGCTCTAGGGATAAGTGAATGTGTACTCAGTAAACCTCGACAGGTGTCACAGCTGTGATTATTCAGAGTATTGAATGTGGGGCATTGTAGATAGAAGGTTGAGGAGGAAGCAGCGCGTCGGGGCTTCCCATGCGGGCATAACAATCGACCGCATCCACACTACCTAAAGCGGTTAGCATATATATCTTATCGATAAGAAATGCTGACTAACATCTGCGCGTTTCGAAGCTTTTTCTTTTTTTGAAGATATCGACACTCGACTTGCTCTGATTAGTACAATTAGAGGACATTAAGTGGTCAATCAAAATCGAACGATCACTACATACCGACAAGATGTCCGACTCAGTTCCCAAGAAGGGTCTCTCCGACAAGCTGGAGAAGAAGCGCAAGAGACAAGCCGACGAATCGACCAAAGATGGCCCAAAGACCGAGACGCAGCCCGCACCAGCGACGGAGGGCCTCAGCAAGAGGCAGAAAAAGCTCCAGAAGAGCAGGAAGAATAAGCCTGAGCAGGACCTGACGTCGCAGGATCGCGAGAATGGCATCGACAAGTCGATTGGGAAGATGGACGGATCGCTGCTGGGTGATTACTTTGCCCAGCGCGCAAAGAAGTTGGACAAGGAGCTCTCAGCTGTAGAGCTCAGTGACCTCTCGATTCCCGGTATGTATTTGCGCGAGATATCTATTTGCTTGGCGAGCCGTGCAGGTGATTAATGATGTGCAGAATCCGCCTTTCTCGATACTACTTCCTTCGATCTGACCCGCTCATTGGAGCAATTGCCCGCTTTCCTCAAAAAATTCAGCCCCAAGGGAGCTGATTTGTCCAAGTCTTCGACGAAGGAGGGTACTCCCCATACGCTTGTGGTGTCGGCTGCTGCCCTCAGGGCTGCGGATGTTGTGAGGTGAGAATATATCCGATGGCAATGAGCAGAGGAACAACCATACTAACGGCCGAAACCAGAGCCCTCCGGCCTTTCCAGACCAAGGAGTCAATCGTCGGAAAGTTATTCGCGAAACACATTAAGCTGGAGGAGGCCAAGCAATTCCTCCAACGTGCTCGGTACGGTCTCATGCGGATTCTGCTCCCAATAAATATAATTCAAACTAACCTCTGCTTCTAGGACTGGTATCGGTGCTGGTACGCCTCAAAGACTGTCCGATCTTCTGGAGTCTGGTAAGTTTTGATCTGATAAATGAATGTTCCAGCAAATACTAATTTGACCTCTGCTAGGAACTCTCAAGGTGGATGAACTAGAGCGCATTGTTATTGACGGATCCCACATTGACGCAAAGCAGCGTGGACTCTTCGATATGAAGGATACACATTTGCCTCTCTTGAAGCTTCTGACTCGACCTGAGCTTAAGGACCGATATGGGGCTTCGAAGAAGAAGATCCAAATTCTGATGTTTTAATTTTACGAGCGATTACAAAAGTTTCTGCAATTAGAGAATATGTCAACTCAATGTATACTTATCTATATTCATACCCTCTTTTCTTCATCAACAACAATCCTGAATCCATTCCCTCGCCAAAAACCGTCCGGCTCTAGACTTCCCCCCTTGGGAATATGGGTTTGGAAGTGGGAATAAACATCGGCCCATCTGGGGTGCTCACTCTGGGTAGTGTTTGATGATTACTATAAATGATGATTTCCAATAAGTTGAATTGATTAAGTCGCAATTCCTTGGAATGTTCAACAGAGAATAGGATCACGAGTAGGTGATTATTGAGGTATGTTTGTTGAGCGGGCGAGTTCGGCCGAATTCGACCGAGACGTCAGCCGACCTCGACCGACTGCAAACTGACGCGCTGTTTTCCCAAAACTGGATATCACAGCATCCGGTTATATTGACAAAAGTATGACAAGTACAATGCCGGAAGAACACCGCCGGAAAAGGCTCCGTAAAGGAACAAAAAGTTGCTGTGAATGTAAGCACCGCGCCCTGCAATCAGCAAATGCTGAGAGTGACAATGAGCAGGCAAGCGGAGAAAGATCAAGTGCATCCCATCTCCGGATCCCTCTATCTGCTCGGGTTGTCTCGAAAGAAGCACTGCTTGTCTCAGTCAGGAGCATGAGCGTGATGATCAAACACATCACGGGGAGGATTCAGCGATGGCTCACCGGATGGCAAGGGTGGAGTCATTACTGGAGGCACTGATAGAAAGGGCACCTTGGGCCCAAGTCAGTGGTATGACTCCTACGTCAATTCCGGTAACAGAAAGCGAGTCACTGCATGTCCTTGCGCCCTTTCCAAATGCCCCAGAGCCACAGACCGGAATTGAACCTCAAGCAGGGAAACTTGATCTTCTGCGTAAACAACTGACAAACATGCTACCCTGTCAAGCGGATGTGGACTTTCTACTCTCTTCAAGCCACGGGTGGTGGCTAATCCAGCAACATATGATGGTCCATCTCCCGAATTCGATTGAAAATGACTTTCAAGGATTGTTCAATGTCAACGCTGTCGCGAAGGGGGATCCGATTACAATAGCGAAGCTACTTCTATGCGTTGCGATCTGCATCCAGCAGCTTGAACCTGAGATTGACATGAGCAAATTGCAAATGAAATCACCCCCGCGAGAAATCATGAGTAGGATTGTTGACTTTCTCATCCGAAACGTCACCTCTGATGACGACATTACTGGAAGTATCGAGGGGGGTTGAATGCCTTGCACTCCAGGGAGTATATGAGGTCAATGCCGGTAATCTTCGAAAGTCATGGCTTTCATTTCGCAAAGCTCTTGCAATCTCTGAGCTTTTGGGTCTACACAGAGTGGCCGTAAGGACATCCAAAGAATCGCCCGATTTGAAGGAGACCAAACGACATTATCTATTGTATCAAGTTTCAAGAGGGGTACGTTACTTCCATGGATTTGCATAGAACAATGCTTACACCTTATAGGAGCGTTATCTCTCTACGCTTCTCGGTGTACCCTCGGGTACGGGCTCAGGAGTGCTCCCTTTCGACAACATCGCCGCTTGGCTCTCCCCAGAAGATCTTTATCACAAGCATCTTTACGATATAGCAGGTCTCATTCTTGCTCGCAACCAAGAGGATTACACTCATTCCTTCTCCACCACTCAAATAATTGGCGAAAAACTTGAGGCCCTCGCAGAACAAATGCCGTCAACCTGGTGGGAAATTCCTACCAACATTCCTCAAAGCCGCACCCTGGAAGCGTCTGTTCAATTCGAGCGAGTAATGTGTCAAATATGGCACTTCGAATTAGCGACACTGCTACATCTTCCCTTTATGCTACGTGCAGCAAATACCCGACGATACGAATATTCGCGTATCTCTTGTCTGGATGCCTGTCGGAGCCTAATCAAGAGATGGGTGTCCATTCGCGAGACCAATGGCACTTTCTATTTCTCCAACCTCCTTGATTTCGAAGCCTTCACGGCAGCAACCACTCTATTATTGGGGCTCTTTGTCTCTCATGGAAATAAGATTCAAGATGCATTACAAGAACGAGACGAAGATTTTGAACTTATGGAGATGGTTGTTCGAAACTTCGAAAGGCTTAAGCGACATGGCTCTCGAGTGTCCGTTGGCGATCAGAGCATTTTAGTTATTCGCACACTTCAAGGGTTTCTTCGTGGGGAAAGATCGTCTGGTAGCCTGCGTCTAGAGATCCCGTTCTTCGGAATTATCAAGGTTGCACTCAACGGCGCCGTAGAACCATTGGCGGGTGAGCGGATCCTCGGGGCAAACACAGGCCACAACAATTTCTATACTCGATCTAAACAAAGAACCATATTTTCTTCCATGGCGAAAGAAAATTGCACGCCGGATTTGGAGCCTTGGTCGAGAGTAAAGGGATTCGAGCAAGGAGTTGCAGCCGGGGGGAATTCTGCTAACCGTGTCGTCCGGGGACCTGATACTATTTTGCAGCCCTCTGGTGGCCACTTGGTACTTCCCGAGTCATCCGATAACCAAGAGACCCTTGACGCCAGCGAATGGTCATTTTCGCCAGACGATATGATTTTCTTCGACAGTTTGGTGAATACCGACTTGGCGGGCAACTGGACACTGTGATCTATCCCCCGCGAAAGCTTAAAGCCGCACTGATAGTGCTACTCTAGACAAACTAGATATGCCATGTCGTCATCTCGTATACGAGCAGATAAATCAAAAATGTTTACTAGGCATATCTTGTCTATTATAGTCTTTGTAGTAAATACCGGGAAACAGGGTCAGCGTAGATTTCTGTGCAGTCAGTCTACTTACTGGCATCTTCGGCCGAATATTTCCGACACCTGTACTGGTAGAAGAGGAACGGCGGAGGCACGGCGGAATAGGATCCAATTCATATACTAGAAATCAATTGAGACCATTTCTTATAAAAAGCTCGGTACCCGGCCCCAAAACATCAATCATTCCAACCAACCTTCCATTCTACAACTTTCTACACATTCCAGTCCGAGAAATTCCCACAAACTCCTCAAGAAAACCATGGCCGTCAAACAATATACCGCCGCTGTTACTGCCGCGGCTGAGGCTCACATAGTCTCTTATGTTGCCGATTTCACCTCGCCTATCTTCAAAAGCTCCATCGAGCGCGCTACAAAAATGGCCACTTACTACCTTCCTACCATCTCTTTCTTTGCAAATGGTGCCATTACTCAAATATCCGACCCATCACTTTACGTGTCCCTTATTTCCGGGCCTCTTGATAAGTTGGACGGTTTTTCGCCGAAAGTGACTGGACACAAAGTCGAGGCCGTGGGTGAGAACTCTGCAATTATATGGCTGTTCTTCAGTATCGACGGGAATGAGATGTCGAATGTCTACTTCTTTAGGATGATGGATGATGGAACTGAAGGGTTTGAAGGTGGTATTTTTGATGGAGAAATGTGGATGTTGAAGCAGCTGGGAAAGGTGTAACTTGATAGCTGTTTACGTACGCAACCGTCGCTGGAAATGTTCGTTGAGAAGCTTGAGGACCCAATTAGAGATAGCCAGAACATCCTTGAACTTATTACTAGCTGGGCGACATATTGGCCTCTGGAATAGATGTTCTTGTATCTGACCAAGCAGGAAATGATAGTTTTTCCAACATCAAGAATTTGTTCCTCTGGTAGTATTATCCTGGGGCTCTTTGGTCATATTTGCCATATTCCATTTCTAGGAATCCTGATCGCTCAATTGCAAAAATCCTCTCGGAGTCATAATTATCGTCCTCCATAATCATCCTCCATAATCATCCTCCACATAAACCCTATTTCTCCCGACCAAAAGCTTGCAAATCTTCACATTGCAATTTTGAGCCGCAATAAAGAGCGGAATTTGACCCTCACTATCCCTACTCTTTATATCCGAGCCATGACCCAGCAAAACTTTCACAATCTGCTCGTGGTTATTCCGAACAGCCCATGAAAGCGGCGTACGGGAATCTATATCCCTAGCATCAATTTGTAACGGGTCTCTTTGCGATGCTTGTGCGCATAGATATTTCACAACATTTAAGTGACCCCGCATAGCTGCCCATATCAATGGAGTACGCTCCGAAATGTCGCGAGGGAAAGAGTTTGCTCCTTCTTCTGCCAAAATCTTGACTACGTCCATCTGGCCGGCCATAGATGCCCAGCAGAGAGACGTTCTGCCGTGTCGATCTTTGTGCTCTATTTCGGCCTTGCCCCTGTGCTCAAGGAGAAGACGCACGGCGGTCTTGTTTCCCTTTTTGGATGCCCAGCATAAAGGTTGTTGGCCATTTTCGTCGACGAGATTCGGGTTCACTTCGCTCATTGCTAGCAATATTTTGATTACTGGATCGTGTCCTGAAAGGACAGCCCAGGTCAGTGGAGTGTAGCCATTTTGATCTCGACAGTTTGGGTCTGCACCATGTTTAGAAAGATCTTCCATGATCTCAACATGCCCGTTTGCCGCTGCTTCTAGAAAGGGGGTTTGTCGATATTTGTTTCGGGCATCTACTTCAATGTCCTTGTGTGAAAGAAGTAGCTTGAGCATCGATAGATCCCCTTTCTGCGCCACATATCCCAACGGAGTCTGTCGGCTTGCAGGATCTCGACAGTTGACTTCGATATCATGTCGTTTCAGGAGAGTGGTCACGAATTGCGGTTGCTGGCAGGCTACAGCCCACCATAGAGGGGGGGTTTCCCAACTTATCATGACAGCTAGGTCCGATTGCCTCAAGCAATCTCCTAAATGTATCCTCATTTCCCACCCGGATAGCATTTGAAAGCTTGCTTGCTGAATCGGGAGATGATTCCAGTTCATCATTTTCCACCAGTGGCTTCGGAGTGCTCATTATATCTGAAGCCGAAGTCTGGATAATTTCTTCTAGGAATGCCGGGTCTCGCTGTCCTTCACTCACTAAAAGCTGGCGTAATAGAGTTCTGGTTTCCTTTGCGTCGAGTGGTCGGGATCGCTCATGGGCCTGGAGTTCAAGGAACTCCTCTGCTAGATCCTTCCTTTGTTGAGCCCAGGATCCCCTCACAATGTCTGCAATAGCAACAAAAATACTTGCGATTCCGGTGAAGAGGGCAATCATTTGACCACTTGAAGTTGCGATACTCTCTGTAGTGAGATGATTTGCCTGTAGCATCCTCTCCACAGAGACAATGGCAATAAGTGGGCCCAGAAGGTTGATGATAGCCCAATGGGTGAACTTAATGAAACCACTAAAACTTGTCGGTGCTTTTCTGAGCTTAGGTCGTAGAATGCTTTGCGTAGACGATGTTTTGATTCGGTACGTATACTGTGAGTGTGAAGGATCGTAGTCGATCCTCCGGGCTGAGGCGAACTGGAAAATCCGGGCTAAACGTATCCCAATCTGGTTCACCCGTCTCACTGGGCCTTTATTGAGACCTGGCAATAGATCCATTAGGTGAACAGCAAAGAAAGCGACAAACAATATACCCGTGATGGCGCTCATTGCAGCCGCAAATCGACGCCACGGGGTACTCATCAACGGGAAGAGACCTAGGCAAGCTGCCTTTGCTGGACATGTGGGTAGCTCGACGTGATAAACACCCTGAATCCAAAACCAAACGCCAAAAACACTGATTAGGGCGCATAGGAAATTTTGCGCCACAAGCGGGAAATCGGGACGTAGTAAATACCCCTGCTCGTTACCAGCTGCGTCGCGCTTTTTCAAGAGATTGTATGACTCGGAGTAGAATAATGCAATGGTGAGATAATAGACCAGAAGGAAGTCCAGGGATAATGCAGAGCCCTCGGCCTGTCCGATGATCATGGTGACGATAATCGCATAGCAAATTGCATTATTTGTAACGCGCACCGCCGATATTGTCTTCCAGGATCCATTCCAGTTGCGGAGAAGAAACCCAGCAGCCCATTGTAGATAAAGACCGGTTCGGACGCCAACGCCGTATAGATCGCCGTTGCCTTTCGTGGTGCAGTCCATGGCTCTGGGGAGCTCAGGCTCGGATTGCCTGGCGAAAAGAGCAGAAAACTCCCCCCTCTCCCCCCACTGTACTTTATATTCCAAGTCCCCCGGAGACGTCTAAATCATATGCAGGGGTGCCTAAGGATGCCTGACAACTAGACGGGCTAAGCCGTTTATAGCCCGAGTCTTTCAACAACTCTAGATCTCAACTACTGAAATGCTTAATTATATTAAGTAAATAAATTCATGTGCTCCAACTGAGCATCATCGACTATAGTTCAGGATGTTGAAATATATTGAGATGACAATAAATTAGAATTGAATGATTTCCCCATTCGGTAAGGTTAAATCGGGAATGAGCGATAGTGATTCACCGCCCTTTAGTGGAAACTGGCAAAATCTAAATTTCTCGCTGGTCTCCGCCCAAATTTTTCGGAGCGAACTTTGGGCCTTGCGACAAAAGCTACAACTTCCATAACCCCAATCAATCACCCACACTCACACACATTTACAATGGGCGATAAGCGCAAGCTCGAGAACCCGGCTGATGCCGTTGTGCCTGAGGGCAAGAAGATGAAGAAGGAGAAGAAGGAAAAGAAGGAAAAGAAAGAGAAGAAGGAGAAGAAGGAAGAGGTTGCTGAGGTTGCGCCTATTGAGACTACCCCCGAGGTGAAGGAGAAGAAGGACAAGAAGGACAAGAAGGAGAAGAAGAAGGACAAGTCTGACAAGAAGGACAAGTCCGACAAGAAGGACAAGTCCGACAAGAAGGAAAAGAAGGAAAAGCGCAAGGCCGAGGACGAGGCCGAAACCGAGTCACCCGCCGACAAGATGGACGTCGACGAGGAGACCACCGAGAAGAAGGAGAAGAAGGAAAAGAAAGAGAAGAAGGACAAGAAGAACAAGAAGCAAAAAACCGACGAAACTGCTGCCCCCGAGGAACAAGAGCAAGACCAAGAGCAAGAGGAGGCTGCCCAGGGCAAGAATTCTCGCTTCATCTGCTTCGTCGGTAAGTAACACATGCCCAACAACTACAATTATAAGCCGAATGGGACTATCAAACTAATCAATTCAACAGGCAACCTACCCTACTCCGCCAGCCACGAATCCCTCACCAAGCACTTCGAGAAGAACCCGCCAGCCCTGATCCGTGTCGCAACCAAGAAAGAAGCCCCAAGCAAGTGCCGCGGCTTCGCCTTCATCGAGTTCGACCACTACGACCGCATGAAGACCTGCCTGAAGCTGTACCATCACTCTATGTTCGATGATGGAAAGTACCCACCTCGCCGCATGAACGTCGAGCTAACGTGAGTCCGATCCAAACCAAATTACGATGCCTTATACGGGCCATTGCCCAATTATAATACATGCTAACATGTTTAACAACTCCAGTGCCGGCGGCGGTGGCAACACAGACAGCCGCAAAGCCAAAATCCAAGCTAAGAACGAGAAACTCAACGACGAGCGCCAACGCGACGCCAAGAAGATCAAAACAGACAAGAAGAAGCACGATAAGCCTGTCGGCCGCACCGGTGCCAATGCCGAAGCTGCGGCTCCCGCTGCCAACGGTGATGAGGATAAGTATGCCGGTGTGCACCCCAGTCGCAGACCGCAGCAGATGTGGTAAATTCATATTATGCACATATCTATCTTGAAAAAATTTGCTTTTGATATCTGGTCGTCATTTACGATTGGATTTGCTTTTTTTATTCTTCTTTTTGGCTGCGCTGGCATTGTCTTGTTGTTTTGCTTTGATGACCCACATAGAACGCTGCTTAATGGCCTGCATGTACAGTCTGTTTTGTTTGGAGGGCCCGCGCGCCGATCACTACTCAAGTACAAGTACTACTGTAGTAACATATAGTACATACAGTATGTAACTAACTGGTTGTTGGAAATTATAAAAGCCCTACTGGTACGATGGTTGTGATCTCCGAAATACTTAGTATACTCTATACTCGTAGTGAGTGAGAGACGTAGTTCAAGTTCATGCCAATGGCTCGATATTCTCCGATTCGACCGTAGCCCCAAATGGATACTTGCGCAAGTTTTTTTGAAAAAAATCTATCAGTACGATGGCTCTAGAATCATGGAGAAAGATAGAGATGGAGAAATGGAGAAATGGAGAGAAAAGGTCGGAAGAAAGATGAAGCAAAGAAAAAGAAAACTCCAGATTGCAAAGAAAATAAGATGGGACAATCATTCAGACAGATAAGCTGACAACTTTGGAGGTCAAATCAAAACACGGAGGATATCGCAGCGGGACATGTGGTAGATGCTTGGAATGAGCAAAATGATGCATTTGCCCAGAGTTCACTTCAGACGGGACAGTTGGAACTGGAGGTGGATGAGATGGATGGAAGAGAATATATTCGAAATGAGAATATTTCTTCCTTCGTGTGGGTCGTGAGGATGGTATGGTGCTGGTGCTGGAGGTAGAGTTCATCGAGAGAGACAGATAGAAAACGAGAGAGTATGTGGGCAAAGAAAGAACCCCAATGTCCACCCCCTCGTACAGGTCCGGGACGCCGTATTAACTATATATTAATCGTTATAGCAGACGTAAAGAAGAGTGCATGGAAGACAATATCCTACAGGATCTTGCATTTGTTCTTCCGCCCGGACTTGGCTGCGGGGCGGGGGTTCAGGACGGCGCTAGGATACCGTTAGCGATGGCTCAAGATCATTCTTGCATCTGATGCAGTCGACGGTGGGCTTACCGAATGGCTTCATCGAAAACACTCTTCAGATTCCGCTGTGTCAGGGCGGAACATTCCAGGTACTTGTGTGCTCGGATTTCCTTGGCCACGCCCAGGGCCTGCTCGTATGAGACGGGCTCCATCTTGCGGGATCGGAGGGCTTCGGTGGTTGCGCGGTCGTCGCGCAGATCGAGCTTTGTGCCGACCAGGATGATGGGGACGTTGGGGGCGTGGTGTTCGATCTCGGGGAACCACTGGAAGAAGAGGTTAGTCATTGTTTACCTCGAAGGTTCAAAGAGAGACTAAGCAAGAACGCAAGTTTGCAACTTGCGGCTCTGCATTCATGATGGAACAGAGATAGGATGGGGATTAAATCGTGGTTAAGTTGTGGAAGACGTACCTTGGCTCTGACGTTATCAAAAGAAGGTGGGCTGACGATCGAGAAGCAGATCAAGAACACGTCGGTTTGCGGGTAGGAGAGAGGTCGGAGACGGTCGTAATCTTCTTGTCCAGCGGTATCCCACAGTCCCAAGCTAATCGGTCGGCCATCGACCATGACGCTGGCGGTGTAGTTGTCGAAGCTGTGGGATAGTCCATTAGTTTGGATTCATTGACCAGCAGTGAGAGCACAGTTGAGGGGAGGGGAGAGGTGGAAGGGATTTGAAGCATACACAGTGGGGATGTATTCGCCGGGGAAGGCATTTGTTGTGTAGGAGATCAGAAGACATGTCTAAAGAATCGAGCTTGTCAATATTTCCATTGCAGCTGCGAAGGTGAAATTGGGGGGGGGATTCGCAGTACTGACCTTGCCAACTGCACCGTCACCCGTCACCACGCACTATTCATCTGATTAGCTGATACTCCAACAAATCCCGAACCAGGGCAGTAGAGGAAGCTGAAGCCTACCTTGAGCGATTGAGTAGCCGGACCCGTCGCCATGGTTGTGCGAAGTTATGTACACCGAAACAAAAGGGGGGGAAAGACGGCGATAAGGAGAGGAGGCCCGAGGCAGCACAGTCTGAATAACAATCGATACCGAGATAGATTATCCTGCGATCGAAAAATGGGACAAAGTAAGGGATAGAAGGTCTTAAGGAGAAAAGAGGGGGGTGAGGACGAAAGGTGAGGTTCAGGTTCGTAGGTGGAGAAGGGGAAGATCGCGAAGGAAAAGGAGGGGCCGAGCTTTGGAAAGGTAAAGGCTGATGTGGAGTGATGAAAAAAAGGGAAAAGGGAAGAGGAAAAAGGACAAGGGACAGCTTGATTTTCCAGGACCCACCAGAAAATAACCAATGTCTAATGTTGATTTGGGATTCTCTACTCCGAACTCCAGGAATTCAGCTGTGAAAGAAGTCTAGGGGATTTGTGGTGGGCCCGTGAGTGGTCCATAAGTGATGTTCTAAGGTTGCTGCGATGCTCGGATCCTGCCCTGCTGCTCCCACTCTGCACCAATCGCATAAGAATGCAATCACGAGGGGCGCCAACTTGTCCGGGAATGGTCCAATGAATTTCCGTACTCTCCTATTTATTTATATCTGGCTCGCTGATTCCCCAGAAAGATTATCACTTCAAATCTGCCACAGGTTGCTCTCATCCCCATTCTACAGCCGCGATACGCCCCGCGAACCGCCCAGGAATCCGCCAGCCCGCAACTCAGAGGGCTTTGCGGTCAGCTTGGCCATCTTGGCGGCAAATTCGCGGAAATAGGCTGACTTGACGTGGGCCTGCACGGCCGCCTGGTTCTTATATCTGTGGTTTCGGTTAGCTTGGTCCTGGCCTTGTCCCAGCCCTGGCTTGCTGATTCGGAAATGCCGAGGCACGAGACGCCGAGAGATGAGGGGAAGGAAGCTGACCTTTCGACAATTGCGATCTCCTTCTTGCCTTGCACTTGGAATGCGTAGTAAAGCAGAGTGTCAGGCTCATTCTCTTGTACCTTTTTGGTGACTTCGGTGATTAAGGCAGCGACCTGACATGGTTAGACCGGGAGCCACGAGATGGGGAGGGGAGGTTTATCATCAGTATCCAGGAATCTTCTCACCTCGTCGAACTTGTCTGGCTGCGGATAGATGACCGCGGTGACATTGATCTCTGACATGGTGGAGGTTTGATATGGTACTGCTAGATGTAAGTGTACGGGTATAATGGGTCAAAAGAGGAGAATGTCACCTACCTTAAGTACATTAGTCCTGGCAGTCTTGACCTCGGGCCATGGTAAGTGGGTCATGATGAGGCTATCAGATCGACCTCCGCTGGCATTGATTGGATAGAAACCGCATTCGGGGAATTTGCAGGATACAAGGTGCCAGGTGGGGATTCAGGAATGATTGTCAAGCTCTCTCCAGGTATACCAAGTACTGCCCAGTTCCAGATTAGCTTTCTTCTTTATGCCTTGAGTCCATCCCACTGCCTCACGTGGGTCCGGGCCTGCAAGGAGTTGAGGCTCTGAGTTCTCTGCACAGTGGTTACTAGTAGACTACTATTTATTTATAACCATTGTATTGAGAAGAATAGCTAAGAAGGAACCAAGCCTAGATGATAGGATGGTAAGAGAATACTGGTAATACTACTACGAGTAGAAGTATCAATAGACTTCGGCCAGAATGGATGTGGCTGAAGTGTTCCATGTTCGAGGCGGGGATCTGAGTAGTACAAACACAAACCGGAGTTACGAGTATAGGGGGGGTGTCCGCGTCTACCAGGTATGTATGTACTATATTAATTTTCAATGGGGATGTTCTATTCTTCGATGTGGCTGTTCTGCTTGCGTCATCCCTGAGCCACATCAAGTTCTCCATCAGGTACATACGAGTACAGCATTAGGCATTACTTCTTTCGGTACATCAGGAGACAACGCTGCCTAACACTACCTACTAGATAATTGTGTACTTTGTATTTTACTCAATACATGTCTCCCTATATCTATATCTCTATCCTCATGGTCCTTGTTCACATCATATCTTAAGACTTGATCTTTTCAGGCTGCAACATTCTCGGTGGGCCTCTGATCGACTCCCCACCGCCAAGTGACATCGATAATAATAGCTAGTAGCACCCCGGTGTGGCGTTTCGGATCTCCCCCTCGGCCATTTCCTTCTTCTGCCTCTTCCACCTCCTCCCACCATACCCCAATCTACCTTCATGGCCGACTCAGTCCTTCCTGAGCCGACAGCGCTCCCTGCGCTCTCCGATGCGCCCCCATCTAGTGCCGGTCGCGAGTCCGGCCACTCGGGGGCCCTCGACCAACACCCACCGCAACCGCAACCGCAACCCCAAGCGGCCATATCCGATGAATTGAAAGCTCGCTTGGACAAAGTCGTGAACTCAGAGGTGAGTAGCCAAATGGCTATACTACGGTCCAACGACTGTACTCCTGGAATATCCATGCTAATTGACATCTCTCCTGTAGATCGGCATCACCACCCTCCTCACTCGTCTGAAACAAAGCGTGGCCTCCGCCCAGGTACGTCACTGCCACCTATCCCAACGTCAAAGGGAAAGTTTGCACTTGCACTTGCTAACATATACCTCTCCTCCTCTCTGCTCAGGACTTTTCCAGCTTTCTCAAAAAGCGAGGCTCTCTGGAAGACGAGCACGCTCAGGGGCTGCGCAAACTGTCCCGCGCCGTGAACGAAGCCGCGCAACGCAATGACAACCGCCAGGGCACGTACAGCTCCAGCTACAAAGATATCCACCGCCTGCATGAGCGCATGGCCGATCATGGACTCCAATTCGCCGTATCACTGCAGCAGATGGCAGACGATCTGCGCGAGCTCTCAGCCAACATCGAGCGTGGCCGTAAACAGTGGAAACAAACTGGACTCGCTGCGGAGAAGAAGGTTACCGACGCCGAGTCTCAGGCCGAGAAAGCCAAGGCCAAATATGAGTCCTTAGCAGAGCAATTGGACCGTGTCCGCACTGGCGAAAAATCCGGTGGCAAGTTCGGACTGAAGGGTCACAAGTCTGGCGCGCAGCATGAGGAGGAGCTTACGCGCAAGGTTGAAACTGCCGATGGTGACTACAAGACCAAGGTTCAGGCGGCGCAGGCGGCGCGTCGGGAATTGCTGACCATGCACCGCCCGCAGACGGTGCTTAATCTACAACAGCTCATCGCTGAGTGCGACTCGGGATTGACGTTGCAACAGCAGAAGTTCGGTGAGTGGTGGCTCGACGTCATCTGAAAGAATCCTCTTTACTGACAATTGGCAGCTACTTTCAATGAGAAGCTCCTGCTGGGACAGGGATTGTGCGTTAGCCCGATGAAGACGGACGGCGCGAGCTCGATTGCACCCAAGAGTCTTGCGGAGGTTGTCCGTCAGGTTGACAACGAGAAGGACCTTCACGAATACATTCTGAGCCACGAGGGAAATGAAGGTGCCGTGGCTGGCGATGAAGTCAAATATGAACCCCACCCTGTAAGTTTCGCTCTTGGTCAACAGTCTATACGTACTCGCTTTCTAACACAATTTCCAGACACTTGGTGGTGGAGCTAGTACATCCTCACAGCCCAGCACTCTGAACAAGCGTCAATCTGTTCTACCTCAGTCATTCGCCACTGCGAATACCTCTTCTCCTGCGACCCAACCCCCTCAGAGCAGCACCGATCGATTCCAGCCGCCTTCATACCAGGCCCAACCAGAACCTGCATCGGCACCACCAAACCAGCCTCCATACCCAGCCTCAGGACCCCCGCCTCAGCAACCTCCCTCGCAAGTGGTGGTGCCAATGGCCGGACCCCCTCCAATGGAAAAGGGTGGCTACCAAACAAATCTGCCTCCTCTGAAGCCGGTCTTCGGAGTATCCCTCGAGGACCTGTACGCTCGGGATGGAACCGCCGTGCCTTTCCTCGTCTACCAATGTTTCCAGGCTGTCGAACTGTTTGGACTGGATATGGAGGGTATCTATCGACTATCCGGTAGCGCCAACCATATTAGTCACATGAAGGCAGTGTTTGACAATGGTAACTATCCCACGACCCATATTTTGAGAAAGTCATTCCAACCTAACTCGCTACCATAGACTCGTCTCAAGTCGATTTCACAAACCCGGAGAACTTCTACCACGATGTCAACAGTGTCGCTGGGCTCGCGAAGCAGTTCTTCCGAGATCTCCCGGATCCTCTGTTCACCTCACAGTTTTATACCCAATTTGTCGATGCTGCGCGTAAGTAGCATTCCACCGCCTCGAACACACGCAGATACTGACACAAATATGCAGGCATTGATGACGATATCCAACGCCGGGACTCACTCCATGCTCTTATCAACAGCCTACCCGATGCACACTACGCTACCCTTCGCGCAATCATCCTGGTAAGCCGTAATTCCCAAGTACCAAAATACTCTTTCTCCGGAACAAAGAATCTAACGAGAATCCCCACCCCAGCACCTGAACAAGGTCCAAGAACACTACACCCAGAACCGAATGAACGCAGGCAACCTGGCTATCTGCTTCGGGTACGTATTTTTCTTCATTCACGTTACTAGATCTATAGATACACGCAAACTAACATTAGCGCTTATCTTAGACCAACCCTCATGGGCGCCAACTCGGGTGGAAATATCGCCGACGCAGGCTGGCAAGTCCGCGTCATTGAAACGATACTGAATAACACCTTCCAAATCTTCGACGACGACTAGATACTTCACTCGTGTTCACCAATACTGGAAGGAACTACCACGCACACTCAGACTTGGACTTGGACTCACGTACTACGCTCCTCTATATGCTTTCACGATCGCAGATCCCTACCCCATCCCACCATTTGTCCTGGTCTGTTCAGAACGAACATGCCCTTTGCCTGCTTAACTTAACTTGACTTGACTTGACTTGACTGACTTTGTACTACACTAATTTGGTGTCTACGTCTCCCTGTACATATACATCATGTTGGCTTTAGCATTTTGCTTGATTTTTGAATTCCCACGAGTCTTATCTACCTCGAACGCTTATACTAGTAACTAGTAATCTGTATTGTTGGCAGAATACGTGAAGGCGCGGCCAAGCTCCTCTTCGAGATCATGAGTAGAAAAAAAAGGCTCGATATAAGCAGAAGGGATGCTATTGTACATTGAAAAAAAGCAAATGGCTCTATATCACAGGTTTGCTTCAACGCAACGAAGATGTGGGCGTTAAAAACAGAATATCCCAGGCGCAGCAGAGGAGAGACAAGATGGCAATACCAATGACAATACAAAAGAATGGAAGAAAGAGACAGGTATGACAACTTGACCATTCTCAATTCAATTCAATTCAGCATTCAGCATTCAGCATCCGGTTTCTCTCCTCTCCACGGGACGGGGGAGATGCGCGGATTTATTTCATGAAATCCTTCATCGCGTCAAGTCTCTCCAGCGCCGTCATACCCGGTGCAAAGGAAGGATCATGCCAGATCTGCTCCATAGTCGTTGGCTTGGTATTACCCCAAACGCGCCAGCCAGCATCCTTTCCGTTCCAAATAAGCTGCTGAATAACGACGTACTCGGTGACATCCTGCTCCTTTGCCGGCTGCTGGGCAGCAACGTCCTTTGAGCCGCCGGCGGTGGTAGTGCCCTTGGCCGCCTTTTGGAAGGGCGCGGTGTTGACCTTTGTCATGGATTGGCGGGATGAGACACGCAGGACGATCTGGCGGATGCCGGACTTGGGGACTTCGGGGAGTTGGGTGGCGCGGTCTGAGAGGACGCGAACGCCGGTGAAGTGGGTGCTGGGTTGGCGGAGCCATTTGATTAGGTTCCAGGTTACTACCTCGGTTGGGCGGCGAGCTTCGATTTGGGAGATGAGTTTTGTGGAGAGGCCGTCGCAGGTTATTTGCTTGAGTTTGGGGATGTCGCCGCTTTTTTTGGTCGTTAGTTGTTGTTGTGAGGATGGGAGGGAGGGAGGTGGCTTTGCTTACCTGGCGAAAGTGGTGTACAGTTTTTCGTAGAGGGATGTTGCGATCTTTCGACGCTCTGTCAGAAGGAGGGGATAGTTGTTGTCCTTCTTGGTATAGATGATCAAGCTGGTCGATGTTAGTTGCCGTTGTCTTGAAGGGCCGAGTGTTTCTTGCTACTCGGGATGTCCTTTCACACCCTCCTACCACCAAGACCCGCTGTGGCATGCGAGGTGGAAGTAGAACAAGTAGGAAAGAAATATAGGGCTCACCTCATGACGTTCTGGAACCATGCCTTAATCCAGGTCCACTCCATTTGGAGTCGATCCCGCGGCTTGTCGAAAACTGAAGGCATATCCCTCCACAGTGGCCGGACGAAAGTTCCCGGTAACAATCCAATATCATTCGGTAGTTGATTTGCGAGAAGATCCTTTGACCGGACCTTCATCGAGGGCTGGGACGTGGTGCGCGGGCTGAAGTTTTGCGTCTTGAAAGCCCACCGTTGTGACGCCTGCGAAAAAGACCGGCATTGCGGCGCGCCAGGGGTGTAGGGTCGGGCATTGTTCAGGGCCGACTGTGTAATCGAGAGAGTCTTGCCCGCAGGCGAACGAAGTGAGGACGCCATGACGAACAGCGAAGGACTGAGCGGATTGCGTCGGGGAAATAAGTGTCTCGAGATTGGCCAAGAGAATAAAAACCGGAGTCACGTGTAGATCTCCGCGATATGGCAAGGTTGCTGCGTCGAGACCCTTTCAGACACTGCACCCATTCTCTCTCTTTTTATTTTATTTTCTTGCCCGGTCTTCGGATCGCTTAGGGGTAGCTTGGTTTTTCCCTACTACAGACGACCCTCCGCATATCCCCGAGAAAGGGACATTCGCTCTGTACACGTTTTCTCGAAAATCTATTGATCAGGGGAGACCCGGCCCAAATCAACCCTACTCAAACAACGTCCCGGTCATAACGAGCCCAATCAGTTCAGACATAAAACGAAGCAATCGAGATTTTCTCGCGGGAACTCCAAAGAGTCCAAAACGAACCCACACCGACTTGCGCGCCGGCCGCATATGCCGCGATTCTTCGTCAAGGCTGGCTCCTCGACGGAATGCGTCTCCTCCGCCATACGCTCCCCCCGCTGAGTCGCCTCGCGAGCCAGACCTAGATATCTCTCAGAGAAACACTCTTCCTGAACAACTTCGACCCATGGCAGCAGTGCCCGCAGTCCAATTCATGAAAGAAGTGACTTCAACAGCGCCGCCCGCTGTCCCGCCCTCCCCGACCTCCTCGACATCCCACACCCCACTCGGCAGCGATGCTGGACAAGCTGCTTCTTCACCGCTTCACCCGCGGGTAGCTGTCATATTGGGGGTTGACCGCAGATGGTACATCCCTCTGTTAGTCTGTCGGGCAATGAGCACAGTACCTTCCGCTTGGTGGGGGCTGCGATGCGCCTTCACCTTTCTGGCGGAGCTGTTGCATATTCGGCCCGGCATGGGACGCGAGGGGTGGGCGGCGGTGATCGTAGGGAGCGTGGGACAGGAGTGGGATGTTGAGAGGAGGTTTCGCGTTACTGAAGTTGCTTTGGCTATTATGTGGGTAAGTAACGAGATAGCACGCGACATGATGTTACAACCGTGACCTTTTTTTTCTTGGGCTGAACACCAGTGATGCTGACTTTCTCTCTAGTGCTGTGCATCCGCATATCTATCTTATTTCTTTGCAGATTGTATGATGTCTCGATGGTAGGTTTCGCCCGCCCTCAATCGCTATCATCCCCTGTACTCACTGTCTCTCCACTTCCAGGCTTTTGAATTACACACCTCCAGCGGTTGTCATCCGCCTTTTGACAACGAATGGATTGATTGCATACATTACTTCCTGGGTCCTTTATCTCTCCGGCGCATCCTCCGACCCCAGGCTCCTCCTACCAGCCTGGATATCCATTACCACCGTACGTTTTTTTCTTGCCCGTGCATAATGCCAATTGGTTGTAGTCCGGTGACTAACCCTTTTCACCAGACCTTAACCTTCGTCTACCACGCCACCCAAAACCATGCAACGATAAAACGAGAAACAGCAGCGTCCTTACTGGTCGTCTCAGTAGCCAGTTTCCTCAGCCTGTCCTCGCTGCTCTTACAACTACATCTCACTCGCGAGAACGAGCCTGAGGTCCCGGTCTTCGTGATCACCCGTAAACTCTGGGACTGGGCGGTGGCAATCTTCCTGCGCATGCGAGTCGCAGATCCCGCAGAACTGTGATGACACCTTCATTACCGTTTCCACTGCCTCGCTTTTCATTTCATTTCTCTTCTTTTTCTCTATCCCCTTGCTGGGTCTACCTTTTACATATCTTTCTCCCTCAGACACCCCTTCCCCCCCAAAACTCGGCCGATACCAACGAGCCTCATCGTTGCCGCGAAGAGATCGGCCAGAATTGTACATCTCGGGATTGTCATTTTCTTTTCTGGAGTGAGTGCATAGCATGAATTGTGTTAGGGCTCTGCTTTTTCTTTGTGATAATGTACACACCGATCTTTGAGAGATCTTATCTACTTACTTTCCAACTTTCCCATCCCATCTACTAGTGTACATTGCAAGAATACAAATATAGAAAACTTCACGGTCACAACCTCGGAAGAATAATGCATGCCAGCAACTTGAACTCGAATACGCGGTCCACCAAAGTTTTTGTTGGAAGTTGACGGCTGCTAGTACTACTACTTGCGAATCGAATCGAATCAAATCGCCTTTCGGGTCGCTGTGTTTGGAACCAGGGTTCTTCTTACTACTGCTGCCGGATATCAATACCAGGGCAGGAGCGAGCTCAAGAAGATAAACGGGACAGGATTTGCAAAAGTCCTCGCCGATAGCGTAGTGGGTAGCTCCCACTACCATCCGTGATCCAAACCCGGAGGGCCCTCTGGATTTGGTGACGGCTATGTATGGCCATCTCTGGGCTATGCAGCTGAGGCGATAGGGGGGCGCGTGGGGACAGCTGGCGCAGGGGTACCTTTTTTTTCCCTCTCATCTTCTTCAGAATAAGTAAATTTATGATATTCTTCTTTCTGATCTCCTGAAAGGCTTGTTTGGGTGGTGTTTTATCTATTAGCATGATCTTATACTAGGGTTCATGAAGTCCAAGATTCTTAGTTCGTGCATAGGGACATAGACCCACTTATTCCCCGTTATGTGGGAGCTTCTAGTTCGAAACTGCCTTCCATCAGTTTGAGATTATTATCTTTCCCCCGTTGAAGAACTGGAATGGCAAGTTCGATCTACATCTACAGATATACTACAAGAGAACATTGGCATAGTGTCCTAACAGTTCAATTCCATGTTTCCGATTAGCAGCTATGGCAAGGAATGCAGAACATGGGAGAAAAGACCGGATAGAAAGAGGGGGAAAGTAAAAGGAAGACGGTAAAGACCGAGCAGACGAGCACATGCAGAAAAGTCATGAAAAGCTCAGCCCTTCCTCTCGAAACCCTAAACCTTCGGAGCTTCTCATCATGCAAGACGCAGGGTCCCGTCGGAAAAGCAAAAGAATGGAAAAGCTAAAAGGATAAAGAATAAGATAGAGAGAAAAAAAAAAGATAAAAGCACACACGCGCAAACAAATGAAGAGTTAAAAAACGCATCGTCTGTCTATGCAGATATGGGTATCTACCAACGCCTCGTTCCGTCATGGATCCCGTTCTGTGGAAAAGAAACACTAATGATAATGTCGAGTATGAGAGAGGAACAAAACAACAACCCCGATTTCCGGCCGATCATGCTGGGACCGTATCGCTGTAAATACAGAGGGAAAAGCGGGGGGGTTAACTCATATCGACGATGGCCCAAGTCTAATAAGCCGGGCTCAGAGTGGTGAAGGGCAGAAAGCAACAGACATTTGACCGACTGGGTGGGCCGGCTGTGCGCACGGCCGGCGGTTTGGGGATACATCGCATGCTTCCTATCCAACCGCTCACGGGGCAACATAGACTGGGAAGAAGGGACCGGAACAAGGCATGGCGATGTGTTTAGAAACCGTGGACCTGGGTGGAATGTTAGTATTGAGGGGTCCGGGGACTGTGAGGGGTGGCTTTTCCCAAAGAGACGTACCTTGATGGTCTTGGCATCTAGCTCGAGGCCTTCCTTCTTGTCGGTCAAGAACTCCTGAACATCCTTACGCTGATCTCCTTGCAGCTGGATCACCTCACCCATCTCGGTGTCGGAAACAATGGTGCCATTGCAGGCTGGAAGAGAGTAGAGTTAGATATTGTTTCGTTCCTCGCGTACCATGGTTGGCGATGAGAGGAAGGGTGAAAGGAATACGTACCGAACTTCTTCTTGATGACCTTCAGAATCTTCTTCTGGTCAAACTTCTTTGGAAGACCCTGAACAGTGGTCAGAGTCTTACGACCATTGCGCTCTGTAGTATATATAGTTAGCACGTGCTCGATCTCCAAGTACACACGGGGCCTGTGTCGTAGTGGGGTTCGGCTAGGAGAGAAAGACGAAGTAAAGAAACGTACGCTGAATCCGGATATGGATGTAATTCTGAGACTGTTTAGTCTCGCCGGTGTCTTCGTCAGCTTCGGCGAAGGGGTCTGTTAAAAAGAAATGTGTCAGCCGCAGTCCTGTACAAAACTTTACCCCGCCACAACGATCGACAAGGGGAGAGCAGGGCGATGCAACCCTCACGATCACTTCAAGCATACGAAACCAGAAGAAAGAATGTCTTCAGGCTGCATGCACTACTGTTTCAAGACCGCTCGAGGGTGGTGTTGAGGCAGGTACAATATGCAGGCGTGAAGTGGGAGGAGGGGGGGGGGGCAGGTGGCGACCCAACTTACCGAAGGTCTTGAGGTTTTCGATGGACATAAACTCGGCCTTTTGTCGTAAACGACTCTTGAAATCGGTGTTGGTAAAGAGAGCGAGGGGGGGAGATTCAGTATCTCTGGAAGATGAGCGATCGAGAGCGTGTGTGGGGAAGACGAAGGTGGTTTGGTGTTTGAGGGAAGAATCAGAGGGAAAGGCAGAGTTGACTAGCCTTTTGTGACGGGGCACACGGGAAGGCGGTGTGTGACTAAGCACCCACTGAACCGTGAATAGTTGCATGCGATAGTTATGGTTATGGTTATACGAGCGAGTTTTAGTCAACTAGTTACTAGTATTTACATAAAGGATATGTATTGAACAGTACAGTACAGTATTGCTTCAATTAAACTAATCGCTAGAGTGCTAGAACATTTCGAGTGGTAGCATGGTCCGATTACCAGACCTGAATCCACTCATTATTGGTACAGCATGAGTCAATCACCGTACAACCACCATTTTACTGGACGGGCAGTGCAGTTGTGACCTCTTGACGACATTTCCAGCCGTCTCACCCCAGCCGCATGGATTATAGGAATTGACGACGAGACACGTTGGTATTGAGGTATTGGTATCATTGAGGTTCGGAAGTTTAGGCGGGGGCCGGGGCAGCGACGCCGCCCTTAGCCTGAGGAGGCAGGAACATGGGGAAGTAAGTCTGCGGATAGAGTCAGATAAGAAAGCACGAGCAGGGATTCGACGGATAGTGGCGAACGACATACAACGACCAGCGCCATCACTAGAAACACAGAATATGGTTAGTATGCGGTGACCTCAGCGCGGGCAGGGTGTATACGAACAGGACATCATGACCGACATGTAAGCCGGCGTGGAGGCATTCTTCTTCTGCTCTGGCGACTCGGACAGCCAGGACTGGAGGGAGAAGACGAACGACACCCTGTAGCTGTGTCAGAAAGGTCGGATCCAACGGAACTCTGGGTATGGGTATATTGAGCCTACCATCCAATCATCCTATTAGAGCGGACAATTTTGTTAACTGCCCGGTACTATTTGATAATAATGTCTTCGAATGCGCCGCTCGGCTTACCTGTTGCGCGTGAACATCTAGACCGTGTCAGCTCACTGCTTCGCTAACCTCGGATTTCCAACCATCATGGCTTTATCAGGGGGGAAACATACCGCTGCCATCGGCATAGTGCTCGACATAGTACCTGTTGCTATATCAGAATAGGCGCTCACATGGTGCCAGGCCCAATGTTGGCGGGGGAGGAGGGCGTGGAATGATGTTGGGGTGGCGTACTGGACATATCGGTCTCGCTGGTGCTCTTAGGCGGGTCGACATAGGGGATCGCTGGTACCACGTCAGTATTCAGTAGATGGAGATGAATGCATTCGACTGACCGAGATCCGCCCGTCGCATATCCTTGGTTGACGACATCTTGCTGTGCGGAGTGGAAGATAGGAGAAAGGACAGAATGGAATAGCCGCCAAGGCCCAAGGCCAGGCGAAGGCGCTCCCCGAAGGCGCGACCTTTAGGGACTTGTGGCCTGAGGCAGACTCCCGGAGTTCTATCGGCTGGTCAATTGATGCCCCAGGGTGGGCTTCCCCCGAAATACAAATATCATGATAAACACATAGCCACTACTCAGGTAAACACAAAGACACTACAGATACAAAGTCTTTGTTCTAGATAAAATAAAGTCCGACAGTTCAGCGGCAGGGAACAGACAGGCCCGAGCCGTCGGTGAGGTATGTTTGATCACCGCATACTTGCAGGACGACCCGCCCAAACCTGGGGACGATCTCACTTCCGAAATGGTCGGTGAGACGTTTGCCAGATGTGCTGCAGATCGAGATGCTGTCTGGATTGGCCTGGTCGCACACGCATCCGACCTCCTTGCATCCTGCAAGCACAGCATCGCATCTTTCATCGCCAACCCAACCGGGCCTCTCCGACGGGGAAAGGTCCTCGCCATTTACCGATCACCAGTCATTGTTTCAGCGATGGGGTAGCCCGAGCCAGCCCAGCCCAGCCAGCCCCAAGCAGTGGCAGAGTGCAGAGTGCAGAGCGCTTGATGGTACGACCACGACCACGACCACGACCACGACCCACACCGAGTTCGGAAAAAAGCCCAGCTGATACGATCCCAGCGATGCAGCCATCCGACAGTGGGCCGATAGTGCGGAATGTGGACGCCTCGGAGTCCGTCGAGCGGCGCGGGTATGGTGCCGAACGGATTGGATGGGGGGGCAAACAGGTAAAAAGAAAGAAATGGTCAGGCCCAACCGAGAGAGCACTGACCACTAGAGTCCTGCAGATTGATCAGATTTTATCATGTCTATAACTCCGTGTGGACAAACCCCCTTGTGAAGATCAAATGTGCCAATTCAGGAAGGGAGATGCGACGGCAATATGATTTTGGGCCAAACCACCGTCATGGATAGCCGACGGAAAAATGCCAAACAAAGGGTTCCGCAGGGAACAAGTAGGCTGTTCCAAGGTTGATGGAAAGGGGAGTAGAAGGGGGGATGAGAGGTACTAGAATACGTATTACTAGTAGTACTAGTAGTGATACCAAGTTTGAGTTGTACATATTATTGATTCTGTGCTCCATATCTGTAGTTCGGAGTGGACAGACTAGATTTATACTCTCCGTAGACCGGTTAAAAGGGGCCAATGGATCCGAGAAGTGGTCTGGAGAGAATACCCTACTCTACTAGTATACATACTCCGTACTGTACATACTCACATGGGAAGGTATAGCCAGTAAATACTAGTAGTATATCGTGTTCAAGTTTACTCTAACACTAACACCAACATCCATTTCATCTGCCTTTCTTGACTACCGGGATCATACAATCCCAATCCAAACCCAGACCACGCCACACATCGCAGGGTTTGTGGAGGAAGACTGATTCCGTCGATCCGGTGGAACCCCCCGGAGGAGGACGGCTGATTTGAGCCGACTTACGTTATCCTCATCAACATCTCCGATAACGCCTTTCTTCTTCTCTTCCCTCCCTCACTTTGCTGTTTGCTGTATACCAGAATTCAAAAGAAGAAAAGAAGCATTGGACGCGTTCCTATTGCCCGCTCGGGCCCCCGCAATTGCCTATCACACCTCGTGAACACCGCATGTCGTGAGCTGTGATTTGGACCGATCGACCTCGCATTTGCATCAATCGATATCCCCGACTCTTCCTCCCGCCCCCCCAAGTCGCCTAGTCGCCCTCTTGTGGTCTTACGTCGCCTATTCCCTCTCATCCTTCCCTCGATCGCCCAATATTAGCGCAATAACTCGAATGATTCACAGAAACCCCTTCGGACAAGACACCATGAACCTAAGATGATCCCCCATTCCTCTGCTGGCGGCCAATCATGGGGCCACCCGACGCGCTCGCTGAACGGTGGCCCTGCTCGGGCTGATCAGGCATCAGTGCCTGTTCAGTCCGATAATTCAGTCGAATCGTCGCAACTGTCATCCCGCCAGCCCGTCGCTATCGACTTGACCGGTGGCGGGCCCGAATCGCAAGACAGAGAACCGCCGCCGAAACGACCGCGACTCGATGTATCTGGGTCGTCAAATTTAGGTGAAACCGGAACAACAGTCAATAGCACGGAAACAAAAAATACTCCGGGGAGCGCCGGTTCGCGAACGCAGCTCAACTGGCGCGGCCGGCCGCTGTGGTCGTTCCAGGCCGTCATGTCGGAAATTCCGGGCAGCGAGAGTAGAGCTGACGGTACAACTTCGAAGCCCTCATCTCCGCCTCCATTACCTGCTCAACCATGGAGCAATGTCCCTGCAGACCGTTCGCGAAATGCGGGTACCCAAACTGCAGAGGACGTGCCCGACACCAAGGTCCAAACAACACCCTATCGCATCCAGGTCCCTTCCGTGGCTCCGAAAATCAAAGGCGAGAGTAAGTTATTTGACTGGCTTCCATAAAACCTATCGACATTACTAACACATGATCTTTAGAAGTTGCCGACTTCGCGCCGTGGACAGGGAATCATCCGGAAGATATCCTCAACGAACAAACCGCCAAACAAGGATACTATGACCGAACCCAAGTCTCTCAGAACGAGTCAAACACGGCTCGCCCCGCACTATATACCCAGTTCAAACACCGCGCTGGTCTGCAAATGCTTTCATCCCTATTTTCGGCTGTTATGGAGATGCGACAAAACCACAATACTGTCAATACCCCGTCAAACTTCAAGCCTCCGCCACGAGTCACGCTCACCGACAACAAGCGAGAAGCCTGGCTCCGAGACCTTGCCAACCCATCTGTCCCGTTGCGACGACTCAGCAGAACCATCCCACACGGTATCCGCGGCAAAGTTCTTCTCGATCAGTGTCTAGGCAAATGGATTCCGGTCGCACGAGCCGTTTGGCTTGCAAAATGCGTGGGCGCCAACGAGATCCGAGCCTTCAAAAGGAAGGGCACCAGTGGTGCTCTGGCCGTGGGGTTGGAGGCAAAGTGGGTACGAGATTGGACCTCCAATGTACAACAGTTTGTGGAGGGTGTCTTTAGCTCTCCAAAGTCTTTGAACTGGAAAAGCAAGATGACTTATGCAGTTGGTTTGACTGCCCGTTTGTTCTTTGAGAACCTTCTGGACCACGATAATTTCCTCGAATGGTTTCTTTCATCCTTTGAGGCAGCCTCCCTCGCCACGGTCCCTGTTTGGCTATTGATGCTCGGCATTTACTGGAACAACATCATGCGGTACCGACGACGGGGACGACATTTGGCTGAAATATTGCTTCAAAAACTCCGACAGGTGAGTCTAATTCGATATCATCCCTGCCTTGTGCAATCAACGCTGACCGTAAAATATAGACTTTTGAAGTCAAGATCAGCACCCTCCAGCCTCTCGTGGATCGATTGTCTCGTTTCATCACAAAGCTGGCCCGTGAACATACCTCATCCATGATCTTGCCAAATTCATGGGACTTGTACAAATCCCAGGTGTCATCATGTCTTGATTTGGAACAGAAAGCAGATCGAATCCTTTTTCAAAGCCTTTCAGAGCGCAATGCACGAGTGCAACGGCCACGGCAATCGAAACAGGCCGCACGAGGCTCGCCCCAGCAACGTGTTATCCGACTTCTGGACTCAATCCTCTCTACACGGGACATCTCATCTATATCGTCTGCCTGCCTCGACGCAGTAAGTAACAGAGCTGTTTTGGTCTCAAAAGTATTAGAATGGCTCGCCACACCATTCCGTCATGGTATTTGTCGAGTCTATATAGGAGTTCGCCTTTTACGAAAGTGGAAAGCTTTCGGAGTCGATGTTGACGACCATATACTCGCCTTTCTTACGCGGACGGGAAGCTCCAAAAAGCTCAACATGGACAATATTTACCACGCCGTATCCGAGCTTGTCAGGTCACAGACTTTCTCGGTTGGTCGATATCTTCAATGGTTGATGGCAAAGGGAATTACGAACTTCGCTTCGAGCGAACGGGGAACGGTAAGTGTCAAGTGGGCCCACAATAGTTGCACTTCTCGAAGCTAATTTTCTCAAAGGTGAACGATCTGCCATGCGATGTTGGATTGATCGTCCAACTTCCTGTTGGTCGACTTCCGGAGCATGTCAGTAACTTGCGCGGCACTCTGTTGACGCGCATGGGATTCTCTGCCTCGGGAGAGACTGCAATGATCGCAAGTGTCAAAGATCTAATCTCCCGTCGTCTTCCAGCTATTTTCGATGCGCCAATGGACGCAAAGGAATCGCTTGAAGTCTTACCCGCGAAACTGAGTTGGGCTGTGAAAGCCGAAGTCTGCCAATGGCTACGACGCACGATAGCTGATTACACGCGTGACGCCACCCAGTAAGTTTTTTCTCGGCCTCTTTCTCGCTTTCAATAATACCAACACTGTTACTAGCTCAGGGTCTACGAACTGCCTTCTCTAGCGAGAAGGTGCCATCCATCTCTGCCGTTTCACCGAACGAGTTCTACATCATCCGTGACATCCTGGAGGATTTTGGTGATATTTCTATGCTTGCGGACATATTGAGAATCACGTCGAGCTCCGAAAACTACACTGTTCTTGCATCGATCGCCGACACTACAAACTGCCACTTCGACTCTTTGTGTGCGATTGGCGCAACCGCCGACCTATTCCGAAAGGTTGTAGATGCATATGCCGGGTTGAAGCGGTTCGGTATCCCGAATTTGGACCTTATGTTTTCTCTGATCGAATTGGGCATGCGCATTCCGAACGAGCTAAACACCATTGCCATTCTACGCCAAGACCTCTCCCGCATGGAAAACCGATCCATTGTGGCCGCATCATCGCCGGTATCTGACCATATTCCCGATTCACTCGGAGATGCAGATCCTTTGTTCCGCGAAAAGCTGGACCACTTCCTTTCTTCTGGTAATATCATGGATGAGCCTACCCTTGACAGTATATTCAACACCTTGACCAAGCACTTGGAATCTGATAATGACGGTGCGAAGCTATCGGCGAACGACACATGCCGGTATTTGGCGCAGCTCCGATCATTCCAGCCGAAGCATTTTGATGGGATCCTCGCCCGTTGGGTTTGTAGCCATCTGCGCGCGCCTGATCGCTGTACACTACTTCGTATCCTTCCACCTCTCATTGGAGTTGGGTGTGTCACTATTCGGTCATTTTTGTCCCTTGTGAAAAGGATCTCCTACTCCGCCAAGGCCATCCCCAATGCAGCGAGTCTTCCGGCGGATCTTGTCGCGCTTCTTGTGACTCGCGCGGAGGATGATGGGTACCTTGATCTGGTCTCTTATCGGTTCCGACTTGCACAACAAGAGTTCCTCTCAAAGGACTCTGACCAGGCTCTTGGAATTGCCTGCAGTGCTGCTGCGGCTCTTGATGCGTCAAACTCGACCCCGGTCATCCAACGTATCAAGCTGGAAAACTCGATGGTCACGCTGTTGCACGAGCTCCTGGTCCGAAATCCTGGGTGCTCGGATCAGAAATGCGTGCAGAAGCTCCTAAGTCAACATCCGGCGGCGCTCGCTTTGCTGCGAAAAGCGCTCGATATCTTGCTCGATGTTGACTTTGAAAAGCGTTCGTCAAGTGGGGAAGCTGCCACCTCAGTGACCTATAATAACTCTTCAGAGAATCATGGTTCAGTCGTCTCCGAGGTCGAGAAACTTGCCAATACAACGGACGACTTCTCGCTGCCCTTTTGCCAACTGAAGCTTCAGGTTCTCTTCAATGCCGACTCTGGACACGAGTCCCGAGACAGGTTTGTAGATGCCATGTTCAAAACCGTTGTGGCAGATTCTCGTTCCCAGAAGCTTCATTGGGTTGATCTTGTTTCTCTTATGAACCCAGACGCCGTCCGCCAAATTCGCGAGCGTGCCGAAAAGGACTTCTTCGCCGTACCACTTCTCGAGGAAGTGACCGAGTCTCCGTCTCCACGAAACATGGGCACTCTTCAAACAGCCAAGCTGTATCTCACCATTATCGAACAGCTTTCCGGCAGTATCCCCGACTCAGGAACCCCGGCTGTTGCTTCGGCTATCGTGGAAAAGATGGACACCTTGCTCCAGAAGATTCTGACAATGCAGCCCAGCTCCCACGATAATGATAGAAGGCAACCTGCGACCTCTTCGAACCAAGAACGGACCTATTTCGAGCGATCCCTCGCTTTTTGGTTCTCTGCGCTCTTGCGCATGGTTGTTCTTCACCGCGCTTCCTTCATGCAACCTTCCCCGACTCTGAAAATTGGTTCTCCTCAAGAACAAACTCGACTATTGACGTCGATATTCTGCGTCGCGCTCTCTCGTCTTCCCGGCGAAGTTCTACGCCTCTTCCCGGGGGCGGACTATTTCCCCCATCCAGGCGCCTCCGAGAACCACAGCCCTTGCCCGGGGATTCTGTTGCAGACCCATGCCTTAGACGTGGCTGCCTCCCTGATCGATGTGTTCCCAGACGAGGTTCGTCTCCAATGCGGCCGCTTTCTCAAAGACAAATGCCCGCCTTTCGTCCCACTCCAAAACGACACCCGCTTCTCCTACCTTCTTGGACCCACATCCGATTCTTCCTCTTCTGCTGCGCTGCAGTCGGCTTCAGCTCCATCTCCAGCAGCATCGGCATCAACTCCTACTCAATCATATGCCAATTACCCTACCGTTGCCACGTATCAACAACCACCAGCACCGCCATTTGGCCCTTCGAACGGACTCGCTGAAAGCTCCAAATGTACGGTCAACCGGCTGCGTCTTGACCATCGTGGCCGGATAGGCGTTCCATTCCCAATCCGCTCCTGGGAACTATTGGAGGATGCAGCACCGTTTGTCGGTGCCAACGACACTGCTGTGAGCCTGAGTTACTTTGATGCCAGACGTGTCCGAGTCTAAAGCCGAACCTTGAGCTCAGCATACATCAACCTCCCCCGTCTCCTTCATCTCGCCCATTTCATTTTCAACTTTTCTGCCGATACCCCCCTTTTTCTCATTAACCTCGATACCTCTCTTGTCTTATTCATGCCATGTTCAATTTGCATTTCGGAGCGCGAAGCCAAATCGGAACATCTCTTCACTTGCATCCTCTCTACTAGCATTGTCGCATATCTCTTATCACAGCAAAGCATTTGCGGGTCCATGAAAATCCAATTATTATGACAATGAACACATTCCATGATGCTTGTTGCTTTGATTTCCGGGTCGTTTTTTTCCGTTCTTTATCCTTCTCTGCCTTTTGTCTATTCATATCTTATTTTCATTACGCAACTTAGCGCTGGTATGTGCCTGGGAGGAACAGTTCACGTCTGCATTTTGCATTCTTGTACATATATCACTGTGTTTCTATCCCGGGTCCTGGCGTTGTCTCGGTATCAGACCAATGTGTCAAATTTCCATCTTGTGATATCTTTTTCTGGATCGGAAACTCGTTTCATAGCCCAATACCCAAGTTTTGTCAGTAAATCAACCATCTAGGATATTATTATCCCCCCCCCCCCCCCCAAATAATCTGTCAGAATCAACGAAAGTACTAGTACGGGGCTCCATAAGCGCAGAGTGGTCAGTATATAGGGGTATTTACCTGACTGTCTTGAAAGCCGCCTCTAACTTCTGATTCTAAAATTACCAGTGTCCTATATATAGAAATTTAGACAAAACTACAGTAGTACCACAGAGGTTCCTACTTTCTAATTATCTTCCATAATTGATCATCTTCTGATAGCAGACTACCTTAGTATATATCTAAGATAGAGTAATTAGTCAATCTATTCTACCTGAGGTAGCTACTAGTGCCCCTTAGAAGGTAGAGACGAGGACAGTCAGAAAACTTGTAATTTAGACTGAGAAGTTACAGGCGGTTTTTAAGACAGTCAGGTAAAATACCCCTATATACTGACCACCCTGCGCTTATGGAGCGCCGTAGTACTAGCATTAAAGACCTCCTCTTTTCCAACCCCCTTCAACATTGTACATTCCACAATGTCATTTTATTTTTGGCGGTCACCCAGCTACTAAGTACTAGCCTGAGTAACTATATTAGACCCCCACTTAGGGCTAGTATGTCTTTCTCCGAAACAACTCCGCCGAAGGCTCCAGTGTGGCCATAAACTGCTTTCCACCGGGGGATCCTGACTATTCCCAATGCGGATATCACTCCGCAGGGCTGACCACTTGGTTTGAAACTGAAACAAAAGTGATGAACCTAGGCTCATCAAGCATTTAAAGCTAGTCGTCACATTGTCCAAGCTAGACACCACATTGGAGGAAATTCATTTTGTCAGTATCCACATCAGAACTCCGAAGATTCCGAGCAATATATGAACCAAATGAACAAGTCCCTGATCTAGTCCTATTCAAGTCTGATTCTAGAAGATGTCGACTTCGTCAACAGTCACGACGAAAAGTTATAAAATGGTGCCGCTCGCGCGCCATCTATTCCTGCTTGAAACCATCGATCAACTCACTACATTCTTTTCATACACTCTTTTAAACCATATTCACCATGGTCCCCAGCCTCAAGCTCTGTCTCGTCGCCCTCCTCGGCGCAGCCTCTGTCCAGGCTGCCCCAGCATCTGACATCGTGCCTACTGCCGCCTCCGCGCTGGAACGCCGGGCGTCCAGCTGTACCTTCACTGGCTCCAAGGGCGCCGCCTCCGCTATCAAGGCCAAGAAGTCCTGCTCGACCATCACTCTGAACAATGTCGCCGTGCCCGCCGGAACAACCCTCGATCTCACTGGGCTGAACAAGGGAACAAAGGTACGATATAAACAAGACTCTGCGTATCCTGTATAGTTCCCCGGCTAACCCATTCACGTGTTCTTCAAGGTCATCTTCGAAGGCGAAACCACCTTCGGATACAAGGAATGGTCCGGACCCCTCGTCTCCGTCTCCGGAACCGACATCACCGTCTCAGGCGCCTCTGGCGCCGTCCTGAACGGCGACGGTGCCCGCTGGTGGGACGGTAAAGGCACGAACGGTGGCAAGACGAAGCCCAAGTTCTTCTACGCGCACAAGATGATCAATTCCAACATCCAGAATCTGAAGGTCAAGAACTCGCCTGTCCAGGTTTTCAGCATCAACGGTGCTAGCGAGCTCACCCTGAACAAAATCACCATCGACAATGCCGATGGTGATAGCAAGGGTGGCCACAACACTGATGCTTTTGATGTTGGTTCGAGCACTGGTGTCTATATTACCAACCCTACTGTTCACAATCAGGATGATTGCTTGGCTGTTAACTCCGGCAAGGTGAGTTGAGTTTAGTTTAAGCTTTGGATTTGAATTTCTTGCTTTCGACCAGGATACGATTGGCTAATTGATTGTTTTTGTTTCTAGAACATTCATTTCACTGGTGCTACTTGCACTGGCGGACACGGTATCTCTATCGGCTCCGTCGGCGGACGTTCAGACAACACCGTCGACACCGTCAACATCGAGAACTGCAGCATCAGCAACTCGCAGAATGGCGTCCGCGTCAAGACCGTCTACGGCGAGACCGGCACCGTCAAGGGCGTCACCTACAAGGACATCACTCTATCCGGCATCACCAAGTACGGCGTCGTCATTGAGCAGGATTACAAGAATGGCAGCCCGACTGGCACCCCCACCAATGGTGTCCCCATCACCGGCCTCACTCTGAACAACGTCAAGGGTACCGTTTCTAGCAGCGCGACCAATGTGTATGTTCTGTGTGCTTCTGGCGCTTGCTCTGGCTGGAACTGGAGCGGTGTTAGTGTCAAGGGCGGAAAGACCAGCAGCAAGTGCAAGAATGTGCCTAGCAGTGCTAGCTGCTAAGTTTCTGCGGTTGAGGAAATTGTCGGCGGGATGAGGGGGATGGTGTTCTTTTCTTGTTCTTTTACTTTTTATGACATACTTTTAGGGTTTACTTTTAAGGAAAGAGAGAGAGAGAGAGAGCATGGTATACTATCGTGAATAAATTATAGGAACAGCGAGTCAATTGATTTGCATTTCGTTGTTTCACAGACATACATGATTTATTTCGTACAGGCAGTAGACAAGCAAACATTGTAGCTTCAAAGCAAAGATATAACTCCCCTGAACATCCAACAATATTAGACGGAAAAACAACAGAAATCTCTAATAGAGACATATCAAAGCGAGTGAATATCAGGAATTACATCAACAAATAATAACAACAGCAAAAGACACAACGCGCAAATCATCATAAGCCAAATTAACAAGCTGCAGCCCAAAATAGCAAGCTCCCCCTATCAAAAATATCGACAATCTGTAAATTAAAAACCGGAAAACCCTCTTAACGAAGAGAAATGTCCCCTAGGCACCTACCAGCGTAGAGGTTTGCGAGGAGGACGATGAAGATGAAGACACCGATTCGTCATCTCCCTCACCATCACTCTCACCATCACCATCGACATCGTGCTTCTTCATATTTTTCTGTCTGAATTCTTCCTCAAGCTCCCTAGTAACAGCCTCCAGCGTGCTTTGACTCACGTCAAGGTTTCTCTCAAGAGCTATTTGTCTCACGTATTCGTTAACCGGAGGAATGATGGATCCAGGTGAGTTGCCGCCATTGGCTGTCGGGCTAGAGCTAGATTCCCGAGAGATTGGGGGGGTTTTCTGGCGGGCTGGGTATCTCATTTTCAGTCGGGGATTGTTCCTCGTTTGTAAGAATCCCTTCTTTGGCGTCTGAGTCGTGGTTATTTCTGTTCTGTTTAGGCTGAATTGTAGCATCTGTACTCGGGGTAGGACAATTCGGGGACTCCACAGGGTCCTCTGGCTTGGATTGGACTTCTTCAGGTTTTGTCTCTTCCTTTTTGTCCGAATCTAGTGCTCCATCGGATGCATTCTCAGCATGTGACTTGTCTCCATTCGGTTTGGGCTCATCCGTAGTAGCCGCCGCTGGCTTCTGCTCAGGTTCATACTCTGGGCCTGGATTTTGCGCTGGCTCTTCGGGCGCATCGGTCTTCTCCTGTATCACAGTTGGATTGTTCACCGGCGGGGCTGCTGGCTGTGCTGGCTGTGCTGGATGGTATGAAAGAGCGGTGTTGTTGTACGGCTGAGCCATGTAGGGCATATTCATATTCGGTCCAGGTGGTGGGACGAGATACCCCGGGCCCTGTGGGTAGCATTGCTCCTGTCCAAACTGTGGGGGATGTTGTCCATTCATTTGGTCACCCTGAGGCATGTATTGAGGGTAATAACCATTTTGCGGCGGCGGAGGCTGTTGAAAGCCGTTGGCGTACATCGGCGGGGGATTGTTGTATGTAGTCGGAGTGCTGACTATACAAGGACCTTGATAATATCCAGGATTATAGCCTCCAGGGCCCATATGTTGTTGGTTATTGTATCCATTTACATCACTGTTATTTCCGACATTTGGCGTAGGGCCGTTGTATGTGTGGTTTGGTGGGGGACCATTGTACATATTGCTTTGCGGAGGACAGTTGTATGTATTGTTCAGTGGAGGACCGTTGTACACATTGTTTGGCGGGCCGTTGTACGTGTTGTTTGGTGGATGATAGTTTTGTGGGTTGTTTAGTGGAGGGTTGCCATATGTGTTGGCTGACGAAGCACAATTCGATTGGCCTGGAACAAATACAGGAGCTCCGGGTGCCATCCTGGATGGCATGGGTTGATTCAGGGCCGATGGATTGTATGGGGCACTATATGACTGGAAGGGCTCGGGATATTGATTAAAATCTTGCGAATACTGACTCTGATAATCCTGAGATGAGTTGGACTGGTGACTCCCGCGTCGGCTAGGGTTACGAGGAAATCCTCTTTCAAATCCTCGAGGATTGCCTCTATAGCTAGTAGGCCCATTTCGGTGATGTCCGTATCCGTTGTGTCGTCCGCGCTCATGAGCAGCTTGGGATGTATGAGGTTCGTGTGGCTCTGGGCCCGGTTTACCGCCGTTGGCAAATGGGTTTCCCTTGTACTTGGTCTTCTCTAAAACATATTTGGAATCTCTTAAGAAATCCTAGAAAGTTGTGAGTAATAGGGCAGATAAACACAAGGTGAAAGATAGGGAAAGGCTATAGTTGCACACACCTTTATCGCGTCGTTGTAATCCTCAACAAATGCGAATGTAGCTAGACAAGTCGCAGTGCTGTCACTGGACAGCAGTGGGATTTTATCGAGGCACATTCCCTCAAGAGGACCAGACGGCTCTAGAACTTGCCTGGCTTCCTCTTCAGTGATATGAGCACCGGATCGAAGGGATAGGCGTGCGGTTCCTGGGATAGTTAGCCTCGTGGTTACATATATGTAGGAAGGGGGCACTAACGTTGTCCTTTGGCTCGCTCAACTCTCAGATTGCGCCCGTTCAAATTGATAGGGTGACCTTGAGCGTCACGGTGAAGGACTTTTTGGGCATCTTCTACTTTCTAGGGTTGTAGAGTTAGCGTCAGTATCAATCCATGAATAAGCAGGTTGGCAGAGTGACAAACCTCAAACTGTACAAAGGCCCCATGTAAGGCTGATCCTTTATCGATCTTGACCTTCGCGTAGCAAGGCCCATACACGGCGAAAACTGATTCTATCTCTCTTTCCTGTTGCTCTTTATTGGTCTTTGAGCAAAGACTGTGATAAGGTTAGTGTATTGAACTTGGAATTTCGAGAATATCTGGAACTTACTTTCCAATGAAGAGGCAAGCATCGGGAGAAAAAAGACCCTGAGCGTTCCTCGATGATGGCTGTTCTCTTAAGCGACTTTGCTGCCTAGGATGTATGTTGTTGTAGTTGGGAGCCATGGCGTGTTCGGTCATATTGAGTGGATTCCCAAGGTTATAAGTGAGCTGTGTTGTTGGTATATCAAAGGTATAGCAATCGCCTAGTAAACAGCAAAGGCGCATAGACTATCAGGCGTGAAAGAATGTATGTGTGAGAGAGTTAACAGAAGAATCCCTCCATTTTAGTCGCGCAGACTTTTTCCGCACACCTTTTCAGCTCCGACGACACTTTTGGCATATTGTGAGAGAACCAAGCCTATGTTGGAACCGCCCTATAGGGACATGGTCAACCACGGCTTAGCCTTGGGGTTGCAACCACCAGTCGCTATGATTCCAGCTGGAACCAAGCTTTAGAGATCCCATGCGAACCATGAGGAGCTTAGTAGGCACCTAGGTAGAAATCCTGTCAGTTATTTTATGGTATTTTCCGACCCCGTGTCTGGGTCCCTACTCTGGGTATCTCGGCCGATGTAACGAGGTAGGCAGCTAATAATTCTACTAGACCTGTGACTCAGATGCAACCTATAAATGTCTCATGTTAGTTTTAACTTAGATCATACATCGACTAGATTCATCTTTGTTTGGGGAGGGGAGCTTTCGGATGACGCCTGCCATACGTACTATACTATCTCTGGCCACGGCCAGGGCTCGATCAGGGCTCGGGCCCATCAACAGGCCAGAGTTAGACATTTGTATAGCCTAAGGCTGGAATTACCCCGTGACTCAGGTCTGTGGTCGGAACCAGGGCTTAATATGGGGGTATATCATACAGAAAGTCAAAACCAAACCCACACGCGATTGATTTTCAGGATCTCTACTTGTACCACGGCCCTGAACACTTGAAATGTCGGCACCGTGTAATGTCTCAGTCTTACCAGGGGTATTTTTTATCTTCCGGTAAGTTACTGTGGTAAATTACTCTCGGGCTGTAGTCTCTGACTGGATTCAAGTTCCCCAACGTATTGTACCACCGGCCGAGAGCCTCTCCTCGTGATTGTGTACGTTTCATAGTTATCCCAGTACAACTTCATGGCCCAAATTCAAGAACTTTCTTGTGCTTCTCTCAACAAAAGGTACTCTTGAATCTTGGAGAATTTGTAGGTCTCTTTGTTTTGGAATACTATCACAGTGGCCATCGTATAGATGCTCTAGCACCTCGGTCCATCCTGTAGAGCCTGGCGACAGGATTTGGAGCCATAAGTAGAGCCGCTTTTGCGATCCCGATCCCATTTTGAATACATCCTTGCTATATATAGTACAGAAATGCAGAATGGTTGATACTCCTCTATTCCAGCCCTAATTCTCCAACATACATCACCTTAGGTGTAATACCTTAAGGTAAGCACCCATACCCAGGTGTGGTTGCCCGAGTCTATCTTATCGCGGATGATCGGCGCCCGGCCTTTCCAACCTTCGTTCCTCACGCCACCGCATCTTTAACCTCACAACTCCGCGCTCAATATGATTCCCACCCGGAGCTTGGCCTCTCAGGCTGGCTTCTTCAGGCGTAGTGCCGAGGAGCTCGGTCGCCTGTCAAAAATTGGTATTGCATAATCCTACCCCGAACCTTCGTTCCATTCGCGAACTAACACAACTTCAGCCTTCAACGCCGAAGGCCTGCACACGCCCACAAAAGCCTATACCCTCCTCGACTTTGAACATAGCTCATCTGTCGAGGGCTGCAAGACCATGGCCGACCGTGTCGTTGGTGGATTCAGCACTGCCAGCCTGGACTACGAGCCCGGCCTGCCTTCGGCAAATATCCCGCCGCATGCGCGGTTCCACGGCAAGATCTCTACAAAGCTTCCGTCAAACTTCCGCGTCGACCGAACCGGTATGTATAAGTATAAACTGCGGACATCTCGGTGGCTTGGAGCTAATTGTTATCGCGGATGAACAGGATACGCCGCCTTCCGCAATCAAGACCGCGGCGTCTGGCTCTTTGGCCGTCTCTATTGGGATCTCGATCCGTACTCCTACCTCGCCCTTCGCATTAAATCCGACGGTCGAAGATATACCGTGAACATTCAAACGGATTCAATCGTCGACACCGATATCCACCAGCACAGATTGTATACCCGACACCACCGCGTGCGCGGCACGCCCACCGCCCCATTGCGCAGCCCGTCCGACTCTCGCGAGCATATAAATGAAATGTACCCGCACGGCCGTCCAGATGCCCTCTCCGATACTCCGCCCGAATCCACAATCATCTCCTCTTCCTCTTCAGCAACCACATCTGGCTCGACAGGCTGGGAAACGGTTCTCTTGCCTTTGAACTCCTTCGTCCGTACGAACTTCGGATACGTGGTGGAGCCACAGACTTCTATTATGCGCAATCGGGTTAAGAGCATTGGTATCGGTCTCACAGACCGCATCGACGGCCCGTTCGACCTGCGTATCCATAAGATTTGGGCGACGAATGGTATGGACGAGCAGGATGCTGCGGAGGACAAGCTCATCTGCGGTGCCCATGCGCTTCCAGTCGATGAGGGTGTTCGTACAGGCTGGGCAGCGTCTAGGCTACACGAGAAGGACACCGACGAGCAGCAGACATCCCAGACAAAGAAAAAGGGGCTCCAGGGCCTTCGTTCGGAATGGGATTAGTGATGGACAACTAATGCAACCATTCTTCCTTCTTCGTTTGCGTTTTGCGTGTACAGTACAACATTTGAGATATAGTCCCAGCCTCGACCGGCAGAAAATACCAATGTAACATTTTCGAACACTCTTCGATATCATTTTCATCCTTTTCGCATATCAAAATTTCATGTACATCTAGATGGTAAAGGACAGGCAACGCCGGCGTTCGCGATTTATTGACCACCGGTGATCTTCTCCCAAGCCTCCTTGTACTTCTCGGCGGTCTTTTGCTGAATCTCCTCGGTCATCCGCACACCATCCTTACCCTTGAGACCCTCTGAGACAAGCCAATCCCGCAGGAATTGCTTGTCAAAGCTGGACTGGCCACGACCAATCGCGTACGAGTCCTTGGGCCAGAATCGGGACGAGTCTGGGGTCAAGACCTCATCGGCCAGCACAACCTCGTTCGTCTCCTCGTCGACACCAAACTCGAACTTGGTATCGGCGATGATAACCCCGCGCTTGTCCGCATATTCGTGTGCAACCTTGTACAATTGCAAGGCCAGCGCCTCGACGGTTGAGGCATACTCTCCGAGGATCTCGGCAGCTGTACATTCGCCAATGTCAGTTTTCTACCTTAACTTTGGAGGAGGAAGAAGGTAAAAAAAAGCTTCAGGTAAAGCCTCGCGAGTCACGTACCTTGATCGGGGTGGATGTTCTCGTCATGCTCGCCCTGCTCCGCCTTGGTGCTAGGGGTGTAGATTGGACCATCGGGGAAAGCCTGGCTCTCTTGCAAGCCGGGGGCGACCTTGATTCCATGGACGGTGCCAGACTTCTTGTACTCATTCCAGGCGGAGCCGGTGATGTATCCGCGGACGATGGCCTCGATGGGGAGGATGCGGAGCTTGCGGACTTGCATGCTGCGGTTCTGTAGCACGGGGCGCAGGGATTCAGGGATTTGAGGAGGCAGATCGAGGGTGATGAAATGTGTGCGCAGAGAGGGGACGGCTTCCTTCAGAGCGTTGAACCAGGTGCGAGTGCAGAGGGTGAGCAGAACTCCCTTGTTGGGGATTCCCTGTAGGAGAAACATTGTTAGCTATCAGACTGTGATTTTCCGGGCTGAATTGGGCTATTGAAAGAGAGGTAGAGCGTGTACATTCTCCATGATCACATCGTAGGCAGAGATACGATCGGTTGCGACGAAGAGTAGAGTCTTGTCGTCGATTTCGTACAAGTCGCGAACCTTGCCCCGGGCGACGAGGGGCAAAGCGCCTTGCAGATCGGTCGTTGTTAGAGCTTGGGACATTGTGGGGGTATACAATTGAGACGAAGGCTGTAAAATGTCTGGGAAGTTGTAAATGCGTCATGCGGTTAATTTTTGGCGGGGCAGCGAGGGCGGTTGCGGCCTGAGGCGCTTATCCGCCTTTATCGCGTCGCGCGAAGTCAACTTTAAGGTAACCTGCCTGGACTTGAAGTTTATTACTTGATTTCCCTGGCGAGATTCAATATGGCCTGGTCGTGACCAGAAAAAAACCATGGCCCGTTACTTGACACCCTGGAGAATCTCTCTGCTGTGTCTGATCACTGTTTACACTGATGGCGTCGTCCCCAACTCGTCTGCCGTTCATGTGTTGTCCTTCCTGACCGCGGGTCTCTTCCCTTTAGATCCCGCCGATAAGCAATGGGAGAGTCATTACCTGCCCAGCATTGACGAATTGGAAGAGGTGCTTTCACATCATGAGTCCTCAATTCCCGGCCGCACGTTATGGGATTTATTTCTCAGGAAGTTATGGTCCCTCGACTCACTCGATGCTCTGGAGGAGTTCATGAGCGATGTCCTGCCATCCCTCTTGTCCAAGACGCGTGAGCAATTGATCCAGGAGCGTGATAGTGGTCTAGCTCCGGAAGAAGAGGGAATGCGCTTGTCCAGGAGCTCGCCGCTGGGTGCATTTGTGCGCAGAGCCTGTCTCGAATACACGCGGTTGCAGTTCCATGACTCGGTGACGCTGTGGACTGGATTTGTCAAGTACCGTCTGCCAACATATCATATGTGGGCGCGGAGGAATCCATCAGATGAGCAGTCGCCGGTTGATATTAATCTGACCATGAATGGCTTGGATACTAGCAGCTACCTTTCGCAGGTGGTCTATGGTGATTTCGAGCAAGAAGTACAGGACGATGGAATGGTTAGTGTCAAAGATGCTGAGCGACTGGTTGAGTTCCAGGTTGGCGAACTACAAAGTATGTTGAGACTCCAAAGACGACAATTTTCTGTGCTAACGAGTATAGGATTGGGAGGCAGAGTTCCAGACGAGATGAGGACTCAACTGAAGCATATCATGACCTCCGAGTCATCAGTTCCAATCTTGATGTATTATCTCGAGTACGTTCAATTGATCCAATCATCCTAACCTCCTTAGCAGGAATTTCCCTGACAATATTTAGGTATCTCGATGCCTGGAAAGCTGGAGACTACACATCGGCTTTCGACAATCTTCATCGCTATTTTGACTACACCATGCACAGTAACCTTGACCGAAGTGCTTATCAATTTGCTCTGCTTAATCTCGCTATCATCCAAGCTGATTTCGAGTGCTTTTCCGAGGCCATATCCGCCGTGCAGGAGGCCGTCGCCATTGCGCGTGAGTCTCACGACATGAACTGTCTCAACTTTTGTATGAGCTGGCTTTATCATTTTGGAAAAGCTTTCCCGGAACAAATGCGAGAAGTGCAGAATAGTGGGATGCTAGGCAATGAAAAGGAAGGCCTTGCATTTCTCAAAGCTAAGTCAAAAGAAACCGATATGTGGTCCCTTTTGAGTACCACACTAGTGAGCGAGGCAAAATTAGAGATGCAACAGGTATGTCTTGAATCTTGCTTCACTCATGGATTGAAGACATCACGCTAATAGATCATAGGGTGAAAGTCTTGCCTCGATCGTTGAAACATTCGTACGAGCTTCTCATGTCAATTTGACCAAAGGGCTGTCCACATCGACGGGGTCGCACATGCAGCTACAAAGCATCATGTATGCCCGAATAGGTAAGATTCTCGTTTCCCGCTCCCTGTGAACTCCCTTGCTAAAACCCACTCGGCAGGGGCTACTCACCTATCTTGGCTAGATACTGAAGTATTCCGCGAATGTTATTCTGAGGGTTCACCCTATGATGACTTCGTCAAGCTCACGTTCCGAAATTGCCAAATCGTACGCTATTCCAACGCACACCTCCATCACACATGCTCAAAAGCTAACTCCGCTTTTTAGCTCGCACAAAAAGGAAACTACAAGGAGGCATTCGCGCGAATGAACAAGGTCGAAGCAGACAGACTCCGTGCCTTTAAATACAACAACTCCTGGACCTACTATTCAGGCCTCCTCCAACTACAACGACAAATTTGCCGGTGAGAGCCCCCCCTTCCACCACTTTTCTTCCCAGTGGCACCCTTTCTCTAATATGAGTCCACTCTCCAGCGACGACAAAGTAGCGGTAGAGCACATCCTCGCCCAGCTCCAAGCCGTCCAACTCCTAGAATTCGAAATGCGCCTCCTACTCGCCTTCCACACAATCGAATTCACAATTCGACAAGGCGACTACGGCCGCGCCCTCCGAATGGTCGAACAAGCCGCCCACTCAATGCAACCCGAAAACTTCGACGTCCACTCCCAAATCAAACTCCTCTGCCTAAAAGCGCGCATCCTCGAGAAATCCGGCCACCCACAACGAGGTTTCTCCCTCGCCATGCGCGCCGCCAGTATCGCCCACCGCTCGAAAATCCTCTTCGACCTCTGGGAATCTATCTGCACCCTCGCCGCCGTGCTCCTCAGTCTGCGTGAATTTGAAGCCGCGGTCGAACTCGTTGAGAGCATTATGCCTCAGATTCTGGAATCGGAGGACTTTGCGCTCATTGCGCGCGCTTATTCGCTTCTTGTTGATGCGAATATGGGTATTGCGGGTGAGTTGTGGTCGACGATGGGGAGGGAGAGTACGCCGGTTCGAAAGGAGTATGTTAATCGGGCGATTGGGTATATTGATTCTGCGTATGATTCTTATGAGGAGATTGAGGATTTGCTGGGTCAGACGGAGATGATGGCTAAAAAGGCGACGGTCATGCATCTGACGGGTGATCCGGTCTTGGCTAATGATTACGCGGCGAAGTATTTGGATTTGCGCAGACGGAGGGGCGCTGAGGTTTAAAGATCATATCATTCTTTGTAATTTTAGAGGGTTGGCGTTTTTTTTTTCTCGCCGGAAATGGGATCTGTTATCTTTATATTCTCGAGACACATGAAGATATTCTTGATAAAATCAAGTTGGAAATTCCTATGGAAAAACAGCAGCGACAGGAGAAAGTAATGCCAATTCTTGATTTGGAATTGCATAACTTTTCAACGTTAAAACCTGAATGGCAACCTTAATCTACTGTTTTGATTTGATTATTGATTTTTGAAAATCTATAATCTGCTTCGCTGCTCTCAAAGTCGCTGTCATTTTCCATGTAAGTGTAACTATCGTAAAGGTCATCATCATAATCGTCATATGGTATTTCTGCTTCCCTCCACACCAGGTTTTCCACTCGCTTTTTCACCACCTTGAGTGTCCAACCATGACTCTGTATTTGCCTTCTCACATGTGAGTAGATCCGATGAATTGAGGGACAGGAGTTTGGTTACAAGTAGTTTGTCCCAATGCTGACCCATGGGGGAGTCACCTGATGGTGAGGCTGAGCTGATGATGGGCCCCCTCTTTTTGGGAAATTCATCTTTCTCTGACATAGACATTTCGCATCGTACGGGCGTTAAATATGACCTCTATACAAGTGTCGTTTGGCGACGCAAATTCAGGGGTCCAGGTGGGGATCAATAATGGGCAAATAGTTCTTCCTGCAGGTGAGTTCCTGATAGCTCCGAGCTCCTATGGACCAGGTTGTAGGGTCAGATGAACTGATAGTGCCTTTCCCAGAGCTACCAAAGCGCCCTCCTCCTTTGTCAAACATATCGCTTTGCCACCAAGACTTCATCAGCCGTGATTCACTCCTCGACCAAATTCACAGATCCTCTATCCCAGGGTCTAGAATAGTACTTGTTGGTCTCGGCGGCGTTGGGTGAGTACGACATAAGGGTGCTCCGTTCAACTCTGACTAAGTAATAGAAAAACACAACTCGCTATTGAACACTGTAACCGAATTCGACAAGGTTCGCCTGAGACATGGGTCTTCTGGATCCATGCAAGTAACTCCGCCCGCTGTGAGCAAAGTCTTCGTGACCTTGCCGATCGAGTCAAGATTCCCGGGCGGGACGAACGTACTGCCAATATATTCCAAATTTTCAGGAACTGGCTTCAAGACGAGCAGATCGGAAGATGGATCCTTGTGCTCGATGGTGTTGACGATCATAGTCTCCTACGCGAGACTTACGTGACTCGTTCTGAGGGCCAGACAAGTCAGAGTATGATCACGACGCAGCCACCGCTAAGATATCTCCTTGAATGCTCAAATGGGTCTATCATTATCACTAGTCGGAATAGACATGTTGCGTTAGACATCACTAGCCTACAGGATATCATCGAAGTGCCACCAATGGAGAAGGCCGAAGCACTAGATCTGCTCAAGAAGAAGCTGAGCATTTATGCAGACCACGAGGATATGGAGCAGCTGACTCAGGAGCTTGAATTTATGCCAATGGCGATTATACAAGCTGCCAGTTATATCACACATTCTTCACCACTTTGCTCAGTATCGAAATATCTAGAGGATATTCGGAAAAATGATCGCCAGGCAATAAAACTACTTCAGTACCGGGCAGGTCTTCTCTCCCAAGACTGGGAGGCTAAAACCTCAATTACTCTCACGTGGCAAATATCCTTTGACTATATTCAAAGGAAAAGTCCGTCCGCCGCAGACTTGCTTTCTTTGATGAGTTTTTTCGAGCGACAAGGAATCCCTATGAGCATCCTTCGCGATCCTCAAAGTCAGGATGTTGAGAACAACTTAGGCTCAGAGAAGATCACGGATAGATCAAGCGAAGAGGACTGGGACAGTGCGTCTGACGATGACTCTCGTTCAGATCAACAGCTTAAAGATGATCTCATAACACTTCGCAACTTTTCATTTATCTCGTTTGGAGAAAATAACACGATACTCACAATACTCACAATGCACCGACTAGTGCAATTAAGTGTGCGCGCATGGTTGAAAGAACATAAAAAGGAGGCACAGTGGAATGCAAAATTCATTAACAATCTATGCCATGCATTTCCAATTGGCGAATACGAGAACTGGGAACAGTGCCGTTTACTGTTTCCCCATGTCAAACTTGCGGTATCAAAACGACCAAAATCAGACTTCTCCCGACAGCAATGGGCCATATTGCTTTCTAGGGCAGCGTGGTATGCCCAATTAAATGGCAATATTGCAGAATCTGTGGAAATGGCGTCTAAGTCAAAAATGCAAAGTTTGGAGACTTTTGGCGCAGATAGTACAGAGACACTAAAAAGTGCTACTATACTTGCAACAGCATATAGGCTTAAGGGTCTCTGGCGGGATGCTGAGCAGCTTGAAAAGGAGGTGACGAAGATAAGCAAGACGAAGCTTGGCTTAGACCATCCCTCTACACTTCTGAGTATGAACAACCTAGCGTTGATATACCAGAAACAAGGCCGATGGAAGGATGCGGAGCAGCTCTTTTTACAAGTTCTGGAGATAAGCAAGACGAAGCTCGGCTCCGACCATCAAAACACGCTATCAAGTATGAATAACCTAGCGTCGATATACCAGAACCAAGGCCAGTGGAAGGAGGCCGAGCAGTTCTTCCATCAGGTGATGGAGACTTATAAGATGAAGCTTGGCTTAGACCATCCTAATACACTTTCAAGCATGAACAACCTAGCATTGACTTTTTGGAATATGGGTCGGTGGGACGAAGCAGAGCAGCTGCAGAATCTGGTTATGAAGGCTCGCAAGATGAAGCTAGGCGCTGATCACCCGTCTACACTCAATAGCATGGCCAACCTAGCGTCGACATACTGGAACCAGGGCCGATTGAAGCCAGCAGAGCTGCTCTTTTTAGAGGTCATCGAGATTCAGAAGACGAAGCTCGGCGCCGATCATCCTGACACGCTCAATAGCATGGCCAACTTAGCGTCGACATTCTGGAACCAGGGCCGATTAGAGGAGGCTGAGCTATTAGAGGTACAGATCATGAAGGCTCGCGAGGCAAAGCTCGGCGCAGACCATCCCGACACACTGATGAGCATGTCCAACCTATCGATAACATATCAAAACCAACGGCGGTGGAATGAAGCCGAGCAACTCGAGGCGCATGTCTTGGAGGCTCGCAAGTCTAAGCTCAGCGAGGACCATCCTGATACGCTGACAAGCATGGCCAATCTAGCGTGGACGTATAGGAACCAGGATAAATTAGAAGAGGCCGAGCAGCTGTTTATACAGGTCGTGGAGATGAGCAAGACGAAGCTCGGCGGGGACCATCCTGACACAATAACGGGCATGGTTAACCTTGCCTTCACTCAACAATCTCTAGGTCGACTTGCCGATGCAATTGATTTGCTCAGAACCTGTGCGGTCCAGCAGCGACGGATTTTAGGTCCCGATCATCATCAAACTGTGTCTAGTGTTAAGACTCTGCTGGAATGGGAAACTAGGCATCTAGCGATAGAGGCATGACCAATTAATTGTCTGTTCATCTTGTTTTAAGCAGGCTCGGTTATTCCTGGTACTTGGCATAATCTGCTTTACGGCTCACTACAGTCTTATCAGCTGTAACAACCATGACTTTTATATACATGTAATACGTACTATATCTTCAAACATGCCCCTGCGATCCCAATTAGGTACTCAAGTTTCTCACAGCAGTAGCCTTAGGAGAATACTACGCAGTAAAATATAGAACCAAAATCCCGGGCCGTCTCAAGGCCAGACAATTCACCTACAGATGCACTACAAAGCAAATATCCCAATACCAGCACCGGCAAAGAAAACAATCAAAAGAAACAAAAGAAATATCAAGATTGAATTGATAGAATACGGCAAAGTCCCACTTCATTCTGTTAATCACACATCCCCGGTCCAACCGCCTAGTAACAGGTTCTGGCAGGCTCTATTTCCCGTGAAACATCAGCGCGTTAGAAATACATATACAGTGGCAAGGATGTCTTCTCCAATGTGGCGCGTCAAGGGCTCGATTCACGGGATTTGTTGCAGATTTTGTTGCGCGTCGTAGACGTTAGACTTAGGTGGGCTTGTCCTTGACGTGGTAGTTGACGTCGGAGTTCCAGCTAAGAAGTCATTAGTGGGGTGCTTTTCTCAAAGAATGGGTCGTGGGTGGAGCAAGGGAGTCAGTCAATCTGTCTGTCTGTCTCCGGTGGTTTGTGGGCAGTGTGTAAATGGGAAAACCCGGGGCGAAGGCAGAGAACATGATTCCTGCTCAAGGCGGGGGTGGATATAATATCATCGGGCAATTGAAACTCACAAGATAGTCTAGCGAAATGAGTTAGTAAACACGAGATCATTTTGGTTTGGGGGATTGCGGAGGTATAGAAACTCACCTTGTCACCATCTCCCCAGGGGTAGTTCTTGCTGCGGATGTTCTGGTAGGGGTACTCGGTACGCTCCTCGAGAGGGGCCATGTGCTCCCAGTGCTCCCAGTGCTCGTTCCACAGGTAGTAGGCGTTCAGGCCACCGCCAATGAGGCAGGGGATGACAGCGCTGCACAAGGCACAAGTTAGCATTATTCGGTTTCGTTGGCATCGTGCAAGGCATTCTAGCTCTCTCGCTCTGTCTCGAGGGGGAGTGGTTGGGCCGGGAGTGCGTACAAAATGGAGAGCTTGCGCCACAGGTCTATGAAGCCATTGAGTCAGTACAAAGCCCGCAAATCGGCCTAGAGCCACAGGATATCCGTCCCCCGGGACGAATTCAAGCTGCACGTACCGCTGGTGGAGGCGGCGTGGTGCTTGACAGCAGCACGCTCACGGTTGAACTCGTTGTCGACGATCCACTCGGGCTTAGCCTCGGCGGAGTTGAAGCGGCGCTGAACGGTCTGGCGGACCGGAGTCGAGCGCGTAGCACGCTGGGACAGACGGGCGGCGTTGCGGAACATGGTGGGTTGGGGGTTGGAGTGGAGGGTTCTGTGGAAGAGAGATCGGGGGGGGTCATACGTTGAAATTGAGGCCGCTTTAGTGGACTCCCGTAAATCGCCGGCTTATGTAACTCGACGTCACTCCACACTCACGTGATATCGAGCTTTCCGCGACGGCAGGGCGGCGGCCTCGGTCTGTTTATTTAGTTTGGGGTTTATTGCTTCCGTGCATCGTGTCTGCAAATTAAGACGAGGTGATCTCGCTTTTCACGAAGGGAGTCTCTGCCAGTGCTTTTCTGTGGCCGCACTGCTGGACATGCTGCTGCGTGGAAAGGGAGCTGTTGGCCATGGGGTTTCGCATAACCACTTGGAATGGTAAGCTTCTCACGTTCTGTTGGATGATGGGGATGTATGATGTTCGGGTGCTGATATGTGTTTGACAGTGAACGGCATTCGGTATGTGGCTAGAAAACCGAGGGGATCAAGCTTCAACTAACAACTTTCGAGAAATCCATTCTCCTATGAACCATGGAGAGGAACTAAAACCTTTGCGGTGAGACACTTGATCCTGTAGACCCGACAAACAATGTACTGATTGATCTATCTCCAGTCCATGTTTGATATCCTGGAATCGGACATTGTGGTTTTCCAAGAAACCAAAATCCAGCGAAAAGACCTCCGAGATGATATGGTCCTGGTTCCCGGGTGGGACTGTTATTTCAGCCTTCCCCGTGTCAAAAAGGGCAAGTATACTTTTTCAAGGACTTTGCCTTATCCTTGCTAACCATACACAGGCTACTCTGGCGTGGTGATCTACACGCGCAACGCGACTTGCGCACCAATCCGTGCCGAAGAAGGTATCACGGGAGTCCTTTGCCCGCCAAATTCATCGCTACCTTTCCGCGAGCTACCTTCAGACCAACAAATAGGCGGCTACCCTACAAGTGAACAGCTCACGCGGTCTAGCTCACAAACAGGGAATGAGTCCTCAGAGGAAAACGACGACGATAGCCCAGCGGCTGAACTAAATATCGATGCGGCAACTCTGGATTCGGAAGGACGTTGTGTGATTCTCGAGTTTCCAGCTTTTGTCTTGATTGGAACCTACTGTCCTGCGTACCGGGATGAAAGCCGCGACACCTTTCGAATGGACTTCCTCAATGCTCTCGACGCTCGGGTTCGGAACCTCACTGCCATGGGCAAACGGGTATTCCTCACTGGAGACATCAACATCTCAAAGCTTCCCATTGACTCGGCACATGCTATTGAGGGTATTCGCAAGTGTACCACGACACAGGAGGAATTCTTGTCCAGCCCGCCTCGGAAATTATTCAACGAGTTGCTCTCTGATGGCGAGGTGGTCGGGAAACGCGAGACCGGGCGGGAGCAGCCAGTCCTCCATGATATCTGCAGATCGTTTCATCCGGAACGTACTGGTATGTACACGTGCTGGGATACGAGGCTGAATACACGACCGGGAAATTATGGGTCGCGGATTGACTACGTGTTGTGTAGTCTGGGGATGCGTGATTGGTTCTCCAGTTCCAATATTCAGGAGGGGTTGATGGTATGTGTTCTCAAAGCTGGCGCGCTTTCCCTCAGACCGTGAAAACTTCAAATCTCGAAGTCAACAAACAAACGTGTCTGATCTAATTTTTCTCTCCTCCCTCCAGGGCTCCGATCACTGTCCTGTCTACGCCGTCTTCAATGCCGAAGTATCCCACAACGATGAAACGGTCCACATCAAAGATCTCATGAACCCCCCGGGGTTGTTCAAGGGCGGCGAACGTCAACAAGAGTATTCTTCGAAGTACATGTTGCCAGCGTCTGGACGACTCCTCCCAGAATTCGATGTGGATAAACGAAGAAGCATCAAGGATATGTTCTCTCGGAAGCCTTCGAGCGCGCCAAAGGTAAACTCTACTCCTACGGCATCGAATACACCCAGCTCGAAGGAAGTTGGGAATGCCTCGACTCCACTCGCTCAAAACGGGGGTCCGCCTTCGCTCTCTCGCAAAAGATCACAGCCTCTCTCGATCTCGCCCATCAAACGCTCCAAGTCCTCCGCGACGCCCTCTGAGACTGCGACCTCCGGCCAGAAAACATTGGCTGGATTTTTCAAACCAAAGTCCGCTGGCAGCAACGCAGCTTCTCCGGTGCGATCTGGAACCTCCCAGATATCCCCTCCATTGTCCGGAACGACGAGCAGCATCGAAGCGCGCGCTACAACAGACAACGCGTCTTCAAAAATACCCTCGACGGCGCCAGGGAGTGTATCCGTCGCGTCTACCGAAACCCCGATCGGTGATCTCACGCCTAGCAAGCTCGGAGGCGACCTGGTGATCGATCCGATCGTCAGCAAACAAGACTGGGGCAAACTTTTCACGAAAAAGCCCGTCCCCAAATGCGATGGACATCAGGAACCGTGCATCAGTCTTACCACGAAGAAACCGGGCATTAATCAAGGTCGCGCCTTTTGGATCTGCCCTCGACCCCTTGGGCCCAGCGGAGAGAAGGAAAAGGGCACGCAGTGGCGATGCCCGACATTCATCTGGTCCAGTGATTGGAATTCATCGGCATCGACGGAGTCCTAGAAAATGAGATAGGAAAGGAAATTCCCAGTCGTAGATCAAGATACCCAGTTCATCATGGTTTGGTGGTCAATATACATACAATTTGCCTATCTATTTTTTTTCGCGATTTTCTCCTTTCTTTTCTTGGCCTGTAGATTGCTTGGTGTTACACGATCGAGAAAGAATGCTAACGACTCGAGCAATTCGCAGGTACCCGCAGGTCTCCATTCACTGGCATCTGCTCATCTTTTCATCCATTCATCCATTCACTGGTGCTCGCATCAATTGCGGTGGTAGCCTAAACGCAGTAGGGCTTATTTCGATTCATTGGCAGCTCCCCCTTTCCAGGTACGGACAACACCGCCCACACTAAGCGTGTTTATTTTATCGATTCTAAGCGATTGAATTGATTGGTATTAAATTTTGGGGGTTTCGTGAATTGAATTTCTGAGCTAAAATTGGGCAGATCCACCGAATCTGGGGTATTGACAGTACTAAAGAGTCTAAGACTTAAGATTAAGTGGAGATGGCAACTCCACTCCTTCCTGTCAACCTCATCTCAACCTCATCTCATCACATCGACCCCGGTCTTTAGCCATTTTCTTTGTCTACAAGAAATATGACTGGATTTTGTGCCAATAAGATAACCCTAAATCTTCCCAACACCTGTTCTCAGTGGCGCAATGGGCCGCCACCGAGGATCAAAGAAACAAAGAAGATGGAAACTGGGTGGGCCCAAGAGTTGGAGGGGGCCGCAGTGAATAAAAGAGCCCCCCCCCCATCCCATCCCCCAGAACATTCAACAATTCTCTGGGCTCTGATTCACAGAGGCCGTTGACTCATACTCAATTGTTCTGGAAATTCACAATCAACAGCTGCCTAGCCAACGGTGAGGATCATAGACCATTGTTTGCACCCTCAATAACCACCGGATCGACTCACTCAGTATACAAACTTATACAAACTTGTACAAACTGTCTCAGTCGGCTGTGCAAACTGTCAAGCCCTGTTGTCCTCAGACACGTTCCCCTATTTGTTGACACTTCTGTCTCCTCTCTCTTCTTCTCTTCCTCTCCCCATCGACTTCATATCTTCCTCACCCCCATACCCTTTGCTCGATACCACTCTCAAGCCGATCACTACACACCTCACATCCCATTTGCTCTTTGACGAGGCCTTCGACAGCATCTTTCTTTCAGCAGATTAGATCCCCTCGTCACAGACCTTCTCTCACCTCACCCCATCCGACTTAGAACTCACAGACCTTCTATCCGGGGAACGTAACGCTCCACAGGCGTGGCGATCCGGTTGACTTCTGTTCTCTGACGAGGTTTCAGTCCAAGACGTTCGAGAACCGTCAAACCCCCGCAAAATAACCGCCAACCTCAACCCTCTCATCCGAATCAGCACTCGCAAACCTTCTTTCAGGCGAACGCAACGCTCAAAAAGGCGTGCCAACCCACTTGATATCCAGCTCTCAAGCGGATTCCCATATCATTTCCCGACTCTCGCCGTCGAAAACCGCCTCCTCGATCCAACCCAGCATCCGCAGATCTTCTCTCCGGCGCACGCAGCGCTTCAACAGGCGTGGCGAACCGGTTTGATCTCTTGCTTTCTGTCGAGGATTCATCTTTTTCTTTGACCTTCCTCTCATCTCCCAAGAGGATCTCTGGGTCATTTCTTCCCCCGCTTGTGTGCGTTGATCGTCAAGTTCGGTCTTCGTGCGATTTCTTCTTCTGAGCTTCGGTTTTTCCGGCCTATGTTTCGTTAGGCGTTGCGAATCGCCAATCCCTCTGACCCTGGTCGAGAACTTGGGTCTTTCGGGACAATCTCCTCTGATCCGAGTTGCTTCGAATCGGCTCTAAACAGTCTTTCATCTGCCATTGAGCCATAGCTGGTCCGCTGTGTCCCAAATTTTCATCCAATCCAACATCACCAATGTCTGCTTCCGATCTGGGAGCGGGTCCCCCCGACTTCCCAACGTCTTTTGACAGGGACCGAGCGATGGAACTGCTTTGGGAGAACTCGCTCCTGAATCGCAGTCAGACGGGGGGCGAGATAATGGTCCCATTCAATGTCGTTGCACTAATTGGGGAGGAAAACATGAGTATCCTGCACGAAAGACTCAGGTATGTTGCAGCTAATTCTAACCCGCTCCAGAGCTAATAAATTCCATAGGGTATTGACTGGCGGCGATGTAGAGCGATTTGACGACCATCAATTCGGGTGTGTACGTCTCATTCCAAAGCCGCATTTGCCTCAAGTTGAGATTGAGGAATGGGCTCGGGCTCATATAACTAAGCAACTATATGAAGCCGCAAGTCAAGGCATGAACCTATACCCAGATCTTCAGAAGGTTCCCCGCCCACCCAATTCTTTCATTCTTTACAGACAACACCATCACAAACCCGTGACCGCCGCGAATCCCGGAGTCCCTAACACAGCGATTTGTAAGTTGACCTTGTGATCTTTCCCCTACATTTTTCAACACTGACTCTTATGATTGTCATTTCCAGCGCGGATCATCGCGGACATGTGGAAACACGAGATACCCGCGATCAAGGATGAGTACAAAATGTTGGCCCAGATGGCTAAAGAAGAGCATGCGGCAAGGTACCCTGACTATCAATATGCGCCCCGACGTCCGCATCAGAAACGTCGCCGCCTTCCACGGATCCATCCGTCGGCGCTCACCTGGATGTGGGGGACGAAAAGTGGAGCAGCTATCCTTGAAAAGGCAACAGCTCGCCCTCGGGCAGATGGCTGGGTCCCAGTGACCCGCGATTTGGTCCAAGAACTGGACTCGCAGCACCTTCTCTTGGGCCCTGAGGGACTTGGGCCACCCCCTTTTGGCTCAACCCAAGAGCAGTTTCGGGAGCTCATCCAGAGACAACTTGAGCTCGGAGCGAATGCTCCACAACTGGCTGCGGCGGACGCTGAGGATTTCGACCCGATATTTGAAGGCCTCGATGAAGATTTCCTGGAGGAAATTCTCAATTTTGATGAGAATTGATCCCTGATGTGCATGGGTTCTGACGTGCATGGGGGCACCCGCCCCATCCACTTGATCACCGGGCTCTTGACACAAATTATTCAGCAAAGAAAACAAGTCTCAGTTCACGAAAGGAAAGCAAGTTTCAGGTCATGCAAGGAAAGCAATCAATCGTCTCCAGACTTACACACGACACCTCCCACTCACCGAACCTTGCCGTCACGAACATCAGTCAGACAGGTCTCCTTGAGCAACTATAAAAAGGATTGACGGGATCCACCACGACGCGCTGACTCCATTTCACGTCCTCAATTATCATACCCGTCTCTATATAATCCTACCTCCGAGGTACTCGTGTGTTGTCTGCCCGTTTCCTGTTGCGCTATTCCCCCCTTCCCATTCCCTTTTTCGTTTTTCTTTTTTCTTTCTTTGTTTTTCTCATTATTCTTAGCATATACATTAGTATGTACCCCAAAAAAAAAAAAAAAAACTCACAAAACCAATGTCCTGGATGTCTTGCACATCCTTTCTTTCTCCGCCAAAATCTTGTAGATTCCGTAGACCTCCAGTGATCTCCGCGACGAAGATTGCCTCGAATCTAAAAGGCCCCATCCATCCTTGCGCCGTTTCGTGATCCGCGAGCGAAATCGGGGCCTTTTCGTAGATCCTCTCGAATGTAGAATTTAGTGGGAGAGACAGAAGGATGAGATGGAAAATGATGATGATGATGATGATGAAGGAACATGATGGAGATCTATACGATGCAGGAATTCCTCACGCTATATCTACCTTTCATGATCTAATGACAAACGGCGTGCACTGGGTGCAAACACCAACAGAAAGTGATGAAAGCAAATGCAATGCAGACAAGGATACCCTATCCATGCATGCATGAAGTTTGAGCTGCCAGTGGTCATGCCGCTAGGCCTGAGGCCGATCGGCCTCTGTAGAATTCGTCGTCGAGTGGAGAGAATTCGAGTCAGGTTTAGGTATAGGAGGAGTGGGTCCTTGCGTATACACATCACCTATCCGAAGCTACGACACGGCGTGCGGTGCGGGATCAATCATCACCGTCTACGTGTTAAATGCCGAGCTACAAGGCATCTGCCAAGTACGAGACGAACTTGAAGTTGAAAGAAGGAAAGAGGGAGAGACTTGATACATTCGCTGATCCCGATGAAGGAAGCTAAAGACAAGGACGAGCGATATTTGTAGAGGACAAGAAAGGGGATCGGGATCAAAACTTTGGATGGGGGCAAGAGAAGATAAGGCAAGGCAAGACATTCCCCCGAGAGGGAGATAATTCCAGGATATACACAGTTCAAAGTGGAAAGGGGCCAATCATTGCGAAACGACGATGGTGAAGGACGAGGGAAAATCAAAAGAGAGATTCGGTTTACTCCTCCTGGTATGAAATCTTGCGCATTTCGCCGAGGCGTTGGCGGGCGCGGGCGAGTCCGTTCTCCAGTTGTAGGATTTCGACCTGTAATTTTTTATCAAGGTTAGCAATTTGGTTCTACACATGGTAAAGAACCAACCGGTCGGTCTTGGGTGGATGGGGGTGGGGACGAGGATGGGGAATGACAGTGGAAGAAAAGTTGTTGAAAGATACGTACCTGCTGCTCCATCTCGCGCACCTTGAACTCGTGAGAGCTCAGGGTCGCGTAATCCTCCGCCTCATTATCACCGCTGTGTTTCTCCTTGATAATATCCTGCACTTGTCGCACCAAGGCGCGACAAGCAGCTCCAACGGCCTTGCTAGCACCCTCCAGACGGTCCTGGGACTTGCTCATGAAGGTAGCCTTGACACGACTGGCGGCGACGAGCTGGGCGGTGCTGGCGGCGACGTCGTTGGACGCAACAATGAGTTGTTCGGGCGAGTTGCGGCCGGAGATAACACCGTCAGCGGTCTCGATCAAAGTGTTGGTCGAGCCGGCGACGGCCTTGGCTGCGGAGATCAAACCCTCAGTCCAGCGGTTGTTCTTCTTGTAGAAGGCTGTTTTGGAGGCGCTACCGCGGCCCTCGCGAACAATTTCTTCCTGCGAGACGGTGGCGGCCTTGATCAGCTCTGCGATCGCGGTGGTCACGGCAATGGCAGCGGCCAGGATGGAGTCACTGATGCGAAGCTCGTAGGTCGAGTAGCCATCACGGGGCTTGTTCTTGAGCTTGGCCAGGCGCGCGGCAGCGGCCTCAATTGCATCGGCGGCCTTTGTAAGTTCGGAATCGACGAGGTCGCCGAGATCGCCCTTGGTGCTGATCTTGCTGCTCTTGGGGGTGAAGGACTCAACCAGCTTCGACAGGGACTGCAGGTCTCGCTGCACTTCCAGGTTATTGTTGATGACGACGTCGGTCTTGTGGTCGGCCTCCATGCCCTCAAGGCGGAATGATTGCAGACCGCGGAAGAAGCGAACGGTAGCCTGTGCGGACTTGCGAGCCGCGCCAAACAGTTGATCCGAGCTCTTGTCATCGTTGGCAAAGCGGGACAGACCCTTGGTGTTGCTCAGGGTATCGGCAATTGAGCCTGAGAAGACGGACACTGTGCGAATGATCTCGGCGTGTGGGCTGTTTGGCCCATCGGCGATGAAGTTGTTGAATGCAGTTGAGAATTCGGTGGCAGAAGCTGCGGCCTTCTCGATCTGTGACAGCACGTATGGAGGCGAGGCATTCTGGTTACCGGCTTGCATGGACGAATCCAGCTCATACATCGCGTCGTCTACGCGCTGCACACCGGCTTGCAACACAGAGTCAATGATATCGTTGATCTTGGCCACCGTTCCGTGAAGCACTGTGTCGATTTGACTGTCAAGCGCATGGTCCACATCACCTTGGTTCTAAAAAGTTTAATCGTTAGAAAAAATCGCAGATACAATCTTCGCAGTGGTGTGACTAACCAGCTTCAACTCCTCCAGCTCCATAAGAGCCTGCTCCATACCAGACTTGTACACCTCAATCTCCTCATCCTTTTCTTGGAGAGCGAGATCGTGATCTCCCGAACGTTCAGAGCTGCGGCCTTGAATGTCCTCCAAAGCACGGTTTTTATTCTAAAAAAGAGGTTAGTCAATGCACCACCACGGGTGTAAAAAGGGGCCAATTCTTACCCGAAGAGCCTCTTCCAAGTCGGCCATCTCACGATTATACTTGGACAGCATGGATGAGATCTCAGTGCCCTTTGATCGCTCGGCGTTCTCAGCACGATCAATCGCCATGCGGAGTTCCCGCTTCAGCTTCTCCTCCTCCTCCTTGTTGGTACCAGAGACACGGTCCTTGTCGTGCAGAGCACGATCACGCTCCCGGATCATATCAGCCAGCTCCAAGTTCTTGGTCTTGAGCTCGCGCTCCAGCTTTTCACGGCGGTCAATCGCCTCCTGCGCGGATGCGGCCTTGATCTTCAAGCTCTTGGTAGTCGTCAAGAGATCCAGATGCTCTTGTCGCAGCTGCGAGTAGAGCTTGGCGAGGGCTTCATACTTGGATCGCCAGGTGTTAACCTGTTCCTGCAGAGCCCGGATCTGTTCGTCCTTGGAGGAGTTTTGCAGATTGATGTTCGAGTTCAGGTTGTTCATCTGTTCCTCCAAGTCCTTAACACGGCGGTCATACTGCTGAAGCATGAGTTGATCCCGCTCGTACTGCGCACGCGCGTTCAGATTCTCCTGCTCCAGCTCAGCCAAGCGACCTTGGGTATGTGTTTGGTATTGATCGCGAAGGAGTTGCTCTTGTGCCAAGCGTTGCTGCTCAGCCTGCTGGCGCTGCTGTTCCTCGAAGTCAAGCTGGGCTTGTTGTTGGTGCGCCTGCTGCTGACGCTGCTGTTCTTCCCACTGCTGCGCCAGACGGGCTTGCTCGGCCTCATATTCTTCTTGCTGGCGTCTCGCCTCGGTGGTCCAGAAGTCACTGATAGGCTCTGGCTCCGCGGCCACCTTGGGTGGAGGAGAGGGCTGAGCTTCTACCTCCCTGGCTGGGCGTCTCGGCAGAGCTGGTCGGTCGTCATCTTCTCCCAGAAGACTTGGTGGATCCTGCGGCAATTTGGGAATGGTGATTAGGCTGGTGAGATAACGGAGGTTCGAGCACTCGTAATAGAATCGAACAAGACGGTGGTGCTGGGCATCGTAACGGCCTCGGAGCGGTTCAAGGGCGTCATCATCACCAGTGGCTTGAGTAGGGTTAAAGAGTCAGCAATTTCGCAATAATAGTCCGGGGCGATAGGGGAAAGAAGCATACTTGTGTGCATAGCTCGCAGCATGCTAGTGATAAACTTATAAATGCCATAGCTCTCCTGTACAAGCGGCACCAAGGCAGAGATACGGCACTCATTGTGAGTACCAGATTGGAAATGCGAGAAGATCAGCTTCTGGAAAGCATCGATCTGGTCCTGCAGGGTCATAAGATCGGTGATAGTCTCATAACTATAGATCCGTCAGCATTTCATCCGCAATGGATTTGCAAAAGACAAAATCCCATGCGCACCCTTCATTCGGATCATTGATCGTCTTCAAACTGATATATTCCTCATATTCAAACAATCCTGCTCTCGTTAGCCCGGGTCTCGGCTTTAAATCGGAGTGTCAGGGAGAACGTGCCGTTGAATTCGGGATGGTTGCGGTGGAAATTGAGCTTCGACTCGAGGAAGAAGACGTATTCGCGAATAAGCGGGGCATATCCTAACAACAAAATACCATGTCAGCGCATCTCTCGTATATACAACCGTCGGTCCAGAGGGAGATCGACAGAGGGGGGAGGGGGGGTTGCGCAATTATCTTACCGCGTACACCATCGCCTCCAACTCCTCGCATCAAGCTGTCAATCCAATTGGAGTGCTGCTGCGCCTCGCGCACGACGATCGGGTGACCCTCCTGGAGAACCTTGTGTATCGTGATGAGGGCCTTGAATGTCTGGACCTCGTCGGCGAGAACGGGCTGCCTGCAATTGGCGATTCCTGGTCAGTGACTACCATCCCTTGGCCATATCATTGTATCCTCAAACGACATACACTTTCATGCCGGCCCAGAAAGCCGCCGACGACTTATGGTCCCACGTGTAGACAATGCAGCTTCGCACATGTTTCCCTGCAAATAGTGTGGGGTGTTAGACGCAAAGTTCGATATTTTTCGTAATTCTTCTTTCTTCGAAATTCGAAAGAACAGCGAGAGCGCAATCAGGACGTACGTTTGGGAGCGGTTTCCTCTATCATGCGGGTAGAACGGTTAGCCTCCGAGATTCCTTAAGCAACTTCCCAGTCTTGCACAAGCTCTTACCGATGCTAGTGGCCTTTCGGATATTGATGGCCAGATCAGCCTCCGTTCTAGATCGTCTTTGTTAGTCGCGTGCTCGCTCGAAGGAAGCGAATTGGGGTTCCGCGTACCGACTCATCTTGACCGGGGGGCAATGCGGGACAAGCTCAGGGGCAACCTGGAAAGGAAGTCGTAGCTTCGCGACAGATTCCCAAGTCCGGACAGCGCGGTAATATCAAAGAGAGCGCCGACCGGAGAAGATGAAGGTTAAGTGTAGAAGAGAAGTTGGAGTCGCACGTGGAGTGCAATGACGTTGGGGGGAAAGCTGGCGCCTGTCAGTCTTGGCGACGCCTAAGCCCGTCCATCCCTTGTCGAGTGCGGTGAGAATCACCACTGCGCCACGCTCAAAGGCAACGTAATATCTACTGGTACAAGGTATTTACAAAAGTATATCCTACTAGTAGTCTTACAATATACCACAGAATATAAATGAAGATGATCCGAATTCCTAATTCTAAATTCGGTCGTGTCACACCACGGCCCAAAGAATATCTCAACTTTATACATTCGGGGCTGGGTATTGCCATACTTGAAGAGCCCCATAAAACATAATCCTCCATCCTGCTGCTGCAACGCAAAGCTAAGACGGAGTCCATAGTAACAGAGAATAAAAGCCAAGATAGAATAAAATAGAATAAAAAAAAGCACCTTCAACGCCATCCTATGGTCACACGGGCTTCTTGTCGGGCCAGCCCGATGGCTCGAATCCGAAAAATCAATAAACAACAATACCCAGAATCAAGACCAATCAGGATAATGGGACTGGGGTTTCTACCGGCTTGAAAGACGGAGTTCCTTCGCTGCTGCCTGATTTCGAAGTTGGTCTCTGATCTACAGAGTGCTGGGATTGGGAATCCGGGGTCCCCTCATCTTCCCATGACTGCGACACGCTGGCGACATCAGTATCTGCAGGAGAAATGTCATTCCCAAGGAGTATGGGCTCCGTCAGACCCTCCTCTGGGTCGATATCTGCGTCGGCTGGACTATTTGGCGTCGAGTCATTGGGTGCTTCAACCACCAGTAATTCGTCGGTGCCGCCGCCACCACCACCACCACCACTGCCGCTCACTCTACGCATCGCTGAAGGGATAGGTTTTCTGCGAGGCAAAGCTGTAGGTCGGACACTTGGTTTATCAGCGGCCATGGGTCGTTGAATTTGATTCGGCACCCCGACAGGCTTGCGCTTAGGCAGTGTTCCTCCCGAGTTTCTCTTCAGAGCATACTTGTCGGGACGGGGTAGTGGTGCTCCCGGAGGAGGATGCGGGTGGCCACGCCCAATGGGCTCGTCGAGTGTGCGTGCTGGAGGTTGCGATCCTTCTCGATTCTCGTTCATCTCCCCTTTGCCAAAGACACTCCAGCTCCATTTCTTCGCAGCCGCAGTGGCCGATCCGATGGTGAGATTTCCAATGGCCTTGTCATCGGAAGACGAGGCTGAAGTCAAGGTCCGGGTCAAGGACTCGATCGTACTTCGGCGACGGGATTGCTCGCTAGCAACCGAGGTGTTGATTGAAGTGGTGGAGCTTCCACGCGAGCTTCGAGCACTGGAATAGGAGCTGTTGTCGAGGCGGGCAGAAGAGGGGCTCGTGATGACATTATCGCTGGCGAGGCTCGCTCCATCGAGAGACTCCGCAATGGATGGTTCACGGCTGTGAACTGCGCTCTGGGGTAACATAAGTCCTCCGGTGGGTGGTGAGTTGTTCGGGGTGCGGTGCGGAGAAGCAGGTGGTGACCGATTTGATATTTCGATCATTGCACTCGTTGCACTACTCTTCTCGTTGTCTTTCTGGCCGGTGCCAACTTTGTTGACTTTGGCATTATCTGCAGTCACAACCGGGTCTGCTGCCTGGGAGAATGTTTGTGAGCGCATTGAACGGTGAAATGGCTTGGTGTCTGCCCTATCAAAGCTTGTAGACGATGCTGCGGGGCTATTTGGCTGCGAAGGAAAGACGAATGATTTCGGGGCTTTGCGTGCCTTCACGCCAGCGTCGGGGGATTTGGGAAGAACAGGCATGCTCATTGTCCGATCATCCTTGGACTTCAAGACATCGATTGAAGGCTCAGGGGCATCTTTCGGCGTTGGCGCAGGACCGCCAGACTCGTCAGGTATATCCACCTGGGTAGTTTCCGTATCAGGCTCGTCCCGCTGCCAGATACCACCACGGAAAGCCTGGCCGACAGTTTCGTGGAAAGGCACATCATCCCAGAACGGTAAAACGATACTCTCTGCCACCACCTCACGAATCTTACTTTCAATGGTGCGCAGGATGGGGCTGAAAGTAATCTGCTTCGAGCTGACAATGGGCTCGATGTCCATCACCATCCTCGGCATGGTTTCAAAGGACATCCAGAATCGATTACTGGGAGGGGGCTTGAAGCGGACCAGCAAATGGCCCTCGAGTTTCTTCAGCACTACTGCCAGCACTATATCGACTTCTCTTGCTTTGAAACGCTGCCCGAGATCAATGCGCACCGTCGCTGATATCTCAACCCGGAAATTTCCCGTGTATTGGACGTCCATCTCCACACAACAGTTACCGTCGACAGTCAGGTCTTTCAATCGGGGGTTGGTTATGAAAGGGGCACCTTCACCCATATCGATTCTCTGTAATCCAATCTTGCTGATGAAGTTCGGTTTATTGACGCGTGAGATCTTTTTAGTGATCTTCTTTCGAATGAATTGCTCCATCTCGGGCGTGCGATACAAGGCGAGAAAAAGGCGCCCAAAGAACGCATTTATCCATCGAGTTTGAAGCTGCTCTTCAGAAGAGTGGAGTCGTTGTACCAGAGAGATAATGTGCTTCACGTCAAAGTCTTGTTGCTTCGGAGGTCTATCCTTCGACTTCCACATCTTCGATTGATTGTGAAGCATGGCGAAATAAAAGTCTTCCTTTTCCGACAAGTTCTCGGAGAACATATAGAACGGGGGAGTAGGACCACCAAGATCTGCCAGCGAATCCAGTCGCCGCGACAGACAGATAGCGTTCCTTTTGAGCCACAATTCACCTTCAGGAATATCCCCTTCCACCCCATGAATAGTCACATCGTGGTGAGCAAGAGAGATGACATAGCGAACTTCTACCTGATTAACATCGTCATAGAGCATCAGGTGGCCATGTCTATGAAATCCCCATTTCTTGTCAGCAAAAGGTTCATCGCCAGCGGGCACTACAATGAAGTAGCGTGTGATGGATGCAAAGCATACCGGAGGACAATGTAAAAGACATTCCGCGCTCGTTTCGTATTCTTCCCATTCGTCTTTGCCGGCTCAATACTGGGCGTCTGCTTTCGATCGAACAAACTCCGGTACATCGCCTGATAAACGCTCGGACTCTCCGTCGCAACCACCTCGCCAGCGGGGGTCGTCCTCTCTGGGGGCTTCCCATTGACACCACCGGGAACATATTCACGACATACAGCAAAATAACCAGCGGCGACATCGGATTCGTGAGTGCGATGGAATTTCTCCGCCAGCTGATCGGTCCCCGTGCCGGATTTCAGACTATACTCGTCATCGTCGGGTCGCTGGACCTCATCATGGGCGTATGGAGTGCGGGCAGTCGGAGCGTTCGGAAGAGTCAGGTAGACATAGACAAGGATTGAGGATAGGAGGAGAGGGAAGAATGTCAGACCCCCAAGCACGTAGATGACGAGAAAGCTGGCGAGTGAGCCCATCGGGAACCAGTCGATCAAAGCGGGAGCGGGAGGGTCGATAGCTCCATAATTTGACCAGTTCACGTCCGGAGGTAGTGGGGGTTGGCTCAAACGAGGTAACGAGAGACCGGCTCTGGGAGAGGAACAAGCAAAAGCAAGAAAAGAATGTGTAAAGCGACTGGGGACTGGCGTGTAGCAGAGCTGAAGAGAGTTGAACAGAGCAGGGAGTTGCAGCTTCCACTCTCACGCGCGGCGGATGATGGAGGTGGTCCCTCCGAGCTGATGTGGGCCTCGTTTGGTATTGTTTTTACAGGGTATATTACTTCACGATAATACATCCTCCCGCAAATTAGTGTGTGATTTCATGTAACTACACTGATAATACATAACTATCGTATTCTTATAACACATCCTTTGAACTGGCTGTACTGGAAACCCCGCAGGATCCGACCAGCTGTCAGGAACAGTCAGCCCTGTGAGATTAGGGCAAGAATGTCCCTTTCTTTCTCAAAGAGAAAGAATCTATACCAAAAGACCTACTTGATGGATCCTCATCGGGGTTTCCCTCGATGTTTCACGAAGTTTGACCGCGAAACGTGTCTATCATGTCCAACATCATAGACCCGACATGATGTACCGAGGTACCCGAGAAGTCTCAGGTGTACAACTCGTATCAAAGTGCTGAAAGATCCACATCCGCACTACTTATCACATACATCTAGGCATTGAATCTATGGGACCTAAATTTAACGTGAAATAACACCATGTCCTGATCAACTCAATCCGAACATTCGCATCTAATAAAATATATACTGTACATACAACCAGATCAAAAAAGAAAAATAGTAAGGGGGAGCACAACGGATCCGTCTAGTGCGTATATAGTTCTAATAGTACAAACTTCTCTCAAAACGCTCTACTTACGCCGTTTCATGGTCTTCTCACACATATCAATCAGCCCCGACTTGGCCTCTCCATCGGGGAAGTCGCTAATGGCAGCAATGGCCTTGTCGGCATACTCCTGGGCCAGGAGACGAGTCTGCTCCACACCGTTGCTTTGGTAGACAAGCTCACGCGCCTGTAGAAAACTGTTAGTTTGGAACAATAGACAAATATAGAGGGGAGTTCGGGTAAAAGGGAGTTCTCACCTTCTGCACATCACCCTCCTCGCGGAACTTGCGTCCAACTAAAGGACCAAGCTCGGGGTTACTCTTCCAAGCAAAGAGGAGGGGAGCGGTTGCCAGACCAAGCTCCAGATCGGCACCGACCGGCTTACCCATCTCCGCCTCAGTGACAGTGTAATCCAACATATCATCCACCAGCTGGAACGCGAGTCCCAGATTGCGGCCGTAGGCGTAGGAAGCCTCGACAACCTCAGGGGCGCACCGACCCAGCACAGCTGAAGAGCGGCAAGATTTGCTGATCAGACTGGCAGTCTTCAGATAAGTCTTTTGGAGGTAGTAGTTGAGAGTGTCATCGGTGTAAACGGGGTTGGACTCGTCCTGAGCCGTGTTCTTCAGCTGCATGAACTCGCCCTCGACCAGGTTGGCAATGACCGTCGCCATCAACTCGGTCACTTCCGGATCGCGCAGTCGGGCTAGGGCCACAGACGCACGACCGAGGAGGAAATCGCCTGCCAGAACAGCCATCTTGTTTCCAAAGGCCGTGTTGGCGGAGCTATTGGCGCGTCGGGTCACGGCGTTATCGATTACATCGTCGTGGAGGAGGGAAGCGGTGTGAATGAGTTCTGTGATTTCGGCCAGTCGGCGCTGCGACGGGAGGATATTATCGTCACCGGCAATGTTGTACTGGTGGCTCTCGACGGATCGTGATACGAGCGGGTTGAGACCTGGGTTCGAGTCTTCGAGTATAGATGGCTGGCTGAGGGGGTTATCGATTGGGTTGGGACTGGCCTGATCGGCCGGGAGTTTGCGAGGGTCTATCGCTGTCGCCTGGGACATGAGGAGAACCAGCAATGGCCGCATATGCTTGCCTTCGCTGTGGGTATAATATTTAGCGACCTTGTCCAGAGCCGGATGACCTGATCCCAGCAATTGGCGAATGTTTTTGGTCAAAAACTTCAGCTCTTTCCCGACAATTCGCAGAGGGTCGACCGAGATGCCCGGAGGCGCCTTAGGCAGGCCCTTGAAGATGGTCTGGGCAGCTGACACGGCGGCACCAAATGGCGATGCATCCCGCCGTCTTGTTGGGTGATATTTGCGGGATTGGACGGAAAATGGAGACAAGAGGAGGTCATCGCGGAGGCATTGCGAGCACACGGTCGTCGGGGTTGAAGTGCGCGTGACGATCAGCCCGGCGGCCGATACGGTTCGAGCTCGCATCTTCGGTGCAAGACTTCAAGGCAGCGATAGATTTATGGGTGAACCTAGACCATGAAGTTTGAATTGGGACGGGGTTGAGAGGTCCAGGTGTATGGGGAGGAGTATGGGGGGGGGACCACAGGAAACAATCCGACGGGAAGATTTCAAAAGCTCTCGGGTCGGCACGGACCACGCGTGAGCGCCGCAGCGCCGACACGCATGAAGGAACTGTTGGGATCGGGATGCTCTACAGCCAATCATAATCAAATTAAATGGTGTTGAAAATACGATATAATCAGATGAGACGCAGGACACAAGCCTTTCCGATACGATTATTTACATTCTCAACTAAGGCTACGTTTCTGTAGCAGGATACCTTCGGGGACAACCCGGTTGATCGGTACTTTATACTACAGAGTCGAACGAGGCCCAGGACATGGTTCCAATGCAGAGGTAAATGGGTTCAAGTTAAAAGAGACATGAAAATTGCGCCGGTCGGTTCGGTCCTGCACATCCCCCTTCGTACATATCCAACAAAGGAAATATAAAATAAAAAAGCGAAATTGCACACAATTAACACATGGGTTGAACAAGGCCGCTACGACGTTAAGGACCCGACGTATAGGGCCAGGGTTGAGAGAGGAAGGAAGAAAAGAAGGATGTATCCATTATACGGACACCGCGATTCTTAGATGGCATCGAAATCACCACCAGCATCCTCATCATCCATGTCTCCCTCCTGGATCTCCTTGGCAAGCTCGCGCTCCCGCTCTCGGGCCTCCTGAGCACTCTTCAGCTCCAGTCGGTGCTGGTTCATCGGGAATCGCATAGCCTGTAGATTGTAAACGACGGAATTAGCTCCAGTCCATTTGATTATCATCTGATAGCGAGAGAGAAAACACATACCTTGACACTCTCGTCATGAAGAGCCAAACAGGCACGAATACGCTCGTGGAATGCCTCGCCGGGCTCCCGTGTGGCATAGATGTCACCAACTTCCTTGCTCTTCATGAACCCGTGCTCGTGGTCCAGGGTGGCCTCGATGACACCATCCCGAATAGCCTTTGCCACGATGTACTCGGCTGACTCCTCGCTGTCCAAGCCCAGACGCAGGCAGATGTCCCGCAAAGAGATGCGAGAGTACGACAACGACATCATGCGAATACCAGTCTTGATCACATTCTGTCGCAGACGAAGAATCAGGGTGTACGTGCCATCCTTTCGGAATGCTGCGCTGTGTGTGTTGACAATGTTCAAGAAACCATCCAGGTCACCAACACTCACTGCCTGGGCAAGCAGGAGGTAAGGATGCATGGACTTTTCCAGAGCTGGTTGGCGGAAAACCGAACGGTCTGGGATGTCACCCATCAGGAGCTCAACTACGACAAGCAGCTTGTGCGAAGACTGGTAGAACCCGCGGGCACTGTGACTGGTAGGGGACTTGCGAGTAGCTCCGATCAAGTGGCTGTGTGCTTCGGTATACTGGAGCTGAATGGCACGGATACGACCAAGGTAGAAGAGGTACCGGGCTATCTGGTTATTCGACGCAGCGGCGGGGAACTTGTTGTGAGAAATCAGAAGATCCGCCTGGGTGATGTGCGAGGTCGACAGATAGTTGCGGAGTAGCAGTGTCATGACAGTGGCCTGGGTATCGACATCCTTTCGCAGAACGGCAGTTCGCAGGGCAGTCAGGAGCGTCTGACGAATGGCAGTAACGGCCGCTGATGGAGATGGGGGAAGCGGAGCGATTTGCTCGTAGAACAGAGAATAATAGAAATACACGCGGGCCGCAAGAGAGTCTAGCGTACGGCGGTTCAGAGCACGGAGACGCTCAATCAGATCAGTCGAAAACTTAGCACCCTTCTGGATCTGACGCTGATCAAAGAGGTAGATCTGGACCAGGATAGAAAGATATGCGTCCACTTCGGCCAGAACCTCCTTCGGGGCTGCTTTGTTCTTCTCCGAATCCACCTCCATGTCTGAGCTAGCACTCTCAAAGGCATTGGACTGGTCGAGAGCATCCAGCAAGAATGAGGCTGTCGAGTTGGAGGAATGGTATGTTTCCACAATCACTTCGGCGAGGACCTCGGGGGTGATGTGTTTCCGCATGGAGGATATCGATCGCAGGACACGGAGGGTAAATCGAGGATCGAAGTGGGCGACGGCTCGCTCGAGGAGGGTGAAGTTGGTCTTGATATCTGCAAATAAAGCAAAGAGAGGTGTCCCTCGTTAATCATTGATCTTTTTGGAGTCCGGTAATGGAAAGCTCAAACGAACCTTGGATGGCCTTGGTCGTCGGATCGAGCTCCGGCTCGGCTTCAGCGTCATCATCCTCGGCACCTTCCATTGTCACATCCCCATCCTTCTCTTGGGCCTTCTTGTCGGTCGATTTGGATCCCTTGGTTGGAGGCACTACAACAGTCATCTTCTCGTTACCATTCCGGTTCTTACTGGAGTTGATTGAGGATGTAGGCGCACCTGCCGTATCCTCCTCCATCTCAACATCCTCGGAACCATTCACACCGTTCTCGGTTGACTTGGATCCGTTGGCATTCGACTTATCATCCTCTCCCATTGCGGCGTCCGATGCGCCCTTGGCGCCCTTCTTTGCCGGGGCCGCTTTGGCCTTGTTGGCAGCGGCGCGAGTCGTAGGCGCGGCCTTGTCTTTGGCACTGGAACTTTGAGAGTTGGAACGAGCCTTTTCACCGTTAGCGGATGAAGAGGTGTCCGACTTGTTGTTTGATCGCAGGGAGCGCCTCTCGGGCATCTTTGTGAAGCTGTCGAGCTCAGCTAAGCAGCACAGAAGCTAGAGGAAGCAGGGGGAAGAAAAGAATCCGGGGGGGACACAGGATCAGAAGCAAAAAGCAGAATGGCCAAACCCGGGGCGCAAGACTGCTTAGATCCAAAGAGATGATGAGAAAATGGGGTTGCGAGACAGATAGATGAAGTGGATGGGGGGATGTGATGTCAAGAGACGAGGACGGACGCAAGACGCCAGAAGGCGCTGCTTAGTCACGGGAGCTTACTTGGAAGTTGGTTGGGGCCGCGTGACGCCGGGGCAATCAAGCAGGGAGACAAAATGGCAAAGGAATTGGAAGAAAGAAGAGAAGAGAGTGTTGAGAGGAAAGTATTGTATAGACAAACAGCGATAGTCTTTGGGTTTGGTTGCAGCGTTGTTGAGTTGGGCAGGCACTTTCTCAATCCGCCGGCCTGAGGCAGGAGCTTCTACGTAAACAGCTCCAACTTGGACTGCATTCTACCCGTACTCACTGGACTTCACTTTACTCTTTACTCTACCTTCTCCGCCATGGGACTCCTTGATTCCCACCTGGAGCAGATCTCACTCTCCTCGAGTGCAATTTCTGATTTACCGTGAGTCGATTGCTTTTCTTTTACTTCCAGACCATTCCTGTTAATCTGACTCTATTTTCCAGATTCCCTCCACCCCGCATCTTCACCAACGCGTTGCTCGGTTCCCATGACATTACTTCCTTGATTCGGGATACCGAGGCTCACGAGAGAGCATTATTTCAGGTCGACCCAGCCGCCAAAGCTCAAAAGTCGCAAAGGCGCGCCACTCGACGCGGAACCACATTTTCCACAGAATCCGAAAATGAATCCATGGCGAGCCGGATCTACTCCGCGCGGAACAATCGCAACCAGTCTGCTGTTGCTCGAGTTCTAGGAGCTGATATGATGGATGAGATAAAGCGATCGGCGGGCACATCTTCTCGTGGACGTGGCGAGGTCAATGTTGAAGTCCTACTTCGCGGCGCGGAGATTCTGTGCAATGTCTAGTACGTTCTTTACTCCCGCTTTTTGTTTCTTTCTTCCTTCTTCTTCTAACAAATCATCCAGTCCCGTTTCAGGTGCTCAAGAAAAGATTGCCAACTTGCGCTATCGTCATGGAGTGATTGCCGATTCCGTCGCCCAGCTGGAGAATCGCGTCGCCACCAACACAGCAGAGCTCGAGCAAATGCGCCATTCCTACGACGATGACGATGATGATTTCTCGCCCCCTCCCGTCTCGCAGCCAGGTATCTCAGAAGTTACCGACAAGGAGATCGAGCGAGAGATGGCCGAGATTGCAGAGCTGGAACGGAAAAAACGCGCTTTGGAGGCTCGCGTCACCGGCATGGATCGAGATCTCGGCGGTCTAATGGGCTAAATGGAAGGATTTCCAATGTCTTGGCCCAGCCCGTCGTTTCCTGGGTTCAAAAGCAAGCTCTTTGGCAGGAAAGCCTGACAGTAGAGTGCTGGCTGTAACTTGACAGCCCCTCCATTTATGATGTTTGACGACGCCCAAGAGATATCTACAGATCTCATTTTATGTTTTTATACCCCTCATGCAATGATATTTCTTTTTCACTTTTGTTCTTTGCTATAAAACAAATCTTCTATATAGCAATAACACCGCTTATAGTCCAACACATACACCCAATTCATCATCTGCGTGGAAATCTCGCCCTCAATCTGGCCAAATAGACTGGCAGATAATACTAGCAGATGCGATTTAATTTCCTGCATAAGCCAATACAATCTCAGCCGTAGATACCATACCATCAAGCAAGTTTGTGAAGCACAAGAACGATGGCATAAGCACGTACCCGCAAAGGCGGTCTTGGCATTAACCGCCGAGCGCAACCTCATCCACGCCGACCAGCCGCAGTTCATCCTTCGTCGCGTGCGAGACGGGACTAAAGGCGGCAACAAGCTTAATATCTTTCCAATCACCCTGCAAATCGCCGCAAATTCGATTTCGTGCCCCCCTTTAACCGATACCCCCACGAGCCTCAGCCTCATCACCGCCAACATGGACGGCTCCCAAGGCCAGGCCGGTCAGCCCATGGTGCCGCAGCAGCAGCAACAGCAGCAACAGCAGCAACAGCAACAGCAACAGCAACAACCGCACTCGAACCTCATACGGACCGACCAGGTACAGAAACTTCCCCATCTCAATGAACAACAGAAGGCGCAGCATACTCAGTTGGTGCGCAACCTCTGGGATGTACTCAACAGCCGCGATGCGCAAAGTCACGAATACCAGACAGCACATTCGAAGCTATCGCAGCTATCACAAAATTTGATGAAAGGGATGCGGGTGTTCCAGCAGACTCGCCAACAGGCACTCCAACAACAACAAAACCAGCCCCAGCCGACCCAACCGATGGGTCAGGTTCCTCAGGGCCAGCCACAGCAGGGCCAGCCCGTTCAGCGCACTCAATCGAACAACCCCCAGAACCTTGGCCAGCTTCTGCCACAAATTCAGGCCAAGGTCAGCTCGTTGAATTTTTATCTGCCACCAAATGTCACCAACGAGCAGGTCCAAACGTGGATTCCCGAGGCCCGGTTGCGATACGGAATTGCGCTCCAGAAGCAGGAAGTCGGACGGGCTCGTATTGCGGACTTGCGTCAGTCATTCTCTCAGCGTCAAGCTGCTGGTAATATGACGCAGGAGGAGGTGCAGGAATTCAAGAACCGCCAGCTAGCTGCGGAGAAGCTGTTCCGTGAAGGCAGTGATTTCCTGAACAAGTTCAAAGAGCAGCAAGAGAGCTTCAAAATGCAATCACAGCAGCAAACCCAGCCGATGGTCAACCCGACCCAGCAAAACCAGGGAGCTGCAGTGGCACAGCAGAACAAAGCTGCTCCTGTAGCAGCCGTGCAGCCACCCCAGCAACCACCCCAACAGGCGGCTCCGAATCAACAACCGCAAAACACGACAAGTTCGATGCCAGGACAGGCGCCTACCCCAGCACCCCACACTATCAACTCGGCTGTCAACGCTGCACGCAACCAAGCTGGACAAGCCATGTCCCCATCGACATCCCAACCAGGGCAAGCACCTCCCTCTGCAGGCGGCACGCCTGTTCCTTCCAACGCACCACCACCTGCCCAGCGTCCTCAACCTTCTTCCCAACAGGGAACGCCAGGCGCGCAAATCACCTTCAGTCAAACTCCCAACCCTGATGGCTCAACTCCTCCAAACTCTCAGCAAGGTCCCAATCAGGGCCCACCACGCCCATTGACCCAGGCTACGGCTATGCAACAATCCGCGAACACCTATACCGCGCACCAAGGCCAGCCACATCAACCACAACCACAGCAGCCTATGAACCAGGCTGCCAGCCAGCAACAAGCTCACCCACCGGGATATCTCGCCAACCGTTCCGCCGAAGCAAGCGCTCGCAACATCAACATGGTCATCCCCAAGAACCTGAACGTTTCAACCCCAGAGCCCGTCTCGATGTCTACCCCACGCCCCTCCCTCTCTGGAGGACCAAGTCATGGTGCAATGGGTATGATGGGACAACCTGCCATCCAGAAACACCCGGGCTACGTACTCGAAGGTGAAGGCCAGCACGTTCTCAGCAAGAAGATGCTAGACATCCTCGTCCGCCAAGTAACCGGAGGAGGAGAGGGAGAAATGCTAACTCCCGACGCTGAAGAGGTTCGTTTAGTTCTTTCTCACAAGACCCCATCCCCACCCCAAAACATCCTTCAATCCAACCCCCCAAAGTAAACGCCATGTGAGAGAGAAAGAAAAAAAACCATCCCGACTAACCCACATACCCCCTACAGTTCATCCTCCAAATGGCAGACGACTTCGTCGACGACGTAATCAGCCAAGCCTGCCGCCTCGCCAAACTACGCCCATCCTCCTCCCTGAGAGATCCGCGATATCCAGCTCGTCCTGGAACGCAACTACAACATGCGTATTTCCGGCTTCGCTACCGACGACCTTCGTACCGTCAAGAAACCCCAGCCGACTACGGGCTGGCTTCAAAAGATGTCCGCCGTCCAAGCTGCGAAGGTGACTCAGGGCCGAACGGAGTAAATCGAATTGGGCCAAGTTGAAGCTACGCTGAAAACTTTCTTTCCTCGCTTTGCGTTGTGCCGCTGTTGCTGCTGCTTTCTTTTTTCGTCGCGTTTCAAGGGAATAAAGGCGTTTTTTTGGCTCGCTTTTCTTTGACTCCTTCCTTCCAGGGTCTCGGGTTCGGTCTTGCTGCAATGGTTTCTTTCCCATATTTTGCTATCCATCTACCTTTGCCCTCCCTTGCCGTTTTGCTTTTTTTCCCATATCTGGGCATGCCTCTGTGAAAGCGAAGGTGAGCAAATCTTACTTCGCTTCCATGACATCGACTCTTTTCTTCTTCTTCTTTAATTGCTTCTGCGATCCTCCGGCTGGTTATGATGTATCTGGGGGTGGCGTTCATATCTGGGAACCATTGGAATGAACTTGGCATCCCACCGGATTATGTATGGCTTTTTCTTTTCTTAAATCGGGAGCGGATGCAGACATATGATCCGTAATGAATTTAACTCCTCCCCCTGTCCATGAAATGTATTTTCGAGGCCGTTTCTATATGTAGCTAAGTAGGTATCATCACGAATCGAAACAAGACTCAGACTCCAACTCCAACTCCAACGCTGGAAGTAGTACGAGTAAGCTTACGCTTCATCTTATACCTACAGTCTATTCAAATGAACGATTACAATTGGCACCACATCAAATCAAACCAACTCATCACCATTGACGTTGATCTATGTATATTCTAAATTCCAGGAACGAAAGGAAAGGGAAAAGAAAAAAAGGACTTGAAAAGCGGAACCCACGCAAAAGCAAAGCAAAGCTTGGATCGAATCAGGTAGACCCTAAGACTGGAAGACTGTCTTGCAGGTAAAAGCAATTGAGTTGACGCAGATGGAAACAAGAAAAGTGGTATTGTGATTGGTACAGGGTATGGAAGAATGTCGCAAACAACAACGAATTTCAGATCGCTAAGGTACCTCGAGTAGTGGATTGATTGGGTTGAATTGGGGGAAAGCAGGACAATAAGCAAAACGGGGCAGAATGAAGTAAAGAAAACGTGCAAGCGAAAGCAAAGACTGGAATGGAAACAGAGAGATTTGACAAGGAAATTAAAGTGTTTAGTTGATTGGGTCTTCGGTTTGAAGGGGTTCCAATTGTTGGTTTGGTGGCATGTCTGGGCCGTGGTGGGTTGGTTTGGAGATTCTTTCTCTTTTCTCTCATGTAATTGTGAATGCGATGCAGACGTTCAGGCTGGAATGAGAGTGAGAGTGACAAGTGACAATGATGCAGATAGGGAAAGGCAGTAGCTGAAGCTAGGACAGGACAGATGATGTAAGAAAAAGAAAAGAAACTTGAGACACGAAGGAAATTTTGGGTCATTCGGGACCCTAGAGCTGGCGTTGTTGCCAAGTTCGTATGATGGCTTGGGTGAGTAGTCCTCTTACTAAAAGGGGATGTTTTCCAATGAGAGAATGTCGGGTTGGTGGTTGTGGGAATTTGTTCCCAGGCGTTGTAACATGGCATCTCATCTTGTACCGAGACAGCAAGGACGGTTTATCCATTGCTGTGCTGTAATCGGTGGATGGTGGAGATGCTGATGAAGACGGGGCGCTCAAATGAAGAAAAATATACACACGTCACTCGTGAACATCTTGCGACAATATTTGCAGGAGAGGAAAGCAAAAGCAAACGCAGGTGTCTGGGTGACTAATGCAGGGAGGTAATAAAAAAGAGGATACATGCGGTCTATCAAGCAAAGCGTGATGGGAAGGAGGTTGTGTGGGGATATCTCGCTGAATACAAAGAAAAAAGAAAAACAAGATAAGAGATGGGCCGGTCATCCGCGGGAAAGGCAGACACGTTATTTACCTGCGTGGGCTGTTGGAGGTAAATTGGTCTTCTCGGTCAACCCCCCTTGCCTTTTCCAGGTGGCAGTGGACGTTCGTCACGAGGAACTGGAGGGAGATCTTTGTCGGTGACCGGCGCTCCATTCCGGCTATGCTGGCTATGGTCACCAACGCTGCTCGCCTCACCTGCTTCGTCCACAATCGGAAGGGTCGAGGTTGGACCTGGACCTGCTGCATCTGCAGGATCCCAGACGGTGGCTAGCGTTCGAGGATGCGTGACTGAGACATCCTTGGCAGCCTCCTTCTCGGCCGCTTGCATCTGTCGTTCGACAGACGATGCTCGAGAAGTCCTCTTTTCGCCCGACTGTCGCGTACCCTGGGATGCACGGGATTCCCGTCGGCGTTGGGCTTCTTCACTCGACATGGTAATCCCCTTAACGAAGCTGATGAAACGATCGCCGTAACCCTCTGGTGGAATGGGAGAAATTTGTGTGCGGTCATTTGAAAGGCCCTTGAAGAAATTCTCGATCTTCTTGACCGTTCCGTAATGGGTCAGACAATCGATAATTCCTAGGTAGTAGATTTCTTCCCCGGGAGAACCGTCCTCGTGGGTTGCTCGAAAGCCTCCATCATCAGCGTAGAAGATGTGGAACTTTCGCTCATCCAGAATCTCCTCGGGCATCTTGGCAGCTGCCTTGTCCAGAGGCACAGGTCGCTCACGCTTGATCAACATGCGAAGTTCTCGAGCCTTGCGTTCGTTTTCCAGTTTCGATGGGGTCCGCATCAGCATGTTCTGGTTCGTACCGGCTTCCTCGCCCCCGGGCTGGAACACCTGCAGAGTCTTGTCTCTTAACTTTTCCTCATTGCCGCGTTCGGCGTCATGTATTCCGACCAGCAGAGAGTAATCCATTATCTTGAGCCTTTTGAGTAGCTCGACATCTCGTTTGAGCTGCTCCACGAAGAAGCCTCGCTTTTCGGGTCCGCACTGCAAGAAACGATTGCGTCGAACCCAGTTCAGATCTTTCATGGTCGCTCGCGGGTTCCTTTCAAGATCCGACTCTTGCAAATCCCGGCCAATTGTTGAGCCCTTCAAATCGAACGTTTGGTGGATATCTCGGTGAGGCGGGAACAGATTGTTCATCACAACGAAGTGAATCTTGCGGCCATAGGCCATCTTCACGCGATGCAATCCATAGAACTGCGAAATTAGGGTGTTGGGGTTCTTCTCCACGTGTCGGTAGTACTCGGGCAGAACCTTGCGAAGCAGCTTGTGCTCGGCGTGATGGATGGTTTTGATGATGTATTTGTAGTCGCGCGAGAAGTAGAAGAAGCTACCACTCTTGCCTGGGGAGCCCAGTTCAGACAAAATATACTTGCTGGTAAGGGACATCAGGTAATCGGCGGGATCAAGGCGGAATTTCGAACGGAGATGGCGGAACACCCAAGGAGCGTAATCTTTGAACTTGAAGTCGTACTTTGCCGAGGGTATCAATTCGTTTCCGGTGCTGTTCGGAGAACGGGTTAGAAATCATCCAAATATTTCGGTGTGAGGAGATACGAACATATCGAAAGAGAACTTATGCTTGGCATCGAAGTCCGCCGGAGTCAATTCCCGGTCCATCTTCGCATTGATGCGCGAGACCGTGAAGCGGATTCCGGTCAACATGTTGTATGCCGTAACATAGTTCACATGATTCTGGTCGACCTTGGTTCCTACGATGACACGCTCATCATCCTCATCCTCGCGTCGCCGTCTCGCTCGTTTCTGCTTGATGGCCTCCGCCCAACGCGCGGCTTCCTCGTCCGTTTGGGCCTCGTCAAGGTTGCCATCAGACTGTGTTGTCTTTGTTCCGCGTCGCATGAGACTGAAGGAGGTGCGGCGTGGGTTAGCGCTGGTGGGCGATAATCGACCGCTGCTGTATGCAGTATCTTCAATATCACGGCTATTTCGTCGGACACTGGGAGCTCGCGGAACCTGTAAAGAGTGTCGTTGTCGAACGCTGGACGGTTGAGACTCCTGAATGGAGCTGGCATCGTGTACTGAGGGGGCGGGAGGGGACGAGTATCGGTGCTGGCTAGGTCTCGGGGCTAATCGATCGGGGTCTGGGGAGATGCGACCCGCATCTTCAGAATGGGGAACCTGTAAAGAAGAGTTGGATGGACTAGCCGCTCGCTCTGATATTGAGCGTTCCTCTGCAGAAGCACGAGGATAGTCGCCATTGACCATCGGCTTCCCCTGGGAGGGGCGGATGTTAAAAGCGGTCATGCCATTCATCTGTTGATTCGAAACGGATGCCGGTATGGAGCCGGCTCCAGGAGCACCGTCCGAAGGTTTCCGGTCCAGCATAGCTGATGGCCGGCCGATATCTCGGGGGTCTCGAGGGTCTCTGGCGGAGCCATTTCCGATGGAGTGCATGCTGCCGTCTTTAGAGTGTGGCAGTTCGCGCGTGTAGGAGCTAACGCTCGATCGGGGGCCATTCAGGGAGTATGCGCTACCGTTCTTCAGATCACTGAACAATTGGCGATCATTCTGATGGGATTCGTGGTTGGCGTCGCCGTTGGGCCAGTTGGTCCACAGGAAGGTGTTTCCGACAGAGCTTTTGTCGTGCGACTTTCGGTGAGGCGATTCGAAGGATCGGGGATGAGTCGCTGTGGTGGTGGTAGTGGTCGTTGTCGTTGTCGTTGCGGTGGCCGATGGGTAAGCGTCAGAGGAGAAGGATGGCATAGTTGCTTTTGATTCCCAGGGAAACGGGGTGACGTGAACTCTGCGTGGGCCGGCAACCCGAAGTGACGGCAATGGCCCTTATTGGCGGGGGGGGGAGGTTTCAGGAGAGTTGCGAACCGGACCGTGTTCCAGCGGATAATAACGAGGGGAGAAGGGAGATTTTGGCAACTAGCGGTCGGAGAAAGCGAGAGGTCTCAAGCCGGGGTGGGTGCGGCCAGCCAGGGCGAGGATGATGATGGTTCAACGAAAGAGCATGTTCGGACTTCACGCTGACCAGGGTTGCGGGTAGGAACAAGTCGAGATTGTTGGCAAGTGTTGAATTAGGCAGTAAAGAGAGAGGGTCGTAAAAGGGGTGTAAATTGGAAGTGGAGGGAGTGGGGGGGAGAAGTCGAGTCGAAAGGATGGAGATGGAGATGGAGGTTGGTTGTCGGGGGAAAAGAACTTGCGTGTCG